AAAGTGTAAACAACAAGAGGAATGCACGAGTTTTTAAAGAGAGGGGGACCATCAAGGTTCAAGGGCTACGACGTTTCTGGATGAGGCGGTCGAAAGAGATTGAGAAGAGTAAGGTTATAAGACGATGATAAAGCGATTTTTCAATGGCTGCTCACAGCTCATTATGTATTCTGCAAAAACAATCAACAGCTTTGAAGTCAGTAGTGCAAAAAATTCGCATCTCCTTTTTGCCCAATCTTTTCTTGGCCCTCGTGACCATCGTGACTTTTCGAACCACAGACGCCAACAGTTTAGAAGTTGTCAAGACTAATCATCGTAGGAAAGGCGGTCTTTCAGAAGTCTCTAAATTCACGTAGCAGCATTATTTATGATAGTAAATATTTATCCAATATAAAACTACAATGTCTGGAGTTGGAAACATTGATTTCAATGACTTGGACAGATCCTGGGATAATGATTATTTTAAAATTAAGAGCAAAAATGTTTCCGGAATTCGAGCCAAGTGGACTCTAAACTCTTTTGTTTCATATGATGAATAATGTAACCTTTGTTTAATGGGCAACTTTTAAAAAACAAATGTCCAATGGTCTAAAATAGAAGAAACATGGAAAGTTCTGAAGAACCTTTCATGTTTCCGCGTTTCCCGGGGAGTTTTCTAAGCCCAAAACTAAGTGGTTCAACGGGAAATTACAGGTCAGAAGTCATTTTTCACTTCCTAGATTATTCAAAATCGACTTCGGAGACAATAAATGTCACCATTATTCAAAAGAGACCAATGATGTTTGGCCATAAAATAAAGAAAAATCAAATTACTCGAATCCTTGCGACAAAATAACATATATGTGTGTGCTTATTTCTCGCGATTTGAACAAATGTAGGAGAGAAGAGCGATTAAGGTAAGCAACTATGACAAATATGATAAAGGAGATTCTAACTCTCAGTTCTAAGGGGATCTACGCTGACAAGGGAAGTCACTTTTTTCGCAGATCGATCCATACTGGTGACCTAGTGGACAGTGAAGGCCTCAGGCTGTGTAAGAAGAATCTGGCGTCCAAAAGTGTTTACGGGCCCTGAGGGCAGAGTTATGGCTCATCAAAGTTCGCGCAAAAAAGGCTCCGAAAAGACCCTCCAAAAAAACGGGATCGGAGAAGTGAGCTTCGGTAGCAGAGTGGTTCGCAGATTTTTCTTTTGTCTGGAAGGGCCAGGGTTCGATTCCTCTTCACGGCAATAAATAAAAATAATATTGTAAGAGTAGCACACGTCAAAATAAAAGTGAAAAAACAAAGAACCTCGGATCATTGATTTTTGACGAAATGTCGCTGAATTATCGAGTCACAAAAGAAAACTTTCCCAGAGAATTTCGAGAAAAATGTTTTTTCGAAGAGGAAAACAATTTTTCAAGCTCGATAATTCTGTGGCACTTCGCAAAAAATCAATGATCCGAGATTCCTTGTTTTTTCAATTTTCTGAAAGAATTGTTTTGACGTGTAGCATAAGTTAGAAAAAAAATATTCTAAAAAATTTTTTGAAAAATATTATTATCCTGTCGTTAAAAAAATGACGATTTTGTTCATATAAGAGTGAAGAAATAAGATCGCACCGGTCGTTCCGAAGCAAAACGTTAAAAACGCTTTCCTAAATTTTTTTTGAAAAAATAGAATGGAAAAAATGCGGCCGACATGAGAAAAAAAGCTCGAGAAAGCAAATTTAGCGTCGTTTTCAAAATCTGAAAATCGGTCTTATTTCTTCATTCTTATATCGTCACTAAATTTATCATCTGCCCAGACAGCAAGCGTTTGACTCAAACGCTTCAGCATGATATCACGACGCCAAGGGCGTCTAAAACATCAGAGATATACATATTGAGAATTCCAGTCCTACCTTTACGCCAAAGTTCCCGCAGTTTTCTCCAATGATATGGCGTCTTGATCCACCGTAATCGCCGCATTATTCCAGAAATTGAATGCGATCCTCGGTGGAAAAATGCCCTCGCATCCCTCACTGTGTCCAAGCTCACAACGAATTCCCCAAATTTTAACGACAGGATAATAAAATTTCAAAAAATATTTCAAAACAATTTTTTTTTTGTAACTTACGCTATTCTTACAATATTATTTTTATTTATTGCCGTGAAGAGGAATCGAACCCTGGCCCTTCCAGACAAAAGAAAAATCTGCGAACCACTCTGCTACCGAAGCTCACTTCTCCGATCCCGTTTTTTTGGAGGGTCTTTTCGGAGCCTTTTTTGCGCGAACTTTGATGAGCCATAACCCTGCCCTCAGGGCCCGTAAACACTTTTGGACGCCAGATTCTTCTTACACAGCGTGAGGCCTTCACAGTCCACTAGGTCACCAGTATGGATCGATCTGCGAAAAAAGTGACTTCCCTTGTGAGATGTAAAACTGTAGGAGGTGCTGGGCCAACGTTACACACGTTTGCATCAACTTTTGAGACCAAAAAAGTGTTCTGAGCGATTTGCGTTTTTTTGAGGCATCTAAATAGAAATCAAAAATATTTTAATTAATTTTTTGATTTTTTAACGCCTTTCTATTGCAGAACGAAATTTACAAAGCTGAGATTGAGGGAAACATCAAAGATTATTTACGGATTACATGTGCTGCACTACAATACCCTCCCATCTTTTGCAGCAATTTTCCCAGCATTCTCTTCTAACTTAACTGTGAGCACAGTCCGGCAGACCCTCAAATGTAGGCCAATTTCCTATCTCTGATGTAGTAGACAATATTTATAAAAAACACCGTTTTAGAAACAAAAAAGTTTCAGCCCAATAGCCAATTACTCCATGAAAAGTCGACCTCATTCTCCATTGTTTATCCAACTTCAAGCCCATATATCTGCCATAAATTAAAGTGGAACCACCTGATTTTCCTCTAACATTTTTGGCTTGAAACAACACCCTGAGGCAATTAACGAGTGCTTGAAATAGCTGGTAAGATCCGGATATTGTGATTAATTTCGACCTTCTCTCCCCCTCATTTGAGCCAGACAGAAATGATGGAACTTTGAAATAATAAACACCCTGCTTATGATTAAAGAAATTTACATTGACTTGTACTGGTGCCATCTCAAGCAACACCTGTTTTATATACGAGTTTTGTGATGATAAAATTGAGTTTAATGCAAGGTTTCAAGAACCTCCAAAATGATGAATAATTGTAAGATTCGATTGTCGAAAATGACTCATGCCCTCTGGCTATAGACACGTCAATACGAGAACTTCGATAATACATTAGACATTGTGTTGGCCCTATAAATACGAGGTGTTTCCCAGCCGTTTAACGTTATTTTATTCCAATTTACTTTGATCTTTTGGCGTATTTACAAAGAAACAGGCCATTTATGGAAGATAAAATCAGTTGGGGAGTTCGTTTAGGGGGTGTTGTCAGTAGAGAGACTATTTTGTTTTGTTTACTGTTATGTTTCAAGCTGATTTCTGGTATTTTAGTGCCTCGGTTATTGACAATATTGTTTCTTCATTTTACTTTTTTATCACTGCAGGGTTAAATTTCAAAGTTCAACAACCCAAATAATCTTGGGAATCCTGGAATTCTCATTGCTAATAGCGTATGTGTGTTGTCTTCAACTCCTGTACCAACAAAATTTGATTTTGTCTTTTGCAAGGTCGGGTTTGTGGTCCCCTTTTTTGGTTTTGCTTTGTTTTTGGTCTCAGATTTGCATAATAAGGTATTTTTTGTTTGGAAACCCGCAGACTTTTGGTGGTGTAAATAGAAAGTTTACGTAAGCAGAGGCAGGTTCTATGATTGCTCTTGAAAAGGCCAAATATAATGTTTTCGAGCTCTAAAAACGAGATTTTTTAATTTTTTGAAAGTGTTTCGGTAAAAAAATCCGATACAAAATACGGTCAATGTTTAGAAGCATTTCTGAATACGCATGAAGATAGCAATTTTTTTATTTTAGCAAGGACTTCAAACTGTCCCCAAATTGGAAACTTCACTTTAGTTTTCCTTTGAAGGACCCTAGCCGGGTCTCTTGAAGGGCAAACTGATCGTAATCATTCTGTTTTTGTGCAGGTAATTCTTGGCGGGCCTCTAGAGTTTGTAAATCTTCTTCATTCGTGCTTTTGAAACCCCGAAGAACAAGAAAAATGGATCCAAGTTTGAACTCTGACTTTTTTATCTTCGGTGGATCTGATTTACAGTGTTTGTACTTTATCGGCTAATATTATTTTGTCATTTCGATTCAGAAAATAGTGAAAGATTTGCATTTTTTGATTATTTATCGCGAAATTATGATAATTTGGCCATAAAATAAACCAAAAAAAATAAAATGATTTGGAAAACCGCCCGAAAATAGTGTTGGTTCGGTGTTTGTAAAGTGTTTTCGGATCCGTTTGACTCACGGATGTCCTTCAGAAGGCTTCAGGATCCCTGGAGAAGTCCTCTTTTAGGTTTGAACCACACTTTTTTTGGGACTTTTTGTACCTCTTGGGGCCCAAATTTAAAACTCTTATTTCCGAACACCCTCGCCCCGCGTTTTTTTATTTGGCCGCCAATTTCTGGCCATTTTTTATCCGCCCGAGTTTGTTTAAAGGAGATTTCTTTTCCATTTCGAAGTCAGAAATCGGGATCCTTTAGGAATTTATTTATCAGAAACGTTTTGTAATCGAATATTTTCTGTTTTTCTGGGGTCCATTGACGGTTTTTGAGGTTTATTTTACATCAGAACTGACTTGTTTAAGCCATTTTTTGGGTCAAAGAAGGTCAATTTGTTGGTCATTGGGTCAAAACGAGGGAGAATGCCCTAAGGCCATTAATTTCAGAGGGCCTTTTTTAAATTCTTTTAATTTTTTAAATCTTTTACGTAAATTTTAAAATCAAATTTGCGATATTAAATACCTCATTACTGCCCCAAATTTGATCTATTTTTGGCACAAATTATTTTCAAAATCCTGTTTTGCGTGTTATAAAATTCGTATTACAGAGTAAATTCCCAATTTTGCTTCAACTTTTCAGCCCAAAATGACGGTCGAAATGACTCCAGATGTGAATATTGCACCGACATTTGACGTGAAAGCGGATAAACCCAAATCGCTGGAGAAGAGAGTGCAAGTTAACAAGATGACTGTCAGCCTGTCATTAACATTAGTCATGATATTCACGGTTTATTGGAGGGAAATCAAGGAGTTCGTGAAGACGTAAGCGGAGGGTTATGGGTTTATCAAGGAAAGACGGGGTCTTTTTGCACAGAACTGGCCGAAATGATGACTGCATTTTTGATAATCTTTTGGGACTATCGCAAAATTTTGGAAATAAAAAAATTCTAGTTTTCCGTTTCCCACCCGAAACTTTGATAACTACAAAGGCACGCAGTAAAACAATTGCACAACAATTTTTTTTTCTAAACAAAATTCCCCAAGTTGTGAACGAAAACCAATTTTTTCGACGGTTTCCTCAGTCTCGCGAAACGTTGCGTTGAATACCCTGAGATGTATTTTTGATTTACCATATATTCGAATATGTATTGATATCGTATCTCTTTTCAGATTCGATCCATTTCTGGGCTCTCGATTGGTGTTTTACGAAGGAGCAGGTGGGCAAAAATGGACAGTTCCTCATTCTACTTACACTTATTCGTAAGCCATTTTAATCATAACTTGATTAGTAATGTTTTTGATAGTAATTACGTCTGTTTTCAGATTCAAAGCGTCTTTCGAGAACTTCAAATCGAATGAATGGGCTGTAAATTTTATGAAAAGGTACTGGCTGATCTCGATCCCGTTGGCGTATTTTTATTATTATGGTATTCATCGACTTCAGGATTTTATGAAAAACAGGGAACCCATGAAGTTGACCAAGACCCTGGTCGCTTGGAATATTTTTTTGGGATTATTCAGTATTGTTGGATTCGTCAGGACATTTGAAGTGGGTTTATATTACTTCAGGGAACTCTTATTTAAAATTTCTGAGGTTTTCTTTTTGTACCACCCTATTATTTATTCTCAACATCGATAACTATCGTTATTCGTTTTAAGGAATGGTTCTACGTAATAAGAAACGATGGGATATATGGTACCATCTGCACCACCTTCAATCCCGAGGGCCCCACTCTGTTCTGGAGTATTATGTTCGCCATTTCCAAGATCTTTGAGCTCGGGGATACTGTATTTTTGGTGCTTCGGAAGAAGCCGGTCATCTTTCTCCATTATTTCCATCACATGCTCGTCATGGTCATCGTTTTCAGTTCAAGTAAGTGTTTTGATTTCTTCTAAATTCATTTCGTTACAGTAGCCGAAATGAGTGCGCCCTCGCAGATCTTCATGTTGATGAATTACGTTGCCCATTCCATTATGTACCCGTATTACGCCATAATGGCCGCGGGAATCAGGGTACCCAGGCCAATTGCCAAATGTATTACGACTGTCCAGATCACTCAGATGTTCCTGGGAGTCTACGTGACGTCTTTTGTGGTCTACAAACGTGATTTCCAAGGAATTTAGTGAGTTTTTGGCGTATTTTAGGGGTCACAGTATATGTAATTTAATCACCATGACAGAGAAATCTGTTATTATTAAAAATTTTAAACCGTGAATTTGTTGGCTTCCACGATTTTTTGTCATAGAATGCCCTCACGAAGTGCTTGTTTTTTAAGTTCAGAAATTTTTACAAACCATTGTATTCCTCAATTATAAATAAAAAGTTTTACGTCGCTCTTTTTAGCTGCCAACAAACACGATTCAGCACTCTACTCGCCTACGGGACGTACGTGGCCTTTGGCTATCTATTCGTCAAATTCTTCATCAAGGCCTATTCCAAGAAACCCGCCAAGAAAGAAGCTTAAGATCCTGAACATTCCTATCCATCCTAGGTGTTGTAATGCATTTTCTTTTATACCTACTTCAAGACAAAACTAATAGTTATCGATGTTGAGCGTTGAGGAAAAGTGTAATAAACTTTGCAACATGAACTTCTTGTTTTATTATGGTTAGAAGTATAACTCCGCCATTTGTAAAAGCAGTTTTTGATGAAGTGAACTCGGTAAGCAACAACTATCGTGAAAAGGTAACAACAACAGGATTATTGGAACCAACTGCCTAAACAAAAAAAACAATAGACCCGCAATCGAAGGAATCAGTGTTTATTCTGAGGTGGCAAATAGACCTTCTTGACCAGCTTCAAGTAATCACAGCAGATCTCTTCCAACTTCTCAATGTAGACACTGATTGAGGTGGGTTCTCCCAGATGATGGATGAGTTCGGCGACGCTGGAACAGTCCATGGCCACTCCGCGAAGTCCTGCAACGCATAAATCTGGTCTTTTACGGTAAAATAATACTCATAAACACGAATTGTATCATAAATATCTGGTTCATACAAATTGATATCCAAACCCTACCTTGATTTCCAACGGATTCGCGGCTAGCGGCAATTGGTAATAGCTGGAAGTGTTTCCACGGGTCATCGTTCAGATCGTCCACACTGGTCTGAGTTCCCACACTCGCTCCCCATTGGACCAAAGAAGTCTTGGAAGTATTGAAAACGGAGGAAGTGACCGAATCTGAATTGATTGTGGAAGAAGGGATCGTGGACAGAGACGCTTGAAGCCAACAAGAATCATAAAATCTGGCCGGGAGTTTGGAGATTTCATCCAAACAAGGACGCTCGCGATTGGAATGGAGAAGACTGGTGAGGTTGCAGTAGCAGGTCTCGGTGTTCTCGGCACTCTTCACTTGATCCTTGTTGCGGAGAAGATGATCCAAGATCATCTTGTCTAAAAATAAAGCGAAAAACTAATATTTAGCCACTATTTTATATCATCCATGAAGTGACTTACTTCTCTGGATGGCCAAACTCAACTGAGCCAACACATTGAGAGGAGCATCGGGTTTGATGGGCTCAGCCGATACACTGGTTCTCTTTGGTGGGATTGGTTTGGCGCGAATGAACTCCACACTGCGAGACTAAAAGGAAATACAAAATAAACATCGGACTCCATTACAACGTAAAAATTTAGACTAAAAAACAAAGCATAGCATACCTTCTTGTTGATGATCCTGTTCAAAGTCTGACGAGCATTCAGATCCAGAGGTTCGGCACTGCTTCCGGTGGGGAAAACAGACGAAGCCAGATGGACTGAAGGAGCCTCAGCAGAAAGACAAGGAACAGTCCGAGTAGGGAAGATGCTCGACTCCAGATGAACGCTCTCCTCATCCTTCACGAACTCTTGCTCAGTTGGCTCCACCAAAACATCTGACTGTTCAGCTGATGGCTTCACGACTTCAGAGTGTTCTGGGAAGACCGAAGAAGCCAGATGAATACTCTCCTCATCCTTTGCTTTCTCGACAATCTTCAGGAGTTGCAAAGGACGGGGAAGGAGTTCTTCTTTAATTTGGAAGGGTCCAAACTGTTGTTCGACCGATTCTCCCGACAAAGTCTTGTCCAGTTGAACATGGCTGGGAGAAGATGGTTGTTCCTGATGGCCCTTGCGGTTCTTCTTAGCACGACGCTCCTTCTTCGCAATCTGAAACGCAAAAACACGTAATCCGATAACTATCCACGAAGTTCTGTCAGTACAAAATTATTATTTTTTTTTGCAACTCGCGCCCTTGCGTCAGGCAGACTGCGAAAAACGACAGATTACAGCCAGGTGTGGCCACCGGGCATTTAGAACTACATAGGCGGTAAGATCAAAATTTTTTTCAGTTCGCACCATAACCGGGCTTTACCGGGTCGGGCCGGGCCTGGTTTTTGCCGGCCGGGCCTGACATTTACAGAAACAGGGCCGTTTGTCACCCATGACTACAGCTTGTAAACTGAGGTTGGCGCCTCGAGGTACAAAAGAGTTTACCAGTTTCGAGATCTTCGAGTATCAAGGAGAATTTGGGGAGTATGCACTTACCCTCTTGATGGTTTTCTTCAAAGCGATCCGTTTAGGCATACTTGCAACGTCCTTAGAGTCAGCCGATGGAATCAGTAAACGCAGCCGTCCGGAAGGTGGACAGCCAACAAAGAATGAGCAAATTCCGAGGTTTCCTATCCATGAAGCCGGCGAACTATGCAAATTTTAATGTGGATTGGGGAAATGTGAGAATTCATTTTCAATGAGACTTTTTTTGCTTTTTCGGGATTTCCTGACTTTCGGAAATTTGAAAGCGGGCCGACCGGGCCTACTTTAACCGGGCCGGGCTCGAGATTGGATTTAGGCCTGAGGCCCGATCCTCAAAAAATATTTAAAAAATTGAAAAAAAAGTCATGATCTGATATATGAATAGATGAAATAGTAGAGCCACGCGTAATATTCACCGGTTTTATTACGAGCTATAATATAATACAAATTAGAATCCCGTTTTGTTAGTTTCGCATTTGGTGACATTACATATTTACAAAGCAGTAACTGAGACATCTGAAGAAAGCTTGGGGTCTTGAGGACTGATGAAGACTTGCTCCTTCTCCCCGACCAGTCGCACCTCGAGGTTCTTCGGAACTGAGTTTTGAGTTGTCTGAAAGGCGTAGCGTTATCTATGCAACTTTTCACAGCTTCTACATGTGTTACCATGTGTGATGTAATTGAATCATAGAATTGTTACTTTAGATTTTTTTGCCAAACCAAGGATCTTACCGATGATTGAGCGTTTTCCGGGCCAAGGCCACTGTCATATTCATCATCATCCATCAATTGGATATCCATATTCATCGATGGAACAAAAGATGGACATGGAGATTGAGGGTGTCGAGTAATATCAGTGGTCGGGATAGTGCAGTCAGAATGCCAATCCGCACTTGAAGAGAATTCTGAATGCCAATTGAGGGGACGCCAGACCGGAGAGGCTGGATTGCACATGGGACCTGAAACATGATCATATAGTCATTTCAAAGGTCTGTGTCCATCTTTTTTTTGATGGACAAAGTAATGTCATATAAATCTTACTCGGATTGGCCATCTTTGTATAATCTGGATACAGTCCATTGACTTCGGACTTCTTCTTTCCATTTTCGAAATATAGGGCGGGTCTTGGGAGTCGATCACTTTCTTTTTTACAACAACAGAGCTTGGAGAGAAAATGGTATCGGAAGAGCTCTCGGTACTCCTTGTTGAAGATATAGTAGATCACGCAGTTGACACTACTGTTGAAGACCACCAGGAAGTTGGAGACATCGGATAAAGTGTGGAGAATGGTCTGATCCGGCTCGAAGAAAGTCTCGATAATGTTGACGATCAAAGCCTGCAAGTTTTAAATCAGTATTTTGTATTCTACTAGACTGAATGATATATCTCACAATAACCTTTTATCGGGTCTTTCTACGACTTTTCAACTCATTTATGTTTTTTTATTACATCACACTTAATCTATGCACAAAAATCTATATATTTAAAACGGAGTTTTTTACAACTCGAAGGATGGCCCGGACATTTCGAAAAAACGACCAACTCAAAATCTTTTGATATTTTGCATAGCTGTTCTACTATGTTAGACGAACGTCAGTACACATTTTTAGTTTCGGAAATTATCGTACACGGGGGTTACGGTAGGTACAATTTTTAGAAAGATTGGGCTCGTACGTAAAAACCCCGAAGAGTAAAAGGGCGAAACTTCGTTGTTTTACGTTTTCGACCATGGGGAGCATTTTCATAATTGACACTTTCGCCGTAGGATGTAGCCTTCGACTACTTTGAAAAATACCAAGGTACCATATTGAATGTAACTTTTTTGCAGAGAACTTGTCTCAACTTTTGAAACCTTTCAAAAATACTTTGACATAGATGTAACAACATATCAAAAATGCGCGAAAATAAAAGGGGTGGTTTTGGAGTTACGGTACTTTGATTGTGGCCCGAACGGTATATCAAAATATAATTTTTTTCAAAATAGGTGTAGAAGAGCCGCATATATCGCCAAAAAACGTTTTCGACCATGGGGAACATTTTTGTAATTAACACTTTTTCTGTAGGATGTCGTCTTCGACTACTTGGAAAATGACCAAGGTACCATGGTCAATATAACTTTTCGGTATTCTACTTGTCTCAACTTTTGAAACCTCTCAAAAATACTTTGACATGTATGTAACAACATATCAAAAATGCACGAAAATAAAAGGGGTGGTTTTGGAGTTACGGTACTTTGAATGTTCCCGGTACCGTATGTCAAAATTTAATTTTTTTTTAAAATCGGTGTAGAACAGCCGCAAACCTTGCTAATGTAGGTTTTCCACCACGAGGAACATTTTTGTAATTGACACTTTTTTTGTAGGATGCAGCCTTCGACTACTTTGGGAAATGTCAAGATACCATGTTCAATATAACTTTTCGGCATTCTACTTGTCTCAACTTTTAAAACCTTTCAAAAACACCTTGACCTATGTGTAACAACATATCAAAAATTTAGGAAAATAAAAGGGGTGGTTTTGAAGTTATGGCACTTTGAATTTTGGACATACAGTACACTTCGATTTATGCTCGGCTAAACTTTACGTAGATTATTTTAAACACTAAATGTAATGTTTTATGTGTGTTGTAAGACCCTCAAAAACTATTTTCACCATGAAATTCAGAAAATTTAGGCCTAAGCATACTGTAACATATCGTGCGCAGATAATTGGTTACTGTAACACCAGGATCAGCGATTTCTTAAATTTTTTGCAACAATTACCACGGTTTAGAGCCGTGTGTGCCATATGACGGTAGAATCTTCCAAATTCGGACGTCAGCATCACAACGAACGTTCGGTGTACTGTATGATCAAGATTAAAAGTACCATAACTCCAAAACCACCCCTTTTATTTTCCTAAATTTTTGATATGTTGTTACATACATGTCAAAGTATTTTTGAGAGGTTTCAAAAGTTGAGACAAGTAGAATGCCGAAAAGTTATATTGAACATGGTATCTTGACATTTCCCAAAGTAGTCGAAGACTGCATCCTACGAAAAAAGTGTCAATTACAAAAATGTTCCTCATGGTGGAAAACCTACATTAGCAAGGTTTGCGGCTGTTCTACGCCGATTTTAAAAAAAATTAAATTTTGACATACGGTACCGGGAACATTCAAAGTATCGTAACTCCAAAACCACCCCTTTTATTTTCGTGCATTTTTGATATGTTGTTACATACATGTCAAAGTATTTTTGAGAGGTTTCAAAAGTTGAGACAAGTAGAATGCCGAAAAGTTATATTGACCATGGTACCTTGGTATTTTTTAAAGTAGTCGAAGGCTACATCCTACGGCGAAAGTGTCAATTATGAAAATGTTCCCCATGGTCAAAAACGTAAAATAGCGGGGTTTCGTGCTTTTACTCCTTGGGGTTTTTACACACGGACCCAATCTTTCTGAAAATTGTACCTGCCGTAACCCCCGTATACGGTAATTTTCAAAACTAAAAATTCACGCTGACGTTCAGCTATCATAGTACGACAACTATGCAAAATATCAAAAGATTCTGAGTTGGTCGTTTTTTCGAAATGTCCGGCCCTTGTTATGAGAAGCTTCAATCTGTAAAAAACTCTCTTTTAAATGCGTCAACAAGTCGTCACTTGGGCGGTCTTTCACTGTTGTCTCATCCGAAATGTACCCTTGAATCTCTATAATCCGAGTCTAAACCTTTTATCCAAATGGGAACATCTCCGTCAACTTACCAATGTATTACAACATAAAAACAAAACCACGACCATGATCATGGTGATCGTATCATCTGTATCCATGCTCTCGGTGACGGGGATCGGAGACATGGGTTCATTGCCATTCTTGAATAAAATCGGGGAACTCGTTCGATCAGAATGAGTCGAGACTTGGCTGTAAACACTGTAATATAAGTGGTTTGCAACTAATTTATATTCTCCTTGATATTTAATGTATGGCATTTTTAATATTCACCTTAATTTTTTGAGCTTCTGAGTGTCAATACTTTGCTTGACTACAATGAAGGTATTCAGAATGAGTAAGAAGAAGAAAGGCATCAGAGTCATGAGCACCATGTACATGTAGACATTGTAGATGGTGTTTATCGTATAAAACAAGGTGGTGGGGCAGATTTCGATTACAAATTCCTGCAAAATTTTGATTAATTTTGTTATTAGCAGCTAAACTGCTTGTCTAAATCTTCACTTACATCGCTTCCATCCGGTACACATTTCCGGAGATTAAATTGTGGAAAGCGCATGGAATTGTAGAAAATTGAGAGCGCTGCAACGCCTCCACACACTTGGCGAGCTCGTTTTACTGTACAATAATTGTTGCTCATCGATTTCCAACAAACCTGGGAATAAAGCGTCAATTAAAAAAAGGTATAATGATTAGTATTTAGTAATGTTTTGTTATTTTTGAGTCATCGTAAGTATGCAGATCAAAATTTTACATATTATAATGATACTGTCAGCTCGAGAGTGGCGTTATTAACGTAAACAATTGTTTTTTCTTTAGCATTTTTTATTTCCCCAGGAGATATTTACGCAAGAGTCTAACAATACATGTAGCATATTTTTTACCCACTTTTCGAGGACAATTGCCCTCAGGCAGCGTTGGAAAAAGGCCCAGACAAACTCACTGCAACATAACAATCGACGGCGGCGGCTACGGTAAAGTAGACCGACGAAGTTTGAGCCATATATCCGAAAGGGAGCGCGTAAACGGTAGTGTAAGGAGCTTGGGAAAGCTCTTGAATATAGGTGCGAGCAGAGTCAATCCAGAAGATAAAAAGGCCGGTCAGGATGACCAGGAAGTCTGAACATGCAAGGAAGAAGAGATACGTGTTCGCTGAGCTTCGCATTCTGAAATTTTGTATTACTTTAGTCATCAAATATTTCACACTAATTGTAAGCATTCTTATGATACATTTTAAGCTATTCTTGTACTGTAAAAAAATTAAATTGTTGATATTATTGCACTCAAAGCTGACTGAAGTCACCATTTTTGGTTTTTTTACATAATGACTACTCGAAAAAATAAAATTCTTACCGTTTCCTCGAAAAAATAAATACGTTACAAATGTTTGTGACCAGCCCAAAAATGGACAGCCAAGGCAACAAACAGATGATTATAATATAGTTTAACCAAGCGTAAAACGGCGAGTACTCATCCTTCTGTAGGTCCGAACATATACATTCCAAGCTGGAGTCATTCGTTGTCATTGCTGACATAACTCTAGAAGTATCATACTTTGATTACACTCTTCTACTGAAACTAATATAACCGAAAAGTAAATAAAACTACGTAGATCGAAAGTATAAAGTGATGTAAAATAAATATTCAGAGTGCCAGTTATCGTATTGGATGTTCGTATCTTCAACCAAAAAAAATGAAACAAACGTTTATCTTTGGCCAGATCGGCGAAACAAAAGAAAAATAAAATTATAAAGGAAGATGATGAATGCAACAGAACCCAACATGGACATGCTGTTATTATATCAGCCGAAGAAATCTCGAGGAAAAAAGGGAGATCCGAGGTTTGTCCAAGTTTTCATAAACAATCAGCGGTTAATGGGATGGGTTTCTTGAGATTGAGATGGGATATAAAACGGTTAAATGGCAGGTTTATATGAAATCTTATCACTGCCCGGGTTGCTTAGTTCGTAATGGGTTTTTCAGATGAAAACTAAGGCTAACGATAGATGGCTCCATGCAAAAGATACCATGAAATCGAAAATAAAGAAGCGAGTCTTCAAGGAGAAAATTCAAACTACGAACATAAGCTGCGTTTACAACTTTGATTACGCCTATATGATATAATAAGGCTTCACGAATCCAGTAAATCCATTTAGAGAGACCAAGTTCAAAGAATACTTTCTTATTTTCACCATGTCACCAAAAACAAAACGCCCAGTCACCAGTGAATTAAGAATCCCTCACCCACCAGCCCAATTACAAGAATTATTCCTATTACTATATTGTCATAGCATAACCATTGCCGTCAAGAAATTGCCATAACATTGTCACACTTACTGCGGGAAGAAGGGAATGACCGATGCGAAAGTCCTTCGTTCTCTTATCAGCCAATCCATTTGGCTCATCCTAATCAAAAAACGATATTCATATGCAACGGAGACGCGAGAGCGAGGATATTAGATAACGGGCTGCGAATTTAATAGTTTTTTTTTTGGTTTAAATGAACTTTTTTCCGAACATCTCAACAAATATCCCAATATTAATACTTTCTTTTCAATTTTTGACCAAAGAAACAAAAAAGAAGATAAAAAAAGATGAAAATTTGTGTGTATCGAAAATTTGTAAAATACGGCCAAACATGTAACTGTTGGCCAAATCAAAAAAATGAGGTCCATCTACGGTCTTATGATGGTTGCTTTGACCCTTTGGGAGTTAACGGCCGGGGAGCGACGATTGGGGAAACTGAAAAGTATTATTTTCCTTCAATGTATACATATAAGTGTCGAAATTAGGACAACCGATGGCGTTGATTTTGAAAAAGGCCTGGGGAAAAGAATCAAACGATTTTTACCATAGGTAATGTTCTACAAAAAATTAGGACTGGGATCTTTTTCGATGTTTTCAAAAAGATTTATGAAATGTCATCAAAATCACCTCTCATCACCACCACAACATTACCTATGAATGCAACGATTTTGCTGACAAACTCTTTTATCTCGAAGACAAATTTTAATCCCCATAAAGTTTTATCGCTACAAGATATCCACCGTCTTTATGGCCTCCAAACTTTGTGAGGCTATAAAAAGGATAATCTGTAGAGCCTTAAGCTGTTTTTTTGCAATAATTGGAAAGTCGAACGGACCATCACCCACACAAACATTTTTGAATTGTAATAATGTTCGGGAGAGTATGTTAGCCAGACTGGTTTTATGATAAGAAAAAGATTTATGGCCACGCCACTTGTTCCTCCAACGGTGTCCAAAGTCCCAAAAAGAAAAATATTATATTACTTTATAAAGATTTTGACTGACCAATATCGAAAAGGCAAAATCTACAAGCACTGCATAAAAATTATCTACTCATCATTTTTTGTCATCCCATTCACGTAAAAAGTTCTACTAATTTCACAACTTTGTTCTAAAAGTTCAAAAAATACCAAACTTTCAACTCCCTTACTCGAAATGAGTAGACTCGGAATAGCTATTGGTTCTGACCCAAGACCCGGCCCGCCCTCAAATACCTCTCTAAAAGGTTGGAAGGAATTTCTCGGGATTATATTAACTCAACGGATTAGCGGGATCTCCGAATATCGACTTGTTTACGTCGGATCTAAAATTATTCAATGAAATTAGTTTCTGACGCTGTAATTTAAAGTTTTCACAAGAATTTGGAAGTTAAAAGTAGCTATGATTACTATAATCTATAAGAATTGATGAAATTAACAACTTGTGAGGTAAACTACAGTAAATCATGTTGAACAAAGAGAAGTTGAACTTTATATTACTGCAACGCTTTTTTTAAAGTAGCAATGACATCAATAAAATAAAAAAAATATTCAACACTATGAAAGGAAAGGTACTTAATCCGAATACCCGCGTTTAGAGGTCTGTGTCACAGTAAGCAGACAACATGGAAATAAAATGAAGGACATGCGAAACTAAAGACTCAATTCATTTGTATCCTCTTGAGTAGTAGAAGTAAATGTCCTTGCATCCGACATTACCTTTAAAGGTTCTAATTTGGACAGACACTTGAAACGTAATACCTTGAAGTACTAGATATTGTCGAACTAGAATATATTTTACACTACATTGTAAGACAACTTTGCTGTTTGTTACAGTCTTTCTTCCCAAGTAAATTTATTACAACTCTTTGATTTTTTAAATTAAAAACTTTGGTGAGGTACACGCAAAAGAGGCAAATGACACGAGTTGTTATTGTCGTTACAGTAAGTCCCGCCTGTTGATAAATGAGTAGGCAAGGTGGACGATGGCTATATCCCTGCAAATTATACTTCGAGTCGGCATTGTTAATGTACAAAATTATTAGAGACTACAAGTTAAGGGTGATCACTGGAAATTTCATCGAAATTGAAGGGATTTGGTATTTAATTTTGACGTTTCGCGGTAAAGTTGTAGGTGTCTAAAAGATTTGAAGTTGTGATTTGACATTTAAATTTTGAAAAATATTCTGTTTTGTTGCAAACTCTTCAAAAATCGTCATAGCATAAAATTTGCCAATCATTTAAAAAAAATGATTGCTCTACATTGTTTTACATTAGAGTAATTTCTTGTGTCCCAGAACTTTGAGCTCTGAAATTCCAAAGATCATTGAATAGTCGAAGCAAAATTGAGAATGGGGAAGGGAAGGTCGAAGCCTTAAGTTTGGTGTTTTTCAAACCAAATTTGGCCAAATTCATGTCCCATGCGCATATCACTTGAAAAATCAAAACGTGTGCTGTGCTATTTATCGTATAAAATTGTCTAAAAAAAGTAAATACAAGTGTAATAATACGGTCTATGTTATAATTCAAAACAAGCAGTTGACGTTTTACTGTAAAATTGACGTTTTTACTGTAAAATGTAATTGATAAAAATCAAAATATAACTACTACGCAGATAGTTACTGACCAAAGTCTGCTCTCACTCTAGACTCATATATTTAAACATTACAGCGTATGTATATTGCACGTTTACTTTAGTCTTAATAGTTGTCCAAAAATGTGACATTCCCGCGAAAACACGTGTAGAAATTGTTTCCTCTAAATATGCAAATTACCTCAAAGCCCCGAAATTGTTGCCACAAGGCATTAATGGGGGTCAGGAGCCCAAGGAGATGCAAATCTACCGTAATTACAACTAGCTTATGAAAAAGCCCAAAGAAATAGCACAAACGGAGATTTGGGCTAATTTGGGAGACTCCCTATTTTTCGATGGTGCCCTGAGGGTTTTATGAATAATTTCGTGGCCGTTCCTCTTCAAAGGCCCTCAGGGGATCGATCCAACTGCTGGTAACAGTCCGAGATTCCAAAAAACTCTTGGAGTTCAACTTTTTGAAGTTTTTTAGGAATATGAAAAGATTTACAATTTGGGGTTAAAAAATAGGCCGTGTCTACCGGTATCATTTGTGGATGATACTGAAAAGGACTTGCATTTACAAAAACAATTAAATACAAACGTGAAAAGTCAATGCAAAAAAATTACAATCACTGAATAAAGACCAAGGCGATGCAAAATAAAAGATAGGTGAGATTCGATGATTACTTTTAATTTTCGTCGTCTCTTTAAATAGTATGTATATCCAAGTAGACCAATTAATAAAAAAACGAACTCTCATCCTCTTCTCCACTTCCAAGGATAATAAACGAATTCCTTGGCCGACTTGCCCTCAGGAGGAGGAGGCCAAAAATTATGAAAATTCATTTTGGAAGCCGGAAACAATTCGTCTGAGATGTAAACGACGCGTTTGAAGATTGTGACAAATGAATGTCACAGAGAAGAAGACATCTTCAACTGAAACACCCGGCAAGACAAAACACCGCTTAATTAAGGCGCAGCAGACACTGTTTACCATATGAGATCGTTAGGGAAAAATCATAGTCAATTCACTTATTAAATATTTAGAGTAACGCGCTTCGCATTTATATTCTGGACATAATTCGAAAACAAACTCTGTAGCCAATGATTTTGTTCAGAATAATCATCAGGCGGATATTTCAAAAAGATGTAACTCCAGAAATCACTTGCCAAAGAATTCTAATTTTTGATTCGGAATCTTATATTTGGCACACTAATTTTTGCTATGGCTGATGAACCCGGTGCAACATGAATGTTTTTATATTTTGATTCCCATATCTTTTGAGTCCATCTTATTTATCTTTTGCTATGTGCAAGTCCCTCGTTGCTTCTTCTTTCTCCGTTCTAATTGGAGAACAAAATTTTGGTTCTCTAAGGAGGAGAACTCTAAGGATAATTCACACCTAGAAATGCTGAGAAACAATTAATAATACTCATTTTTCAAGAATCAAATATATAAGGAATTATGTCTCATGTTTACAATACATATGCGGTACTCATCCGAGTGTGAGCCATCTTATAAAGAAAAGTAATTTCAAACGCAGCCCAATTGAAGGATTTTGTTGCCTAAGCCTATAGTTTTACATTGCAATAACGATAGCAAAGAAACTTTAGAATAATGTACTAAAGAACTGTATTCCTAGGGATTCAGAAAGGGAATGACAATTTAACTCGGCGGAAAATGAAGGACACCGCTGAAAATGACACTCCCAGACATGACATTGCCAGAGCCTTCGGAGAAAACGAGAAATCTTCCTTCTCTCCAACGTTGGACATATGAGGTTCTCTAGATCTAAAATACAAGGTCAGAGGAGTGCGAAGGGCACCCCGGGGGGAATAACACCCTGCAAGAATGCCCTTTGCAATTGTTTTCTTGAAAGGGTCATTCTAACCCCGTCTTCTATTATCTACCGACACAAACAATGTTCTCATCGGATATTTTCTCGTTAGAACACCCCAAGTACGTCAAAACGATCCACCCTCACCATTGGCAACCTTTGTTATCCGATACTCCAGAGTAAATACTTTCCCCAACTTTCGACTTTCAATTAAAGTGATATCCGGTCGAATTAGGAAGCCCATTTTTGGAAGTCGAGCCCGTTGAGCGTTCAGCTAAGGCGCAAAGAAGTGAAGAAGCAAACTCCGTAAACCTTGACTTAACCGCCAATCTTTTTTTGCCCGAACAATGGGACCATACCCGGAATCATTCACCGTTTCTTCCACTCGGCCACATTTCGAGAATCGGTCCCAAAGAATGATGTTTTTTCTCTACATATTAGACAACAAAGAACCGTGTTATCTTGGATTTGACACATCAAACTTTTGACAAAATAAAAAAAAAAGAAATATAATTATAGTAGAAGAGGGTAATGAGGAAGAATTCGAAGGCTGAAGACGCCATTATTTTGTTGACAAATACTTCATCACGGGCAAGTCGGATCCCGATGAAAAATGTTTTTTGTGCAAAAATTAGGTTAAGCACCGGGAATCCTTTAAAATGCAGGAAAACGGGACTTGATAGAGGCACAATGGTCATATTGAAAACACGAAAATTTAATTCCATGAAGCATCTTGTTATTACGTGTGTTTCGTGAATAACAAAAGAAAGGTCATGGAGAGCGATGACCAAAGTTAAAGGTCAAATATCATATACATCTCTGATGCTATTACTACATCTGAATTGCCACCTTGAACCTTTAGATAGACAAAACGAGCGCATTATACAAAACGCGGCTACTGTAATTGATCATATTTACCTAGGGTTTGTATTGGAAACAACCCAGAATGACTAAAAATCGAATTGGATTGCATCCCATCACGCTTAGCACCCTCTCATTAGGGATCAAATTTGCCGATTAAATGATCGAGCAGACCAATTACTTTCGGCCGCTTCTTGTTTCCTCTTATATCCAAAAAATCGGGGCCGAAAAATCGAAAAAATCTTTTGAAATTTTACTTAGAGTCTAAAAATACGGTCATGTGGCGCCCGGGAAGAGTTATGTCTGTTATTCCCCGGAGGCCAACGGCATTTCGTCTTATCAGCGGGCCCTCTTAATATCACCACCACCTTGATTTTATCGGCCCTCTCACCTGTCGACATCTTTCGGCTTCTTTTTTGCCTACTGGTAATTAATTTGCGACCAACTTAACAAACTTTTCATTATCCGCCTTTTTTATAGCTTTTTTTTGCAGTTCGTAGTGATCGATTAGCTGCCGAACACCTTGGGGGGAATGATACAATCGATGACATCAGGAAGTTGCCTCACAAATCACCATGTTTACGTAAAGGTGGTCGGAGTAACGGGCAAAGTTGACCAGCCACAGCGACTTGTTTTCATAAATTAGTTGACTTGTTTAGCAATTTTTGAAATAAGATCGTTCTAGACTATGACAAACCCAATACCGTAAAACAATTTAAAAAAATGTTTCCGTCTCACTTTGTGGCCATTTTTAAATGTGCCCCTAATCTCTCGTCGATATCTCAAATCAGTCTTATGTTTCCTGGTCTGCGAGCACTGGGAGTACATACGAAGCGCAGTGTTGAAGAAAATCTTCAAAACGGCGATTCCCTTAGGGCCTGTTGAGAGGTCATCCGTACCAGAAATCTCAAAGACAAATTCAAATTTAAGTCTCAATTTAAGGCACAAAGGAAACGACGCAGAAAACATCTCAGAACTGATGTAAGTTCAAACGGCAAGTGGAAAAAGACACGTATGCGGAAGGTGAAAGTACAATCAGGAAGTTCTTGTCGGCCTAAGTAACTTTATCTCCGTTTCGCAGAAGATGCCACCCATTGAGAGGGAGAACATGACAATATGTCATCTGTCGGCAAGATTTAACATTAAATATTTGTCAAAACTGCCGAGGCTGTCTAACAAACATTATATCGTGAGATTTGCCATCTCTGTGGTTTGCGCAATATTCTTAAACTTGGAAATCACCTGACTCATAAATAACATAAGGACGTTTTTACTCGCTGTGCACTTTTACTTCAGATGTTCCAGACTCAAGTCCTTGCAGTTAATGGTCCAATGATTACTGTGTGAAAACAAAAACAAATATCCCGCGGATTACCCCACTAAATGTTTTCCAGAAACTGGGCCCGAAGACCTTATTTTAGTCCAGAACATTAAACTTTTTTGAGGAAACGAGTATCAAACATTACCCAACCCATTCCCTGGGCCTTCGATTCAAAGTTGGGGCCATAAAAGCCAGATCCCGAAAGTTTTTTCATTGTGTTTTAATTAAAGTGTGACTTCATTTAGATGGGCGCCCTTAGGGCCGTCTCATGAATATTTCTTGGGTTATTAAAGACGACCCGAACTTCTCAAAGCTTTTCCATTGGCATTTGCTGAATACGGAAGAATAACGAAATTTGTCGCAATTATATGACAAAGGAAGGAAGGCGTGCAAAAATCAGTAAGAAAAAAGAGGGAAGTGCTCAACTTACTGCTCTTGACGCATTCCAACAAACTTTGTTGATACCATACAATATCAAATTTTGTCATCCGGTTTTTTGCCTTCTTCAAAAAAAGTGTATGGAAAGTGCATCAAATGATACGATTTTTTGGGTATGGTGTTAGACCGTTCCACAGTATTTCTATGCCCAATTTCAACGTTCTAGGCCCGGCAGTTCCCGAGATCCAGGTGGAAAGAAAATTTTGGCGACCAGTATACATATCCAAACTTTGTTGCAGATGAGCCGAGGTGTATATTAAACAAATTTAAGAAAAATTATCCAGCTATCTTTTTATAATATATCGCAAACAACTTACTATTAGTGGTGAACGACTTTCACGCATTTCTCATCCCTCATTTATGAATTATTATCAAAGAGTCACCGATATTTTATGCTAATAAAATTTATCTAACCGACAAAAGTTCAACAATCAATTATACATATATAAATACAACACAACAAAGATAACATTAAACTTACAATAAAAAAAAGTTAATTGGCTTTGAAATAGTCAGTAATAAATGTATTATTCTTAATTTTCATTCCCATCTTCAGCTTCTTTTTGGATCCACTTCCATTCTCATCAGAAATCTTCCTCTTCTTTGCGTTGACAACTGGTGCCACTGGCTCCTTATATTGTTCTTCCCGTCTCAATGGAGCCACCACTTGAACTGGCCGAGGAATAGGTGCCATTGTCCTTGCGGGAACAACGATCACCCGGGCCCTGCGTCCATCAGAAAGTACCATCGCCTCGGGCTGGGGTTGTGGAAACCGGGGGATTGGTCGCAATACAGGTGGACGCAAAGGCACCATCATTGGATGACCTTGATTAAATTCCTGAGGTGCTGACTGATAATACGGTGATGGCTGATAATACGAAGTAGGATATACCTGATAAACTGGTGGAGGAGCATACAAATGCATAGGACAACCTGCAAAATCAAGGGTAAGAAAAATCATAAACAATGATTAAGAATGTTTTGTGCTAAAATCAACAGAAATTGGTAAAGAAACTTACGCTCAATCCTTCCCAAAACTTCTTCGGCCGTGTTAAAGGCTTTGCTACACGATGCAAGTAGTTCAGAATCCTCAACCATCGCTTCAACGTTCTCCGTGTGAACATCTTCTATCGCCTTCTTCAATCCGACCATCAAATTATTCATTTCAGCCTTTCTTTTGGCTTCAACGATGGCGTAAGATAATTGCTAAAATCGGGTAAACAAAGTTACTTCAAAAATATAATTCGAAAAGAAAAAAATGTTAATATAAGAATCCAAAATGTGTATGTACTTACCCTTGAAGCAGCAGCTCTTTCAATCCCATAGTTAAAACCGTTCACAAAAACCGATGACATTTCGTACTTGAGGTAACGGCTAACAAATTAATAGAACAAAGTGACCGGATTTTTAGTTCCGTTCAGAATAAGCAGAAAGAAAGGTTTGTTGAATTCCTGCTTACTTATTGCAGAAATTTCCGCTGATCCCGCGTTATAGGCAGAAAAAATTTACAGCAGAGATTACGTAAGAATATGGCTTCAATTACAAGCGTAATTGCCATTGTTATTGATCTGAAAATGTGTTTCATAGCATTTGACGACCTCTCAATTTTATCCTCAGCTCTCGGCCTTCACTAACCCTCTATGTCCTCTATTTACTCTTACATCCGGCCTGATTGCAAACTGTTTATTCAGGTCATTCCAGCGGGTCCTCGACGTCACCTTGCCCGGAGGAGTTTTTTTCCGTCTTTTTACTTCCTGCTGCGCGAGTTGTGGGTCATTAATTTGTTTGACCGGTCCATTACAATACTCTTTTTCCGCGCGCGTCTATTATTAGGGACGAAACAATCGTTTAAGCCCCGAGGCAAACGGATCATCGGAGGAAAAAGGGGGCTGGGAGAAGGCGGAGGGAGCCGGCTGGCCTCATTCCGACCGGCTCTCCGTTTCACTGGTCCAATTTCCTTAGCCCGCGGTCATTCGGACGGTTTGAGGAGCTTGTCCATTATATAGATAGTTTGTTTTTGTGTGTCCCAGTCTTCCTTCGCCATGTTTTCTCGATCACTCCTCTTCTTACTGGTCCTAATGGCAGTTTTGATGGTTATTGATGCCCAAGAAGCTTGTGTCGATCGAGGTGGTAACTTACGTTTGAATATTAAACTTTTTGTATTGCTGTCTAATTTACTTTTATATTAATAATCGACTAAAATTATAGGCCAATTCTGCGATAAGATGCGAAAGTTCTGCAATGATGCCAAATACCAGACCCTAATCAACAAAGAATGTAGGGCTACATGTGGAAGATGCTGATGAATCTCTGAACTTTACATTATCTGTACATTTGGGTAATCCGCTTTAATAAATAAAATGTAATCAGTGGAGGTATAAGGGATCACAATCAGATTTCCAAACTTTTCTCATCAAAGGCCTTGGGGTTGGTGGTGGGATAACATTTCCATTCGTATTCTTCATCTGAAATAAGACATTTTATAATCATAACAGTTTGGTTCAGACAAATATGCGCCTTCTAACTAAGTTCTTACGTGTTGGTTTCTTATTGTTTTTGACCGTCCGTCCTTCAGTAATACTCAAAGCGGAGAAGTCCCCAGTGTCCACCTTCTCTTCCCAATCGTAGGGCATGGAGAAGTTGACATTCAGCCGTTTCATGGCGGAGGTGAACTGAAAATAACAAAATTAAATACTTTATACTTTACTTAACAATTACTAGATGTCTAACCATCTAAAATCAACTTACAGCATCATAAATCAATCGATAATTAGGACGTTTTTCGTAAGTCAACTCCTTGAGGTGATCGGTAATCTTGTTGAACTCCGGCGGGCATTTCTCAAACAACTTCTCGCACGAAGTGTTCATCTTGATATCCTTCAACGGCGATTCTTCTGTCTCCTTGGACCATGGTAGACCCACCAACAATTCGACCAACATGTACATCAGAGACCAGAGATCGTCCACTCGACCCTGTTCTTTCCGTTCATGAACTTGAAGAGAGCAATAACGGAGAGTTCCTCGAAGAAGGACCTTGTTCCTCGCTTTTCTCAAGGTCAACTTCCCATCAGGGCCCTGCATGATGAAGGATCTGACCATTCCATAGTCGATCATGAAGATAATCCGGGTGTCGTACCCGCTGACTCCGATCACCATATTGCCCGGCTTGACATCACGATGGACATAGCCAATCTCGTGGAGCTGTAAAGAATCCACAGTAAACCATACACAACAGTAATAATAACTAAATCTGTCTTTTATATCAATCATCATAATTGTTATACCTGTTTGATGGCATAAAGAGCGTGGACTCCAATGCGGACTGTAGTTTCAACAGAAAATCGATTGTCAGAATGCTTGAACATGGACTTTTTGTCGGTGTCAACCCTCTTGAGAAACATCAGATCAGGTCCGCATAAAGTCATCACAATGAAAGAATAAGACTTCCTTTTCCCGGCGTGCAGAAGGCGAATACACTTCTTCCGGGAACTCAACTTCTTCAGAACTTCGGCTTCCAACTTCAGCACTCCCCCGTCTTCAATGTTGTTCGACTCGACCTAAGATCAACCGTAACCCATAAAAAAAATTTTTCACTGGACACGAATGTATCAGAGTCTAAATCGAATTACCTTTAATGCAGCTCTGTATCGAAGGCGATTAGGATCGGCGACTTCGTAGACCGCTCCACAGCCTCCGGCACCCAGCTTTTCCATGACCTTCCATCGACCACATACGACCTGAAAGCAAAGGATGTATATAATTTCAATGTAAAATGATGACTAGAACATCAAAAAAAAATAAATAAATAAACAACCTTGCCAATCTTGAACTCCACTAACTCATCTCCCATTTTGAAGAACAGAGATGGGCCAAGACGAAATACAACCGCTTACAATGAGCTCGGCGTCTAAAATAAAGTGAGAAGAGCGGCCAATTGCCAAAACTACCGTAAAATTGCACTTGTCCTTTTGCATTTTCTATTTGAGTTCTTTATTTTTAATAATTTTTGAAACGGTTGTGTGACAGTATATCATACAGTATCATCCCAAACTTCCTGCTTTCGTACTTTGGCCCGTCATCAACGCAAAAATTTCATTAGTTATTTACGAACAAACAGAACATAGAGTAGATTGTTTTCTGGTAACATATCAACTTTTAATCAGGATGTTGACAAAGAAATAAATAATTACTGGAAGTTTGCATGGACAGATAACGACGATTTCATTAGGTTCTTGACATTCACTGACCAAAAATTATTTTTAACTTGGTAGGTTTCATGTCTGTCTTTCAATCATTCCAAGCTTATGCAATTTTCCGGTAACTACTTCTAACTACTTTGAATAACTTTTGGAAGTCAAAGTATGTCTGGAACTCGATGAAAATCTCTGTAAACACCCACAGTTTACTCTGTTTTAACCTTATCTAAAAAACCAACGGTTCAAGTACTTAAAATGCATCTTTGCAGTAAGACTGACCTTCCATAAACAACAATCTCCAATTTTACCGTCTTCGTTCTCATCGAAAAACACCTTTTTATAAACATTTAATGAATCTCTCTTATTACATCTTGCTGTATAAACATCTGCTTTTCGAACTCTGTCTCTCTGCAAGACCACGTGTTTCAGATTTAATTTTGCGAGAAAAGAACGGCCAAGGCTCCCTAAGGGCATGGAACTTTCTTCTTGTGGACGCCGAATTCCCTCCGAATACGTGCTTTTGTTCCGGTTCGCGGGCTGTTTTGGCGATGGAAGTGGTATCTATCTATCAGCCGCGATCTTTTTTTCTGTTTTCGATATTAAAGATTCAAAACAACCGCAAAGGCCTCGTGGCTCTTTTTTATACCAAAAATACTGATCTATTAGAGCTACAAGGAACCGTCTTTTAGGCCAATAGGTTGCAATCTTGATCTCGAGTCTTTAATTTTCATTTTTTGCAGATTTATCCCTCCTTTTTCACGTAGAATCAACCCGTTTCTCCTACAAAGTTGATCGTTCTTTGGAACGTTCATTGAACTTTTTGATGCGAACCACGAGGCGAAGGGGAGGAGTCTCGTTTTATGGGTGAAGAATTTTGGAAAAGAGTTTTTTGCTGAACGATGTACTTCGTTGGCACCCAAACAGTTTGCTTGTTTTGGTAAAGTTTACATTATCAGAACCGTGCTCTAAGGTTGGGGTTACAAAAATTATTCATATAATACTTTGAAAGAATTATTGAAATGATGACATTTGTTACTTCAAAGCAACAAATGTTTAAATTTCCGATGGTTTTTGATCGCAAAAAAGTCAAATTAATTTATAGAGCATTCTTTGAATTACACTTGCCATAACGAGAGGATACAACTACTTTTAATCGGCTCTTATAAAAAACGTGTTTTAAGTCTGCTTATGATTCGACTCGTATTTTAGACAAGCCAAAATGTCGGCCTCTCGATTTTCACTTCTTGCCCGGAGGCTATACATTTCCACCAACAGTCATCTCAAAATTAACAAAGATACTAAAGTAAGCGGAATCGTTTTTAAATAACTTTAACGATTCTTCAGGTAATTATTCAAGGAATAACTGGTAAGCAAGCGACTTTCCACGGTATGCAAATGATTGAATACGGAACGAATGTGGTCGGAGGGGTATCGCCGAAGAAAGCGGGCAGCCAGCATTTGGGAAAGCCAGTGTTTGCTACGGCTAAGGTGAGTCACGTAGCGTAATATGCGGGAATAGAGGGTAGCAACAGCATACTTTTTTGCTGTATGTATGATACAATTTAAATTTCAAATCCTTAGGAAGCCCGTGAGAAGACCGGAGCCGATGCTTCGATCATCTACGTCCCGGCTCCATTCGCCGCTGACGCCATTAATGAAGCCATTGACGCAGAAATCCCTCTTGTGGTATGCATTACCGAAGGAATTCCGCAACTTGTAAGTTTCACATCGCGAGTTTTCATGTTTATAAAAACAAAATCCCCTTTTTGAATGTAGACATATGTACTATGTATTTTTTCTGTTTAGTCGTTTATCCTATGACATAAATTTTAAGAATTTTGTTTTCTCGGAAAAGTGCAAAAGTTGGGATAGGGTTCTGATGGAAGGTCACAAAATCCCCCGAACTGTGCAATTGAAACTGATTGTGGGCTTGAGTACTTGAATTAGGTATGGAACCAAGTGCGAGGGACGCTTAAAATTTAAAAAGTCAAAATACCAAAAATTGAGCGGACCTAATTTCTGGCTGATTATTAATTTCAACTTAAAATTACTTCCAGGACATGGTCCGAGTGAAATCCCGCCTTCTAAAGCAAAACAAAACCCGTCTTCTTGGTCCCAACTGTCCCGGCATCATTAAACCTCAACAATGCAAGATGGGAATCATGCCTGGAGATATCCATAAGCCCGGATATATTGGAATTGTCTCCAGATCGGGGACTCTTACCTATGAGGCCGTTCAACAGACAAGTGATGTTGGGCTTGGGCAGACATTGGTAGTCGGAATTGGAGGCGATCCATTCAATGGCACTGACTTTGTTGATTGTTTGAAAGTAAGGGTTTAATCTTTTTTGATATGGTAAAAATATACTGACTCAAAAAAATTTTTTGGCCCGCAACCTGTGTCATCATTTTTTCAGATCTTCATTGCGGATCCCCAAACCCGAGGGATCGTAATGATTGGAGAAATTGGAGGGCAAGCCGAAGAAGAAGCGGCCAAATTCTTGAAGGAAAACAACTATGGAGACGATGCCAAGCCCGTGGTCACTTTTATCGCTGGATTAACTGCCCCGCCAGGCCGAAGAATGGGACACGCCGGGGCTATTATTTCCGGCGGAAAAGGAGGAGCCAAGGAAAAGATCGCGGCACTAAAGGAAGCTGGGTGCTCGGTGGTTGCATCACCGGCCAATCTGGGCGTTGAAATGGCGCGATGCTTGGTTCATCAACATGTCAGACGGACCTCTACGATCTAATCCATGAAAATACGTGTAAATAAATTAAACATGCAACAAGTTAATTAATAAACATTTATCATATTACCTAATACGTTCACAATTACTTTACCCCACAAAATACGCCGATCCCAGTCGTAGAACTACGCAATCAAACCATTTCGCAGTCAAAAATACTGTAAGAGGAATAAAATTTTATTTCCGGACCTAGTACAATATCGAGAAATCAGACCGATGCTTCTAGCGATCGAAACGGGCGGGGAAACGGCCATCGGAACGGAGTTCTTCCCATTTGGCAACCCAGAACTTGGGGCAGATGTCTGAGTAGACGTTCTTGAAGAACACACAGGGCTTGTAATCCTTGCCCATCAGCTCTTGACAACGATGGAAATCGACGTAATAGGCGAAGCATTGACGCTGTTTGCGTACTTGAGGGAATCGGGCATCGTATGGAGCCGCCCAGGCAAGCTCGCTCTTCGATTTCTCATTCACGCTCCGACTGAAACAAGTAAATGCAATGTCTTCGTTAAATTTATGAAGATGATAAACACCTAAAAGTAGAAGAAAATACAAACTGACTTACGAGAACCAATCGGGAGACTCCGGATTACGCAGTGGCTTCTTCAACGCCGTTTTCTTGTCCAAACGCTCGGAGAAAGTCTTCGGAACAGTGAGCGACGACATCTTGACGACCAGTCCAACGAGCCAAATGATAGAATAACCTCACTTTGCAATCAACAACTCTCATTTTTGCACGAAACGTTCTATGAGAAAGTGTTGCCAAAATTTGCATAAAGAAAAAATGGCTCATTGGGTCAAGTTTTTTGTCTGTCGCACTCCAAATTATCTATTATATTTCCTGGTATCCGTTGGTACAATTTTTGGCATTGTGTTGCAACCCGGGTTTGGACATTTTTGAAAAACGCCTTTTGTACCACGAAGGACGGAAAGGTCCGCTGTGCGGAAAGGTCCGCTACGCGGAAAGGTCCGCTGTGCGGAAAGGTCCGCTAAAAAAACAGAGGAGGGCGGGGAGGGGGAGGTTTTCGAAGGCGCAGATTTCGAATATCGTATCCATTTTTTTCTGAATTTTACAATTTTGCTTATGCAGTAGTGTTAACTAGTAATTTTAAAAAAAATTTTTCCTTTTTGTACACGGCTTGCCCAAATGGAGAAAAAAACGTCCAAAGAAGAATTAGCGACATTTTATACGATGAAACATTTCTAATCTTATTTTATGTCAGAATGAAAGCAGAACTGTCAATATTGATAGGAATTGGTAGAAAACCCATTTTACACCAACGCGCACATACCACAAAAATATCATTTTTGGACATTAAATTTAATGAATTTTGGTAAACATGGATAATACGTGGATGTTGCCTGAAAAGGATGCTTGAGAATAGGCTTTGTTTGATAATAATAGTACACAAACTTTATTCGTCAATATCGGCCACTCTGACTTACCTATGCGCGAATACTATACTTGCCACGAGCCAAGGGGTTAAATTTCATGACTTTGCCTGTGAAATCTCACAAAATCTATCAAAAAGCTTAAAAATTGCAACGAGTATATCTGTCATTATTAGTACTTATCGTAATCTTCTATTTCGAAGCAAACCGAGCCTTGTCCCCCATCAAATATTTTCGATATTGATGTATGCGTCAACTGTATCAATTTTCGGTTGTGTCCGAACAGTGCACCTGAAACAAACAGTGCACCTGGCTGAACGGGGCACCTGAGCGAACGGTGCACCTGACACATTTTGAACTGTGCACCTGGGCGAACGGTGCACCTGGGTGAACAGTGCACCTGGGCGGACTTCGGGACTGGGAAAAGGATTTTTTTGGAAAATTTTAATAAAATTTGAAATGTTTTCGCTTCGGGACTGGGAAAAAGGATTTTTTTGGAAATTTTTTAAAAAATTTGAAAGGTTTTCGCTTCGGGAATGGGAAAAGGATTTTTTAGGAAAATTTTAGTAAAATTTTCAAAAGTTTTCGCTTCGGGACTGGGAAAAAGGATTTTTTTTGGAAAATTTTAATAAAATTTGAAAGGTTTTCGCTTCGGGACAGGGAAAAAGGATTTTTTTGGAAATTTTTTAAAAAATTTGAAAGGTTTTCGCTTCGGGACTGGGAAAAATGATTTTTTTGGAAAATTTTTAAAAGTTTTGAAAGGTTTTCGCTTCGGGACTGGGAAAAAGGATTTTTTTGGAAAATTTTAATAAAATTTGAAAGGTTTTCGCTTCGGGACAGGGAAAAAGGATTTTTTTGGAAATTTTTTAAAAAATTTGAAAGGTTTTCGCTTCGGGACTAGGTTCGACCGGGGGCCCCCGCCAGGCCCCCAATCGGCCCCCACTGACTAAAATTCCCAGTCTCAAAGCGAAAATTAGGGTTGCCAATAAAAATAAAACGCAGAGCCAAGAACCGATTGGGTTTTTTGAAGTATTTTAGGCAATGGTTGGTAATTTTTTGTTTCAAAAATTTATTGTCGATTGTTATAACAAAAAAATGGGGACTAAGGTACTACAACTCGCCAGCCCAGTTCAGCCCCCCTGGACCCAGTATAAACCCCCTCGCCCAATCTGAAGCGCCTACTCGGGATTGGGTTCTCTCGGCTACGATCATCGTTGCCTGAACCACAAAAACGAATTTGGACGGTAACTGGGGCTTTGAAACAAAACGCCTGGGGTCATTTTACTCTAATTTGCATTTTTTGTATAATTCTAATTTTTTAATTACGGTGGGTGTGAAATGGGCAAAACAGTGGGGGTTTGAACTACCTTTCGTGGGGAGCTGAACTACCAAAGCCCCAAAAAATGTGTTATATCTCGCAATGAATGCAGTATTTATATAATATTTACAGTTCGGCCCCCTGTCGGCCCCCGGCCCGGCCCGGCCACCTGGGGGCCGGGCCGGGCCGGGCCGAGAAAATTTGAAGGGGGCCGGGGCCGGGCCGACCTCTTCCGGCCCCCGGGCCGGGCCGCGATTTTCGGCCCGGCCCGGCCCCCCAGCCATGTCTACCCTGTCCCGAAGCGAAAACCTTTGAAAACTTTTAAAAATTTTACAAAAAAATCCTTTTTCTCTGTCCCGAAGCGAAAACCTTTCAAATTTTATTAAAATTTTCCAAAAAACTCCTTTTTCCCTGTCCCGAAACGAAAACCTTTCAAAACTTTTAAAAATTTCCCAAAAAAATCATTTTTCCCAGTCCCGAAGCGAAAACCTTTCAAATTTTTTAAAAAATTTCCAAAAAAATCCTTTTTCCCTGTCCCGAAGCGAAAACCTTTCAAATTTTATTAAAATTTTCCAAAAAACTCCTTTTTCCCTGTCCCGAAACGAAAACCTTTCAAAACTTTTAAAAATTTTCCAAAAAAAATCATTTTTCCCAGTCCCGAAGCGAAAACCTTTCAAATTTTTTAAAAAATTTCCAAAAAAATCCTTTTTCCCTGTCCCGAAGCGAAAACCTTTCAAAACTTTTAAAAAATTTCCAAAAAAAATCCTTTTTCGTTGTCCCGAAACGAAAACCTTTCAAATTTTCTTCAATAATGCACAAAAAAACTTTTTTCAAGGTGCACCATTCGCCTAGGTGCACTGTTCAAATAAGAAAATGTCAGGTGCCACGTTCAGCCAGGTGCACAATTCACCCAGGTGCCACGTTCAGCCAGGTGCACAATTCACCCAGGTGCCCCGTTCAGCCAGGTGCACAATTCGTCAGGTGCACCGTTCGGACCGAATCTCAATTTTCGGGGGTAACTGAATATTTTTGAATGATTCAATGTTGAAAGTTGTCTTCAATTGAAAAGACTAGCTAATAAGTGTCATATACACCCTGCATTACCTTACACTAAGGCTTATTTTATAGAATTTACGAAATTTGTAATTTCCAGATATTGAGCTTGCCTAGTGGGAAACGTTGAACATGGTCAAAACCTCGGTTTAGAAAGCTGAAATTTAGACCATATAGGCATCAGGCGGTTTTCTGTGGAATTGTAGATGCATTTTTCAAAAATCAGACATCTTACCTTTTTGTGGCAAGTCACATTACATACCTATTATCATCAATATTTACTTTTGATAAAATTGGATTAAGACGAGTCCAATAAGCACCCATAAGCATGTTTTGATGTTTTTAGAACTAGAAAATTGTTAATCGACCTTCTTCCCCACACGGGGATCGCTAACCGATGGAATTCAAAAATACGAAATATCATCTTAAATCAATGGGAAACGTTGAAGTGTGTCAAAAAATTGACTCAGAAGTCTGAAAACTTGTGTACATTTCCTTCGATAGGTTTATTGTGGAATTGTAGATGTTTTTTAACGAAGTCCATTATTTGACTGTGTTATGGGATATTGTACATGGGGACCTGTTTGTCACTTTTTTACAAATTTCGACATAACTTTTGTTTTCTCATTCCTGAAGCTGTAAAGAGTATCTAGCCTATTAATAGACTAACAACTGTGTTAAATAACACAAAGAAACCAACAAATTTGTGGTTTTTCAAAGAGAACTGGAGCTCCACAAGTAGGCAATGCTCCATTCGCAGTGGGAAACGTTGAAGTACCCCAAAAAATTGTCCACGAAAATTTTTTTGGAGCATCATCTGCAACGTCTCCATGGAATTGTAGATGGAATTTTGTTCACTTCGCTTCTTCGAATATATACATGTTGTACAAGATACATCAAAATTGCTGATATTGAGGGGCCCATATTTCCCGATGCAGAAATGGCAACGATATGAATAATAGCTTAAATAGATGACAGACATTCAAAGAAAATAGTTATCAAGATTGTTTTATGTGATAATAAGCGCTTTGTACTTTTTGAGCATCAACTCTAAGGGGCACTTCTCAGCAATTTTTCAAGGATAGGGCGCGAGCTGCGAAGGCCGTGTCCGTTTTTTTCTCCGATTTTAGTCTATTTGGGCAAGCCGTGTGTAAGAGACATTAATGTGACAATGCATTGCAAATGAAAAACGAAGGGTGTTGAGCATAATTTTTTCTTTGCTGTTCTTTCGTAATTGTATGAATTTATTAGATCAAAATGGGTTATCAACGAGATTTTTTATTACCTTTATGGTTTAAAGAGCCCACATTTCTTGTTCGTCTCTGGATACGCTTTGTCCAGCCTTCGCAGATATCTATCAACCACTCGTAGATAACTTGGTTCCCAACTTCGAACTCCCTTTTTTTCTGCATTTGATTGTCCTGTCTTCACTCCAATATGCATGGTAAAAAGATCGTTTACAACGGCGAATTTGAAACCTGCTCTGCATGTCTCGTAGCCAAGCTCGGTATGGCCTCGGTTTGGATAAGGAAAAGATTCATCGTGAAGGGGGACGGCGAGGGTATCGCCGACGAACTGGGGCTCCCATTCTCCGTTATTATAGTCCACTATCTATAATAAAACGGTAGAGTAAGCAGATCGAAGGCAATTTTTGGTGATTTCTACTACGAAGGAGTGGTAGTTTTACCTTGAATATTGAGGTCTCGTTTTTGTCCTCCGGCACTTGGAACCATTCGTCGACGAATGGAATTGAATGCCCTGCGGGGTAAAAGTTCTTGTGGAATTCTAATGCATATTCCAACTTGTACAGTTCCTAAGAGGATGAAACAATTCTGTAATCAACCTACGAATAATTCAGTCTTGCTTTTGGGCAGTTCGGCTGCGTCAGCGATCTCAAATCGGCGATGAACTAGCACCATTTTTTGGCCTTTCCTGAAAGCTGGCGTTGGTTAATCTCGGCAAAATTGCGTAACATTGTGAATGTCTCACTGAAAAGTCTTACTCAATAAGTTCTTTCTGCGCCAATTTCCTCATTCTGGGTTCATAATTGTTTACGGGAAGGTTTTCGGTATCGCAAGACAAAAACAACCTTGACTTCGCCCCCAATCTGGCCACATTTCTCGCCGTATTCACTGGATAATATGGAGTTGGTCTTGATTTGGGGAAGAGGAAGGTTAGATAATCCTGAAAAGACATTGCTAATCGGAGATCCTCGTTATTTTCTCTTTGTCTGACCTTCATATTACCTCATCTCGAGTCATTTCCCAAGCATCCACGATGATTTCCCCGCATGATCCGAAGATGGGTCGCTCGTAAAACAGGTGAATTCCTACTTTCCCTGAGAGTCTCGACTTCTCCAACAATTCGATTTTGGATAATCCGTCCTGAAGTTTGATTTCTGGCTTTATGTTTGCATAGCCATCTCTTTTTTGGCAAACCGCTTTCCGAAACACAAGATAGAAACTAGTTTTCAAAATAGAACAAAACATACCACAAAGGTCTTGGAAGCAAGTTTGGTGCCCATTTGTGAGGGCGATGGCATCAGAACGCCCACGGAGATGGCTCCACTCCACACTCCGACCTGAGAGTTTGTGATTTACAAGGAAAGTACTTCTATGGGGTGTGGAGTTACAGGTCGAGATATATATCAAAAAATTCGCAAAAATTTTCTGATTCAGAATGTATAAAAATTAGCTGCCTAATTTTGGTCTGATGACATGTTTTTGTCCTCAGAAGTTTTCTCGCGACACCATGCAAGTGTCTTTTTGGCCGCGTTTTTACCAATAAAAAAATTTTATTTTGTGCTAAAATAAATTCTGAAGCCTTGACAAGCCTTAAAATATCAAATTTGATTACAACTACACTTAAAACTAGTTCCAATGTAAAAAATGGGTTCTCGTGTGGCAAAAGGAATCGAACCCGTTCCCCTCGGATTTCCAATCTGGCGCTCTAACCACTCGGCCACACCGCTCTCTTCCGAAGGAAGAGACCGAGCGCGCTTTTGTTGCCGCAGATTTTTTTCCTCGAGAAATACATTTATTGATAAAACTCGTAGGTAGACAAAAATTAGGCAGCTAATTTTTATATATTCCGAATCAGAAAATTTTTGCGAATTTTTTGATATATATCTCGACCTGTAACTCCACACCCCATAGAAGTACTTTCCTTGTTAAATTGGTTCGAACTTACGTGCTCTTCCAAATATTCGACAAAAGGCAAAGTTGCATGTAATGTTAAGGTCACCGTTTCATTATAAATTGAGTCGACTGGCCAATAATCGTATATTACGCAGTAATCGTCTCTATAAGGCTCGGAATTGATGATAAAGTATCGTTCTACCTGTAAATTTATAATCATTAAGAAACTCGAATCCTTACATCCCGTTTCATGACAAAGTAGACCCATGTTCTGTACAGGAAGCCCAGTATGGTCAAGCACATCACACATCGAATCCATTTCCGATTCTTTTTCGCGAACACCAGTCTAAGGACAAGGCCCACATTGAAGAGAAGATTATCAAATCTCTTCTCAGTCCACTTGTTCATCCTCCAATGCAAACCAAAAGTAGTTGAATTAAGGCTGAGGTTGTCGGACCGGACATCTTAATCTCGATAACCAACTAAGTAATCGAGTTCTTGAAATCAGATATCCAAATCCGAGGAGATGAAGAAGAACGTCTATCTCTTATTTGGGAATCTCATTGTGTCTGTGCTGGCTTTATTAGTACAGATTGAGAGCTGTTTTTGTGTCAACAAATCCTCCAACTCACGGGAAATCAATGGGGTTCCAACAAAATCCCTGTGGTTTACAAATAGAGGGGGTTTTAGAATTTGTATAAATTACCCATCACAAATGTGATGACCGGCCTTTATTTTCAGTGCCGAAATACAATTTTTTGGATGATTCGGCTCGATTTCCAGAGGGCTTGTTTGCGGAGATCCATCTGCAAATCTTGATGTCTCGATGTAGTTTTATTTCTATTCTAAATTGGGCAGAAGTCCACGCTTGTCGCGGACAATTTATATTTATATTGGATGCCCGTTACGGGGGAGTGGGTGCGGAACTGTTTGTGAAGTTTAGTTATTTCAACGGGGGTTGCCGTTTTTCGATTTTGATTATATATATATTTATGACAGTATTTTGGAAGCCAAAAGACGCGCTTACATGTACGGATGTATCCCGGATCTCTTATTTGCTGAATAAATCGTCTTATTTTCATTAGACTGCAAATTCCATACTATCGAGCGCATTTTTGAAACATTTTAAACACGTCGATGTGTTTTTCTTTTGCGCGGATCCTGTTCATTGGTCACATTTGCAGATGCACCATAGGATAAAAGACAAACCGGTGATGTCTTCAATTCTCCAGGCCTTGGTGGGTAGTCAGGACAGCCAAAATTACTTCAACAATCCTCAAAGATCTCAAGCTTTCAGTAAGTAACCAAAGCCACTTCTTCACAGAGATCTACATTTTATTTTCTATAACAGTTTTGCTTCTCTTCAGTAATCTCCAAAATGTTTCTCCAATTCTCCGCAATTTTACTTCTTGGCATGCTGATTGGAAGGCGATTTACGAGTGACAAAAGTTACGTAGTATTTGTAAATAATGGAGCTCAGCATCCCCGACAAAACGGGTCATTAGATTATCCAGACAATACAATTGTCGTGATTACTCCAACTGTTCAGAAACCCGAGAGATTGGGCGATCTCACAATGCAAGTCATACTTTATGTCTCTCATCATTATAAACATCGGTAATTAACTGACAACTTTTCAGGTTATCACAAACTTTAATGCATGTGAAAAACATTCATTGGTTGGTGATTGAAGATGCCAATGAGACTTATCCATTAATCGATAAATTTCTTAAAAAAACTGGGATCAAATACACTTATCTCCACACAACTAATAGAGGACTTCCTTGTGAGAAAAGCCTGAAAATAATATTAATTTCATTATTTAGGTAGAGGATGGGCTCAAAGAAATCTCGCCTTTGAATATCTGAGACAACATCGAAATCAATTTGGGAAGAATGACGTCATCTACTTTGCGGATGACGATAATGCTTACAATTACCGAATTTTCGATGACTACATTCGGAAAGTGACTAGAATGGGCGTTTGGGCTGTGGGTAAGGCAACTCTCTGCTTGACCAATCAACCACTTTTATTGTTTGACTAATATTTTATTGTCTTAGGCACTTCCGGCTCGACCTATGTTGAAAGTCCAGTAGTGGAAGAAGGGAAGGTCGTCGGATTCCATGTAATGTTTAGGCCGGAAAGAAAATATGCCACAGATATGTCGGGATTTGCACTAAATATTGATGTTTTACTCAATTCAAAGTGAGTTTCACGGGAGTTTTTGATTGAATAGATTTAGGAGCGGGTTTATTATCTATTCTTTGATCTTAAATCTATTTTTATGTACATAGGAAGATAATGCCGGACACGACAATTTCTCTTCAAATATTGGGAATTAGTAGAATTCAAAAAATATTACATATACATTAAAAAAACTATGTTAAAAAGCTTTCAGTGCTACCTTCAACTTGCACTGTGCGGGTACTGTGCCGGAAGAATGTTTTCTTCGGCAAGTTAATGTCCCTTATGACCAATTAGAACCCTTTGGTTATGGAACGAGAGAGGACAAAGAGATCTACGTCTGGCATCGACGAACGGCCAAGGCTCATGTTCTGCCTTGGCCGACGAATGGATATGCGATTGAAGAAGAAAAGATTCAGCCGAGATCCTGCGATCGCCTCAGGAATATTAATCATGTCACTTATGAGGAAATCAAGTTGCTATCAGAGTTGGGCGATGACTGAAGAGAAAGATACGTTATAATCGAAAAACTACGGGTGCCTTAAGGATTACAAGGTATGCCGTTTATTTGTACAAAATAGCGTTTCCACTCATTGAAAATACTGAAAATAAAAATGAAATGGTAAGATATTATTGTTAGGCATATGAGTACTGAAATATACATACGTATTTCAAAAAAATTATTTTGATGACGGTGATTGTCTCTTAGACAGTAATTTTCTTCCAGGGCAAACTTCCGTGGCTGACCGAATATACTGAAAAAAATGTAATCATTTTTAATATAATAGTATTAGGTGACGATAGCAAATTAAATTTAACTCACAAGATTGCGTCGAATGTATTCTTTTCTTTTGTCGGTCGAAACAACAAAATAGAATTTGTCGAGACTCTTTTATAGTTATCAAAACAAGTAACGGATTTATGAAGTTCAAGGTGAATAAGCTCAGGTAGAGAACGAACAAAGCTTCGTTTGGGTAAAAGCCGGTGAGAGTAGCGACTTCGGAGAGCAGAAATGGTATTAATGAGAAAAATGTGGGAATTACGGCCTGAAAATGGTCATGGACAAGATTAAAGGAAACACCGACATGTGCATATATAGTCATGGGTTATACACAGAGTTGATAATCCGTACCTGAATTCTCATTGCGTACAAAAGCCTCTCTTGCATACATTTGGTTCTCATTGAAACCGGCTCCGAGTGATGAATGTGGCGAGCCACCGCTGTTGTGCAATAATATATCACCATATACGAAGATACGACCACAATTAGCAACGTTGAGCCCTTTAAATGTTCAATCATCGTCTCCTGAAATTTTAGCAGTAAAAATGAGACAAAGAATCGGTTTCCTTTATAATACATGGCAAACTTACCCCCATACTCGCCATGTAAGGGATCGGTGGATTGACACATCCCAAAAATGTAATGTTAGGCTGGATTCCCATTACTTCGAAGATCTGATCGCGATTGATATAGGAAAAGAGAGCAGGTATTGATGCCAATACTGAGGACATGGAAAGTAAAGATACGATGATTAGAAGGTAATCTCGGAACGTGGGAACTCGATTTCTGAGGAATAAGTTTGAAGTAAGGATTACTTACTTTGTAATCACAATGTACCTGTAGACAAACGGAATGATTGTGATAAACAATGCGCAGTAACAAGTGATCTTATCGATGACAACAACAGCGTAATGGAGAATCATCGGAGCGTCTCTTAGGAGATATTTGAGATGAGGGCCTTGGATTCTGACAAACATCATCCCATCGATCGTATAGAAGTGCTGGAAATCATCATCGTAAAGTGGGATTGTTCACTTACCACTCTGGTGAATATCTTTGTGAAGGTGTTGATCAACATGAACGTACAGTTTATCTTCAACATACATCCATAACGATTCTCCCCAGTAATCAGCTTTTTGAACAGTATTAGCGACGAAACATTCGCGGCCACAGCGAACACAAAGAGAGTGTATTCGACCAAATCATTGCCATATCCATCATTACAGTCGTATTCAAACATATCTGAATGACTAAAAAACTCGTGCTCTTATGATTATAAAACAAGAAATATTAGATTAAACCGTCTACCTTGTGGTTCAAAGTGGATTAGAGGAGTGTGGAAATTTGTGGAAGGTATGGGAACTTGGTGGCTTGGCATTTGAGCGGTAATCTTATTAGGCTCGATCAATGGCCACTGTAATTGTTGCACTGTTTTAAAAATTAGTGCTCTGCAAGCGCATGGTACCGGATTTGGCCTGATGAAACACCTCGTGCCTTAGGGCAACATCGGGCTCAAAATCTAGACTTTACCTTTAATTGCAAAAAGACCATCTCCCCTTTACTAACTTAAGGCAATTTATTCATATCACATTAGATTATGGACTAGTTACTGTAAATACAGTACAACAATATAAACAACTACCAAATGTATTATTAAAATTAATGCACTTTGTGAATAACTTATAAGTGAAACATTATTATTAATATTTGGGGGTCCAAACAAATTTCTGATTGGGATCTAGGGGATTGCATTCTTCTTCCAGGAGATCGGAGCCACCGTCATCTCGGACTGTGAGGCATTTATCTCGGTAGTTGTCCTTGATTTGTTTGGTGTCCTGAAAAAGATTACTATTAATTCTCAAGAAGAAAGTGCATGAACAACTCAAAAACCCTGCTCCGACTTCTCTAAAACGATTTTATAACGTAAAAAAAACAAAAAAAAATCTAAACATACTTTATCATATTGGAACGGTCCGTTCACCGTTCCCTTAGTACAATGTCCAGTCTTGAGCACATTACCGACCGGTCGAATGCACCATTCTCCTTGAGCCAGCTGACCAGCCTTGTTTAATCTGACCACCTGAAATAGAGAAATTACAAACTCAGAGATCTCCTTTCCAAATTTCATCAGCCAATCTATGGCGTACAAACTTCTGCACATATATAAACTTTGAACGCAAAAAAAATTAAATTTATAGAAAAAATTAATGGGATAAAGTGAGGCTGCTACGTTTTGTAATACGATCACAGGGCGGTAATTAAATTTGAAACACACCTTGACGACGCAAATGATATTCGAACGCATAACAAAATGCAAACTAGAATTTTGCGTAAAAAATTCTTAACACGCGCCATTCACATTAAATTTCTCTTATTTTCAAACGATGAATTTATGTGCCAACAATTTGTCGATTTATTAACGTAAACACATTTCTTACCTGATTCCCGCCATATCCATGACAAGGAGTGGCCCCAACTCTTCCAGGAACTCCATGTCCCATAGTGTCTATACATTTCCCAGTCGCCTTATTCTTCGCTTCTCCCCAGACATCATTATCAGGCAGTAATGGGTAGCTTCTCTCCACATCATAAGCAACATTCTGCATGAACCATTTGAACGATTTACAATTCAGATTCTTCTTGAGCGCCAGCTGTTCACTGATATCTCCCCATGTTCGTTTAATGGCTTGAGGTTCCCTGATATAGTAATACTTGTCATATTCGTCCATCCAGGTCTTGATTACTCGCAACATGTTCTGCAAATCGAATAAACCCATTATGAATCTCATAGATAATATAAATCTTACAGTGGAAATGACCGGCTTGCCACTCAGTTTTCCAAATCCATAGGGCATATGACTTCTGTAGACATGGCCGACATGACTGCAAGGAACGAAGAGAATACCTCCTCCACATTGCCAAATCTACAAGAACATATCACATACAGGTGCGCAAATTTTTTCAACCGGTTTAAATTCGATATAACTTTTTTATTTTCCCGCCAAATGACTTTTTTTTGCTTGAATCCTCATATTCTGCCATTTTGTTTGATACCAAATATGTTAGAAAAATTCCGAAATTCCGTTCGTGGTAAAAATCAAAAAAACTTGAAAAAAGTGACGAACAACTCAAAATCGCAATTAATACCATACTTACCTTGAATGACAGTTCATATTGTTCGCCACCCCAGATTTGAAGTCCCGGATCGTAATAGCCCAGGGTCTTGAACCACTCCCTATCAATAGCGAAGAGCCCACCGGCGTGAGTGGGACTCCTGAAGGGTTCCGAATTGTGAACTCGCCTTCGTTTTTCCTCTTCGGGCAACTCCGTTTCCTTGTAAAGTAATCCCCATTCAAAGATACCTCGGAAATGTCTATCAGCTCCTCCATAAACCCGTCGATACTCCCAAGTGTTCATATCAATTCCATCAATAATAGGGACCGTCATCACCTTCTTGTTGTACTTGATTGGAGCAACCAAAGGGACCAGCCAGTTGTAGTTCACCTCACAATGAGCATCCAGGAAGATTACAACGTCACCTTCGGAGGCCTTGGCTCCATTAGTTCTTGTTCGGATCAGACCTTCCCTTTCTGCGTTCCGGACCAACTTAACTTTCCCTCCAAAACGTTTTATGTAATCTTCCAAAGGTTGTTTTAAATGTTCTAAAACAAGTAAAAATTCTAGATACCTATAAAATTTCCACACCTTTATCACTGTAATCATCGACCAAAATAACTTCTTTTAGAAGTTGAGGAGGACTTCTCAGAAGGATGGAATGGACTGTTCGGAGGAGTGGAGTGAATCCTTCATTGTGGAAGGCAATAACAACTGATGCGGTAGGAAGATCTTCAGGATAATGCCAATACTTACACCTAAAAATAATCAGGCATATTCTCATCTTTTCTATTGAAAGAGGTTTAACACTGCTCGACGTCTAAAAACAAAGACAACCCACAGAACATGTAACCTACTCATCCATTCTAACATCAGGCACACTTCTGTTCATGGAGACCATATCACTGACAAAAGTGTTGAAACCAAACTCGGACATAGCCTTCACTACCTCAGGTGAGTTCATATCAACATGAATTGGTTCTCCATAATCTCCTGAAAGAAAAAACGTTACCGATATACCTAAAATTATAATATCTATACCTTTTTCTCCAGTCTTCGGAGGCAGAGCCTTTGGTTCAAAATTTCCAAGGACTCCTGGCTTCAGAACAACCTCCGGATCATGCTCTCCGGGCAAAACATCGGCTGCGTCACCTCTATTTTCTGAGTTTCTAACCAATCTTTGTGACTCCAATACTTCACTCTAAACTCAGAAATAAAAAAAAATAAAAAAAAAAATACCTTTGTGATGTCTCGAACAGTATTAATGTAAGATAGAAACGTGATAAAGCCGATTATCAAAAGAATTACCACAAAAGTTCTGCAATATAGGTATCAATATTTTTTAAATAAAATATAACGACTACTCAATAAACATACTGATGGCGGAAAAGCCTTTGCAATTCGAATATCCGTCGTTTCACTGAAACCATATTGCCAACAAGGAGCTTCCGGACCCGTTTTTTATGAAATTAGACAATTTAAACACGGACGGATAGTTGGGGAATGGTTCTTGGGCCCTTTCAGGCCTTTTCCACGTCGCAGAACTGAATAAATAGGCGAGATCCAGTTATCGCTTGTTCTTTTGTTGTTCTCGAGAGGGTTTGAGCCGGCTTTTTGTAAAAAAATATTATAATTTTACCACGCAACCCAGTGGCAAAACGTTTTAGCTCGGCTCAATAAATCGTGGTGTGACCCGAACTGGGGTAAGAAGGGATAAAGAATTCAAACCAACCGACTAAGTTGAGGATAAGCAAGTGATTTACTAATTACCCGAACAACAATCTTGACTATATACAAACAACAATGGGAATATTGGAGACAAAAATAACAAATTACAACGAGATGACATCCTTCTTCTCGTCCGATCCCTCGACTTCGTTCGATTTGGATGAACTGAAAACATATGTGATTTAATCAACTAGTTCTTACTTTTGACCTTCTAAGTTCTTCAGATCCCCACTCAATGTGTATGCAGAGATGAAGAAACCAACGGCACTCAGGACCAACAACACATTTGGGACGTAAAAGGAGATGATCAGCGAGTGGAACTTCCCATACGGACTCTCATCATCTTTCCGAACCCAATCAGATATGATTCCGATGATATAAGGTCCTGACGCATCACCAAGAGCATGCCCAATGAAGGTTTGGAAAGCGGTGGCAGCTCCTCTTTTGGATGGAGGTATGATGTATAAGATAAGGTCGACAGCGATCGCCCAGTTCAGGCAAATGGCAGTAATCATGAACAAAATTAAGATCTAGAAAGAGTGACGATATTATTTACGTTAGTAACCTACCCAAGCGAGTGTCATATTTGAGTAGATGATAATGCAAATTATCAGAAGTAATGGAGCAGCGACGGCCGAGCCAATACCAGAAACCAAGGCATCCGCTCGCTTGGTCTTCTTGCCCATAAAACACAGGGATCCTGATTTCCACAGACTAGAAGAAATTGATCCGAGACCAACTCCAACAAGGCCGGAGATGCAAGTGATTGCTCCAAAGTAGAGACCAGTCCTGAATGATAATATCAATTGCCGATTAAGCTACAAACTTACGCTTCTGTGTACTCCTTGGCAAGCAAACTGGTATCATTAAGACCTTGCTTTGCAGCGACAGCATGATTAATCAATGTGGGAACCCACCAAGACAAAGTTCCGGCCACAAACATAACAAAAGTCACCCCGAGAGTCGAGAAAACATAAGTTTTACTACAAACTTGGTGAGAGTATGTGGACTAACTCACTTTTTAAGAAGATAAAAGATGTCATGCAGATACGACGAGTCCAGATTCTCATCATTCTCTGAGGATCTCTCCCTATTTGGCTCGGGAACAGCGAAAATAATAGCCAATATGCAGACAAAACCATAGAACGAGGTAACTCTTATTCCCCATTGCCAATCACCCGTCAGTCCAGCGACCAGTCCACTCACCATGTAACCAAGACCGCTGAAACACAAGGACGGTTATGCTACACATAAAAAATGAGATATGTTACAGATCAGATAAGTCATATACAGAATAACACAAGGACTCACCTCCCAATAGGAATGGCAAAGTAGAAAAACATGAGGACATTACTCCTTCTACTCGCTACGAAGAAGTCGGCGATTACAGTAGGCGCGATAATTGAATACGAAGCCATTCCAATACCCATAATTCCACGTAACAACAGGAACATGTAGAACATCTAAAATAAAAAGAAACAAATAGAAACTTAACTTACTTTTGGAGGACAGAAAGATGAGAGTAACACAGCTGCCACCCACATGGCTAATCCAATAGTCATCAGCCATTTACGATTATGCCGATCTCCAAGATAGCCCCATAAAGGCGCAAATAACATAAAAACAACGATGAATATTGTCTGAATAAGGCCTGCTTCTGAGTCGTGGAGGTTGTAAAAGGCTTGGATAGACGTTAAGATGCCTAAAACGATCGGGTCTTATATTACACATGGTATATGGATTATAACAGATCTCATATTTAAAAAAAGAGGTGTCATTTGATAATTTAATGTACTAACCAGCTGTAGTAAGCCGGTCCATGTAATTCAGAAGGTTGATGGCGAACAAAACAGTTACGATGACATAATCTTTCGTTGATAAGCCTTGAACCCTAAAGAAAAGATAAGAAAACATAATAAAATAACATACTGTTCGACAGTGTTATCAGTTGTTGGCGGACTTGTAACTTTCTTTTCATCCAACAACAATACCGCATTCAGATTCTCTTCTTTATCTTTGGCCGTCATCTAAAGTAATATAAAATTCAATCTGAATCACAAAACCTCAATAAACCTGTTCAATACTCATTCATGAAATCATATTTTATATGATTTATCATTCAAAGTGACAAAACAATCATCATAACGGAACGTTACAAAAAAAGATTTTAGGTAACAAATGGGAAACTTTTTGTAAAATTCATATATATCAAACAGCAAAAGAGGAAGTGTTAAACACGTTGATACCAAAAAAAAGAAGTGTGTTTCAACGTAACTAAAAGAATTCTGTAGTTGATTTACACAAAAGCTTGGGAAATTTTGATAAAACGAAGAAAACGAAAAAAATACTGTAAATAAATTATCGCAAGAGTATAAAATTAATGATTGCAGTTCAAGATTAGGGGAAGAACATGAACAAGTAAAACTACGAAGTCAGGAGACGATAAGGAAGTTTTTCAAAGCCATTGATTTATTCGAAAGGCCAAATAAACATTATTTTAGAGAAAAATGAACCAATTTTACAGAGGAATGGACAGAATCAGGGCACTAAACACTCCTGATAGCATGGTTTATGTCCTTGGAGCTTGTGCCGCACACAGATTTGCATAAATTATATTTTTATCAAACAAAAAAACGACACATCTTCCTTCTTGGAAACAAAAAAGACTGGATAAAAGGGAATTTGTCCCCAAAAAATTGCAAAAATGGAATGGCCTCGCGTTGAGTGACCCACGGGCTCCCCGAAGACATTTGCATGAAGAAAGGGAGCTTACCAAGACGAACGCTTGCGCGGAAATCGCTCTCTTCGAGGGACTTTGGTCAAACTCACTCAATATCGAGGTAGAGCAGGCGAGTTTGACCGGTCGAAATCAACGTCATTGTATAATAGGAACTATCGTTGGTTTTTTGAGTAAAAGGGAGACATTTTCTGATTTACTATCAAAGTACTTGATAAATGGCGTTGCGGCAGAACTCTACCCCTTTTCTGAACTCTACCCCTTTTTCAACTCTACCCCTTTTTCAACTTTACCCCTTCAGAACTTTACCCCTTTTTCAACTCTACCCCTTGAATGAACCCTCCCCTTTTTGAACACTACCCCTCATTTTGAAAATTGAAAACATGAGGTGTGACATCTTATACGATGAAATTTTTTTTCAAATTGAGAAAAATTAGGTGTGACGTCTTATACGATGGAAAGATGTCACACCTTATTCTTTTCTATAATATTTCAGAAAAAATTTTCATCGTACGAGTTGCCACATCTTATTTTTTTTCAATTTGAAAAAAATTTTCATTGTATAAGATGTCACACCTTGTTTTTTCAATTTTCAAAATGGGGTAATGTTCAAAAAGGGGGAGAGTTCAGATTTTTTGGCGAAAATCAAAAAAGGGGTAGAGTACAGCCTTTTTTGGGGTAGAGTTGAAAAAGGGGTAGAGTTCAGATTGGGGTAAAGTTCAGGAAAGGGGTAGAGTTCAGGCTCAACCATATTATAGTATATGTATTCATGATCGGGTGAGAAATTATCTCGTAAAAGTGACTCAAGATTATTGACCATCTTTGGAATTGTATTATAAAGAAAAAGCAGCAAGAACTTTTTATTTACAAATTCAAATAACTGTCAAAATGATATGGCACAATGAGGAAAATCATACGAGAAGTGACGTAATCAGTCGAAATTTCATTGCGTAATAATCGGCCCGTATTCGAAATGATGTGAAATGAGAATGATATGTGAGGATCTCCCAAGAATCCTGGCTTCAGTACTCCTGTTGCATGTACTTTTCTTTGGTGGAATCCCCGACCGTATTCTTCAGTTTCTTGATCGAATTTATCGTCTCTGTCCCTTTGTGGTATTCTAAAATGCCAAAAAATCAGATTGGTTCAAAATTCAAATCGTCTTGGTTTAAAACACAATGCCAAAGCAGCGGGAAAATTAATATTCACAAAAATATTTGGAAAAAATCTTAAAAAATCCAAAAAAGCTCAACTTGACCATCAAAATGACAGAACAATTTGACATGACGAAAATGATGGCAATTCGACAACGCGTCAAATTGACGACTTAAAAACCCTAATTCATAACAAAGGTGAAACTGTGATGTCATCAAACACGTCTCTAACAAGCTTATCACAAACAAAATTGATCGCGTAAAACGTATTATTGCAGGCAAACAAAAAAAAACACAAAAGCACATCACGTATAACATCTCAGATCTGCTTACGGATCTCAATGTTCTCCAATTTGCTCAGATCATGTGGAAGTGTAAATGCGGCGATAATGTACATGATTCCAGACAGCACTAGTAATGCATTTGGCAGTAAGAAAGCTGTCCTCAACGACGTAAACTTCGTTCCAGGAGAAGAGTCGCCTTTAGAAATTAAATCGGAAATAAATCCGACGATATAAGGACCTGAGGCGTCTCCAAAAGCATGGCCGACTGAGGTCTGAACTGCACTCGCAATATTTCTTTTTCTCGGCACAACAATATACATGAGAAGGTCAACATTACAGGCCCAATTGAGGGAGAGCGAAGTGGTCGTGAAGAAAATAAAAATCTGAAGAAATGGATGGCGATAATGAGATGGCACAGAGTTACAAATTTTATAAATTATTGCGCAACTTACATAAGCCAATGTCAATCCCACATCAATCGTATAAAGAGCCACAAAAAGTAAGGGAGTCGCGATGACTGAACCAATTATGCAAACAAATACATCAGCCCGGATACTGGAGTGATTCTTGAAGCAATAAGTTCCGTTCTTCCACGCTGTTGCAAACAGAGTGCCCGTGATGACTCCAACTAGGCCAGAGATCAGTGTGATGCCGCCAAAGATTGTGCCAACTCTGGAATTCACCATGATTTTATATTATTATCAAAACTTACGAATCCTTCTCCGAAGGTTCGAGATCTTCGGTACTATTTAATCCATTCCTATCCGCTATCGCATATTCAATCGTAGATGGAGCCCACCAACTCAACGTTCCGACAGCAAAGATAATAAAAGTATAGCCCCAAGTAGAGAAGAAGTAAGTCTTACTAAAATAATATGTCATAAAATAGATCATATGTAAAAATCCAAATATGTAGTAAATCACTTACTTTTTAAGTAAATAAGTGATATCCTTCCAGATGGATGCATTTTCATCATCCTTTACCTTCTCCAAAACTTCTCTTTCCGGTTCTTCCACAAATAAAACAAGGATGAAGACACAAACAGCTCCAAAGATTGGAGTCACCCGAAGTCCCCATTGCCAAGCGCCCATCGCTGACGATATCGTTGAGCCGACCATGTAGCCAAGACCACTGAAAAAGAAGTTAAATTAGTATTACCATTACTTTATCTCCTACAATTCCCGACTCAACTTACCTTCCCAATGGAATAGCCAGATAAAAGACCATTAAAACTTTACTCCTCACGGTTGATTTGAACATATCAGCGATAACTGTGGGCGCTATGACTGAGTAAGAGGCTTCTCCAGTGCCCACCATCCCTCTGAAGAAAAGGAACAAGTAGAACATCTAAAACCATATACAGTAATAAAAAATGTAGATGACAAACCTACATTTGATGGGACAAACGTTGATGCCAATACAGCGGCGATCCAAACAAGAAGACCCCCAACCATGATCCATTTTCGATTATATCTATCACCCAGCCAACCACAAATGGGAGCAACAGCCATGAAGAATACTATAAAAACTGTCTGGAGAAGACCTCCTTGGGAACTTGTTAGGTCATAGTAGCGAGTTACCGATGTTAGGACCGCTGAAAATACGAAGTTATCACACTTTATCCAACAATCTAAAGTTGTGAAACATAATCTATGACCAAGGATGATAAAAGAAAACGTAGAATTCCGTAAATTATCTGAAAAATACCTGATATCGTCAACCGATCCATATAATTGAGTAGATTGATGGTGAAAAGTACGACAATGATGACATATCCCTTGGGTGTAATCGCCGGCTGTTTGTCACTAGAATCCATGGAATTACTGGAGGTTAGAGGACTAGAATTTACACACTGTTAGGAAAGAAATATAAGCAAAAGCAACACAGCAAAATAAAAGTTTATATTTGTCTTTATTTTTTTTTACCTGGGGGCCCTTTCCTTCTTCGTTTTGATGGTCATGATGGGATCGGGCAGACCGGCTAGAGACACCTCATGGAACGATCCGCTGCTTTGATCGGGCTCATTCTCATTCATAGCTACAAACATTATATATACATGGACAATGGCGATGGTATTTGGATTGGAATTCGCTCAAATTTGGTTGGAAAATTTCTCGAGGGCGGGGAATTTATTAAAGAACGAAAAAAGGGGAAGATCTGTAAATGAATTATTTGAAAATTTACCGGAAATGGCATGTTATTAAGACGAAAACACAAAAACAGCAAAATTAGATGACTTTGATATAACAGTAAAAAATATAAGTAAAATGTCTATTAGTCATCAAAAATCTTAGGAAAAATAACTAACTTACTTCTAGACAAACTCAACTGCTCATGATTTTAACAATAACGTATAAAATAAAATTTTCAAAATTATGAAATTTTGTCCGCAAATTGTCCGTTTTGAAGGTACTTACAATATTCAAAAATAAAAACATTTTTGAAAAAGAAAACAAATAAAAACTAAAAAGTGTTGTAAAATCTGACCCTTTTGAAAGAAAACCTAGTAATTTTCTCTCATTTTGGACTCAAAACATCACGTGTCATAATCTGATTTACAAGGGGAATGGTAAAGGAAAGTGAAAGCAGTGTCAATCAAAAATAAAAAAATAAACCTGAACATAACATAATTGGAGATCCGGAGCCGACCTTCTTATCAGCAGCGAAGGAAGGGTGTGAGCAACGTGAATTACGTGTAATCTCTCATGTCATGCCATTTGATAAGCAGAGTTTACTTTAATGGATAAAGAGGCGGGCCCATGGGGATAATGGGGGTGGGAATGGTAAATCCGGAAGTTGGATTTGAGAGATTTGGAAGGTCAATTAACATCAGAATTGGACGATCACAGATCCATAATAGTAAAAAATTAAAATTGCTGGAGGATTACAAACTAAAAAGTAGCAACTTCCCTTTTTTTGTAAAACAATGGTAATTTCTTTGGCGTTTATACCGCGAGGTGACTCACCAAATAACTGTAAAGATTCCTATCATTTTTACGAATACCATTATATTTCCCATAAAAAACGGAATCCTTAAAAGGGTTTAGCTTTAGGGTCTGTTTCTGAAACCTTTCGCGTAGCCTGTTTTTGCGGAAACTTCCAAAAAATAAAATCAAAAAAGAATTAATGTTTAGAATCAAAGTAACGGCGAAAAGTAATTCCAATTGTGTCAAATGACTTGTAAAATGAAATTTAGTCATGGTAACGCTTCGAATTAGAAAACAGATTTAGACTGCTTTAGGTTGCAGAAACCTGGAATAATCACAAAAATCCCTTTCTCCTAAAAATTACACGCCCCGAAAGTAGGTGAAGAAGAGCGGAGATGGAATGACAAAATCATTCGGATATCCATCGCGCGGAAAGAGAGGGGGAAAAGCAGCCCGGAGGGGTTTAGAGAGCTGGAACGAAGAAAGGTCTGAAGAAAAAAGGAAGGGTGTTCGACATTTCAAACACTTCAAGGTCAGGAAAGGAATGGCGACAGAAGAGTGGACAAAGCAATGTCTAGGGGCTGCTGGAAGGAATCGAGGAACGGATGGGCCGGATTTAGTCGCCAAGGTTACCACGATAATGGGACACAACTTGAGAAGGAAACGTTGCATTTCCGTGTAATAAAAGTTACATTTAATACAGAAAAGGTTCTGATTTCCCTGACAAAACTGTACGTAATAACCCATTGACAGCTGGACTAACGGATAATCCAGAATTTAGCCAAAAATATAATCCATGAATCAATTCAAACAATAATTTCAAGATTTTTGTTTAAACCCAATCAATGTCATTCATCCATCAAACCTACCCCTAAAACAGATATAAATTTAGCATCAAACTTCGGCATAATATACTAGAGACCCCCTACATACTACAATACTTGTCAAAAAGATAATTTATGATGACCTCTCCTCGAATACAATCAATTAAAGAATAGTCTTCCTCAGCGAACCAAAACACAGAATACTCATGAGTAATGCATGCTGTACCCATATGACGAAAGTGCAGAACCTAAAAGCAACTTGTAAAGCCTTTCATTGGGTGATCCAGTAGTGGGAGTGATTGTAAACAACTTTAACAAAAGCTGGCTTTCTATTATTATGTGTTTGGGGAGAGTAAGCAAATAGATGATGTTCTATTGACTTTGCGAAAATTAGAGCTCGCAAGGAACGGGGTTCCAAATTTTTTTGATAGTTCGAAATTTGCAGAAATAGGAGACAGTTCAATTGTTTATGACTAGCCCTTTTTGAGAGTTTTACTCTAAAATGGAAAGCGTAACGCGTGGACAACATGACCATTATTAAAATGGCTACAGATCAAGAAAGATATAAAGCCAGTATAGCATGTTGTAGTAGTAGTGTAATCAAAACGTATAACAAGCAAGAAATGACCCTGTTTTTTCCAATATGTATGAGTGTAAAAGGTAATGTAAGTCCGTGAACTAAATCATGCATAAAGCTAATCTAGTGAAACAATAAGTGGATGAGGGCTAAGGATCCACAGTATTTATAGACGCCACAATTTGTGTCTTGTGATCTCTTCGGTGCCAACCTTGTGCCTTTATTGCACGTAATCTCGGCGGATATCTTATTTTTTCTGGCTAATGAATCTGTGATTGTGCCTAATTACGGTAAGATGCATACAGAAAAGACCACAAAACACAGCCCATGCGTTTAGACCTTTTTCACTACATTACCATACTCCAAAAAGACTTGAATTGCGAGAAAAGAACGCTGGAATCACCTATCCCTCTTGTCAATGACAGAAGTCGAACATCTTCTCTTATCAAACGTTACCAAGGGTTATAAAGATGAGAAACAGAGGAATGGAAGTAATCTTCTTTGCAATCCGATTTAAAATTGAATTCACAAATGAAATGTCTAACGATAGTTGCTTGGGACACACAAATTTTTCTTCATGGTTGAAATAAAAGAAGCCAAATGTAAATCAGAGATTCCCAAGGGTCTTGAACTACAGAAAAGTAGTTGAATTGTAAATGAATGAAAGCTGGTTAAATAACGCATTCTTCCCGTGTGAATCATTCTCAATTTCATGGTTTATTGATATTGGGAGTAACCTTTTGAAGAACGGTTACAATGGTTAAAAAATACAAACAACGCAAAATAAAACTATTATGCATATTTATTTCTTAATTAACAACGTCGTCTTAAATTAATTAATCTTTGATGGTGATACCGTTCTTTAAAGCTGTTTTGGTAATACGAGATAAGTTCCCCTCCAAGTGATCACATTCAATACCCTCAATATGAAGTTGCTATAATCGATTACTCATATTTATTTTCCAAAAAATAAACAGCTAAAACTTTTTGATTGTCATTTCACAATCAGATGGACATTTTTTGTGATAATGCAGCACATAAACAATAAAGTTATATTGCAGTAATCATCTCTCTCCATCCATTCATTTCATTTCCACACTTTCCAAAAAATCAAGTGCTTTTTTCAAAATATCGCATTACAATTGATATGTATGCATTTTTATCGCTCATATTCTACATGATCAAGGTCGATTGAAAGTAAATAAAATTGTTTTGGGGGGTTTGAAACCGCTTTGGGAAGCCGCCTTAGGCTTTGATTTCCTTGTTTCGCCTGAAGAAAAAAAAGTTTTTCTTTTTCTTTTCCGATCGATTGGGAAGGGAAATGTAAGCGAGGGGAAGTTTGAGGAGGACTCGTACCGTTGGGAAATCTCTTTTTACGTCGGTGTTTCGTATAATTTGGAGCGAGTTGCCTTTTACGGCTTGATTTAAACTCATTCCCCTTTACCCCAATTCACTTTCTTCTGTTTACATGATTTTAGATGGATTCTCCAATTATCTTTTGCTTTTTACCGTTAAATTTAACTGTCTTGACCAGTTTGACGGCTTCTTTATGTAGTTTCTTATCTTTACTGCCACCTTCGGCAACCTTTTTTCTTCTAATGACATTACGCGTTTGTCCATTGTCATTGTGAGTTATGGAATTGGTCATCGCTTATGTTGTGTCCAAAGTTACGATTATCCATTTCCGCCGGATTAAAAGTCGTTTTAGCGCTAGAATGGACTTGTTTGGCCAAGTCAAGCAGGGCTTTGCCAAGGCAATGCAGATCGCGACCGAGAATCAGATTTTTCATGAATTTCCGGAATGCTCGATTCTTGGATCCATAAACCGGGTGTCAATTAAGTTGGCGGATCCACATGTGTAAGTCGCCTCTGAACTTGGTAATGTTTTTTCGAGGCCAATATTGATTTGATGCGCTTATAAGAGTATATATAATTTTTTATATCAATTTGAGGAGATCGTAATAACACCATATGTTACGTAAAGCTTTACGTAATATGTGGTGTTGCCCAAAAAGACAACGGACTCTCTAATTCTCTGTCCATGCGGTTCATCCAGATTTGAATTGGATAAGGAGTTTGAAAAGTATTACAAATGTATAATTTTTGAAAAGAATCTAGCCTGCAATTATACATACAAGACAAGTTAAAAGAATTTCACGGCTCGTTGCTTAAAAACTTGACTTTTTATTTTAGTAATGCCATGCTAGCCAATTGGGGTCCTCAGACTAAATTCGAACATATCAACTTCCTCATCAGAGACGAAGACAACAAAAAACAAACTTTGATGACGGCAGAGCTGGTCAGCGGCAATGGAATTATCGTTAAAAATGCCGGAGGCAAACAAGTTATGGTAGTTCGATTACCAACACACGATCCCACAAGCTTCGGTAAACTAATGCATCCAGCACCGGCCACTCTATTCAAAGTAATAACTTTTTTCTGTAACCTTTTTTATCATTAACCTTTAGGTGACCCCTCGAATGACTCCAGTTGGCAGATCTTATGTTGTCCACAAAGCAAATCCCGCAAAAGAAGAGTATATTTACGCAGAAAAGGTGAGTATTCAAGGTTGTAATAATAATAACGGTTTAAAGTGTATTTAGGAGCCAGTTTCGTTGTATCAGATTGGGAAGATCACCGGGGTTTTGGGATCAAATTGCGTTTATTGGCTGAAGAAGTCGAATGACGGCGGAGTCTTGGGTTACGTTCGGCCGAAGCTCGTTTTGAAAGGGAACACGTTGGTTCTCAAGTTCATGTATGTGATATGACAACCTCGCTGAACAATGTGACACATCGTTAGATTGGCGTAACACAATTTTGATTACATTACTTTAGGTCAAATAATCGAGATCCTCAAGTCAGAGCGACCATGTTGGGAGTAGCATTGTTGTTGATGATCAGCGAAGTGTATCCCCAATTGAGAGCCATGCTTTCCGAATCTCTGAAACGTCTAGATCCATTGAATTAAAAGGGAAACGGAGTGCATAAAGCGAATTATCATATCCCGGCTTGTATTTTAATTTTTTTTTGAGAAAGAATGATATAAATCTACAACGTACATCCAATGGATTTGAGATTTCCGATAAGAGGTAGACCCTGCGGTACGAACAAAGGCTGGGTTTCATTCATTTCGGCGAAGATATGCCAAGCATTACTGGTCAATATCAGTTTGGGTGTTTGCTTTTGCAAGTCCCTTGCAAGGGAACAAATGATGGAAGCGCTATTCCCACAGCTATTTCAGCTAATTTCAGTGAATAGAGGGATTAATTGCGTTTTAGGAAAGGTCCGGTTTTTTCGCTGATTACTCGGATTTTGACGGCAAGGAGTCAAAGCAGCTACACCTTTTGCATCAGCAAAGAATGACTTCAAAGGCACATTCAAAATCGGCACGAAAAATGCAGGTATATATGCCATCAACGGCTTACAAGGGAAGTCACTTAAGTCACGGATCGATTTTTAAAAACGACTGTTACAGCGATGGGGAAGGTAGGACGGAGATATCAAATCTGAAAACCGCTACCTCCACCGGCCTCTGGGAGCCGAGATAATCGACCAAAAAAATTTGCCCAAAAAAGGTTGCTCCGAAAAGCTCTTCTTTTCGAAAGGATGAGGGAAGAGAACCGAATGGTCCGGTGGTCTGGAAGCGCGCTTCCGGGCCTTGACCTTTTCAGGTTCGAATCCGCATGGGTCAAATAATTTATTAGACTTTTACTGTAATACAGTAAATTTACCGGTAAGATAAAATTTTTGATTTTTTGCATATTTTACAATTTTTAGAGTAATAATTTGAAAGTTCCAAACGATTTGAATTTGCAAGGTTGAAAATTTACCGTAAAATAGGCAAAAAATCTAAAAATAAATTGCTAGTAAATTTTCTGGATCACAGCAACATAAATTTTTCGCAAGTTCGAGACCCGCGCGGATCCGAACCTGAAAAGGTGAAGGCCCGGAAGCGCGCTTCCAGACCACCGGACTATTCGGTTCGCTGGATTTTCTTCTTTCGGAAGGAAGAAATGATCGGAGGAATTTGGGCAAACTTTATGGTCAATTATCTCGGCTCCCAGAGGCCGGTGGAGGTAGCGGTTTTCAGATTTAATATCTACTTCCTACCCTCCCCATCGCTGTAACAGTCGTTTTACAAAATCGATCCGTGATTTAAGTGACTTCCCTTGTTAGAAGCCTTGAGCATTCAGAAAGTACCGATGACGGAGAACAATATTAAAAACGAAGTGAATAAAATTTTCTCATCTTTCAAAATATCAGACAAGTCTTATGAAAAAACAAAATCAGATCACTCTTGACTTCCTCCTGTGTCTTTCAGAAAGAGCATTTATGACCGTTAGACATGATCTTTTATTCCCGAAACTACTTATCCGTAAACAATTTCATCACACTTGGAATTGTCAGTTGGCGTCTGAGGAGGAAAAGAAAAAGAACCACCTTGAAAGCCACTCTCTTATCACGTACTTGCTTTTCCGTTCTCCGATTTCCAAATTTTATATAAGAATATATTCTCCACATTACTCTTGTCCTTGATCTTCATTCTGCCACTTTTTTGTAAACAAAAAACTTTTAAAAGTTGTATTCTAAGTCACTCTTGATCGGACATCAACTTCAACGGAAAAATTCGAGTCAATTCAATCTTAACATAGACCAATTTTTGCGGGAATGCCTATGAGTTATCCCATTAGGAGCATTTATAAATCGCCCGTAGCTGAATCAACTGTTTCTCGTTGCAGTGTTATTCATATAATTACCAAAATAAGCGCCAAAATTTTATGTTGAACGACATAAATGGTAAAAAACTCTTACGAAACGAAGAAATGTTTGGTCTTTGATAATCGGTTTGATGAACCGTGTTTTCCTTTGACAAAATGCGATTTGACGTTGTTTGATAAGCTTGTTTAGGACAAGAGTGTTTTTGATGTACTTTGTCACAGGGAAGTCACTTCTTAAAGTTGGCTTTGTTGTTGTTTAAGAAACTTCTAGATATTTATGCTTTATATTGAAGACTTGCCACCATGCCTAACCCGAACCTTGACCATTTTCTTTACTTTTACTCTCATGACTTCCTTCTAGATCGATTCTCATCATTTAAAATTTCTAAACCAAAAAACCAAGGTACATTCCGACTTTCATGTCCCCAATTTCTACCGGAATTCATAAGTCTGGCGGTGTTTTTGTTCTTTTTGTGTTTGTTTTACCCATCGAGACCTGGGGGATAAGCGGCTCAGAGGTTTGGACACGTTTCTGACGTAAGCAGCCCCAACTGTCGCGTGAGGTTTGATGGGCAAGGCGGATGCCCGCGGAACGCCATGTTTCTTTAGGGAGGCGGGTCACCGTTTGAGCGGACGCTCATGAGATCGAGGGTGGGGAAAAAGTTCCGGAGTTCTACTCAGGATTGTTTAAAATCCAATTTTTTGGTCTTGGAATTGTTACAAAGAAAAGGGTTTTTGTCCAATTTTATAAATTAATACTTCGATCTCTTATCGAATATGACTTTTTTCAAAGCTCTTTCACAATTCCGCCACCTTCCGTTTATATCAATGTTACAACAACCCGTCCAATTTAAAGTTCAAAAGTATCTTTTCGGCAGAAAAAACAAGCTCATTCGAGAATACTTTGTATACTTCGTATACTTCCCACTTAATATCGAGATCGTTCTTTATGATTAAATTTGGCAAGCGTTTATATTACATCAAATGATTATTCTAGAATATATATATTCACGCGAGGCCTGCTAGAAAAAGCGATAGAAGGAAGTTTTGGCTTAAAGAGCCATATCTTGATTACGTCACGGAATGATGCCAAAAACAGTGCTGGTAAGAATTTTCAAAACTAATTTTTTGATACTCCATATTCCCTTTGATTTCATGCTGACTGTTAAATATATTTCGTTTCAGTACCTAATCGTAATTCTCCTGGCACTGTCAACGCTAGTCTACAGTCAGTGCGTATCCATGGGAAATACTTGCCATGATTCTGGCTGTCGATTACATGGAGGCCATTGTAACTCGGTCTGTGAATGTGTACAAAGGACAGAGACACTATACATGTTCAGTGGAGGGTCCGAATTCTAACAAAACTACTTAGGATGGACACATTTCAACTTAACCGGTACTATGTAACTACTTATCATCTTTGTAATAATTTTTGTTGTGGATAGCGTTGACATGTCCACTTTTACCTCTTTTTACACAGAGTATTCAAAGCAGACAATCATTGACATAAAAATTTACGATAATATTTAGACAGAAGTAAAATTTTTTAAACCTAGATCTCAGCTCGAGGAAACGTTAACATGTCGACGCTTATGTCATTTCAAGTGTATAGTTCAATAAATGACATCGTGACTCAGCAGCATGTTTTTGAAAGCAAGCATCAAAAAATAATTTTTTTTGATCACTGATCGTTGACAATGACTAAAACGCTCCCCAAAAACAGTAACCCGTTTTTGTCCATGACCACATCAACCCCGACACTCTACGGCGACTGTAGAGATCCCGTAATTAATCCTAATTGCAAATTACGACTTCTGCTCGGAGTCAGCGACCTGCTCATCAAGGCGGACAGATTCCACCGGACTTTCCATTAACTTTAACAATTAAGTTTTCTCAAACTAATCACTCCTTTCAAGCATCTAATTCGCCGTCAGCTGAATCTCCATCTCGTGTTCCGAAACGATTTTAGTCATTGTTTTTTTAAAGAAATATTTCTCATGGTTTCATTTTATGGCCACACAATCATTTGGCCTTATACGAGAGAATGAGAGCATTCGCTCTCGGTATTTGAGAAAAAGGGGAAATCGGGAACAACTGGATATTATGATTCTTGAGAACGGTTATATATAACGGTTACACTGTCCTCTTTCACGTATAAGAAACTTTGCTCCAAACAGTGGACATGTTATGAAGAGGCCAGACCACACTCGTTAAGTTGATTTGAATACCTATTCAGTTCTGATCTATTTATTTCCCGTCCCGCTCATCATTCATTCATCACTTTTCCGGCTCGTAAACGACATCACTCTCGCTTTCCGGTCGGTGGCCAAAGACCGTTTTGGAATATCAAATAACGCGCATTTAGATCCTGACTTTTTCTCCTATCTCTTACCTTAATTAGTACTTAACAGTCGGTGCAAATACTAACTCTTCGCTGCCGCCGTTCCTTTGGAATGGGGATGTACGGTGCAAGTGTGGTTTTTTTCGGACGATCAGCGATTCTTCTTTTGCGCCTACTTCTCGTACAGTGCAACCGTAATACCCACACGGTACGAAAAAGTCGTACCGTGCGACTTTTCTTGCGCCGCGGCCGACTAGTACCTTTGAAGAAGAAATTTATTATTGTTACATTCTGAGCAAACACGAACGGGTCCCTCATTCAAATGTCGGTTCGAAACCTCTCGGGTCAAAGAGTAATAACGAGAAATTGAATAAAGCTGCTTGGCCAAGGAGAGTTCGAAGTGAAGAAGTCCGTTCGCAATTTCCTGTCCCAAAAGATAAAAAGCAAATGTTTCTACCAAGTTTCCCGTTCGATTCGAGGCCTTTTTATGAGTAGTGGAATTGGTGTGGGTTCAAATAAAAATAAAGCCCTTTACCTGCCATAAACAGTCGGAGACATGAATTTATGGCCACAATTTATTGATGACCATCTGGCCGATTCTACTTGCCAAAATGCGTCGGCATTTGAATACTCTTATTGCTTTCTGCGTGGTTCGTATGCAAAACTATGAGATTCCAAAGTGTCCCAGTACAAATTCAATAGTCCAGGGCTAGTTCTAAACAGTTCTGATTGTCTTAATGTTCACGCCAACTTTTGCCACTCCTTGGGGGAATTTTGCACGTTTCCCCGAAAGACTTATTGTGATTAATTGGGGTCCAACGTGAAGAAGAACTTTAGGGACAAAGAAGAAAAAGTTTGTAATATTTTTCAACTCGATCCATGTCAAAACTTAGCCACGAATAGACCATAATATCTTACTTATCCGATATCCAAGTCGAGATACTTATAAACCTTTGCGTTTATGTACATCCAAAATACCCGCAGGGTTTGGAATGGACTTGGCGTTTTTTGAGTGAAATTTTGTGCTACCGAATTTAGTCCCTTTAACCCTGGAAAAAAGCAGGCATTTGGTATAGACGTGAGCGCAGAGATTTGTACGTCCCTCGACTTTTATAACCAGAGGGTTTTTTTGAACAACCCCTCATACTGTAAAAAGTAAGTCTTTTACTTTGTTTACACATTCAGCCAGACCTAATTCCCAAAGAATCTCGTCTTAATTTCCCCATTTTTCTGAATCCAAACAACTTCAGCATCCAGAATCCTCTCCTTTTCACTACTCCCAATTGCTCGCTCAACTGATTTAATTTAGTCATTTCGACTTTAAATACCACGACTTTTGTCGTAATGTTTCTCGCGCGCGAAATAATTCCGCGTTTTATGTTTGCGGACATTCCTCAGCCGGCAATTAAGGTTTTGAATGTGGTTTTGACGCAATATACAGGGCTCTATAAAATTACGGCATGATTTAACAGTTCTTCTAGGCTTTAATCCTTCCAAGTAAAATAAGGTCTTTATGCAAATTTATAATCCGTTTCGCATCTTTCGCGGATCTTTTGGATCCCACGCTTCGGATCTCGGCATGATTTAAACCATCGCAATTAAACGTTTTCTAACCGAAATTGCTGCAGGATTCCACCCAATCCCGGTTTCTAGAACTACTTTAGTTTACCCAAATTCTGGCCCCAATCCTCCGTTTAAACAAGTAAATTAACAACATATGAGCCCTCGGTCCATTTCCGAACATGGCCGATCCCATTTCCGGATTTTCGTATTGTTTTCCCAGCAATTATTCCGGCCGCGCAGCTTCGAACACAGCATCGGATTCCCCAAACGCCTGATGCCTCGCGGGGTTTTTTCCGGCTTCTTTCAATTTCTTGGAGATGTCCTTTTTTGGGCATGGTCCACAAACCCCTTTTTTGACTTATTTGGCCGCTCAAGTTGGCCATTGTCTGGGGCATTAGTGCCTTTCAGCGTCAATAAGGCATCTTCTCATTGAGAATTCATGTTCAGATGACATGACATGTCGTGTTCTTTGACTTAATTTCAAATTCATCTTTTTATGGACCTTTTTGCAGAAATTTCAATTTCATCGGATTAAAACTCGCCACTTTCGGAGTAAATAAACCAGAAAACTTAATGTTCAACATTATCCAAACCGTGAAACGATTAGTTTCAGCCAGCTAATTGACTGGTCAACCTAGTTGTGACTTTCGTATGCAAATTTTCACCTTCCGGGCATAACTTGGCAAATAAAATTTTGGGAACGTGGTTTGATGACCTATGCCAACATTTCAAGCCAAGAAACTTAAAAAATTTTTTCTAATGTCCTAGTCTGACGCAGCGAGCCAAAAATCGTCTTTTACACCAAGGAAAAGGACTAACCAAAGTGGTCAAACAGCCATCTTCTTGAAAAAATCCGTTTGGATGACAGAAAAAATGTCCAAAAAATCGGTTATCGCGACGAATTTTCTAGATTTTTTCTCGGTAGAATCCTTGCATTTTTGTCTTGATCTTCTTATCAATTTGTTTGATGCTGAGGTGTTTTGAGTTGTTAGTTTCGACTTATAAATTGTTTCAAGACGTTATTTGGGTGCTTTACGTTTATTTTGGCTCTTTTTTTTGTCTTTTACTAAACTTTAACTAATTTTAGGCACCGAGATGAAGAAAGGTCGAGTGAACTCGACGAATTTGCCGGCCACAGTCCCTCAAACTCGACAGACGTTGAGTCGAAGATTCCGGACAGGATCAACGGCCAATTTGAGTACAACAACAAGACCCAGTTTGGGCCCATCGCCCAGACCGAGTATCAGACCAGCACAATCCTTGACTAGTTTGAAGGGTGGACGGAGTAAAGTGGACATTCAGACTACGGTACGTTCATTTTGATGTAATTGGGGATGAACCACTTTCCTTGAATGAATATTGCTTTTCTGTCTTCTCCTTGGTAGCAAGCCGAGAGTATGTACTGTGGTTTTGTGGTTGGTCACGTAAAATCAATTTTATGAGTTTCATAACCCCGTCAGATGTTTCAATTTTGTTTACAAAACAGGCTTTAATATCCGTTTTCCGTCTTTTATGACCCAAATTACGGGAATTCGGACTATCCCCCTCGCCGCAAACGCATTTGCATCGCTTATTCGGAACTTCTTGATCACTAATATTCCTAAATCTTCTTTCCGAATCTGTTTCTCATTCCTTCTCTGATTTCTATTCGATATGGTTTCTCTGAGTTCTCGAAAAGGGTTGATCTGGCCAAGCAAAGTGTCGAGTATTCGAAGTTTTGGAGGGAATGATGTACATAATAATGAAGAAGCAGAGAATAAGATGGGATTGATAGAGAGAGGAGCGTTCACATTGAAGAGAAGGTGTTCGACTGATAAAGGAGTGGTTCTCCGGAAGATTGACAACAAAAAAAGCGGGGATTTGATCAAAAATAAGACCAGTTTTATAAACCTCTACGATAAATACAAGAAGTACGATAGCGTCAAGAGCTCTACATCCACACCAAAAGAGTCCATGCAGATCATCAGAAGGCCTGATAGATTATCTCCAACCACGGTGGAAAAAGTTGAGAAAAAATCGAAGCCATCTCCGAGAATGGAGCCAAAAAAATTGCCGCAACGAACGTCTGGACCTCGCCGGATGACTCAATTGGGCCGCAAGAGATCCCTCCCTATTCGAGTGAGTTCCATTTTCCTCGAGAACCTTGTTATTCCTTTCACGGTGACTAAATGGAGTTTGCTTTTCTTTGGGAACACATTAAGTTTCAATCAGGAGATGTTAATTTAGTTAATGTAAATAGAAAGTTAATTATGTTCTACTAGTTGAACTCAAGGTTTATTAGAGTTGGTTTGATTTTTGTATTTTTTCTGTTGTCGTAGACTTTGTTTTGACTGTTTCCCCTGGATTTTTCTAATCCCCCATAAATTTGTCGCTGGCATGCCTCATCCGAACTGTCAATTACCCTCCGCTTTATAGCCCGAGTAATAAACACCGTTTCGGCAGCATAAAAAGCACAAATCCCTGGAAAATTACCTTTTATAACTGTCCATCTGCTCTTGCTTCCCCAGATCCCATATTGATCATTAAAATGCCCAATCCCCTCCGGCTTCCTTGACCTTTTTATATAACTGATCCGTGAACGGCGGTTCAGTGGGGGATTGATTTATCGAGTAGACTTCGAGGGAAAGGAGGAACAAACTGTTTATTTGTCCGGAAAAGGGCCGAGGTAATGGAATTGGAGGGTCAAAGGTTACGTGAGGTCTTGTGGCCGTGAGAGCTTAATTGGCATAATGGCTTACTTTTATGTCTCAATTATTCAAAATAGGTCGTATTTTACTATGATGGATAATGTAGCATATGCCCGATCTCCCCCAGTCCTCATAATCGATCCTGCCAAAGTTGTTTTTATTAAATTAATCGGTTTCTGTGCGATTAGTCACGGTCTCATGCAAATTAATCATCGAACGCGCGAAGCTTCGGTTCCATTACCTTGACTTTGATCTTGATGGGCGATAAGTTTTGGTATCGAGGCGAGAATTAATTGGATTCTGCTCCGGATCTGAATTAAATCGGGTTTGGAGTTTATCGGAATAGCCGGTAATGCTTTGTGCAATGTGATAGCTCAGAGTGCAGCTGCTTTATTTTTTCTCTGTCGGGGTGACGTTTAATGTCAGGGTGTAGATTACATTGAACCATGAGATTAGACTATTGTTGAGATGACATGAAATCCAAAATCATCTTGTTTCGCCTTTCTTTTGTGGAATTTGTTGTCGTTTAAAAAGTTTTTTTGTAAAAGAGTACAAAAGAATCGATCGAAGTAACTCTCCCGTGATTTAATCCTCTTCTCCAGAAGTAGTACTGTCTATTTTTTATTTAAATGCCCACTTTTCCCAGATATGACAAGTAACATTTAATTCGAGTTGCCCTGAGGGCATCTGGCTCTAAGCACGAGCCGGACATTCAAATTTCTTTTTCGGAGCGAATGACTTTCGAAGAGATTACTCCAGATTTGTTGTTTTGAGAATAGAAGGGGATCTTTTGTGATCTTCATCCCCCATAAATGACCCCTGTCATTTTACGCAACTACTTCTATGACTTTTTTCCTTTTTTTCTGGCTGTTTTTGGTCTAATTTGAATAGAACCCGGACCTAAGTCTAAGACAAAGGGTATCACAGAACGGGACGCAATTTTGAAACCTTTGAAATTCACCTTTCCGAGTCATTTTTCACGTTCCGCAAGCGTTTGTTTACATTTTTTAATAAGAAACCGTTTCTTACCCACTTTCCAGTGCAAATCTCGGGCCTTCCTTTGTGTTCTTTTGTAATTTATACGTCCGAGACCTTTGCGAATCAATTTTTAATGGAATCCTGACTTTTTTGAGAGAGTAATGACCTTGTTTTACATGGCCGAAAGTGGTCCTTAGGCTCGAAAAAATGGAACGGCGCTTAAATCGACGGAGATTTGTCGATTCAGAGGAGCAGAATCGTTGGATTCTCGAGGATTTAGCACAATCTACTCGAAATGTAAGTTTGTTTTAAGGATTTTCAAGAACGATGACGTTCTTCGTGTGGAATTCAAATAGTCTTTTCTGAGATCCGACTTTCTCGTCTCCATTTGTCATATTTTTGCGTTGTTGCGCAATATTTCAATACCTTTTAAAGACCTGGGAAGTAACGTTTTTGATGTGATTGAGAGGCATTTGGCCCTATTCTCGGACGAAAGGGCCCTGTGGAGACATATCCCACTTTAATGGCCTTCATTTTCCAATTTTTTATGCAGCGGCATTACATTTTTTAAGGGAAATATGTCAAATCCGCTTCTGTTCAAGAAGAAAAGGTCTTTTTGAGGATAGATTTATGTCTAAAGTGTATATTGAGAGTACATTGACCTCTAAATAAGAGTCTTATGGCTAGTCGGATAGGGGTTTTGTCAAGTCTACCCTGAAAAACGAGCTAAACAAATGCGTTTTCGCCGGCGGAGACATAAGATATTTTTCGAGAGGGCAAAATTTTCGATCAGATTCCCTCGTCGTTTTTATGCCCCCATCGATTTTTGTTAGTTTTGAGGCCGAAAACACGAAGGGATTATTATAAAACGCGATTTTTGGGTAGAGAAGCGGCCAAATCCTCTTTCCGTCGGATCTTTTTTTTTATCAAATCGGATCCATTTCAAAATTTCCCCACTCTTCCTGCAGGAGATTTTCGAAGAGGTTCTTGGACGTTTGGATAAATAATACATTCTCCATCCCATAAAACGATGGATACTAGCTTTTATTCAACTACCTCTGGAGACGACATCCCTCCGGTTTTACCTTCACCATACAGAGTAAGTGGAAGGTTGTAAAATAATGTTTTATCGAAGGGAAGAGGTCTTTACAGCTCTGTCTGGCGGGAATATTTATAGTTAAAAGTTGTTTTTTGTCCTTGACAAGGGATCGGCAAAAGCGCGCATCCTGGTTTTTTCTTGAAACATATACCATTTGAAAGAGCGTAAAAAACTAGTCTAGGATCACCTTTTATTAGCTGCTATTTTTGCTCTACGCCCTAGCTAGCGAGCATTTTTTAAAAAATCCCGGTTGGATTTCACGACTCTTTGCTTCTGAACGGCTAAAAAGATTCAATACTTACTTTTCATATGTCCCATACGTACCTATGACGTCCAACGCTTCACCCTATGCCAAAGAATACACACTTTTTTCCGACCTTGAGATACCCAAGTCCATGTTCACAATGTGTCATCACGCGATCTTTTAGGTCGTGTAACCCAATGCAACATAGCGGGTAGAAAACATGTAAACCGTTTTCAGACTCAATTTTCACGTACTTTCCGTTACTGGGCTTAATTCGTAAAAATCTGAAAGTCGTTGAAAGTTCCAGCCATAGAAGATACCCACTTCAAGGGCAAGTACTACAAATTTGAAAGAATTTAAAAAATCTCCGTTTTTTCTTAAAAAACTACTCCGATTATACCACAAATGTCTACACGACACTCAAACACTATTTCCAGGCCTTATTTGCTTTGCAATATAAAGAAAATCAAAAAAAAAAAATCAAAAGAGGTTTCGAACCCGGTTCGCAGGTTCGCCTCGTTCAGCGCCTTACCCCACTAGGCCACCGAAGCACTGCTGCGCTGTGCTTTGGAAATCGTTCGGATTTGTTTCCTCGGAAAAAGGGTGAGATAAGCCTAGAACTAAATAATGCTCGCTAGCGAAGGCGTAGAGCAAAAATAGCAGCTAATAAAATGTGATCCTAGACCAGTTTTTTACGCTCTTTCAAATGGTACATGTTTCAAGAAAAAACCAGGATGCGCGGTTTTGCCGATCCCTTGTGAGAAATGTTTAACAAGAAAAAAGGAAACCGTTTGCTTGTTGATTCATTTTAGAACCAAGGCTGATTTTGGTCCGAATATTGATTTCCTCTTCAAGGTTTTCCAGAAGTTTTCTGCAGGTCCGCACATTTGTTTTTAATCGAGATCTTTATTTACCTAGTCAGATATCAATGGGATTTTTTCTGAAATCAAATATTATAGTTTGGAGCTGAAATAGGACTTTCACAATTGTCTAATGGGATTGTTTGAATATGCAATCGGTTAGTCGCCGTGATGTTGGTTAGTGTTGTTAGTCTGTCAAGTGCTTTTTCTTTCTGGTTCTAATGGTTCAAGACCCTTTATCTCTCGGAATGACCGTCAAAGAGCGGAGGACTGCGGAGAAACCGTTTGGTTTCGTCATTTCCGGTTCGACCGTCTCCCCGCTTCCCTCCATTCCCAACAGTTCTTTTTCTTCGCATCTTTCCGAATCTACCTGACCCCCTTGAACGAGCAGGAATTATGTCGCGCAGGGTCTTTAATTAGGCCGGCCTCCCAATTGCACATGGTTTGGTTCGAGGAATCCCGACTTTATATTTGAGTTGAATTACGGATAAGGTTATTGATGATTTTATGATACCCTTGGGCTACCTGGACCCTTGAAAACTGCATTGTCATGGTGTCTATTTGCTCGGAATAACCCGAATCTCGTAGACTCGCGTTCTTTTCATCTGCTGTTCGTATCGTTCTTCTTCTTTTTTCATTGGAATTAGGATAGGTTATGTCTTTTTGTTCCCTCATTATTCTCTGCGCTCAAAACTTGGAACATTACGGTAATTTTTCGTTGTCTTGTCTAACGGTCCGAGCTCATCGTTTTTCCATCTCGATTCCATAAGGAGTACCATCTCTCAGCTTTTACGATCATATTATTAGAAAGGAATCCCTAATTGGATCGCTCTTACAAAGGAGAAGACCTTGAGGTTACTAAGGGAGAGGCCGTTCGCGTTCCGAAGCATCCAGAATTCCCACTGCGGGTACCTTGGTCTCTGTCATCGGATGTTTTTCTTTGGTTTTATTGTTGTCCGAACACAACGCAGGGTTTTACGGACTTTCCTCGTCCCGAGCCAACAATCTTTTCTACTTTTCTTCGCTGTTTTGTTTAAGCCGAAACAGTTTGATAGGGAATACGTTCTCTTTGTTTTTCTGTAGTCAGATGAAATATATGACTAGCACTTTTTCAATTTTGCATAGAAGTAGTGTAAGCTTTTCAGCTTTCCCGGCGTTCTCCTCATAAAAACCCTATCAGTTGAGTACTTCGATTACTGATAAGCGAAAGAGCGTCGTTTTGCAAACGCTTCTTCCTGTCCCATTCAATTTTCTAAAAACGTGCGATCTGAGTGTAATGAGATATCCGAAGCAGAGGAGTAACGCCTTTCTCTAACTCCATATTGTAATCTCTCCTCTCGCTTTTTTGCAGCGAAAATAATTCCACCGGTCAGCGAGAGTTTTGTCAGAACTTTGGGTGACCATTTCGTTGCTTTCCCTCCGGCGGTTTACAGTGCATAACAAAGTCGATTGTTCGGATTTACTTTAGTATATGGATGTTTTATAGGCGGGTGTAGAGAGAGTAAACTTTGTTTTCCGGTCGATTAAGTCGATCTATTTTCGAGAATTGTCGGTCAGTTTCAAAGTGTCTAATTACGCCTTTATCAGTGACTCGTAAATTGAGTGTGCTAATTTAATGATTCCTAGCTCCAATTGAGTAAGGTGGCGATGGCTTTGGCGGGACTGATTGTATAGTAAAAGGGTGTTCGGAGTGACTATTATCACAGGTTAGCCGTCATTGCTTGTTTTGATAGTAAGAACGCGTTGTGTTTTGATGTTAGAATACATTGTAATGATGTTTACCGTTCTATTTCACCATATCCTTCATCTCCTCATTTTTCCAACCAAAGGTGCACGAACTTGGCTGAGGTCACCTTTTTTGTTTGTCGGTCTCCTACTTCGAATGGCCAAAAAGGCCGGGTCATATAGCCAAGCAGGCTTAATATGCCGCTCAGAGCTCTCTCTCTCTCTAAGGACCGTTTTTCTACAAATTGCGCTTAATTAAGTAATTTTCGGTAACACGGTTTCGAAATGCTCTGAATAGTTTAAAGAATCTTTTGTTGTTGGGTTTTTCTGATTTTCTGAGGGTCTGAAGAATGGTAATGTTCAATTCTCCTTCAATTTTGACTGTGTTTAACCTCTTTTCTACCGAAAAATCAGTTTTGTTGGATAATTGGTAGCGTTTACAGTCTTGACCTTTTTTCGTTCGGGGCTGTAATAAAAGTTTTCGAGTTGGAAATCGGATTCGAACTATGCTTTTCTCAATTTTTATTATTTATTCCAGGTTATGCGACCTTATTCTTAGCATATAGTAAGCCTTCTCTGACTCATTTCTAACTTTCTTTTCTGTGAATCAGAGTCTTTGTAGGCTTGAATATTTGATTAAAGCAGCTTTTACCGGTTTCCAGTCCAATTAAGAGAGGAACGTGAATTGATTACGAAAAGCCACCCAAAACAAATCGGATTTTGTTTTCGACGCAACGAAAAACGTTTTACGAACTCATGACAGTGATTTTATCAGCGTTTCCATTATTCATTCTGTGATTTATGACAGTTTATCACCTGCGGGGTGCCAAACCCGCGATTTAACGTCGAACGGCGAGATGAATCACCTCATTTCAAGTCTTCCGAAAAAGGAAATCCAATCGGAAAAAGTAGGAAACAGCTTGAGGAGAGGGTGAGGTGATCGGTCGCCCCTTCCAACGTGCTCCTTCTTTTTTTATCGATGACGTAACCATCGATTTTTGAAGTCGTTAATTCCAACGCCTCAAGGCTTAACGTTTCTTTTGGCAGAAGTTACGTTTCCCGGAACGAAATGGGTTTAGATACGGGGTTCAGCATCGGATTAAAAGTGAAGTTGGCTTCTAATTTTGTGGGTTTTATAGGTTCCGCTCTCTGTGACCTTTGTCTTCCTGAAAGTGCTTCGGCTGACAGGATAAACTCGGTAATTTGCGGTTTTTTACAGGGTTTTAATGGTTTACGGGCTACATACCGGATTGTAAATAGCAAATATAATGAGGAATTGCTTGTTTTTTAGTGGTGTTCATGAAAATTGCGGGAAATTTTAAAATCTTTGGTTAAAAAACACCTGCAAATTGTTTGAGAAAGGTCGGCTTGTTTCATTTATTCGTTTGATATCTTTTACACCTTTTTATGTTCTAAACCTCCTCTTTTACCTGGCCGCATCTCGGTTTGCCGGCTTTTCCTCTTTTCCCGGACCCTCTTTTTGTTCGCTTTTTAATCGCCATTGAATTCGAGGCAAAAAATCGAATATTCCAATCAATTGGATCTTGATTTTATTCGATTTTATTGTTTACTGCGTCTTTCTTGCCCCCATACCTCCTCTTACCTAAACGTGTTTGTCAAGAATTTTTTATTCGATCTAAAGACTCCTAATTTTAAAGGGAGAAGGGTAGTATAAGAAGTCATGTTCGGCTCGGAAGTGCCGGAAACCACTATTTTCTAACATCCCAGGTTGATTACTATATTTCAATCGAATCGATCTACTCTAATATGGTGAGTTTTGCAAAGGATTGTTTTAAGTGCTCCTGACGGGTAAAGTAATATTTATTTAAAGGGTTCTCCGTCTTTTCACGTGTGTGTTTTCTGAAGCAGATTGCTTTTTAAAATTGATTGGGTTATGAAATTCATAAAAGCAAAAGTAAACAAGAAAAGTGGGGTAAATTTCAATATTTGGATGACATAATTTAATGTCTACTTTGTTTAAGGCCAAACTCGAACGAGTCCTCGGCTCAACAGCATGCTCAAGTTCGATCTCAGTCGACCCCACTGCCGGTCTTGTCGCTTATCCAGCATCCTCAACAGTCGTTGTACAGAATCCCCGAGCTCAAGCCCAGGCTCATTTCATCTCCTCATCCAAGAATAACATCACATGTCTAGCATTCAGTCCGAATGGTAGGTTCTTGGTCACTGGAGAGTATGGAAATGAGCCAATGGTCAGAGTCTGGGAGATCCACAAGGACGGACAGAAAGAAAGCTTTGGCCAGCAAGTTGCCGAACTCAAAGGGCACAGTTTCGGGATCAGTTGTGTGGTAAGTTTTTTATGTTTCAGCATCTTACTGAGGATGGAATGTTCTATCATTGTTTCGATAACGTTTGACGGTTGAATTATATCTGTTATGTTTTCAGAGGTTCACTCCAGACAGTAATCAAGTGATATCAGTTGGAAATCAGCATGACAAATCGATTACAATATGGGATTGGAAGAATAACCGAACGCTGGCGGAATCTCGAGTGACATCTCAAGTGAATGCCATGGATATGGGCGATACTGGAAAAGTGATTGTCACTGTTGGATGCCGTCATGTGAAGTTTTGGCATTTGGATAATGACAACAAGGTGTTGCAAGTAAGATTGTGTTTTAAATGATTTTTAATCTTCGGAACTAATGTTATATAACTGAATTTAATTTCAGGGCCGATCAGCTATCCTGACAGAGCATCGAAACAACACTTTTGTCGATGTTTGCTGCGCTTCTAACAACCGAACTTTCACCATTACAGTAACCAAACTTCTGCTCGAACTACACGATAAGAAACTTGTAAATACATTCGAGTTACATCATGAAATTCCCCGTTCTATTTGCATGGGAAATGGACTTTTGTACATGGGATTTAACAATGGAACCATCAGAGCATTGAATCCGGACAATATGGAGGAGATCGCCATCCTCCCGAAACCTCATAATTTGAGGGTGGAACTGTGCGAAGAGAAGCTTTCTGAGACCGTAGACCTTCAGTAAGTGCTGTTTGACATGTCGTATACTTTGCATCAACTGTTATTGTGTTTTATTGGAGTTTGATTTATAATTTTTACTTTTTAGGTGTCCCGACGTCCATTCTATTGTTTATCACGAGAAATCCCGAACCCTGAGCTCTTTCTACAGTGACCGTTCCATCTATCACTGGCAGATTGGAGAAGACGGCCAGGTCTTCAAATTATCATCGCATCTCTTCCACGTGGGTACTGTATATGATGTGGAAGTTGTTAATGTAAACAACCCATACTTTCCTGTGGGTACCTTCTTCACGGCTGGTGCTGATGAAACAGTCAGGGTTTGGAACGTGGAAAAAGAACAACGAGAAGGAATCTTGCCCTCAAATATGTTTTCTTGCGAATTAAGAAAGATTGTGTATCTGGGAGCTGCTGGATACGAAAGCTTGACAGAACAACCGGATAGTACGTTTGTTTTATCGGTTTATGACAGATATGACTATGCAGATTCGTTACGTCGAATTTCAGAAAATTTCGGGGCCATTGCATCAGATATGTTAGACGCCACGAATGGAATTAGATGTCTAAAACTGAATCCTCTTGGAGAACACCTAGCCGTGGGGTCGAAAAATGGAAATGTCTCGTGAGTTAGACAGTTAGACATTTAATTTTTCTTTTTCAAAGTGAATTATGGTCAAATTTTAGTGTTCTTGACCTCCGAACACCAGAAATGTCCAAGATCTGGGAATGCGAAGCGCATGACAATGAAGTCAGATGCCTCGAATACACTGATCCCAGAAAGTGCGGAGGCCGACATTATCTGGCGACTGGCTCCAGAGATAGACTGATCCATATCTTCGATGTCAATGAGAACTACAACTACTTGGCGATCATCGATGATCACCAGAGCAGCATCTACAGAATACTGTTCATACCATCAGCTACTGGTCTGGAGATGGTCACTTGCTCAAATGATAAACTGATAGTGGTCAGAAGGCTGAACCAAACGGCTCCAGACACTCCACCCACATTCCACCGCATAACTCAACTCAATATCACCGGAGGGCCCAATTATGTGGTCACTACCCCCGAAAATAATCTCCTGGCTGCATGTGGAGATCGGAAACTTCATTCCTATTCATTAAATGGGAAACTAATCAAGTCGGTGAAGGGAACGCTTTGTGAAGAGGGCAATCTGACCAAGGTCGGTTCAGGATTTATATAGTTTATAATTGTTTGGGGACAATTGCGTGAGAGTTGAGGTCATGTTTGTATAATAGAACAAATTCTGCGCGAAAAGAGGTCACTCTATTATGAGTCTGGGTATTTTATTCTTCTGGGAGAGTTTGACGGGGGTTTTTACAAAGTAGGGATGTTGTTTGATATGGTTTTGATATTGCTTATGGTGAATATAGTTATGTATAGGTATTTTGTTGTTATTGAGGTAGAAAAAGATTTGATATGGTGCTAAATTGAGTAATAATAAATAGTGTCTGATTTCAGCTTGTTCTTGACCCCTCTGGAACATACGCGGCCACCATTTGCTCTGACCGTTATGTGTATATAATTGATGTTGCCACTGGAGAATGTGCCGCTGTTCTGTCGGGGCAATCTGATACTGTTGCCTCTGTTACTTTCACAGCGGATTGCAGGTAATCTTTCGTAATTTTTTGCATTTTTTTTGTCGTGGTGAATATAATTGCTTTGAGATAACGTCGTATATGTGTTTCCAGACGCCTGATCCTCGTCTCCTTCAGCGGCTGCATATTTGTTTGGCGCCTCTCAAATCTGCTGACCAAACGGATGCTCGCTAAACTCGACCAGGACCGGTGAGTGCTTTGAATATTTTATGTTACGAGTGGGAACAATAGAAGGCGAAAGGGAACCGGCCTCGAATCCCCCTCAAATGTCAGCACTTTCCCACTGATCGCGGCCCCTAACTATAAGTGGATCGGACAGTCGGGAGACCGGCATTTCGCTTGGCATTTCATATTATACTAGGTATTCCGAACTCTGAGTAATGGCCTACGAAACACAAGTAGTGGGTCTAATGTTGGGGTAGGTGAAATGTCAAAGATTTTTAGGTTCGCGAAGGTCATATGGGTTTAAATTTGAGAATCTTAAATGGAATCGGTCGGTCAGCTCTAATTACAGGTTGTTTGGATACCTTAAGACCCTTTTTAGTATTCCTTAAAATGCCTTAAAAGGCACGCTCCCATCATCCTGCTGATTTGAAAGAGGAAATCGAGGGTCATTTAACCTAATTTCACTGCCTCTGGCATTGTTGTTTATCTGATCCGCGCATAAAAACTGCAGGGATTCTGGCAGATTCCTCTTGATTTTGAAGGCTGCCGAAGAAGAACCGTGTTTTTTTCTAGTTTTTCTCTCATAATATCGAATTGGGCACTGTAAATGAGATACGGGTTTTGTTAGGGATCGTCAATAATGTGTTAGAAGAATAAAAGATGGTTAATCGTCCATTGAATGTGTCTAAGATGTTATTTTAGTTTTTTCGCTTTCACTGATGTCTAAAATTGAACAGACTTTGCGTTTTGAATCGTTTCACATAGGTTAGACCTTAATTTAGATGATTTTTTGAGAAAAATAGCTGTTATTTATAGAAAAATAGCTGTTATGAAGATATTTATCACTGAAAAGTGCGTGTTCTTGTTGAAAATGATTTTTTTAGAAGCACAACCCCTGACAGCCTAATCGAAAGCGGCTCGGACTCGGCTTCGGCGATAGCCAGCAAGAAAGAACATCACGGATCCGAATTTGGATCATTGAACAGTCTTAACGTCGCCCAAGACGACGATCTGGACTCTGGTGTTGGCCTGAGACAACCAAATCTCTGCAAAGTACAAGCTGATCCGAACACGTAAGTTGATTTTGCTTATAATGATAGTTTTATTCTGATTTGGGTTTTGGTCAGTTGAAAGTTGAATGTGAGAAAATTTATGTTGATTACATGGGAATGCTGTCAGCATAATTAGTCACGAATTACGCAATTATCCGCTTCCTGCTTGTGGTATTTGATTACCTAGCCCAGATCAATCTAACTCCTTCCTGTGCTCTATTGGAAGCAATGGACAGCCGTCTTTTTATCGCCTCCGATTTCAAAAAACATCCATCTTTTGGCCATTTTTTATCCATCGGAAATAGTTTAAAACCGGGTCCCCTTCATTTCCCCACTGATGGGCGCAAAAGTCTATTCCTCAAGGGCCTTGAGGGACTTGAGTTTAAGTGGCCGGAAGATGACCGTCATGTTCAACATCGCCTATCATCATGAGCATCGCTCCTAGCTGTTTTTTTCCGATCCAATTATCGAGTATTCGAATAATTTTTGAGATTTTGTTGGAGGGAATGTATGCTCAGCCTTATGCTCCCTTAATTTCGGCTTCCAAGACTCCAGATGTTGTTTACCTTTTGATTATATGTTGGGGAATTGGAATGCAAGTCCGCGAGGATCTGATGCCTCATTTGAGACGCCTAAAAGCGCATTCCCAAATGAAGGTTCTCAGCTCGTCGCCCTTTTTATAAACGGTCGCCGGTGCGATTTCATAAAAAAGAAATTCCGACAAAAAAGTTTTGATTTTGCCTTCAGGGTGCGACGAAGACGGGTTTACAATCCAACTGATGGTTTGGATGCTGCTTTTTTTAAGGTAGAACAGGGAGCTGTAGGGCGTTTGCCTTGTTTCTGATTGATATTGGGGTATTTGGACGGATTTTTTGATTTATTAATGTTTAATTAAATTTTTTTAAGTTTTATAAAGTAGTCATCTTTTTGCTGAAAAGCTGGTTATGGGGGTGTCTTCTGTCGATATTTTTCCTTAAAAATCGGCTGGAGTTTATCGATTTGTTAACTGATTTATCAGTCCTGGAAATGATCTGATTTGTTAAATTACCCGACAAACTAGAGCCTATTGATCAGTCCGTCGAACTCAGGTCTCCTTTCTGTTTTTGCTGCAGACATTAATCTAACCCCAGCCGTGAAATCGAATAACCCACGGAGTTTAGCCTTTGAGAAACGAATATTTTTATTTGCTCGGATTTTTGTGGAAATTGTGTTTGTTCTAGCCACCTCCCCCTCGCTCTTCTCCCAGCCTTCTTCTAACAATAATTTCTCGCGCCTAACCCCGGGTCCGGCAAGGTCGATGACCCAGGTTCCATTGAGTTTGGTCCACTTTTCTCAAGGTTTTTATTGTCTCCGAAGGAGAAGATTGTTTTTCTTTTTTCCGAAATGTTTGGATTTGGAACGGGTCTTATTGCTGTTATCAGTCAAAATTATATCGTAAAAAGTATCGGAAAAGCGGGGAATTAAACGTTTTTATGATCTGAAATGTCATAAAATTTTAAACCTTTGTAAATTACTCAAAGAAGTCGATGACATTATGTATTAAAATTTAAATTTTTTAAGTCTGGGATGAACGAAATGACTCATCATTGTATATTTCAGGACCTTCAGCATCAGCCGAGTGAACACCGAAGTGATAAGAAGATCTTCCAGTAATCTCGCAGCCACCTCAACCGGCGATCTGCGCCCTGAAGGTAAGAACAACACGTTCCAATGTTCCTTGCAACCTAATCCCGCTCGAGTGTTACGCAACAACGTTGAGTAATATCGTTCGAAATCTGCGCCATTTCACGTCAGCTCATGTGGGGTGTTTGGGTCATCTTTTTTTCTTGGTTTAGATCCCCATTTTATCCGAAATCGCTCGTTTTCTGGCGATCTTTCCCTGGATCGGCGCCTTTAATCTCCCAAAATCTCTGACCCGATACAAAAAAGCGCAATGTTTTGGGAAGAGAGAAGAACCCGGTGCGAACTGACAATATTTCAACTTAAAATTGCAAATGAGAATCGCTTACTGGGGGAAAAAATTGGTTTAATCGAAATTTTTGGAGTCGCGCAGGCAATAAATCTTGGGAATTCCTTTGGATTCGACGCTTTTTTCATTTGGAAGTCAAAAGTTTCTGTTTTAAAGCGCTATTTTATAGCTTAGAATCGTTGAATTTTAGAGGGGGTGGCTTGATTTTACAATGTTTTGGTCGCACGTTTAATTCATGCTCAAAATGACTGTTAGGAATTCCGATTTACGTGATGAAGAAGTTTTCTCGATTTAAACTTTATAAACAATCTTTTAGCTGAGCAAGCACCAGCCATGTATCAAGCCGGTGCCAGTGTTATCAGTCCTCAAGTGCCTCAGGGCTACACAACCTCAAGGTCAATGTCTAATATTCATCGGACTGCGGTTTCCCCGCAAAGAGCAAGGAGAAGGTGGAATGTGAATCCGAATGAAACTTATGGTAAGAACTCTTGATACTGTTATATTATTTTTTTTTGATGAAATTATATAGAAAACGATGATTTTAGAAAAAGATATTGAAAATTTTTGATGATAAAAGCTGTTGAACCGATGGAAAATATGTAATCTGGTTATTTTTGCCGAATATACATCGTAAACATCTTAAGTCTTCTTTTTTAGACGCGAACTCTACTTACAATTATTCGAATGGGACCCTCCCCTTCCCCACTCAGCAGAATCAAATTTATGCCCAACCTCAACTCCCACCGCAACAATTCAATCAATCCACTCCGAACTCGAGATATCGTAAGATTTTGCGTGTTTTAATTTCTTTCCGAGAGTTTAGGGATCAGTAAAACAAAGTCAGGAGGGCGTCTTTTTGATGTTTTGAATGGAAAATAAAGTTCTTATAGAGTGTCTAGGCTAAAAGTGATGTCGACTGGAAATAAGAAGTTTTGGCAATGTTTATTTTTTGTTTATATTATTTATTAAAGTCTTTCTATACTAAAAACTATTAATTTCAGCACAAATGCACAATTCCATGTCGATGAACGGGATCCGGCAAGCTGTTCCACAACAAGATGATGGTTATTTGATGTCCTCAACTCCCAAGAACTCTCCTCAAACAAATCCATATCATCAGAGAGTAATCGATGGACAGTTTGATAGAAATGGAAGGTCCAGGAATTCCATTTCCAAGAGATATCTGAATGGATCTGAGAATCAGGATGGAACTACTGTCTGGAAACCCTCACAGCTGAAGCAAAGACAGCCGTCAAATCTATTCAGTCCAACACGACAGTCCAACTTGTCTCCACGAAGACGTAAGTATAACTTTTTGATGATTAATCTGCTTTTTGGGATGCTTAACATGTGTAATATAACGTAAGATGATGAAAAAACGCTTACTAATATGAATATTGGTTATGACACCTACGTTTTTCGGGGTTAGTAGTACGTTTTTTGCTTTGATTTATCGGATGTTTATGGTTGTCGATGTTATTGCAAAATGTAAAAGTTCCATGTGTTGTGCTAACTATGAAGTTTAAATTAGGTATTTAACAGCATTGTTTTGTCACTTGACAGTCCAATTAACATCTTTGTTTTCTCTCCTATGTTACCGTGCTTCAGAATCCCTAACATCGTCGTCGTCCAAATCCTCCTCATCCCGAATGTATCAACCCCGAGTCCCCAATTTAAATCAATCATTGAATATCAACGAGTCTTCGCCAAGCAGGTTGGCCAGCCGAGTCCTCAAACAACGCCGCACCGCCGTAAATGAGATTAACCAAGGTTCGATTGAAAAGTGTTCGTTTTCTGCTTTTGTGAATTTTTGTTTTTTTCTCTTTTTCAAGTGTAATTTGTTTAATTAGCTTAATGATTGCGTTTGGGAGACTCTTACAGTTACGGTTTTGTGGGTAATTGTTTGATTCGTTTTGTTTTTTCGTTTGGCTAGGAATTCCGTTTTTTCGAAAGGATACCCTATTTTGAGTGATTCTGTATTGCTTTTTATGGTCTAATAGTTTTACTTTAGATGAATCCTCGTTTTCCAATATGACCGCATCTGAGACCCTCCGTGCCCTCCGGTCACGTTCTCAATCTCCCTCTACTCTGGCTCTCCAATTGGCTGAACAACAAAGCAGAAAACTCTCGGCAACTCTTCAGCGTCGTCGAGATTCGGATGCCAGAAGTGGCCGAGCGACTCCATCTTCGTCCAGAGCTAATCTAAGAACCCAATCCAATCTGGGCAACTCGAATCAGGCTCTGAATAAGCTGGTGGAGATGAGAGATCAACTCAAGAAGAGTCAGGACAACTTACTTTTGGTTGCTGATGGACCTGCAGGACCTCAATCTTCCGATGGAATCATGGCCAGAAGTAGATCCATTGGGAATCTGAGAATGAGTGCAGCTCGACCATCTCCTTCAATCAACGTGGATGATGGGTATTATGGAAGTCAACGGCAAATGACTCGGAGTGTCAGCTCATTACATAACACCTCAACTTCTCCTAACAGCTCCGATTCTCCACATCCGGACGAGAATAATCTCAGAAGTCAATATGGAAATGAGAGAAGACGATCAGCTATGACAGCATCTGTCCGGAATTTGCATAAAATGTCAAATCCAGATCTGGCCGATGAAGTTTTTGAGGAGAATGATAAGGTGGAGCAGTTCAATGGAGGCAGTGGAGCTTACTATTCAGCGACATTACCCAAAAACTTGAGGAAAGGAGCTGTTCAGAAGAGGGTTAGTTGTTGAATTTCGAAGAATAAAAATCGGAGTTTCTTATCTTTAAAACTACTTTTTGTTATTTTTTCAATTATTTACAGTCCAAATTTTTAATGCTTTTATAACTTTCAGTTGGAAAGAAGTAACCCTCGGCTCTTCACTCGCCTAGATCAACAAACGACAAGTGGAGACAGTGATTCCAACGCTTCTGACGCCTCTCCTTATAACAGTGTTCAACAACGGGCTCAGCTCTTCCAACAAAGGGCAACCCCGAATGGAACTCAGTTCAGATCTGTGAGCTCGGTTACTCCAAATTCGAGGCCAATAATTGCCAGGAAAGGAGGAAATTATCTGTCCAGATTGAACCAGCCAGAGGAAGGTCGGGAGGTGGAGGAGAGAAATCCAATTGTTGAGTTGAATGAGGTCGATGGAATCAGCGCCAATGCGAAAAGTAAGTGTTGGGAGAGGTTAAAGTTATAGAAGTAGTAAGAAGAGTTGGTTTGTATATTGCACCTAAAAACTAAAAGTATTGGTGATAGAGATGAGTAGTATGTATCTGGTACAGAGCGCTCTTTGGTCGGCAAATTACGTTTCTCGGTGAACGGCTCAAATTGTCCTCCAAAGATTTAAAAAACTGCCGTTCCTCCTATCAGGAATCCCTTTGACGGCGCTCCCATGCCGTTCACAAGGTCAAAATTCCGATCATGTGGCAGGCGGAAGAGTTTTTAATTATACGCAGATTTATGAGAAGGGAGAATAGAAGAAGGGGACGACCAGAAGAAAAGGAAATGAGGCACATCTGCCCAGCCCTTTCTAAACATTGGTTTTCCTTGGCTCCGAACTTTACTGGGAGAGCCAACAAGCCATAAGATGACGTTCCATGACTTTACTTAGTCATGGAAAGAATGAGGAGTGTGGTTTTGTAGTAGATGGATATTTCATGTGGTCCTGTGACATTGCCTTGGTTATCCACCAATTATCTTCGTGGATTGTGGCAGGGATGTCGGCGATTGTTTTTCAAGTGTCATTATTATAAAATCTGTTTGATTGAGCACCCGGATAGCCCTTACGAGCATTTGTTCGTACTCCTGCTTGATTTTCAGTTGTTGTTTCTCCTCAAACCTGAACTATTATCCTGTAATCATCACCTTCTCACTCTGAATGAACAGTTTTAAGTCCAAAGATCTGACAGGCCCTTGAGTGTCGGCTCAAGGCCAACGATCTTTTCCTCTTCATGAGATGCCCAAAAGTTGTTCTTCCTTTCCTTTTTTCCTCACTCACCTCCAACTGATAAATGGCCTCCTCCTTTCTCTTCAGCGGCCTCACTCAGATCGCATACAAACTTTTCCCAGAAATATGTCAAAAGAGGTCCTCCGACCTCTACAATCTCTAATGCGGCCACTCTCGGAATGGGGGTGATAAAACAGACCCCTCTCCACTATGGTTTTTAATGCTTCTCGAAATAGTTATTGGTTTTGGAGGTTATCCTTGATTGAACAAGAGCTGAGCCTGTCTTCAGAGACACACGCTTGTTGAGTCAGTCTGTCTCTTGATTTTGATTTGAGATCTGGTTCGATTGGAAGTTTTTGGGTTTGATTGTTTGGGAAGTTGGAGTCGGTATACTTACAATCATATTTTTTAAAATGAGAATCTGCCAAAAAATAAATCCAATCTTTCTTTATTTGTTATTTATCACCAGGTTTCATGGTAATGTCAGAGTGTCTTTTGTTTGATCAGCTGGTGATCCCCAAAAACCTGAAATAGGATCCCCCGTTTGATCGTTAAACGGTTACCGCAGTAAGAGTTGCATTCTGCGTGGTTTTGAACCTCCTCGATCGTACTTTTACTATTTCGTTTCTGCAGGCGTTACGTGATTGGCGATCAAATTACAATTCCGTTTTTTGCATCCAGCAAAGTTTTTTCTTCTTTTTCGCAATTACTAAAGCCCTTTTTCTCACCGGTAGGAACATGGCTTTAATTAGCAATACTGAATATCAAATTGTATTCAATTGCTCCACGATATTAAAGCGGGCTTAATCGAAGTGTTTCATAGCCTGAACTCCCCATTTATAGGGAGTTTTGTAACTAGCAAAGGGTTTGTATTCTTTGTAAAGAAGCCCGATCCAAGATCCTCTCCCTCCTTCTCCACGTCATCTCATGTTCTTATGATTCTTATGATCGTCCTTCCTCTTTATTTGGCTGATCATTTCCCCGGCGTTTGTTTGCGTGTGCATGAATAAGGTCGTCCCTCATCTTTCTTTTCCTATTTAAAACCCTTCTAAGGACCATGTTGACCCATCTCCGTCCCTCCACCGCCTCTCCTCAACGCCGTCAGGTCAAGTTCGCCGAAATGCCGGAGGCACTAAACCCTCAAGCTTACAAGAGGCCGATCTCCCCGTCATCATCATCGACGTCATCAACGAGCTCCACGAACAAATCCTTTATTAAGAGCACCCACAGCTCGCTAGCGACTTCTCGTCGACCTCCTGCGGCTCCGGCTCCAAGACCGGCTCCGGTTTCGATCCGATCTTTAAGTGCCTCCAGCCAGAGGGAGCGGAGGATTAAACCAGTGCAGAAACCCCGACTTCACGCTCAGATAACTGCTCTGAATAATGTGACACGGGTCTCCGTACCAGATACTATTCAGCCGTTGAATCTGGATATTGATGAGCCTGAAGGTACCGCGGTTTTAGGGCTAAAATTATATTAGTCTTTACAAGAGGTTATGTCTTGGTTTTTATGTTTGTTGATTTTGTTTTCAAGCTCTATGGACCTTGATAGGAACACTGCCGAAATGTTAATTTACCCTTAATGCATTTTGATGAACCAGTTTAGCCATTGGTTGATTAGGTTCCCCTCCTCCATTGGAAAGGAAAAAGCATTTCGAAAACTATCAAACACTAAAATTGGGTGCTATAAAAGTTATCTACAATAAATATGGTCGTTAAGATTAGTGTTAGAGAGGTCACTACCTATTATTGATCTTTTAAATGCTTACGCTGTATCTTTTCAGACATGTCTCTACACGCCCAAGAATGCATCGAACAGATGACAAAGTGCTGTGACAAACTGATCCAGGCCAGCCAGATGGTAAGCACTTGTGATTCGATTTCTTATTTATGGAGTATTGGTTTCAGAACTTATTATATAATTATCACAATTTCAGATTGAAAAAGATGGTTCAATTACTGATGCCGAACGGGAGAAGATCCTCAGACCCATCTATAAGGCAATCAACCAGTTTAAAGGTCGATTGGAGAGCGCATTGCCTGAGGGCAGAACCTTCTCCGATATGACCAATGTCACTAATGCTGAATCGGGGAGCTATCGGGGATCGGGGTAAGCAATTTGATGATCATTTTTGGCATGTTCAAAGTTGTTTTTTGTCATTTAATGTTAAGGTTTCTATGATCTTATGTGGTGTATTATTTTTTAATATAATTTGTTCCTTTCAGTCGCCCGTCCAACATTTCCAACGGATCCCATCACGCCCAATCAGCAGCCAACTCCTCAGCGCCACTCGAGATCAACGAAGACTTCTTCAAAACTCATGGTGCAAAAATAATGCAATTTGTACAGGAAAGCATGTCCCGCAGTAACTGATCCGTTACTCCTACTTCTTAACACTCTCAGCATCTCAAGTGTTGTTTTTTTGTAATTAGTGACCCGTTCAAATGGTGCTACCATCTTGTTCTTACATTTTTTCTCTAACTGTACTTACTTTTTTTACATTTTATCTTATATTGTACTAATTATCACTTATTCTTATTACTTTAGGTAGATTAGAACCCTAAACAATATATATATTTTCACTTTCGTCTTTAACAATTTTTTGATTTTCATTAGTATCATATATAATTTGTCCTTGTCTCACCCTTGTGCCTTATAACGCCCGATTTAAAAGTGCCGATTCGAATGAATTTGACCATATCGATTACCGTAGAGCAATATCTTCTTCTCTGTATCCCCTCACAAAAGCCAAAAGATAATAATATTTGCCGCCAATAAGAGAGCCTTCTTATATCAGCGAGTAAATCGAAAATAAAAACTAGAATAAAAGTTTCGGGACTTGATATATGCATAAAGAATTCGAGATGATGTAGTCAATAATGTTTACTCTACATACTCAATCATCGTACTCATAAAATCGGGTATACACACATATACATACATATCATCTACCAAGGTTGTTAAGTCGTCAACTTGTCAAATTGCCGTCATTTTCGTCTTGTCAAATTGTTCTGTCATTTTGATTGCAAAACTGAACTGTTTTTTGAATTTTTTTGTAAATTTTTACTAAAAAGCCGTAGGAATTTAAAACTTTTAGGAACTAAATTGCACTTTCTTGTCAAAACGAGCGATGATATCATCAGTAAAACCAGTTGCGACTAATATTAACGGTATTCAAAACAGTCTATGTTAAACTCGCACATAAAGCTTCGTATATTAGAATTTTAAATTTAGCCAAAATGACGCTATTTTGACGTCCAGCTGACGGCAGATTGAAAAATCCGTCAACTTAACAACCCTAATATCTACTAAAAACAACCGATTTTTCAATGATGATATCGACTTTTGTAGGTCTGGAAATTGTCGGGGATTTCACTGTCCAGGGATTCTTAAATAAGGAAATAAATCAATGCTCAAAAATCATACAAAAAAATCAAAGATCAGAACTCACCTCCATGAGTGATGTCATTGTATCCGGCAATGACATTTCGTGTTGCCCCATTCTTGTATCTTCTTCGATCATCAACATTCCTGGCCACCATACTAACATAAGTAGCCTCATCGATGTCGTCCAATCTCTCCTCTTCGTATTTCACTCTCTGGGGCTTTGGGCGATAAGATTCCAGGCTTCGATCGAGATCACTGTCTTCCTCTTCTAGAGAGACTAAAAACAGTAGTAAAACTTCTTCTTCCGCAATGTAAGGTTCAAATGACACAAAACTCACTCGTTTTATCGAGGTATTTCTTCATGGACGGAGTGTAGTCGACGGTCCCATTCTTATCCAAGTAGGACTTCGGCCTACCCAACTTCTCCCCGTTCCTAGCTGGAAGTTCTGGATATCTTCTAAACATCTCCGAATGCCGAGTTGGTGGACGCGTTCGAGGTGATGGGGAATGCACCTCTTCTCTTTGGACATAATAAAAAGCATGCGTAACAGATCGGGCAGAATTTGGCTCCCTAAAGTGAAAAAAAAATATATAAAAGTGAAGTACAAAAACTAACTTAGACTTACTGATTTTCTTTGCTATTGTCAACATGCTTCTCGGCATAGAACCTTTGTTCTCTTTTGGACTGTGAGGAGCCGGCCAATCCACTTCTGAGCCCATTTTCTTCACGTTTCAGCCGATCTTCCAGCTAAAATATAAAATAAGTAATATTTGAACGGTCGTCACACACATACTTCTTCAAACTGACTTACTTCTAAGAAACTCGCTTCAGGCACGTCCAGTCTACCCTCTCGTGCCGAGCCTTTCAAATCAATCACCGGAATTTCCTCTTCTCCATCAACACTCACATATTTAACCGGATCTATTTTTGTTGTCTTGCTCAATTTGCTTATCTAAAATTCAATGAAAATAAACCCACTGTGACCTACAATCTTATTCATTTCGTCAACATCTTTTTCGTTCTTCAGGCACCGTTCTGATAATCCTCTAAGCGACTTTGTGGTAGTTACAATATCTTTACAGGTGTTGACTTGATTCTCCTTCATATGGGAAACTGTGCTTTTCAAATCTTCGATTTTTTTATCTTGGCTGGTAACTTTCTTGGAAAGCTCGTCAACCAGTTGTTGAAGTGTTTGCACTTGAGCACTTAAGGTATGAGGAACATTATGATGGTGAAGGTTAAAGGTAGAAGCAGACATGGCTCTGTTGAGAAGACCAGCGGAAGCGTTGAATCGACCAGTTTTAGCCTAGACACCGATGAAAAAAAAGAAACAACTTACGTGAATCGTATCCTCCAATTTGGTGGTTCTCCCAAAAGCCACAACTCTTGGAATCGCCTTCTGATTTACTGGAGGAGAAGGTGGAGGTTTGGATCGTTGACGCACTCTCTCGTCGGCAGTCAAACGAGGTGGCCCGGTAGCAATAGTAGCTCTTGGGAACGAATTTGGATTCTGGGGAAGCGGACTCAACGTTTTCGGACGAGCAGGACCTCTGAAATGCCAAGTGTAATAAGGCAAAAAACATGAATAACAACAGAAAAATATTTACTTTTCAACCGGCTCACTGACTTCGGTCACTCGGCAATTATTAGACTTCTGTACGGGATTCACGGAGTAATGATAGCTAATTGGCGTGAAATCGTTCTCTTCTTCGCTCTCGCTCGTCGAGACGTCACGGCATCGCATTCTGAATGAAATAAGAAGATTAATCAAATGGAAAAGATTCATAAAAAAGCCATCGATTATTCAATTTAAACAGAAGTCACCAAATATAAATTTCATAGACTTTCCGCGCGAAAAATACTATTCATGGCCGTAAAGGTGAATAAAAAGACCTAGAAAACCGTCTAATCGGTTCAGACAAATCGCGCACACATGTAAGGAAGTAGGACACCCCATGAGGTAACCCTCGAATGTCATAGCAACAGAGCTGAGCGAGAGCGGACGATAAAATCCATTTTTCGCGAAATTTTCGGCTCGACTTCATTTGAAGAAAAAATCAGCCGCCAACAAGGGAGAGTCGACACACGGTGCCAAGTGTTCTCCTAGACAGAAAGTGGTCGATTTTGCGACAGATTGTTGATTATTGTCAGTACTACTTATTTCATTGGTTGCGCATGGTAAAGAATAATATACGAAAATATTGTCTTTAATGACATTTTGGGAGATCTAGGCTGTTCTTAACAATGTGCTTATTATTATATTATTAGTCTTCTTCCTCGTCGTGCTGTCCGAAGTCAATGTAACCATAAGCCTGTTGACAGTTATTGAGTATTGCCGTTAGGATCTTCTGGATGTCTTGGAATTTTGGACGATTCTCAGGATCGTTCTCCCAGCATGACGTCATAATCGGAATGCTGAATTGATACGATCACTTGATATTCGAATTATAGTCTATGCTTACATGTTTTCCGGGGTCTTCTCTGGTACTTGAGGGCGTGCTCCCTTCTCCAGTTGATTCGATAAGACTTCCGCCGCGATATTAGGGTAGGGATCGGCACCATCGGAATAGATCTCATAAAGTAGAACGCCAAATGACCAGCTATAATATTAGTTATGAGGTCCATGAGAACTAATCGTCTTAGAGTGGGTATTTTTATCACTTACATATCCGATTTTTCCGAGAATTTTCCGTTCAGAGCTTCGATGGCAGTCCATTTGATGGGCAATCTGGTCGAAGAAGCTGTAGCTGACTGTTCGGAATGAATGCAGAGACCAAAGTCACCAATCTGTGATGTGTTGGTTGTGCTTAACTTTACCTACCTTAGCAGTCAATGGTTTGGAGAGTAATATATTTCTGGCCGCCAGATCTCGATGAATCAAACTAAGTGAAGCCACATAACTCATTCCGTCGACGATTTGCCAAACAATCGATAAGAAATCCTTCTGGGTCAACGCGTTATTTGTTCCTTTGAGCATATTCAAGAGATCTCCCAATTCACATAATTCGAGTACTAATATTGGACTGATGGAATCAGTTACACATCCAACTAGATGAATAATATGTTGATGACCGTACACCCTTTTCATGATGTTAATCTCGTTAAGGAATTCAGCTCGGGAATTATCATCGGCCTCTTCGTTGAGTTCTTTGATGGCCACTTTCTCATCTTCTTTGTTCCAAACTTGTAGAGTTGATGATTTAGAACCTTTAATAGAGCCGTCCTTGCAGAAGTTTCCCTGATACACTGTGGCAAAGCCGCCTTTACCAAGGACTTTGCTTTTGTTCAAGATTAATTGACCTGGATGAATTTCCCATTTATCTCTGAAACCATCGTTTAGGACCTTGTTTTAGTTGTTCTTACTTTTTGAATCCAAAGTTAGTATAGTATTCGTTTCCGTAGGTGTCGTCCTTTTCTCTCATCATGAAACTAAAAGTGCCGTTGTTAGATTGCGCGTATTATAATAAAGTTTGGTTACCTCAAGTTGAGCAATTTGTTTTTGCCGGGGAAGTTACAGTATCTGAGAATGAAACAGCTTATAATACATAAAATAACCATTAGCCCCAGTAGAACTAAACCAGCGATTAACCAAGGGCTCATTGGAGTAGGCAATTCTACTGTGTACTTGTCACAAGCTTGAATATTATCGTATAACATGGTCCCGTTCTGCCGACTGTGGGATATGGATAACATTGTACCCATGGGTTTGGAGAGATGTCCCATTTCACAGTCACGGTTGTCAACTGGCGATAGATAATCAAACTGAAAAGGGGATTTTGTGTTCTTTTTGTGTTTCACTTACATTAATCCACATAACATGTAATGGCAAGTTGTATTGTTTCATAAGTTTAAGTAACTCCGAGTCTAGATCCATTATAAGGTCATAGAAGTCAGGATATTGTATCAACTGCAGACAACGAACGTTTGTTATGAGCAGTACTTTCGAATATTGCAGACAGCCATCTTCCTTTAGCTCTTGTTCAAAGTATTTCACGAAAGTGTAATTCTTATGGCTAGAGATATCAGTACTGCAATAATGTAGTCGTCTAACTTACGGTTCGACAGAGAGTCGATTCATATCTTTTATATATTCATCCATATTCTCTGTGCATTCATCTCCCACCAAACAGGTGTCTCTTGAGTTGTCATTGATATTCAAGATGACCAATTTAGTGTCCTGGCTCTCGTAGGCAGCACTTAGAGAGCAATTCTTTAGGAACTTTTGAATATATTCCACTTCTTCCGGCAAACTACTCGTCATGTAGAAAGGTAACACATATAATGTTCGTCTACATTGCTCCGAATAACATATGGTTCCTAGTAATATCAGTAGAATAACATTTACTGCCTTTCCCGTCATTGTCTGGTGATAACCCAAACTTTGAATGGCGGAACAAATGAGGAAACAACACCTAGGTCCATGTCAAGTGAAACGCGTTGAGCGGCTTACCACTGATAAGCACTCCTCAAAAAACCGAAACGATTTAGATGATGCTTTTTAATAATCTGTTCTGCATATTCACAAATCATCTTTTACAAAAACGGGGTATTAAGAGAGAATAACAAAGAAAAAAGAGGGAAGATACAGTAGACTATCCCAAGTGGGCGATTAGGACTTTCTACTCGTATAATCCAAAAAATGGAAAACGAAGCAAAACGAGAACCATCCGAATGATAGTCTAAGTTGGGCGCAAAGACCGCATTCTGATGATCCGTGAATTATTTAAATTAGCGAGTAATGGAGGATTCTGATTTGGAGGATTATGGATTTAGAAGTCAAAGTTGCGAGAAGATGAACGTAACACAGCAGCAGAAGCAGAGGTCGCCAGACCGCCGGCTGGGGCAATCGACGCGGAGGAACGGTTCTTGGCACGGAGTTTGGACAAGGAGTTTTCGGCCAAATCAGCGCGCTCTTCGGCCTCATCGAGTTGGGCCTGGAGTTGACGGTACTTGCCGAGGTTGGTGGCGGCAACTTCTTCCTGAAATTCAAAAGTAATTATTATTTACTTGGTCTTAGGCCATCAAGTAGTTGAAATAAAACTTACGGCTTCCTCAACTTGTCTCTTGTAGACCTTGAGTTTGCCTTGGAGTTTGTCGATGAGGTCAGTGAGACGTTCGGCGTTCTTTTTATCCTCTTCGACTTGGAAGTCGAGCTCCTTGACGCGACGTTCGGCACGACGGAAGTTCTTGTCGGTGTCTTGGTGACGGCGTTGTTCTCCATCCAATTCCTGTTCGACGGCGCGGATTCTCTCCTCGAGTTTGGCAATGATGCGCTTTCCTCCCTTGAGGGCAGCGGCTTCGGCCTCGTCGAGTCGGACTTGCATCTCCTTGATCTGGATCTCGAGTCCCTTGCGGAGACGGTCGACATGTTGGGAGTGTTCTTGTTCTTGACGGAGTTCTTCGGCAAGACGGGCAGCATCGGCGGAGGCCTTCTTGGCCAATTCGTCGGCGTTGCGCAACTCGGTGAGGGCCTCGTCGAGTTCGGCGTGGAGGGCTTGGAGTTCTCCTTCGAGCTTTCTCTTGATTCCTCCCAGGCTGTTGACTTGGCCACTGAGGTCGTTGACGAGCTCGCGGAGTTCGATGAGATCAGCCTCGGCGGCACGACGGGCGCGTTCGGCAGCTTCGGCTTGGACAAGGAGCTCCTCCTTCTCGGATTGGAGGATGGCGTTTCTCTTCTCGGAGTTGAGGAATTGTTCGCGGATGTCGTCGCGGAGTCTCTGTTCCTCTTCGACTTGGAGTTGGAGTTCGCGGATGAGGTCTTGGTGCTTCTTGATGGTCTTCTGGGCATCGGCGTAGGCCTTGTTGGCGTGGTCGAGGGCGATTTCGAGCTCGTTGACGTCTTGTTCGAGCTTCTTCTTGATGCGGAGAGCCTCCTGTTTGCCCTTGGATTCGGCTTCGAGGGTGGCTTGCATGGATTCCAGAGCACGTTGGTGGTTCTTGCGAGTGTTCTCGAATTCTTCCTCCTTCTCTTGGATTCTCTTCTCGATCTCGGAACGGATCTGTGATACTTCGACTTGAGCTCGGAGAACCTTGGATTCTTCGGCTTCAAGGGCGGCTTCAGCCTCGTCGAGGGCGTGCTGAATCTCTTCCTTCTCGACCTCCAGACGACGGACGATCTTCTGGAGTTCGTGGACAGAGCGGCCTCCTTCGCCGAGCTGGTCGGTGAGATCTTTGATCTCCTGAGCCAAGCTCTTGTTCTCACGGCGAGTTCCTTCCAAAGCCTCAGCCAGCTCGTCTTGGACGGTCTTTGCCTTGAAGAGGTCGGTGGCCAAGTTGCGGGCATCGCGCTGGGCAGCGTCGAGCTCGGCAGCAAGGTCGTCGTTCTTCTTTCTCCATTCGTCGATGATCTTGTCGAAGCCCTTCTGCTTCTTCTCAAGAGCGGCGGCATAGGCGGCGGCACGCTCGACATCAACCTGAGCATCGTCCAAGTCTCCCATGAGCTTGTGACGGGTCTTTTCCAAAGAGACAATCTTAGTGTTGGCAGCCTCGTTGGCGTCGGTGAGGTCCTGGACCTTCTGCTGGAGCTTTCTCTTGGCTTCCTCGATCTCCTCGAGTCTGACAAGTCCTTCTCCTTCGAAGCGGGCCTTCCATTGTTGAATTTCAGCGTTAAGTTTGCTGATTTGACGAAGGGCTTCAGCCTTGCCTTCTTGTTCCTCATCAAGTTGTTCACGGAGTGACTCGTTCTCGTGTTGGGCGTTCTTGTATTGTCCAGCAAGAGCTTGACGTTCACGAGATTCCTCATCGGCGGTTCTCTTGGCCTCCTCGAGTTGAGAAGCAAGCTGAGATTTTAGACGGTGGAGTCCGTTCAATTGGTTCTCCAAGTCTTCAACCTGATTTCCGAGGTCAGAGTTCTCGTGCTGGAGACGAGATTTCAAGGCGGTGAGGTCAGCCAATTGACGGGATTGTTCATCAGCCTTGGTTTGGATCTCAGATAGTTGGAGTTCCAAGTTCTTGATGACCTTTTCGGCTTCTTGACGGCCACGAAGTTCAGCATCAGCGGCTTGAGTAGCATCTTCCAACTCGCGTTGGATCTGTTGCTTGTCCTTCTCAATCTTGACCTTGAGCTTCTGGACCTGCTCGAGTTGATCAGAAAGTTCAGCAACGGCGTCGTTGTGCTTCTTTCTCAAGGCTCCTAGTTGAGTTTCGTGGTTGAGGTTGGACTCCTCAAGATCACGACGGAGTTTGGCCAACTCGGCTTCACGCTTCTTGTTGACCTCAATCTGAGCAGCGGTAGCACCACCAGCCTCATCCAAACGCTCGGAGAGCTCTTCCAATTCGCGTTGGAGCTCGGCACGAGTACGGTCGGACTTGGAGCGGCTGCCACGTTCGTTCTCGAGTTCCTCCTCGAGTTCGGAGATGCGGGATTGGAGCTCCTTGATCTGGCGTTGGAGCTTGGCAACGAGGGATTGTTCATCCTCAAGCTTGGACGAGACGGCATGGAGTTCTTGCTCCTTGCGTTGAAGGTTGACTTCAATGTCGTGCTTCTGCTTGTTGATCTCATCGATGTTCTCTTGGGCGACCTTCAGTTCACCTTCCGACTTTCTCTTGGCCTTCTCGAGTTCTTGACGGGAACGCTTCTCACGTTCAACGTTGTCTTCCAACTAAAACAAGTATTTAACAAAACATTTCCGTAACTTACGTCATCAAGTTGTTGTTCAAGCTTAGCCTTGAGCTTGTTGACGTGGTTGACCTTATCTTCTTCCGCCTGGAGGTCCTCTTGGAGCTTGCGGTTGATCTGAAATACCAAACGATGATTACAAGATAAGGAAAATAGTATTTTTTAGAATCGTAAAAGCTCATACCTCCTCCTGGTGTTTCTTCTCCTTGTTCAACTTGGCGACCGATTCGTCTTGCTGAGCCATTTCATCTTGAAGAGAGCGGATGTTGTGCTCACGAGCTTGTTTCTCCGACTCGGCCTTGCGGAGAGAGAGCTCCAGGTCTTGGACGTTCTTCTTGAGTCCTTCGATGTCTTGTTCGGCCTTCTTCTTCTGACGGTTCAAGTCAGAGTTGCGGTCTTCGAAGTCTCCCAGTTGGTCTTGAAGTTCTGCCAATTGGCGGTCGAGATCCTTCTTGATCGACTCGAGTTTGTTAGCGCGCTCTTCATTCTCAGCGGCAACTCCCTTCTCCTTTTCGAGTTCGAGGAAGATCTTGTTCTTCTCCTCAACCAGCTTGGCAACTTCTCCTTCGAGCTGTTGGCGGTTTCCTTCCTCCTTCTTGAGACTCTCTTCGAGCTCCTTGATCTTTTCCTCGAGTTTTGCCAACTCTTCGGTTTCCTTTCCGGCCTTGAGAAGAGGCTTGACCTTTCCATAAAGCTTGAACCAGTCCCAGGTGCGGAGAGTGCACCATTGACGGATGTTGCGTTGAAGGATGAGGAGACCAGCACGTTGTTGGACACGTCTCTTGACATCGGCTTGAGCCAAATACCAGCGAACGTATTGTTGGAAGGAAGTGATGATCTTGCCGAGTTTTTCATCACGCAAGTCCTCAAGACGAGCGAGAATACCGGCCTTGAAGAAGACCTTGGTGTTACCCAGTTTGAACTCCTCGTCGTTCAAGTTTCCTTCGTTACAGAGGACATCGGTGATTCCTTTAGACGCAGCCTTCTCATCTCCTTGTTTAGCAGCATCAGCAGCCAAGATGGAGTAACGTTGCTTGAAGTCGGGGTAGACCATTCTGTTGGGGAAACCTTTACGGCAAATACGGATACCTTCCAGTACACCGTTACAGGTCAGCTGGTTCAGCACCAAAGCGGAGTCAATCACTCCAGAAGCCTTCTTCTCGTTAGGAATGATACAACGGATGAAGTGAGGGTGAGTGGTGTACAACATGCTCATCAGGTTGTTCAAGGACTCACGATACATCATGGAGACAGTCATGAAAGAGGAGGATTTACCCTTCTTCTTTCCACCGCCACCTCCGGTCTTAGCCAACTCGGCGGCTTCTTCTTGAGTGACGTAGTCGGAGAAGATGTCCAACAACAACTGGTTTCCTTGAGAGGTCTTGAGGACGGCGACAGCAGAGTCGTTGAGGGGATCCTTGTTTTTCTCGAGGAAGTTGGTGGCATTATAACGCACAGTTCCAGCGTAGTGGACGATGGCAAAGTGAGCCTCGGCCTGTTTTCCCTTTGGTGGTTTGGGCTTCTGGAAGTTGGGGTGTTTGCCCAAGTGTTGGTCGAGCAACTTCTGGACGTAGGTCATGTCGGAAGCCTTGGGGACGATACATTCCTCATCCAACATGGAGATGATACCCAAAGGCTTCTCGATCAGCTCGATACAAGCTTGAAGATCGAGACCAAAATCGATGAAGGTCCACTGAATGCCTTCACGTTTGTATTCTTCCTGCTCAAGGACAAACATGTGGTGGTTGAAGAATTGTTGGAGACGTTCGTTTACAAAGTTAATCCACAACTGTTCAAAACTGTTCAACTAAATAAGAATAATTAGAATCCTGAATAGCACTAGCAGTTAAATGTTATGTCATCAACTTACATCGAAAATTTCAAAACCGGCGATATCTAACACACCGATGAAGAATTTACGCTCGATGGCCTTGGCGTCAAGAGTCTTGTTACATCTTGAAATCAACCAACGGAACATACGGGCATAGACAGCCTTGGCCAAACCAGAGACGGCCCAGGAGACCTGTTCCAAGTTTTGTCCCTTGTTTACCCATTCAGTACCGACACGGACACGAGGCTTGGTCAGGGCCTTCAAGAACGCTTCGTGGTCAATGTTGAAACAAATAGCGGCGTTCTTGGCGTCTAAAATACGTATAAGTCTATTATCTTTCTTCTCTCACCGTCATCAGTGTCAACCTCGGCCTGTTCTTCACGTGGACGTTGCTTGAACTTCATCTCTCCCATGTGCATAATACCGGCGACGGACTTGTACAAGTCGGCGGTTTCATGGTCTTCGAAGCCCATGATGTCGAAGGCTTCTTGGGTGAGTCTCATCTCCTCCTTATCGTCAACACCTTCGATGGTCAGCTCAGCCTGGGAGCAGAAGTGGTAGTACTTGATGTCATTGGTGAGCTTGACCTTCTCACGAAGTGCTGGGTCATGTCCAGAGGTGATCTGGTAGAAGATGTGGTAACAACGCTCTCCAGGAGCTTGACGGACGACACGAGATTTTTCGAGAAGATCTGAAAGTATTTGTTTTAAGTCAGAATTCTTTTTACAAGACTCTTAAGAAAATATTATGAGAGATAAAATCTTACAATGCTCAATGTCACCACCAGCCAACTTTCCGGATCCAGAGAAATGGGTACGGATGAACTTTCCGAAACGGGAAGAGTTGTTGTTACGCACGGTCTTGGCATTACCGAAAGCCTCCAACACAGGGTTGGTCTGGACGATCTGTTCTTCCAGGGTACCTCCCTTCTTTCCTTCGGTCTTCTCAGACGAACTGGCAGATTGAGTAGCACCAACAATGGCGAAGTAAGAGATTACCTTCTTGGTGTTCTCGGTCTTTCCGGCTCCAGATTCTCCAGTAATCAACATAGACTGGTTCTCACGATCCTGAACCATGTTACGGTAGGCCTCATCAGAGACGGCGAACAAGTGAGGTGGCATCTCGTTACGTCTCTTGCCCATGTAGTGCTTGATGACGGACTCGGTGTAGATGGGGAGACGCTTGTAGGGGTTGATGACGACACAGAAAAGACCAGAGTAGGTGTAGATCATCATGGCGGCATAACGCTCCTTCAAGTTGTTCAACACGGAGGCTTCGTTCAAGAAGGTCAAGTTGGCCATGTCCTCTGTCTTGGTGAACTTCGGCGGGTTCATCTCCTGAGCTTCCTCCTTCTTGACGGTAACTTCATTGCCCTTTTCGGTGACGACGGTCACATTGTCGCCAGCAGCGGACTTAATTTCGGCACGAACAAAGCCTAAAGTTCCAAATTATGTAATATAATTTTCGGCTTCAGTTTTTATTATTAAATTTAAATCTGATATTTTCAATCTTGTTCTTATTCGAATCGAAATCTAAATTGGCAATTTTTTTTTGCATTCTAATCTTTTTTGATCTTATTTCCACCCCAGGGCCCGAATTGTTTGAAGCACTTTTTGTGTTTCTCCTCCTAATAATATCTGGAAACTGCGGGTTGATCAACAATGCCCGAGAGCACCTGGGCTCCTGTTGTTCTTTGAAGATTGGAGCAGAAACAGGCGTTGAAGAGAGTTTCGCCGAACCGGGGACAGTTGGCCCCCCGATCTGTGGAAAGAGGGCATCCTCAATGTTTTAACGCCCACACCTGAGCATGGCCGCGGGTCGGGCCAGAAGGCGGAAAGAATCGCCAAAGAAATAAAAAAATTGGCCCAAACAATCGCCGAGAAATGGGATTTGAATAAAATTATATGCAATTTGATATTCGAGTTGGAATGGGGGATCCGTTCATTTTAGAGAATTTATAGCCTAAGGGGTCGAAAGGCGAAATCAGCAAGTATTTTGGGAATACGCTTCATTTTTTGCGATTACTTTTTGATGATAAAGGCAAAACCCAGCTAAATATTCTGATTGGAAAAAATAATCATAAATTTTGCCAAAATCATACTCCAGTCTGGGCGCCGACTTAATACAAAATTACAACAAATTCGAAGACTATAATCGGTTCTAAAATAGGATTTTAACCACTTTTCTCTCCTCTAAACCCATTTGATCCGCAAAAACTTGGTCAACTCACCATCCTCAGCATCAGGGATCCAACAGTTCTTCTTGGAATCGAATGGCTTTGAGGTGAAGCTGATCTTCTCCTCCTGGGAGATAGCCAAGTATGGGTATCCATCGTCCTTGGTAAAGTCCTCCATGATCGAAGTGATAAGTTATGAGAAATTCGCCCAAAATTCCTGAAAATCGAAGACATTATTTGACTTCAATGAATTAATAATTTGCGAAAATATGTGCTAAATAGAGTGCGAATTCTTGAACACGAAGTTCGGAATATGCGAATTGGGAGTGCCAAAAGGAACGAATTTATTTGAAAGAGAACGAGCCATCCGAAGGACCAGAATTTTTAAAGAATAAGATGGGGCCGGGAGTGGCCAAAGGGGCTTCGAGATACGAACCGATCTGATCGGAGGCGGAGACACCTGCCTGCCCTTTCGGCCGCTGCTTACCCCGTTACGGCCGCTTTCTCAGCGTCGGGCCTGCCCCTAACACGGCTTCAGGAGAGTAGGCGGATTCCATGAACAATATCCCCGGAACAAGAGGAGTTTTTTGTTTGGGACCCTCCTCGAATCTTTGAAGATCAGTGAGCAGGTGGGCCCACGCGGCCCTTTGGCACATTCGGGTTGCAATCCCAATAAAAATGGGTTCCGATTTGTAGAGAAATGGGGGTGCATCTGGTGGAATTCGAGAGGTTAATTGATGAGCATGCAATAAGAAACACTATGAGAACAGGAAAATATCCTTTTCAGAAGGGTCATAGGTCAAATGAAAAAGCAAATAGTTTGAAAATTGGAAATCTACCGTATTTAGACATGCATTGTCATCAAAATGCAACTTTTCGTCAATCTCAAAGAAAGGAATCGATTTTAAACGAATTTCTTCGAAATATAAGAACTCAATTCTTATCATACTTGAAGCTCTCTACAGTCTGATCCATGTGCACACCAATTTAATCACATTTTCGTTTTCAAATTCACTTCCCATTCGGTTTGAGCGCTTCCTCGCATGTGTAATATCTAAATGAAACTGCTGCCAAATGTGTGAACAGATTTCGGATTCATATCCTCCGGCCAGGAATAACACTCGGAATAATGTTTTATGATCCAGAGCCCCATCTTGAATCATAAAACACGTAAACCGAGAAAATCGTCGGGAATCCAGAGAGAACGCTTTTCGAACAGTGCGCAGAGAGGCAGAGAGAGGGAGAAATAAGAGGGATTCGCGCTTTCCCTCTCCTTTTCTTCCCCGTTTCAATTCCGAATATAGGATTATAGCGGGTTGGGAGGAAGGATCTGAAGATAAGCTTTTGGAAAATGGCGAGGAAGATTGGCTTAGGACACCTCCGATTGCCAGTGAAGAGTGTAAGCAGGACTGAGCCATTCAAAATGTTGCGTTTTGAGTAACGTACATTCAGATGTATAATGTTCAATAAAAGCAATATTATTCTAAATTTCTCACGTATTTTTCTGAAGGTTAAAATACTCACAAGAGTTTTATTTACACTGATTTTGCAATTTTAATTTTTAAGTGTTTTATCGTTATCTAAATTACAGTAGTTGAAAATTATTTTTGTGAAAATCTTGCTTTCCGCGTTTTCGGCTCTCATTTTTAAAAGTTATTCTTGCTTTGTAAGCGATACTGCCCAAAGTTCCGAGTTACGAACCTAAACCTGATCCGTTTGAGATGCCACCTGCTCAAAAAAGTTATGAATATCTCCACGTGACATGACTTTTAGAACTTTACAAACAAAATCAGATTTTTTCGCGGGTCTTTTGGATCTCCAAATTCTCGGGATTTTTCCAAAAAATAAAGGACACTGATTGTTTGATTGAAGAATATTTGACTGGGAAAACACTTGGTCCTAAGAAAAGGGCGAACAAGTCGGCATTGAACGCGTTCCAAACTTCCGGGCATCATCTGATAAAACCTTCACGCGTAAATAAAAATCGGCACGAGGCCTTCAAACAGAGGTCAAGAAGGGTTTAAGGGTCACGCTAATAGGTTTCAAATATCACAATGATCAACAAGTTTGAGTTCGGGGAACCGGAAAAGAAAACGGATGAGCTGACAACGGTGTCCGAAAGTTTGCAGGGGCGGAAATATGAATCTGTGTAGCAATTATACATATTTCGGATCAGAGAGATGGACTTCTTGAACATTGACGGGAACCTTTTATACTTCTGTCATTGCCAAAATGATTTTCTCGAACCGGGCCGGAGCGAAGCAAATTTGAACGGGCCGAGCCAACCGCCTTCGGACCGCCGGCCGGCAAATTGAGTTTAAAAAATTTGTAATCCTATTAAAAGAAGGTAGAAATGAAAGGGAAATGTTTTGTAAATATGGAAAATCATGATAAATTTCGGAGTATCTATTGTCTCACATCCAGAAACCGAAAAACATTTCTCGGCGCTTTGCCTCCAGCCCCTCACTTACGTAATTACATGTGCAACATTACCAGAACCTCAAATTTTTCTTCGGGTTTTTTATGATTTATAGTTTTTTCTCTTCTGGCACATTTGACGTTTTATTGCAGCAGGATTATTACAATGGAGACGCTGTTTATTTCAAATCTGAGAGGGTACTATCGACAGTTTCTAATGTTATACTACTTGGTAAAAGTGCAGATCACTGCCAAAACGCCTACTGCTGCTACTAAATGAAGTGATCCGGGTTCTTGGTTTCATGGGTGAGGCAGCAAGCTAATCGACAAAACAAACGCCGATTGTACTCTATTCTCCTTGCCCTTTCTTCGTTCAATTCCGTACTCTTATTTTCTGTTTTATTCTACTTTTTCTGCACTCATCTCCAGCAGATTTATCAATTCGGATCAACTTCTTTTTGCGTGCACTTGACAGTTAAAAAACAATCTTTATAAAATCAGGGCCACGTGTTATTTACAAGTTTCCGAGCTTTCCGAGAGTTTTCGCTCCATCAAACGAAGGAAGGCGCCAGCTGTGCCCTGAGGGCTTTATTCAATCTTGGTTATATTTAGTCTTATCACAGAAGTGCCGGAACTGTTCGATCGAATATTCGGGGCAGGAATTGAGCTGGGATCGCGGACAAAAATGCATCAGGGAATCTTGGAGGGTAAATAATTGTAAGGGGTCGACTTGATGGGGTGAGGGAAGCTGAAAATTGCATTGTAATGTCATACGAATGGTCTAATTGTACATTTTTAAAAACTTTCTAGTAGCAAGGAAAGAAATAAAAATTTTGAAAAAACGGCATGAGGTCAAAAATTTTAGTTCCATCAACAAAAACAAGAGACTCACGATGAATTTGTTGAGCGATGGCAACCGGAAACGACGAACCAACGACTCTACTTCGGTAGCCGACTTCTTGACGTCGCCGTTCGCCAGAAGGAAGTTCAGCCTCTCTCCATTCAACTTCCTCTCCTTCCGCATGAACTCCTTGGCACACTGAAAGTCCCACTTTTATATTACAATTGGCTTTCAGAGGTGTGAAAAAATACACTTAAAACTTTAAAAAATTATTTTTGGCCGTGTTTTTCGATACTCCATGATATAAAATGTATGTATGAAACTTACCCTCATCTCCCTTTCCCGTTCATGAAGAGCGTTGAGGACTTGGCAATCGAACGCCATCGACCGGTCTCTCTCCAGGAGCTTTCGAATATGATATTTTTGAGCTTTGGACTCGCTGTAACTACTCTTCAATTTGTCTTTGAGTTCGGCCCTAGGGGCTGCAATCAGCGGAATCACTGGGGGAGGCGCCCTAAAATTATGTCGTAATTTTTGAGATGAAATAAGTCATCAAAAATAAATATGAACTTACAAAGGCCCGAAGAACGGTAGATGTGGTGAAACATCAGCCATTTTTGGTCGACTTGTCCCTTTGATCGACCATTCATAATTCGAAATTTGTTCAGAATGGGAGATTTTTAGATGTATGCAAATTTTTGAAACCAAAAGCTTTTTTTCAAATTTACTGTAAAATGTTTTTCCATAAAATTCTAAAAATGGAGTCATAACCCCGATTATTTTTTCAAGTTATTTTTGCAGGCCAACCATCACCTTCTATGGCCCCTTATGGTCGAACTGCCTGTAGCTTTGGGCAATGGCTGAAAGGGCTTTTCGAAGGATTCAGCGGTTATTTCTCTCTATCCACTTACAATTTTATCATAATTTTGTTGTTGATCATCTCGGTCATCTTGTGTTTAATCTCCGTTTTGATTGTTTGTAATTGTCTGCTCAATTGTGGATGGTTTGGGACCAAAACTCGGATATTTAATACCATGGAGCGAGCTTGTGGCTGTAAAAAAAAGGAATATAATATGCATCCAAGACATGTCGAGTTTGATGATCCGGTAAGTCTAATATCACATTTTTATATTTATTTTAACATCTTAGCATTATCAAACGGCTCCTCGTTCTCTTCCAGTCAGCCGAACGTCATCTTTGAAGAAGAATAATCGGTTGATTAATAAGTCAAATTCCTTCAAATATTATGGAAATTACACTCCACTTGAGGAGAAATTACCAACGATGACTCCTGAAGATCTGAATCTCCAACTGAGGAAGCTGAGGTTGAAGAAAAAAATGACTTTAAGAACGGCTACTCAGCATGATTACGTTAATTTTGAAAAGGAATGGAAAAAAGACTCGGAAACTCAAACTATGCGAGTTATACTGTCTTTGTCACTCATTAAGAGTTATACTGATAATTACTATGCTGGTGGATATAACTTAGTTTACTTTCAGAGTCCCACTGGTCGTTCTACGGAGGCGTGGGCGCTCTGTCGAGACCATGGTCTAGTCAACACAATACCGTCATCTTATACGATCTATTAATACAAATTAAAAAAGAAAATTCCCAAAAGCCTGCCATTTTTATATATATTTCATTTATTTTCGTACTTTATGTACAATTTCCAATTCAAATAAAAGCTTTTGTGAGGTCTTGGAAGGCCAATAGTGTCACACAAAAAAGAGTATAAAGTAATACTCGTTAAGTAAATTAGAAACTTAGAAACACTATTGTCAGATCAATAAAGTTCCCGTCTTGAGTGTAAGTGGTAGTGTAAAGATGTAGGTCGTATATACAGCAGTACATCTCTTAGAACCGGATGTTCTGCATGGCTTTGGTATTCTGATATTGTTGTAATTTGAGATCGTCGCGGAGAACTCGGCCAATCACATAACGAAGCAAAATAGTGCGAGCTAGTTTGGAATGGCCCACATCTTCAAAGACCGACGTAGCATCTAGACCGTTCTGAAAAAAGAGGGTGGTAAGTCAAGGTTACAGTTGATTAATTAGTAATTAACATTGTAAAGTTAAAAATTATGCAAAATTAGTTGCGAAGAAAGCTTACCATTTCATAAATAATTTCGGCGCCTCCAGGGTGAATGTCGACGAACTCGGTGAGATCATAAACGAGATCATAAATGATGACGAGGACACGGTCGGGGCTGGCCATATCGGCCACATCCTGCTCGCTGTATCCCTTGAGAGTCTGGAGATCGGGCAACTCGATTTGGACCATCTTTTCTGTTAATGTCGAGTATATTCACCGGTTTAAAGTATGGTCACTGGATTACTGTAGTCTCAAATTTTGAGTAATAATCTTGATTCAATGAGGTGTTAATGTAGGTGTATTTGGGGAGGAGAGCGGCCCGTTCGGATGTGCAAACAGATCGCTCTTGTATCGGAAATGACTGCAGTCAGTTCCGAAGAGCACGTGGAAGAGAGTTTAGATGATTAAGGAAGGAATTTTCGGTTCTGAAACGGAGATTGGTTAGACTAGGAGAGTGGGATGATAATCGATATTGACACGCGGAAATGTTCACGATGAAATTGTCGACATTCAAACGCTGTCATTTACATGTTAAGGGTCAGGAAATCAATTAAAAAAAGGCTGCTGGAAGTGTCGAACGATGACGTCATAGAGCATATGCAGGTAAAAGTCATATGTTGTGGATAGTAAAAATGTTAATGGATATCATGGACAATATTAAAGTAAACTTTGCAGAGTTTTGCACATGAATTGGATTGCAAAAAACTCTCTCCGCGCAAAACCCACTCAAATCACATGGTTTTTATTAATCTTTGTGGGTTTCCGTTTAATTTCATTGAGACTCCCACCCAATTAATAATCGACTAGAGATCACAGCGCATGAAGAGAACGGGCAGAAAAGAAAAAGGGAGGAAAGTGCAGGAATTCATGTGAATCGAAAGAATTTGATCGGGTTTTCGATAAAAGGATGGCGAATTTGCTGGAAAAAGTGTGATAGTTGGAGGTGATTTGGTGTTTATATTAAATGCAACGGCGTTAACCAACAATTTCTCATGGAGTATTTTCTGAAAAGAGAGAAGAGCCTTAGCCACTTGATCCAGTGTAATATCGAATGCTCATCGGTTTTAGCATTAAAAATTCAAATTGTTCTCGTATTATACGACGATTTCCCATTCAGTTTACATTTACCTCATTTTCAGAACTTGTCGACCGTATGGTCGATCAATATTACCTTCAATTCATAGCCAATAAACTCCAAAGAGACTTTATTTAAATTATTTATTCATCAAAAAGATTGGCCAGTCTCCAATCTTCGCATAGAAAAATAAACAACAACATGTTGAATAGAGAAGAGTTCTCTATGAAAGAATGGACGCCGTCTAATGCTTTTGTAGCCATCTGAAGGCGGGCGGAGAGTAACTTTTCGAATTCTTACAACCAAATTATGGCAGAGAGACGGGCAGGGAAGCAGAGGAAAGGCGGGAATTCCCAAAAGTGTAGGTTCGAAAAAATTGATACGGGAATTCCTCATCAAAAAAGTCTGTCTGACACTCTCAAAGACAATGTGATCCCTAAACTTGTAGTGGTTTTTGGAAAGAAATTGGGGGAAAAGTAGTACAAAGAACATTAAAAGTCCGAAGCGGAAGGGTGCAGACATTGAATTCGATGTAGATTTATGCCATCAATAAAGGTTGATGGGATTTGGTGGGGTTGCAGACATCATTACACTCAGAAGTCACATTTTTACTCTTAAAAAAATAAAAACGCTTTAGAAGAAAATGGAAGAAATATGATTTTCAAAGTCAATTTGAAAGTCATATTTCTTTTGCTGAAAAGTTAATGTTCATCTGTTGGACAAACTTTAATTTTAATGTGCGATTATTACCCTAGGCAAAAAAATTACTGGCGAAAAAGTCATTTTTTGGAATTTTTATATTTGCAATCAACAGAGCAGTGTTTAAAGTTACCGTAACCCACTGAATTGCGCAACACCTTTTCCTCACGTGCATCTGATTGTACCTTGTTACCCGCAACGCCAAGAGATCAGCGCTGTAACATTGCAGGGGATACCCCATAATTCATAAAAAGTTCCTTATCATCGCCGTTATCAGACAAACCGCGGTTTCATTGAAACTAACCCATTTATTTGATTTCTGTTTCTCTCTTTTTCGTCTCTCGTGTCTTAATAATCTCTGACTGAGAATTGATTTTTTTAATTTTAAAGAATCAAATGACAAAACAGCATGTCATAAACAAGGAAATCAGCTGCTTTGAGATTATATAGACAGCTAAAGGTGACGCCATTCGTTGCACAACAAGTCTAGGGATTCAATTCAAGGATGACATCAGAAAATCTGGACTTTTTGAAATTTATGTAAAGTTTCTTTTGTAACAAAAAGTCTCTGCAAAATGTCATAAGTATACTTGTTTCAGCCCAAAAATAATAAACTTTCCGTGAGTTATGTATTATAATATTTGAAATATTTTTTCCTGCACATGAAGATTGATCAAAAGTGCTCGCTAAACAACCGAATGACATCAAATTTGTTCTTTTTTCCTATGTAAAAAATTTGTTTTGTATACTAGAGTTATCAACAATGAATTTCATAGCAAAATTCTGCCTGAAGGGTACTTTTACGAATGTTAACGGCAGTATCTGTATTGTGTTTTACTTGTTTCTTTCCAGAATTCGCTCTTTTCTTTATTTCTCAATCCCACACACATCTTTTTAGTTTAATTTTATTGATTCACGTGAGTAGATTTCTGACTAAATTCTAAACCTTCTTAATCTTTACTCTCTTCTTTAATTATTTTTATAGCCTTTAGATTACCTTTACACAGTAATTCCAGAATACCTCTCCCCGAATCAGCAGTAACTGTCTGCATTTGCAGCTGACATAATTAAAATTATTGTCTCGAATCTCCCTCCGGGGTTTCTTCTCTTTTTTTTGGTCGGCGGATTTCGTTGAAACCATTTTTTCTCTTTTTTTTTGAGACAAAAATTTGGTGAAGCGTGTGGTGATTTGGGCGTGAAATGATTAGAAAAAGAGAGACGATGATGATTGGAGAAGGGAGTCTGGAGACAATGGGAGAAAAAAGCGATAATATAATTCTCGTGAGACCAACAAACCGCAACTTTCACTCATACTTTTTGATAAACAAGCATTTAAAATTTATGAGTTTTCCGATGTTTTCGCAAAATCGATCATGATGACCTGTTTTATTTACCCAAGAAATGAACAAATCAATTGAACAGGAACAAGATGACGATCCTGTTCATCATTTTCAAAGGGAATACCCCTTTCAAAAAAGTTAAATTCCCAGAAACATAAAAGTTTTTGCTTCCCTTTGGCAAAGGCCCCCCTAAGCCAACAAAGATCTCACATTCTATAATCTTCTCGACTACAACGCGACAAGAATGTTCGATGGAATCAAAAAGGAGAGACCAACAGACAATATTCTTTCATCTTCATCTCATGCGCTGCACGTGTAGATCGAGGCTGACCCGAGATGGGGAAAGATACGAACCCGTTGACGTAAATCGAGTTGCTTCATCGGCGGATCCAACGAATCAGCAAGGGGACGCGAGAAACCCGATAAGCATGTGATATCTTCTTGTTGTTGTCGAGGAGATCTTGCAGCTCATCACGGTGCAAATTTAGTGAGAAAAAACGTGATATTTATAAACAGATACTTTTCTCATGACTAAGAAACTGCGGGGAATTACTGAAACAACACAAAGAACAGCGAGAATCAACGAAAGTAACAATGATTATTTTTGAGCAAACATTGAAGGCTTTAGCATTTTATTTTGTTCAAGGTCTTAAAAAAATCAATATGTAGATTATGACTAACAAAAAATCCCTTTTCTTCCTAATGGCCAGAATAAAAAGGCCTCTGGCGCTCCAAAAGGGAACATTCAAAATACAATAACCATTCCAGAAACCAGTTCCTTCTCTCCATATTACACTAGGTAATGGAAACTCTCTGAACCACTCATAAATTCTCCCTTTGCAACCCATTTTCGAAACTCATAAATTATTACAAAACGAGCCACAAATCTCCGTTCCAACTCAGAGGACGGCGAGGATTCATAAATCAGTTACTATGTTGCGAGAGAACGAAAGAAAACGTAATGTTTAAAGGGTAATAATGCTTGGTGTTACAGCAACGGTGACGTTGGAAAGTCTGGGAATGAAAGAACCGATCTTTGGAGGGCACAAGTTATCATTGTAATCAAAAGTCAAAGGCCCAAAAAGATTATTTTAAAGATGTAACGAGTAATTACCAAAATTTTATCGAGTTTGAAGCTTTTTAGGTCGCCCTAGGCATGGCTCTCGGGCCGGGCCAAAGATCCCGGCCTTCGAAGACCGGCCCGGCCCGTTTCAAATTTTATTCGGCCCGGCCCGCTTAGGTCCGTTAATGTACTCGTTTTCCATACAAGTACATTAAGGGCTTTAACAATAAGAGAACAAGTTGAGTGTCTTCTCTGTCAAAGAATTTCTTGAGCATATTTGGTGTTTACTACAAGGTTCTGGGGAAATGATATGATTAATGCAAGGTAAACAGCCCAGCAAACGCTGTTTAGGTTTGAATTGGAGAAGATTCGGAGAAAATATTGAAATAAAGTTTGCTGACATGTAAATTGAAACCGGTTTGGGAGTTACGGTAATCCCTATGAGATGCTAAGCCCACACCCGCAATTCAAAGGTCATTGTATAATATTTTCAGACTTCTTCACAGTTTAATAACATTTCCGGTAATTTTTTTGCAATGATGTCTTAATTTTTCAACTTTTTGTCTGATTACAATCTTTCCTTTGCAACGCATGTGAAATCAATCCCATCCAATTTTAAAGAACAGCCAGATTCAATTAGCCACACCAAATTTACAGTGAGCGATCAAAAAAAGCAGAATGTAATTAGGGAGATTAATGAGTAAGGAAGGCAGTAAGTAGGTAGCCTGCTGAAAGCTCAAGAGATTTATGGTCATGGGGAGCCACAACGATTAAAAATCAATGAAGTTCGAACTAAGAGTGAATGGATGCAACTGTCAGCCAACCAACTTACAATTAGATAATGTAAAGTACAGGAACGGTGACCGTGTAGCTTTAGACGAATTTAATTCTCACCGAGTAAATGGCATAAAATAATACCATGACCACAATTATATTTCATTATATCATTGTCCTACATATATCAGGGATATGAGAATGTTCCAAGTATAGACTTTTTGGGATGGTCCAAGGCTCTTAGATTATTGTATTTGGGTTGTGTGTCCGTTTCAACCCATTTGAAGTCAAAGTTCTAGTATCATCAGTTATTTTGTAATAAGGCTATATAATTACCTCTTTTTGTATAGAGATTCGATCAAGTCCTTGTAAAGTTTTAAGCCAACTTTTTTCTGCTGCCATTTTTCATGGACAAAAAACTTTTTTTGTCTCTTCCCCGCAGAATCTCCTTCCTTTTTTGCTTTGTTTTCGTCTAGGTCCTCAAAACTGTCATGTCCGCTCATCCTCAATTCTATTACTACCTGTTTTCCTCCATTTTATTTGTTGTTTTACACTTTTTTCTCCAAGAAATTCCGCGTACCATGTGGTTTCGGGCGAGTCCGCAATGAAAAACGGGATTCACGTGCATCGGGAGAAACAGAGCGAATAAGGTTACAAAAAGTGTAAATTCTGATAATGGAAAAGGTTATCGGTTAGACGATTACATCATTAAGACTATAAAATTAATTTGGAAATTCTGGAGACGTAATGAATTTGAGAAACAAATGGTGTAAAAGGGCAGTCAGAAATGGGATTCTAAAGCACGTAGGCAGTCAGAACGGGATTATTCAAGCTACGTACAAGGGATGAGAATTGCCGAATAATGACTTTGGCCATGGCTTACAGACCGGACTGGTTCCTGTCTTGGGTTGATTGAGTTTCGGCGTTCAATCTATCAAAAGTCAGAGGGTTAGGCTAGGTTTTGCCAACAGTTCTATAAATGGCTAGCTTAAGAGCTAGGTTTATTGCCTTATCATCTTGCCAAAATTTTTAAGCCTTCTTTTTGGTTCTTCAAGGATGAGACAGTCGGTTATTTTAGCAGCGGTTGATCGTGTCGTCGCCAAATTCATGCCGAAAAGATGGTTTTCATACAACGAAGTTGGCACTTTTCAATCAAAAGCCCCAAAGCGCAACTCTTGGCTGATAAAATTTTGGATCCAAATTTACATTTTCTTCTTTTCCATCTTTTTTCTTCCTCAATCATTCTACTGGCATTTTGCCGTTGACAAACCGTACTAGTCGCGGAAAAAAGTCCTGGGATTTTTCTGCGACTCTGCACTGTGCATGAACCCGAAAAGTGCATTTGCACAGTGCAATTTTGTTGATTTTGCCTTATTGTCGCGCTCGATTCCCGCGACAAATCAACATTTCGGGGTGCGACGAGATTTGGGGGCCGCGAAAAATTCTAAGGACTTTTTTCCGCGACTAGTATCACAAGTCATCATTTCCTTGTTTTGTACTACATGTCTGACGTTACAATGACGCACTTATTCCCGCAACAACCTTTTTTCTTTACTCACATGTACTCCTACCTCTTGCGGTGTCTTTTCTTCATTGCCTTAAGCGTTTCGTTGAAACACGTTGAGGAAATCTTTGGAAGCAAAGTCAGGCGCTCCAAGTTCGAACCGGTAGCAATAAACAATGTCATCGCTTGTTGTACCCGTGGTCATCCCAAACCCGTTCAAAAAACTGTGCTTTACAACAGCCGCGTAGACAATACTTAATCAAAAATGGACAGTTCTTATTATACATTGCAATGCATTTTTTCGAAGCATGATTACGATAAAAAAATTTAAAAGTTCAAAAGTCTGACAAATGTTGTAGTAGTATTTGGGATTATAAAACGATCGCCGACGCGCTTCAATGCGCTTTTATCGGCCCATTTCGGTGTATTATGCGTGGTTTGCTTTTTGAAAATTCCAGTTCAAAAGTTCTGATCTTCTTATTTGAACCCAAAAAATTGTAAATCACATGTCGCCAGTCTATTTTTTCTCGTTTTTCTCTTCAAAAATCTTTTGAAAAGTCGGGACCAAAGTCTGATTCCATCAACTTACATTATACTTGACTGAAATGAAACAAAACCCTGCATGAAAAAAAAAATAAAAATTCTTGGCGCGTGATCAAAACGAAATTGAAACAAATATTGGTTTTTATGAACTCATCGAATTAGGAGTGACATCTTGATGGGACGCAGACGGGTCTTATGAACGGATTCCAAGACTGATTTAGAAACAATGAGACCATTCCGAGCAAAAAGTTCAATGTTTTACGTCAATGTCTAGTACAATATAACAAGTGTGGGGTTGATGATAATTCAATGTAACTGCTACCTCAAAGAGCTCTCAATCCAATTGTAAACAAGTTGTTATCCCCAATCATTTGTTTATCCGTAAAATGAAAGATAAATATCAAAAAGTTTGTTTATAGATCCCCTAAAACAGGACCAAATAAAAGCCAAAGTGATAAACAGATTCTCCAGCAATTAACATGTCTTTAAGAGCCTCTTTCTTTTTGCTGTTGGCCATATTTGGTACAGTGAGTGCTTTGAGAGAGCAGGCCGTGGGATGCGAGGGAATTCTGCTGTGTGGAGATAAGCCTGCGACAAATGTGAGAGTGGCTCTGTGGGATGAAGATGATGGTAAGTTAGGGAAGTATTCGGCCCCATCACTTTAATTTATTTGCAGGCCCAGACCCAGATGACAAGCTCCAAGAGACCCGAACTGACTCCAAAGGTCACTTCAAATTGGCCGGATCCACCAAGGAACTCACCAACATTGATCCCGTCTGTAAAGTCTACCATGATTGTGATGATGCCCTGAAGCCGGGACAACGTAAAGTTAGATTCCGCATTCCCTCTCAATACATCACCACCGGCACTACTCCCAAAAAATATTTCAATCTGGGAACCATCAATCTTGAGATTAAATTCGCTAAGGAGGACAGAGAATTGTTGTAAGTGCAAGATAAGATGATTATTACAATTCTGCAATGTAAAATGCAAAACAAATAAATAGTAATATCTTTTATTAGACGACTTATATTACAAACACTTGCTATGCAAACTACAGTACCCGTATAGTAAACAAATTAATTGTCACCCTTATTGAACAGCCTGAGGGCTTCTTCGTATGAAATGTGATTGATTGGCTGCATCCTCTGGCACGACTTCGGTTGTATCTTCAGAGTTTCGGTGAAGTATCCATTGTGAGGGAAGTTCTCGTCGTATTGGCCGGCCGCCGTTTTCCTGTGCCATATTAGAACATCATCTTGATCATAGCCAAAAACTTGAATGTTACTCCAAGGAACGTTGACTTGACGAAGAAAACATTCTTCTGGGACACTGCCGGCACAGTGCAGATTAAAGGAGGCACTAAACCACTGTTGTTATAAGCAAAGACATGAATTGTTACTTTGAGTTGATCAACACATCAATATTGAGTGCGAATCCGGCCATGTCAGTGGCGTATTTCCTGTCCGGTCTGAACATGACATGCCATCCGGCCAGTTTCCCCTCTTTATTAACCTTTGGACTCTCCACTAGGGTTGATCCCGATGTGCCTAAAAGAACAAACGTACAGACTGTGCAATCATATTATACATGGGGATCATCCGGTTGAAACACTCACCCACAGCCCAAGCACCCATCACTTTTACATTGGGAATGTAATCTCGGAACAGCCGGAGGTCATAAGCGTTGTCATCATCGCCGAAGAACACGACATCGTTGGATTTGAAATGCTTTCGATTCGCCCGGATCCAATCAAAGGCATAATTACGATGGGCCCAGCCTCGGCCTGCAGGGAGGTAAAGGTTTTAATCAAAAACTTACAAGGAAGTCCTTGATTCGTCGTGTTGACATAAGCATACCTGAGGCCTGTCCTCTTGAGGACATTCTCCACTTTCTCCACTTTGTAGTCTCCATCTTCAATTACCAACCAGAATACGTTGGGGATATGCATCAGAGTCTGAGATAACCTGCAAATTAATTTGCATTTCCTTATTTTTTGATTCTAGATGCGAGCTTCATGTCTAATTGGCACTCAAATATGAATAACCTTGTGAATAATACATATATCGCCCAGACTCACATAGTAATGTCGGCTAATCGTTCGGGTCTCTTATAAGTGGGTGTAATCACTATGATCGTATTATTATACTCTCTATCTTGGTCTGTTGAAGTAGTGGAGAAGTCAGTGTGATCATCGTGTCTGATTAGTTCAATTCCTTTGGAAGAAAGACTCGATAAATGAACGTAGCCAAGGGTCGATACCAGGATTAAGGCACACGCTTTCAAGCCAAACGCTAAAGTTACAGTCACCAGTTATTGATTACAAAACTTGCTGTTTTTCTCCTTATACATAAAAAGATAACTTACAGAATCCCTTGGACCAGGAGAAAAAAGCGACGTTTGCCCCGCGTTCGAGTAACACCTCTGCGTCCTTCATACTTAAATTGGCTGCTGAATTCGATTGGAACGCGCCCTTAAGTCCCACAAATTCAATTGATCAAAGCGCTGCCCGTTCTTTTAATAACATGGTTTGACAGAATTTAAATTCGAAAACGCCTACCCGCAGAAGATTAGCATCCAAAAAAAAACTTTCTCCGCCTACAAATGTATCCATCCGAACTTTAAAGATACCGAGAAATCTCGATTCATGGTGAGATTTATTTTACACATCAAGAAAATATTGCCTAAGGGGTTTTCAAAATTTGATGGTGAGACAAAACAAAGGTTCTTGAGGGAGTTCAGGTGATCCCACAAAAACAGATATAAGCCTACATATGTATAAGCCCTCAAAGAATGGGACATCGGGATCGCTAGCAATACATAATCAGCGATTATACGTTGTCCGGAAACATCTTTCTATGGCTTCACCACCAGGGATGATGTCCATGATGATGATCGTCATGATGCCCCCAGTGTTGATGGCCTCCATGCCCACGTTCGGCACCATGGTTAAAGCCGGAATCATGTCCATGATCATCGCCGGACTCGTGATGATATCCCGAATGCCATTCGTCTCCAGATTTGTGAGCCTTATGTCCTCCATAGTCTACTCGAGCCCAGTCGGATTCGTCCCCTTCGCTGAAGCCATGCTTCCCTTGATGATCGTGGCTGTTGTCTCCGTCCCAGCCGTGAGCTCCATGATGATCCTGATGCCATTCCGACCCATGTCCGTGATGTTCACCGTCATGGATTGAGGGCTCCCAACCACGATGTCCCCAAAGTCCGGAGGCCAAAGCAGTTGCACATATAGCGGATAAGAAGAGAATAATACGAGGAGACATTGGGAATTACAATGGATGTGACTCTAGAGGGATGATGACTTATATATACAGAGGAATATTCGTGATCGTAAGCTTAGCCGGTTTGACAGACCAATAAAAGCGGTTATTGCGTGAGAATATTAGCTTCAAACGATCTGGAAACAAATTGCAACAAAGAAAAACTGTTGGGTTCTTGAGAAATGGACCAAAGAAAAGATCTTTGCCCTTAACATCATTTAATTTGTGTTGTAGTCATACACCAGTAAAGAAATGACAATGAGATCAGCTTTAGAATAGTTTTTTTTTTGTTATCTCAATATCACATATTTTTACTTTTACATTTTTCATCAGCAAAGGCCGGGAAGTCATAAGGAGAAGGTCGATCGGAGAAGACGATGTTGTATTGGTTGGCCCAATCAATGTTCTGAGATTCCAAATCCACCGAGGGCTGTCCATAAGCATCTCTGAAAGAGCCGTCGTAAATATTATACTCCCTTACCGGGTGTTCACAAAAATATGATCAACTGCAATCTGTCCTTTCATATCGTTATCAGTCTCCAGATCAGCGAAAACATCGGCGGATTGAGGCAAGAGTTTGTGGACAGGCATATCCTTGATGAAAAGGGCTTGTTCAGATTTGTGGTAGGACACTGAATGTGCACAACCCATTTTTGAAACAAACACAACCCATTTACGAGTAAATATTATGCTTATGAATGTTATTTCCAAAACATTTACGTTTCCCAATTTACAGTAATAAAATCACAATTTTATCGTATAAAATGATTCAGTCTATTCACCCAATATAGGGCGCAGCTTGGAAAATTATTGCAAATAATCTTGCAAAATTTTTTGTTCAACTTACACTTTTTATCGGCGCCGCGCCCTTTGCAGACCCCATTTCGATCGTTCATTAATCTGTTTCAACGAACGAAATGTCTTCTGGAGTATAAAAATGGATGAACTTAGGTAAGGTAATAAATCAGCTCAGGAAATGCCTGCAGATTGACTGATTTCTATTACAATGTGAGCGGGGACCGGGCCAGAGAATTGTTGTTTCTCTACGGTTCCAAAGGCGAGTTTCTAATACGACCGAGCGAGTCCAATCCATTCGACCACACCATATCCATTCAGTATGTCTTATGAAGTATATTTTAATCTTTGTTTAGTCGTGGGAATCGAGTGACTCATGTCAAATTAAGTGGCAAAGGAGGTATTCATCGACTTCCAACTGGACAAGAGTTTATAAATTTGTGTGCATTAGTCCAGCATCTGATGGAGACGCCGAATCTGTTGTGTGAGAAAGATGGAGTCTTTATCGAGGTCACCAAGCCGGTCAAGATTCCAGCTCCCGAGTCGGTGGTGAATATCGGGCAAGACAGGTTCTTTCACATTGCAATTAACGGTCTGGAAGCGGAGGAGTTGTTGTCGGATGAGCCGAATGGGACGTTTTTGATCAGAGAGAGCACAAGTGTTCCTGGAGAATATGCTCTCAGCGTGAAGAATGATGACAGCACGTTACATGTTAGGATATATCATGATGTGAGTAATTTAATCTTTGTTTTTTATAAATTTTAGGACAACAAGTTCCGAATTGTGCCCAAAGATAACTTCAGAAGTCTAACGGAATTGATCGAAAATTACAAAAAGACACCAATGGTTCAATATACAGGAACAGTTGTGAAGTTAAAACAAGTAAGATTACAGCTGCGGCTGTTTTATATGGGTTATTTTTTAGCCATTATTGTCGACCAAGTTCACAGCTGCATCAGTCGATGATCGAATAGAAGCCTTAATCAGAACTGCCAAGAAACCGAATGCTCGAGATGGAATAGCCGAGGAATTTGATGTGGGTTACGTTTTTATTGGCTTAGTCGTTGTTTAGAAGATACACCACGACAAAAGCTGCTCACTTTATGTGAGTTGCAAAGAAGGAAGACGACCAGAGAACGTGAGGAAAAATAGGTACAGGAATGTGGTCCCATTCGACCATACTCGAATCAAATTGCGCCCTCTGGATTCCGAGTCAGAGAGCTCCGAATTTAGCGATTATATCAATGCTAATTTGGTGAAGGTCCTGAGCAATGTTCCTTGTTATTCTGAGTTCTCTGGAGTCGGCAAAAGATACATTTCCACGCAAGGATGTCTTCAGCACACGATCAGTGACTTTTGGCACATGATTTGGCAAGAGAATGTGAGGATAATTGTAATGACAACAAAGGAAACCGAAAGAGGAAGACTGAAATGTTCGGTTTATTGGCCAGAAAAGGGAGAGGAGCATCGATATGGGCAGAACCATGAGTTCAGAGTCAGGTTGACGAAAGAAGAGAGCAAAGGAGAATATGTGATCAGACAGTTGGAGTTGGCCTATCTCCAGAAAGGCGAGAGTATCCCCACGGCCGTCCGGCATATATTCCACTATCAATTCTTGGCCTGGGAAGATAATGGATGTCCTTCAGATGCCGTCTTGACCTTCATGGATGAGATAAACAGAGTCGCCGTTCCCAGATGCCCTCCTGATTGTGGTCCCATGCTTGTGCATTGTAGCGCGGGCATTGGGAGGACTGGAACTTATATTGTACTCGATATCATTATCGCAAAAATTAAACAGATAGGTAGGAAGAAACCACTTTATGTTATGATATATGCTGAAGATAGACAGTAATGACGAATATTTATAGGTCCGCATTGTGCCGTCGACATTCCAAAAACAGTCCGCATGGTCCGTGAACAACGCGCTACAATGGTCCAAACCGAGGCCCAATATCGGTTTATTTATTACGCGATCTCGACTTATATGAAGATGTGGAGGAAGGAGCATGCTTTGAATGAAATCTCGGCCGCCCTTCCGCCTCCCACGGTCCCCAATGACGATCCTGACGACGAATTGGAGAGCAATGAGGAAGAATACGAGAGTGAGGAGGACTCTGATGGATCATGACGCATATCCAGTGAAGGAGTATTAAATTGCTATACATATTACACTAGACATGTCGTCTACAGGTCATACTTATCTAGTTGTTTTTTTCAATTTTGTTTGACTTCTATACGTCATTATATTGTTGGATAAAATTCAGTTATGTACATATAAACATGCGTTCAAATCAATTGTTTTGCAGATCGGGATGTGTATAAATAACGGGATAGGTGTTGACGTCGCTGATGGCCACATTCTCAGATTGATGTGCGTTATCTGGATCAGCCGGGCATTCAATATGTACAAGATGGAAGACCTCATTGGCCGTGTTTCTGAGGCCGGTGATCTTTATAAAAACCACTGGCAAAGGCTTGAAGTAGAAAGTTTGCCAACTCCTCAAACTCTGGCCATCGATTACCTTCATGAACTGCTCATTATCATGGGACACTTCTATTGTGAACCAATACCTTCGATCATCACAATCCCATAAAAGTAACCTACAGGTGGTTATTTTCATAAATGGTAACGGCTACTCTACCTGATGGATCCAATAATATACGGTTGTGGCAGTTGTACAGTAATGAACCCACTACCCAATTGATGACATGTGTATCCATTATCCCAGTCATAATTGTCCGTGATTCCATTTAAAAGTGCATTCCTACTCCTGGAGACCCCTTCAATTACATGGGCGTTTTCTTCTATTGTGGCCACATTATGTACAGGTACGATGACGTCATTGTGAACTTCGGGAGCTTCGGGGCAATACATTGCTTTCATTTCGGATATGTAAAACATCCGATGCACCGTGGAGCGGGTACACATTATTCGGATATACCTAAATTTATATTTCGAAACAAAAATTAACTATTTTTTATCAAATTTTTTTACGAAGTCAAACCTTACTTGACAACCCTCTCTGGAAAGTACAATTTCTGTTTTCCTCGACAATAATATTGACTGTAATTGATGACTCGGACCCAATCCGATCCATCCATGCTCACTTCAATGTAATACGAATACAACCTCTGATCTCGATCAACCATATGCAGTTCGATATAATTTAGAATATAAGCTCGGCCCAGCTGAATCAATTAAGTAATAGGCCGCATACTTACTTCAACCGTGATATATTCTCCATCCGCCCCCACTTCATGACTTGTGCACTTCTCAATATCCAATTTCTGATCATCTTTGTGCTTCAGAATCCCATCTCCATTGCTCCCCTCGATGACCTTTGTGCCCAGAGATGGTGATATTACATTTGTGTTGGGTTCTGAAAACAACTTTAAACCAAGTATCACACATACAATTATAGCGCCTTAGATAAATTTCTTACTTCTAAATCCCCTGTAACCCAAATCCGATGTCCTTTTGGTGATCTGATCATGAATGGCGTCCAAAACTCTTTCCGGCTCCATCAGATTTGTCGGTCTTACGTTCTCCATGATATCTTCCAGTTTGATAAGAGTCAATCGGATTTGTTTCAACAAACAAGTGTGCATATTTGCCTCCTCCGGATGACTGTATATCCATTTTGTGAGGCTTTGAAAGATTAAAAGTTCTGGAGCACAAAACGAATTCCGGCTAAGGATTCGGAGAAGACTTTGTCCTGAGAGTTGAAGAAAGGCCTAAAATATGAAAACTCCAAGATTTTAAAATAAAATTACCTCAGTATTCATAACATCTACGGCATTCTTATCCATAAATTCGAGACAATCATTCATCAAATTATCCAAAGCGAAGAGATACGCTGTTGAATAAATTATGGCGACATTATTCACTTGGAGAGAATGTTTTAGGTATTCACACATAGAATCTTCCAATTTCTTAATTCCATATTGATGCACCAGAGCAAAGACCTCCAGAAACAAGGGCAGTTTCATATTACTAAACCTCAACTTTCCACTGTAAAAGTAATTAAGCAGAATTTCAAATGCAGCGGGGGATGTTTCATGGAGAACAACTTCCGCGTCCTTCCCTTCTTTCATACCTCCAAAAAACATGGCTCTAAAAAAAGAATAAAAATACATTAATGCACATACCTGAAGTACTCGCTCCTACAAGACAATATTGTTTTATGAGCTGGGAATCTCCGTTCTTCCACAATTAAAGTAACATCAGAACAGTCAGGTGATAAATAAAGGCCCTTGATCTGCGTGACCAATGTCTGGACGTCATTGAATTCTTGATTAAGATTGTGAGCGAGGGAAATATTACTCTTCTCCGGATCCACCTCGCCCGGACTTTGAAGCAAATGATACGGTGAATACTCACTCATCTAAAGCCGCAGAACAGATGTAAACCAATTAAATCATGACAACAAACTTCAAATATTTCCACGGCTAATAACCAGTAAGTTCCACCATAAAATGTCGAGGAAGTTATTTATTAAATTACAACAAGGGAATAAGAACAATAATTGAAAAGAGATGTCATCAGTAAGCGTTTTTTTAGTCTCTGAACGACTTGAAACGACGTTGAGGTCGCTCAAAGGAGGACCTACGATTAATTCCACCACCGTTTCTGTAGCCAGCTCGGTCCACGGGAGGGAAAATCGCCACATCAATAAAATCGCCAACCTCAAAGCCCGCTTCTTGAAGAGTCTTGGCATCGTCGACTCCTCGACTTCCGTTTTGGAGAACTCCGATCGATCTTGCTTGATATTTCCCCGAACTTCGCGATGCGAAAACTAAAAACATAAATCAATCATAACAAGGAAACATACCAATATTAAAGTCGAATTCAGTTCCCTTTTTCCGAGAATCCGTGTTTACATCTTTGATCAGGGTCACTAACTCCTTCAACGTGCAGTCTTTCCTAAAATCTCATAAATGTAATTTTTATTATTACAATAAAATTTTGTCGAGGTAACTTACCAAGTGTAAATTTGAATCTCATTTGATGGGGTGGTGCCCCGACTGAATTCTGCAGGATGATTGTGACCATTCGACTTGACAAAGATTCTCAGAAGTAAAGGACAAACCTAAACAATAAAAGAAATAGCCGTTGTATCGTTACCTTTTCACGGTCGATGGTCTGAGGAACTGGAGCGGCAACTTGGGAGATCACATGCGCCATGTCGAGAGAACGATGGATATTATTTTAACCCGAAAAACAATGTTTCTCTGCCTCCACTAAAAATCTGCGAAAAACAAATTAGCGATGCGGAATGCCACGAAACGCGAGTTCTGCTTTTTCGCGCCAAATTTAATTCACAGATGATAAAAGCTCACGAATCTGTGAGCTCATTAGACCTCACGATCAGTAAACGTCTTCCTAAAATTCGCTAAAATGCATTCAAATAAAAGTACCTTCAATTATATCGAACCGCTTTATTTTTCTGGTTTATAATACATGTTGCTACATGTCCTGTAAGTCACTATCATTTGATGATTTGGAGCTGGCACGAACGAACGTGCACTGGCGGACTGGCATCTTCTTTGCCTTTTCCTGTCTGTTCGTCTTTTGCTCGTGATCTTTCAAGTACTGTAAAATTATATTATCCATGGTTATTCTTATCTATACCCTATTAATCTCTTGTTTTCTCCGCGAATAGATGGATCTCGGTTTATGATTACTGGTAACTATATCAGATACCCGTTTTCTGGACTTCTTTTCCTCCCGTCTTGGTTTGTACACTACTGTCACACAATATACGGCCAGGGCAACAGCTGCGGGTAAGATGACAAGGAGAAGAACAGCAGCCACAACCAGGCAGACCAACAGAATACGATCGATTTGACATTCCTCCTACAAAAAAACTACAAAAGGCCCGCATTTGAGGATTCGCAAGGATGAAAGAAGATCTCAGCGGGACTCACAACTTCTGGATCAAATGTCTGACCGAATCCACAGTCTTCTGCCGCGGAATGCAGGAATTTATACGGTTTCATAGATGGCCAAGACCAAGGCTAAAAGTCGACCAAGTAAACCGGGTTTTGGAAACGAAAATAATTTCAAATTTCATTCCGTTATTTTCGTTATGTCAATTTGTTCTGTTATTTTTACTGCCAAAGTGTACTTATTAAAAACTTTTTGTAGAATTTTACAAAAAAATCGTAGTAATTTACATTTTTTAGGAACTAAACTGTCCCTTCTATAATAGTCAAGGCGACGGATGAAATAAGCAGTAAAAACAGTTACGACTAATATTAACGGGAATAATCATAGTCTATCTCAAACTCGCCTTTGAAAGCTTTGTATATCAGAATTTTAAATTTAGCCAAAATGACGGCAATTTGACGTCAGGTAGAAAGGTCTGTCAAACAACCAACCCTAGTTTTGACAAGTTCGATTTTTAAACCCAGAATTACATCCCTTCAAAAAAAATCCAAAGTCTGCAGTAACGCTGGTCTTATTTATTGGCCAATATGACAGAACGACGTTGATAAAATTCAAATTAATTTATGCAGATTCCTCTTTGGGAGCCTCGGCTTCTTCTCCACTACAACACTTGCAGTCAGTACACTTGCACTCCTCTTCGCCTTCGTGCTTGCAGCACTCCTTCTCGGCGCAACACTCCTTCTGGGGAGCTGCTGGGGCGGGTTCCTGATCAGAGTCTGAAAGCAGGATCATGATTAAGGTTTCAAAAAAGAACATAAAATTGTCTTATATACAATACAAATATACAACACGGTATAAAAATGAAAAAAAAAATCATGCAAATCTTTTTTTTTATCCTTTTTAAAAATTTTCTTTCAACTCATTTTTCGATTACCGTATTATGTTAGTCATAAAAATCCTCAAGAGCAAATTCTCAGAAATTCCTCTTTCTCCTCAAAAGAATCGGAATCAGAATTTCTGAGAACGGAGAATTGGAATAAAAACTTACAGCAAGGCATGATGGTTGTTAGAAGATCGGAATTCGAAACTGAGGTCGTCGGTTGTGGCGTCCCTCTTTTATAGGGCTCATTGAGACTCCGCCCTTCGGCGAGGGGCAGGGGGGGGTGTTCCATTTTTTGGTATTTTTTTTATTTCATAGGCGCCAATTAATGGGCGAGGAAAAGAGGAACGATCCCTCCGCGAAAACCGATCCGGAGGCGTTTTTTACTTCCACGCCGGACATTAGCCCTCATTCCGGCGGGCATTCATCCGATGCTCTAATGAGTCCGGGAAACAGACAATGGCGCGATGAATAATACTCGGTGACCCGCTGGAGGGCGCGGAGATTGATTCAGCGGCAGCAAGGGCCGCAGAAATTTGTAAACACGGCCTCGGCGATCTTGATCATGCCTTCCTAGGTCATTGTTGGAAGAAACGTCGTTTTTCTGGTGCCAGGAACCTCGTTATCGTCTCACATCAGATAATGTTGACACTCGGCTCACGAGCTGCAAACCTCTGACGTGTTCTTTCATATTCTCATCATGCCTGACGCATTACTTTTCATTTTTATGTAGATCGACCTTCAGAGATCGATGACATCAGCATTCGGCCCATCCCTAAAAAACCAACTCCATGTTTTTGTGACTTAGAGATAGGGTCCTTAAAACTTTGGTCGTGTAATGCGCTTTCAAAGAGCACGCCTGTTTCTATTGTAAGCCACGCAGATAAATCGGGTTTAATCCAAGCCATAAAAAATTTAGAAAAGCAAATAAACAGTAATGCTGATCTCGGGGATTCTTTGGTCTTTCTCCGCAACAGACAGGGATTATGCTGATTTTGTTTTTCTGGCCTCGAGAGATGAGTCAGCGATAGAGTTATGTTTATCTGATTTTACCTCTGAATCATCACTAAAAGGATTGCTGAATTCCGAAAACTTTGGCGCTATTTCATCGAAATCTGATTCCGGAGGGAGGTCAGTGACGTCAGAGGTTGATTTCATAATATTCGAAGGAATGACAGTCCCCATTCCAGACCAATAACATCTTGGAATAGGCTAATTCCATTCCAGCAACTCATATAAAAATTGAATCAGCGGTTTCAAAAGACATCGGAAGAGGTGTGCAGACACAAAATAAGCAAAATTATTAGACTCCCGTCATATCACATTATTCATTCGATATTTATACACCTATTTCCAACAATAATAAATATATTTAGTAATGAAATGTCGTCACTTTTTTCTCCTCGAGCCCAACTCTCTGTTCGATTCCTTGGATATTTTCGTCAATTTCTGGCCAAGATTTGGAGCACCCAAGAGAAGATGTTCATCGGTGACGCCGAAGACTCTAACATGATACACCAGGTTATACAGTGCATACATCTTGGCACCGGAGACGTAATGGAAAGAGATCATGTAATCGGAGCAACATTCGCCTTTCTGAAAATTCAAATTTACCAAGTAAAAGCTCAGCAGCTTGTAGAAAACGTGTTCCGGGGTAGTTTTCCATAAACAATGACTTACCTCATTATAAATGGGATAACGAGTGTAGTTTTCAAACCAATCGGGAATTTTACCTTTATTTTCTGAACCAAAGTGTATTTCAGGAGCCATTGGAAGCATTCGATGTCTCCCCTAAAATCGATTATTTAAAAATGTTCATCACTTACCGAGGCGTCCCTAGAGTCCCCAAGGATGACTCCCAGTTTCCCCAAACATCTTCCAACCTCCACATCTTCATCTCCCGTGTCCGCAGCTTTGCATTTCTTTGGATCAGACAGTCCATCCTCCACGAATCGCCTTAGGGCTTCATGACTTAGAATATAGCCGGCTCCTCCACTCATATACCCCGTTCTTACAATTACTTTGAAGTTACATCCAAAATAAATTGGCTCCTCCTTGTTGTAGTTCATCAACATGAAGCGGAGATTCTCGACGAACATAAACGTATCGTCATCTGCTTTCACAAACCAGTCGTATTCGCTTCCGTAGTGATCGTAAACGTATTTGAAGGCTCTCTTTGTTTTTTGCCACAAATATTTTCGGCCTTCTGTAACATTCAAGTCAACTGATGGCAAAGATGACACATTGGTGGACACAAATAAATACTTGTCACACTTGGGACCCCAGGTTCGGTTGACTGCAGTCGCTCTCATATTTCCATTTTTGGAGTTGTGAGTCATTATCCAGCAAAGAATCCGCACTCTTTTCTTCAACTCCTTGACTACAGCACTTTCCCCTAAAAATCACAAAGTAATTTTAGAGTGGTGATACCCCTGTGAAATACGGTATTTTTGCAAGGGGCACCTTGCGTCAGTGGCATTGCCAAAGGCTGGAGTCGAACGAAAAAAATGGTAAGGAAGGGGGACCAAGGTAATATTCGCTCGACATTTTTTACATACATAGTGACAAAATTTCGTAAATTTTTGCCGAAGCCGAGCTTTTTTAAATAAAAAAAAATCTTTTTTTTTATGAACTTTTATAAAAACAAAAAGGCTTAAAATCTTACCGTGTTCGTGCTTGTAGAAAAAGTATGTGTTTTCTTCAGTAGAATTTCCGGATAAAGGCGGTGCCTGGGGAACAAAATCATCAGTATTGTGTCCATATGTCTGATCGTGAACTTGAAACTGTAGTAACGAGAAGAGCAAGATTCCAGTCAACACACCCAAGAGATACAAAATGACAGGCTGGCGTTTACAACAAAACATTCGATCCCATTCAAATGTTCGGCCCCAACCGGAAGGAAAAAGACAATTGACAAAAATTCGACAAAATGAATTTGACAACAAAACGAACGAACTGCAAAAATTACGCAAATTTTTCACCGACATGATTTTGGAAAGTGCTCGAAGAGCCACGCTCATATTCCGGAACTTGAAAAAAATGAAGCTAAATGCCTGCGAAAATTTTTAAAGAATTAGATTGATACACAAGAGTAAGTGTCTGCACCTTGCCTGCGGATATAACAGTTTTCTCAATCATATCTTTCATCATCATTTTCCGGTAAATTCCCGTAATGATGGTCACTGAAGCTTTTATGTTTTTTTTGGCAACGAATTTTAAAATCCAGTGTCGGCATTTTTTGCATTGAAATTCGACCCTACAGCAAAAAATAAAAGTTTCTGTCCACCTTTCTATGTTTCGACATATAAAATCAAAATGTGGAAAACAAAAGACGGACACAAAATACATGGCCCCTATCTTGGTCGTAGACATGACTACCACCTCCATCGCTCCCTACAAAGCTCCATAAACATATTGATATCGCTGTTCTGACATCGCTCTTCAAAGTCCTTCCAACGCAACGAGCAGGCTTTCCTTAATCCTTCTATACAATCAAAGCATTCAAATCATCAAATACTAGTAAAACAAAGTGAATAGTTTAGAGAAATAAGTAGAGAGTACAAAGAAATAAGTAATTTGAGGGATCTCTAAGTGATCTGCGTCAAGATCCGGAATGAACGGTTGCCCGGAACAACGACGTCGTCTCCAGGAGTCACCGAAACGGGCATCTGAAACAAAAAGAAGAACGGTCCGAACACAAGTTTGGTTTGGGAAGCGAGGATGTTCGAGCGGGAATGTCTCCTGCTCTTCATCCTGATCTACCACATTAAGCGGACGTCCTCGATATGTGGCCAAGCCTCTGGAGAAGAGATCACTTATTTATACGATTACTCTGCTAATGGTAAGTTTGACATGTAAGTTATATTCTATCAGATTCCCCGACATCAATCTATACTCCTACTGTCATCTCTGCCGAGCCTTCGTTGACTTGTAAATCCACAGTTAAAGCGGGGGTACTCAAAAATGAAACCTTCTTATGCAATCGATTATGTGTTACGACGATGACGCCCTTGATAAAGAAAACCAATACAACCAGTAAGCACTGCTAATTAAAGAGAATTACTTCAGCCTCCTATAATTACACGAACGATTTTCTTGTCCCAGCTGGCTTCGAGATAAATCGTCATATCCAGCCAGTTATTTGTGCCAAAACATCTGAGCTTTGCGGAGCCACAAAACCGCTCTATTGGAACAAAAATACGGGAGAGCGTAAGATCGTTTAATAGATTCTGTTTATTTCTTGCTGGGGTTGTTGAGCCTTCAATATGAATCAGTAATATTTTCAAATTGGTGTCGGTTGCGTCATATCAAATTAAACCGTCAAGTTAAAAACTCTCTTACTGCTTTATATGGCGGCATGCCAAGCCGCCGTACTATTTACAATAATTTTTGCGACACTTCGTTCTAAAACCAAACCCCATAAAATTTACGAGAAATAAGACACTAATGACGAATTACAGTATCCCTGACAAATGATTATGATCCCTTCGACAAACCGATTTGTTTCATTTGGGGCGAAGACTCTAGTCAATATCAGAGAATGTTAAAGTAAGTTTAATGAGAGAATTTTTTTCTTATTATACCCGTCAATGGCCCTGAGGGTAAATGCGAAACATTATGGGGTTCTTTCTTGGCTTTGGATCCCTTCTTCTCCATTGGTTTTCTTGTGAGATCAGACTCGAATCCTTGGACTTTTTTCTTAATTTGCTGAGCAACATTGAATATGAGATCATTGCTGGTGATATTCTTCGTGCAGGGGAACGAAACCACTTCTTTGTTTAAGTTCGCGTCCTTATGAAGTCCAAATTCTGGACCTGTTGGTCTTTTGGGAGGTCGTGAACCACTCTGAATATTAAGACAATCATAGGATTGATAGTTGATCAGTTACCTTAATATATTCATGTCTTTTGTCATTCCCTTTGGGTGTAACCCATCCGCCAATGCTGTGCAATGTCCTCAACGACCCATATCTTCGAAAAGGATTGGCTACTTGTCTATCGGACATCTTCAGATATCCCGCGGTCTTCTCTCTTTTCTTTATCTAGAGTAAAGTCATCAGTTATTTGTGGTTATTCTTACCTCAACCACATTTACAACCGTGAAAATCTTGAGTTTACTGTAATGTGGAGGTCTCCCGTTAAATTCAACTGGTTCCAAGGTGTGTCCCACAACTTCAGAAGATACGTCGCTTTGGGCAAAATTGTTATTTCGAAGAGAATTGGGGATGGGAGAGGACGCGGTTCGTTTGAGATGCGTCAAACTGCTGGAGATTGCGGTTTCGAGTTCTGAGTTTGGATCAGCACTTCGCTAAAATATACAAAAATGCTTTTCCCATGGGCGGATTCTAATAATACAGAAATTTAAATCTCATACCTCATGTCTATGATTGAGTTCTGGATTCGTACCATAGATATTCTCGCTTCCTATGGAGTTGAAACCATGTTTATTGGAGACCAACCCGTCCTCCGAAGGCATTGTGGAAATAATAATCTCCTTTTCAGAACCCAACAAAATCAATGCCCAACCCCGGGATCAACCAAGAAATCGAGGAGAAATAAAAGAAATCTCCCATTCGATTTTTGGGGAGGTGGAAGAAACCAAAGTAATGAAGCTGACAAATCCACAGATAATGACTGGATGAATAACAATACAGGTAAGAGATCTCTGTAACCTCTCTGACTATCCTTTAATAGACTCTTTTCTTGCATCACAGTGGCCTCGATGTATCGGAAATTTAACCGTCGAGTGTTGGTTTGGGTGGTCTCACCGTTTTATTGGGACCACTCAAACTTTATCTAAGACTTCTCAAACTTTAATTGTGACAAGTGAACCTATGCGGTTGCCCACAAAAAGTGAATCCCCCTCTTCTACAAAGTCTGTACCTCAGAGCTCTTTTACAACGAATAAGCCTTCTCAAACTTCGTCTATAAAGACTTCTTCGATTTCATCTACAACAATAACGCCTCTAATTTTACCCACAACAACCAAATTTTCTTCAATTTTATCTTCGAGAACTTCTCAAACTGTATTCACGACAACCAAAACTCCCCAAACGTCTGCAAAATCGTCTCAAATTTTGAATACCAAACCTGAATTTCTTCAAACGTCACCTAAAACAACCCAATCTATGTTGTCTACAACAACTGAATCTATTATCTTAACTTCAGCTCCAAAAACCCCCTGCACTTCCAATTCATCCCGCTTTGACTGGTTTCCTTGGAGCCGGATCTCAAAGCAGACCGAAAGCACAACTCCATCTACAATATTCACAACCAGAGTAACAACTAACCAGCCGAGCACCAATCAGCCGATTTCTCAGCCCAATCCGTCTACATCCAGGCTTGTTACATCGACAACAGTTGCAGTGAGAAAATCTGAACAGACAACGAAAGTTACCTTTCCTACATTAGATCCCGATAATATTACAAGAAGAAGACCTCGGGATTTGAGCAATGAGCTTAATGATACGAGCTCATCTAGCAGTACATCAAAAACAACAAGCTCTAGTCCTACAACGTCCACTCCAAGCAGTACCACTACCTCAACTACGACCACAACAGCAGTATCTAGCAGTTCTGGTGGCCGCTCGGCTTCCTCATCAAGTTCAACCAGTACAATCACGACAACAACAACCTTTAGATTCTCCAGTCACAGTGGCATTTCGATACCATCTTCCTCAACTGCAAGTTCATCGTCCTCATCAACTACAACGGCACAATCGAGCTCTGGAATAGCAAGTTCATCGACTTCTAGATCATCTACCGTAACCCAATCAAGATCCAGTCAATCCAGTCAGTCTTCAAGTTCGATTGCATCAACCTCAAGGGCAACAGAAACATCAAGGTCTTCGATTCCTGCAAGCTCAACCACAATCCACTCAAGCAGTTGGTCATCAACTCGACTCTCTTCGTCCTCTACTCACATAGCAAGCAGTTCAAGAAGCACCAATTTGGCAAACAATGTGACTGTCCCTACTCCACCAATTAACCAAACAATTGGTCCAGCTGGAACAAGTCCTTCTATTCCATCATCCGTAACTTTTACCAATAAGGCGAGCTCTTTTCGATCACAAAATCAAACTATCGGACCTGGAGGAACAAGTCAAGCAGGAATCTCTGGGAATGTTTCCTTCGCAACAACTACTCCTAAAGGAATCATATTGGCGTCATCCACACCCGCGTCCAGTTCAACCACTGTTTCATCGATTGTTCAGACTACAACTTCTAATATAAACTCTAAGAAGTCAGCAATATGTTCTGCGTTGAGTAACTTGGAGAACTCAAATACCATCTCCCTTTCAGCAGTGACGAGTATTCTTTCCCAGTACAATGTAACCCTGGATGATGCTTTAAATGCACTCAACCTTAGTTTAGCTCAGATCAGCAAAATGAGTGTCTCTGAGATCATTGATAATGCCACGGCATCTTGCCAAGGATACGGTAAGTACTGCGTTTTACAATTAGATACTAAACCATTTACAGTAAGCAGTGTGATTACTCTCCGGACAAGACAAACAACCAATAGAGTGAGCGGGACCACATATAATGGAGTGACTTATGACAACGGGGATGGTAATAGCAATAACAACTCGGTTGGGCCAAATTATGGAGGCGGAAGAACCCGATCTTATCAAAATTATAATGGAAGTTCGGGTTATGATGATGGTAAGCAGAAGATAAATACAGCAATATCTCTATTTATAGGAGGAGATACCTTGATAGTAGTCCCCATCCCTGATCGTTCGTATTCCCAGCAGGATAGAGAAGATAGAGACAATGATAACGGGGGTAAAGACAGTGGGATCAGTCCACCTATTTAATATTGTTTTTAGATTACTGGTACGACGGAACAACTTATCAATATAATCACAGAATATGGAGATGGGTCCTCCTGGGAGTTTTCTGCGCTCTTATTGTCGCTATTGCATTTGCACTGGTAAGCTGTTACATTTCTATCTTGTACGTGACCTCTGATTCAGCTCTGCTTTGCCTGTTATCGTCCTTACCGACCTTCAACAACGACAACAATTGTAACTCCTCTCCCAGTCACCGAAAAGATCTATACCAGTAGTGGCCATGTCGACGTTCCTCCATTGCCGATCAGCCCAATGCCAGCCTATTCAAACGCTGCTACCCTCAGACTTTAATCTCTATAAACTATCTCCAAACAAAATGTATTCGTTATCTTGGCAATAAACAATAAATCTATTATACTTGTTTGCATTTTGGTAATATTGCTTGGAAGATACTGCGCGCGCGCAGATGCGACTTTTACTTCGCTTTAATCTGAATCGGAATGCCAACAATGTTTTCGTGTCAAAACAAAAAAAGAAAAATTATTTTTTCTTGGCAGCAATTTGTTATTTTTGAAAGGAAATCTTCAGATTTTAGATGTTTCCACGCTTATGTGTAATTTCACCATCAAATCTTGGTTTTTGATTTTATTTTCTTATGTTTTGGGCGAGCTAATGCGCGGAAATTTGCTGGGTTCCCTTTTTAGGTTGAAAATAAATCGTTTTTTCTTCCAATTTCACCTCGGACTGTGTTCTTTTTGAATAATTTGTCTTCGCTCTGCCAGACCTCCCACCATTTGAATAAAAAAAAGAGTTATATCAAGACATATATCATCAGGTTCTGGTATCTCGTGCTTTTTGACATGGTAAAAATGTAATTTATCAGTTTTTGTGAGGATTGCCAAATAATATCTTAATTTAAACAGGACTTTTTGATATTGCGGTATGCGTGATTGGCTACTTGAGTATTTAGTATCGTTACAGTAAGTTTTTAAACTAAAAAATTAAATTGCCAAGCAATTGTAATGAAGAAAAGCGAATTTATAGAATTTTTGTTAGGCGAATTAACATCCTTGTTTTACACTGGCTGTTTTCGTTTCGAATTATTTGAGATGGCATTAATTTGCTCATGCCGTTTTGTGCGTAGAGAAAAGTCGTTGTTGGTACCATTTCAGCGTGGCGTGTTTGGAACATAATTTTGCTGATTTTTTCGTATTTCAGAGCCGTCCACGGATGGAAGAGAATGGTAAGAAGAAGGAGGAATATTAGATTAATTTGGCATTGCAGAGGAACTTGACTATGAGACGCTGGAGAACACCATCGATTTGGGCGAGATAGACGAGACCGAGGAGGCAGAGGTGAGTTGCTGTGGTAGTCGTATTCTCCTTTTTCCGACCCAATTTTTTTGCTCAAAAAGTCGGGCACGACTGACTTTCCCTAAGGCACTTGGCCATGCAATCCCTCCCTTTTTTGCTTTGGTTTATCTGTGAATGGAAAAGCGTTTTTAGGGCCGTAAAATGGGGGGGGGGGGGCTTTTAAAGAGAGAAGAATTTTGCTGGAAGGTGCGGACGCCCGGAGGCGAGATGTGTTTCAAATATTCAAATGAAAGATATTGTCTTTCTACGGAATCCTGAGAGCGAATGGGAGATGCGTGCCGTTGTCGGCGGGGACGGTTCCCCTTGATTAGATGGTCTAAAATGCATCGCGGGCAGTTGCTATGCACTTTTGAAACGGCCGATTCCCCAATTGAACGATGTCGGAGTTTCGAAATTCCCTGTCAACCTCGGGCAGTTTTAAAAAATCTTTCGGTTATGTCTGTTCTATGAATCAGCTACTTGCGAATGGCGATAAAATTGCTAACTTGAGTGTAAATTATATCATAGCCTGGCAGGCCTCTTAATCTTTGAAAGTATTTAAAAACAGTTTGGTCTCAAGCTGTGTGGAATTCCCCCGTTTTGTTGAAGATACCGTAATTTTGAGCTAATAGGCGAACAAAAAGTCGTGCCTATTCCGGCTGAGTACTCTTTTTCATTATTTCTAAATGAGGTTTTTACGTACGTGATCGTATTGCAGCCGGAAGATGCCTAAAATTGGGTATTTTAAGATTAAGACGGCCTGACCGAGGCTAAGTTTTGGGGGTAACATCTGGAATGAGGGAAATTTTGAAGATCAAAAATCGGTAGTTGGCCTGAGGGCTGGTACTTGAAGTATGGGACCCGTACTCATCTTCGGTTTGGGATCTTGGCGCTATTAAAAGGAGGGCTGGAAATAAAAATGTTTGCTCACCCCAGCTCTGGTTGCATCGCACACTCTCTTTCAAGATTTCCGATTTGGTTTTTGCATGGTTCGGTTGTGGTTGAAGACCGGGCGCATAAAGGAGTACTGGAGAAGAAGGAGGAGGGAGAATGAATGAAGAAGGAGTGTTGTTTTCCGTCCTGCTCCGAGTTAACTACGCACACTCCGTCATCTTCCGCCTTCTTTTCCGTCGTCCCGAAAAGGCGTTATGAACCGAAATTTCGCTCGTTTTTTGCGGGTCTCATAAATCCCGCGAAGAAAGGCGCGCCGGCGGTGGTGGTGGTCGCCTTATTCGTCCTCTACTCCTCGACGGTCGGGATAATTAGGCGGTTGTTGGTCTACTTTTCATTCGCCCTCTTTTAAATGCTCCTCTTGTCGTCCGCATCCTCAACGTCTCCTTCGTCTTTTAATGGCCACGTTAGACGGACAGTTTAGCCAGTTTACAGCCCATTCTCAAGGTCATTGGTGTAAAAGTTGCGACTGCCGATCCGAGGGCAGGGCAGATCCCATTTCGCGGTATGTCTGGGAGTCATTCGCGATGAAAGCCAGGGCCCCCGCTCGTTGCGTAATCCACCCCGAAGGATCTTACGCTAATTAGCGAGTCGCCTTCGTCCGCCCAATGAACGCTTCTCACGCGAGTTCCCGATTACGGAATCGATGTCCTTTTGACTCTTTGCTCTCCTTCCCCCCGTCCAGCTCTGATCGAATAAATGATCCAGATGGTCGAGAGTGCTGAATAGGAGTATTGGATTGGGCCTTTTGATCGCGCATCTTCTAGTCTTTCGGGTTTTGCTTGCCTCGGGGACTCTACTGCCCCCCCCTTTCTCGCCGCTCTTATTCTTTCCTTTTAATCCATTTAATTGAAACATGTGCGTTTCGCGGGTCCTGGATTTACACAGATCGTTCCGGCGGCACGTTGCCCTCCGGGCAAGGCGGCCTCTTCTCCCTTTTTTGTGCTGTTTTCAGGGCATCAAACGACATCTCTTTGCCAGCCAGCCCGGGGTCAAGCTTTTCCGGCCGGTCATTCATGGGCCGTGAGGGTGCGAAGCAAGACAAAAATGCATGGAGGCTTTTAAAATGAGATGTGGCGCTCTTTTGGGCTCGAAAATTGCTTTTCTGGCGGTGTTTGGCGGAAATGGAGATAATGTGCGGGTTGAAGTTAGAGTCAGTAATGCGAGGGCTGGGTTCTGCCAGGATTCGGTTTTCTAGTTTCATCGTTTTCAGTCCGATAAATTTTAAGAAGCATTGGGAGAACAGTTTAGAATGGTTCTTTGTGTTTCTATGGCGTAAATCTTCTTAGACTTTATATTGTCTTCAAATATTAAAAGGGAAGGGATTCTCGGGCTTCTTTTTCGTGTGTGGATTTATAATTTGTCGACCGCCGGATCCCGGGCCCGTGTTATCCCCGCAAGCAGACTCCTATGAATAGATTGGCGGCAGGTTAAAGAGCCCGAGGTCAACTTCCGTAAGTGGATCGGAGCACATTTCCGGAAACACAGACGACGTGCAAACGGCCTCGCTTCCCCACACTTTCTTCATTTGCTCTCTACGCACCTCAAATTTGTGTACTGGCATCGCTGACCGCACTCTTTTTTTCATTCTTTCCGACTGCCTGAAGAACTGCGCCGCTTTCTAATTCGGTGCGCGAAGCTCGGGGGGAGAACGAAAAGCGAGCGGACTGGAGGCGGGGGACGGCCTCTGATGTTGCGTCCCCCCTTTTCAGCCTTTCGCCGCATCAATATGGTCCCGCCCACTGGTTCTGCACTCGGACCGCACTCCTCGCACAGTCCGCGTGTAGCCGTCCAACAGACGGACCGGCTTCCGAAAAAAAGAAGCCCTCCGGCTAAGGTGGTCGAGGCCCCAAGGTTAGACCAGTAAGATGGACTAGCCTTTGTGCTTTCTCCAATGGGGTTCTCTCCTTCCTTCCGATTGGATACCGTAAAATGATAAGCGGAATCTTTTCTCTCTCTGCTATAACTCGATTATCGTCGCTTTATTTGGCTGTTACTTAGTCTAGATTATGAGACGATGCACTCGCCGCCTGGGACTTGGTCTCAACCTGGGACTCTGAATGGCATAGGTGAGCAAAGTTTCAGGTGTGCGAGAGTCATCATCTCGGGGTTGTATGAGTCAAGTGCATGGTGTCGTCTATAAGAAGTTGGTAACTTATTATTTCAAGCGGAAAACGGAGATTAGTCCAGAGAATGGGCCTCTGAGACAATTTGTGTTTAGATTGACCGAAGAGAAAAGGATTTGGCCAAAAAAAGAGAGGAAGAAAACGAGTACCCTCTGGAAGGGAATAAGGTCGATCCTTCCAAATTTGACCTCAAAGAAGATCGTGATGAACGGGAAGAGGTGAGTGTTTTAATCTGAGGTATTCTTTTTGCCTTTTAAATTACGGAATTCGAACAACCCCGGCCTGTAAATTGATATCCGGGGGAGGCTGCCATTTTTGATGAATTATTCAAATTGTTCTTGTTTGGTGCCGGATTTGCCGAGTTTGTGAATATTTTTGATTAGTCCCCAAAGACCATACGTCTCTGTTTATCGGCGCCAGGTCACTGATCTCTCCGCTCTTTCCAGATAGACAAACTTCGCGCACTAATGCGCACCCCCGACCAATCAAATGAGAGATTTGCTACTGTATCTCTTCTCTTTTTTGACAAATCGATCCCTCGTTTCAGGTAACCGAAGCGGATATCCAAGATCTCTATGACTCTCTGGAGGTCGACTTGTTGGACGAAAATGTTCGAGCGACAGCCCTTTTTGTACGTTCCCTCACGCCTTTTTCAGTCTACGAATTGGAGAGGTAAGACCATTTTAAATCAACTCAAATTTTGTAAAATTTATCGCAAAAGTATGCAACAAGGGGTAGCGAGTAATATGGAGTTGTGACATCTACAGTTAATTGAGGCACAACATGAAATATTGATTGGAATCTTCCAGTGCAATTAAGTCAGTTTTTCGTATTGAACGGATGCCAGTCCCCCCGCGAAGACATTCCTTTTGTGTTGGTATCTTTTTTCATGGCCCAATGTTCGGCCATGGTCATCCATCTTTCGGCCCTCAAGTTGGGAGTGTGCGACTTAGTGTTTTATACTCGGATGAGTTTGTGCACAGCTAATTAGGAGAATAATGAAGGCTTTGTTGTCCCCATGGCGGCCGTCTTGGCCCTCCTGAAAATGAATGACCGGCTCCGGATCCAGGCCGCTTAGAATCGTAGGCCGTGTTTTCTGTTCCTGGTGCCCCTTTTAATCAGACACTGCCCTTCCGCGCGAGGCCAACTCTTTTCGTCAGTCGTGCCTCGGGCTGATTAGGTATTGGCCTCTCCTCCTACTCTGAAAGCCCGACGGAAATGCCGGCTGACTGGCTGGCTGTTCCCCTTTTGGCTTCCGAGGACCTACTGATTCCAGGATAAGGTCTTATCTCATGCTCGCTCCACTGGCCGCGGACCCATCAACAGCCCCAAATTTGATGTCCGACAGGCCGCGAAATTGAGATGAATTCAAATACTTTCTTTCAGGATTTTCGTCGAATACGACCCTATCAGATGTGCTCTTCTTGATGCCAACAGTGGGGTCGTCAGATTCAAATCAGCATTCCAAGCAGCCGAAGCGTTGATTCGCGCCACAAAACAATTACTCCGGGTCCGACAAGTTGATCAGCAGGAAGATGGAGAGGTAGACGACGAAGAAGATGAGGATGAAGAAGGAAATGTGGTCCGGAAAGAGAATGGGGAAACTGTTTTGGTGATTAAAAGTAAGTTTAGAAGTGCAAGAAATTTCTTTTTCAAAAGTTTTACACTCTTTGTCTAACATCTTGACTGTCGCCGAATCCTCCCTCTCTCTCCTTGGCTCGCTCAATATTTTCTCATCAAATCCAATTTGTTGCGTTTGCCAAACGCATAAGTGCGGAGATTTTCACGCAAATCCAACGCAAATATTTGGGTTGGTAGTCTTCGGCAGATCGTGATTAGAGGGAGAGAAACGACCAGTGGACGGACCAGCGAGAGACAGCGAGTCTTTTTCATCTTCCTCAAGTACCCGGCACCGTTTTCAAGAGTGCTGATTGTCGAGTGGGACAGGTAAAGTAGGGCTCGGAGAGGCAACAGCATCTCTCCGACATACCTCAATTAGAGACCTGCATGGATCGCCTGGCTTTGTTACCTCTCCCGTTTGTTAATTGGTGGTGCGGATCCTGATTGGGGGCGCGGGATGCGCCTCTCCCCCTCCCTTCCACCTCTCCTCGCGCCTCTTTGTTATTGTTGGTCATCAACCTTGGGCAGGGCGACGATCGGCTCGAATAACAATCACCTATACAAACACCATCACCCCTCTTCCCTCTCCCCACTAATAGCCGCCTCTCGTCGAAAAAGTTAGGGTTCATAAAAACAGAAATATCAAGGAAAGGGGAGAGCGCCGCGGCTACTGTAAAGATTTACGAGCGCCAAGTCAGGAGAAAGTAACATCGATGAGATCAGCGTAGATTTCCCGTTATGGTAGCTTATGTGCCCTTTTTATAGGGTCGCACTTTGGATGGTCGTATCTTTCCCCGGGGTTTATGAAGAAGGAGAAAGGAAAAGTCATTCCCGCTCATTAGTTCGCCGATTTTCTTTGAATGGACCTCAAATATAATATAATGGATATCCGCTTTTATAGTCTCAAAAACGCGACATTTCAACTTCCCGAACGAGAATGAGGTCATTTAGGAGAGAAGGGGAGACAAGCCCGCAGTTTACGACCTTCTCCATGCCACTCCCGAGGTCCTTTTTTGAGCAGTTGTCAAGCTGTCAACTAAAGGCACGTCGTCATACCATTTCCTTTTTATGAGCGTCCTTTATTTAGTCTCCGGAGGGCTTTTAAATCCATCTTTGTCCAGAACGAAGATGTTTGCAAAATTGGTCATCTTCCAGCTTCTTGATAAGGCCAAACATACCCATTTTAGCACAAGTCACGGTTCTTTTACATGAAACATCTCAATATTTTAGACAGTGATCATCAAACCCCCTCGAATCTCATTGAATTGGATGTTACAAAGGTCCAAATTCCCCCAGGCAATTGGCGATTTGTGATCGAACATGTACCCAAAAATCGTTTTGTATTCGCCCGTTTAGCGACTGGATTTGAACTGAGAACGGCGATGATCAACCCCTACAAGAAAGAGATCAGCGACGATCGAGGCCAAACATCCAGAGATGAGGAATACGAGAGTAAAGATGAATACAAAAGGAAGAGAGTAAGACCCGGATTGAATGTATTCGATGAAAAAGGAAGAGAATTGGATTGGGACTACGAACATGACACCCGATTCTATGATGATGATAATAAACAAGAACCAAGTCCCAAAAAGGCGAAAGGACCGGAAGAGATTGAGATCAAGGGAGAGAAGGTTCGAAGTCGGGGAAGGGGCACCAAGAAGTTTGTGGCCGCTCTGTTGGAGGATTCAGACTAATTTATGCATAATCTCATACTGTAATAAATAATAAACAACGCCATCAGAAGTTTGTTTATAAGGAAGGGGACTTCTGAAAGTCTCGAATTCAGACAAAAGCCGAAGAATAAACAAGAAACGTCCCAATATCCTCCGGGCTAATTTCTCAGCGCAAATAATAGGAGTCTAAACAGTAGACCTTTTTAGATTGGGTTTAACCCGTCTTCTATGGGAAATCGAATTTGCTCCACCATTCGCCGATCGAATACAGTACATAAAAGGAGATCTTCCCGCAAGGTTGGTCTTATCACTGCTCGCCGCGACTTTCTAATCGGCTCTTCACGCGTATCGAAGCGAGTCAGAGCTCCCAAATCAAAATGCAAATATTATTTTAAGGTTGTTGGGTCTAAGTTTTCAATATTTATCGCTTAAATTGAGTTTGAACTCGACAGTTAGTTAAAGTGAATCGATTTACGGTGATCAAGCATTCCCATTTATCCCATTTCCTTTCGAGGCCATTAAAGTCTTCGAAATCCGGTTGAAAGCTGAAACACAAACCAAAATTATTCAGCCTTCCACTTTAATACTACACTACCCAACAAGATCATCCGCAAAGTATATTTTAACGTAAAATATATCCCTTTTCCTTACCCTCATTTAAAGTGTAGTTGTCTACCGACGAAAAAACAATACGGAACCATCCAGGTTTGGGGGCATACATCGTTTCTCCTGCTGTGATCATCACCCGGTTCGCAAAGAACTGATCATTTAGCCTTCTTTCGGCTTCAAAGGTTTGTTCGGGAAGGTACTACAACAGAATACATCTTCGTACCTCACAATAAAACACTCTTACCTTGCTAAAGTCTACCAAAACAAAGAATCCCGACCGAGGTTTTATATAAGGGACGTTGATGGAATCGAGATGTCCACAGAGAATATCACGAGCGTGCCTGAGGCGTTTGTGATTCTCGGGGATAAAAACTTTCTCGATCCAATCTAAAATTGTAATATTTACAGTTAGTTGATAAAGTACATCAGATCTTTTATAAATTTGAAATTTTACTGTAACACAGCCTACCGTAATCATTGATAAACTCCCTGGCGATGAATTGAGTGGTGGTATTTGGTAAATGATGCATCTGGAATCTGGCGGCGCATGCTCTAACACTCGGATTGGGTGAATGGAGAACAGCGAACCGAAGACCCGGCAAGGAGAAATTCTAAAGTCACCATAAAGCGTTATCCGATTAAACTTACTTTACTGATCCCCCAAATCCAAATCAAATAATTCTTATCCTCTCCTTGGAACAACTCGGTTGCACTTTGGAAGGGGAACTTCGGGTTCTCATCATAGATCGTGAGGTCATAAATCTCATCAAGGATAACAAACAATTTCTTGCTGCAAAAATAATCCACTAAATTGGTGACCTTGCTAATGTGATATAAATGTTGGTAACTCTCACCTCAACGCCCATTGAATTACCGGTCGAAGCTCGTCCTGCGAGAAATAGCATCCTTCCGGATTCTGAGGGTTCACAATTGTGATCGCTCTCACTTTGCCCTGCAAAAAAATTTGCTACAATACAAAAAGATCCTACATAAACCGCAAAAACTGGCTTCAATTTCACTTACTTTCAAGCTGGCCTCTTGATAGGCCTTTTCGAACCTTTCCACCTTTAGTTCCGTATGAGTTTGATCATCAGACAAAGCTGGGACTACTGCGATTTCCACTAAACCACGCTCTCCAAAATCATTCGCGAATCGATAATAATACGGGGCTGGGACGAGCAGATAATCTCCTGGATCAAAGAGTATTTGTCCCAAAAGATCAGCACAAGTTGTAACTCCAGGAATTGTCAGAAGCTAAAGTAGTAATCATCAATAGTAACATTATTTTTTATACATAAACTCAGAAGTCCTTGGGCAAAAATAAGCATATACAATAGGGTTGTAAATTTTGTTAATTAAATTGCGATTTTCGTCTTGTCAAATTTTTCTGTCATTTTGATTGTCAAATTGAATTTTTTTGGAAAGTTTTTACAGATTTTTACTAAAAATCGTAGGAACAAAATTGCACTTTCTTGTCAAAACGACGATGAAAGAAGCAGGAAAACTAGTTAGAACTAATATTAACGGTGGAGAGCTTCGTATATTAGTATTTTCAATTCATCCAAAATGACGAAAGTAACGGCAATTTGACGCAATTTTAAGTCAGATTGAAAAATCCGTCAGATTAAAACAACCCTAATAAACAACAAAAACAGGTGTTTAACACTCACTTCGTCGCATGGAATCGGCGGCAGGTTTCTTCTACAGAAATGATTGATGAACTTGGTCATTGACTGTAAAGTGGAGATCTCTCCACATGATCGGGGGTAAACAAAAAGATTCTTGGTCTCGAATTTGGTCCAGTCGATGCTTCTAAATTTTTCCGTGACCAGTTCTTCACAAAGGATGTTATCAGCCGACGATAGTTTGATATAGCCCTGTAACCGAAATTTTTTGGAAGATTTTAGGTAATAAATTATTATCAAAATTAATGAAAGAATGTTCTGGAAACAACCGAAACTGAGGTTTAATGAGATTTTTTTTGTTTGAAAACTCCCCTTCTGGCTTGCAAATACTTTTTCAAAAAAACTTACATCCTTGTTGGTCTTGGAGTCGTATGGATTCTCCAGATAGAGCTTGTTCTGTCCTCCAGTACTCGGGAACCCAAGTCCTCGTTTGGCACGATCAGAAATGAGATGCAGCGGCATCTGAAATAAATATTAATTCAAATCGCTGCAACTCCAAAAGAATAAATTTTTATAAGTGACCGGCTGGGAGACACTCTTTTTTCGCCTAACCAGACTTTTTTTAGGGTCTTGTGGCCTGGCTGGCCTGTCCATTCTTTTTTCTCAAAGATCCAGGAGTGACCCTTTTTTGCTTGTGGTTGGGAATTTCCAAGCATTTTAAAAAAGAAGTTCCAGAATTTTTCGTAAAATCCCCAGACCCAGTAACGAAAAATAGATTTCATAAAGTTTCGAACATCAAAAACATAGAAAAGTGTTTGACACTACGTTTTAGCGTCTTCGAGCAAGTACATGTTAACTAAACAATGTGATCGACGAGTTTTTTATCTTCGAGATAAGAAAAACTCGAATAAATGTTATCTCAAAAAGGATGCCGGAGGGCAAGAAGAGAGTCTTCTGGAGAAAATGAATGTAAAGAGGTGGTTATTGATGCGATCAGTAATCTAATAATAATAGCGATGATGTTCAGAAACGTGATATTGCGTCATTATCGGAGAGCGTATAAAATGTCGCTGATTAATATTTTCCCACGATCACAAAACGAAGGTTCTTTGATTCTACAAGATACGAAAAATGGCATCATAAAGTGTAATGCTTACAAGGGCTTTTAGAAACACTTGTGAGTATTAAAAAGTATTACGATTTTCTCCCGACCGTGCATTTTGGACACCCAGGTAAACCGACACAAAGTTCTCTACTCAGGTCCCCACTTCGGAGACGGACCGGTAACCGAAAAAGATTAGGAAAAGCGGATCAGACCCTAATTTCGAGACAAAAAACCGTCGAATTCGAATATTTTTTGTTTGATTATGCTCTTTTGTTTTGTTCATGGAGAAGGAGAAAGGTCTGGCCGATTGTATCATTTAGATTTTTTTTTGATTTTTAAACTGAATTAATAGAGACGGGAGTAAAGATAACGTTTTGTGTCTATTTATGACCCTAAAGATCGTATATTTCTATTCCAGTCAATGATTCATATCGATTCAATTAATTGGAGATAAAGAACGGCACACCCAATCAATGTACGAACGGATTACGTAATTCCGCCCGCAGAGATTACGCAATCGTTTTGAAAAAATTAATAAAAAATAAAATGGTTGAAAGTTTGAAGGCTAATAGCTGAAAAGAAGGCTATTTGGAGAGTAACTAGGACAAAGATTACTTTGTATGACAATGAAAACTGCCCTTAAATACTACAGAATATCGTCATGACAACAAAAAAAAAAGGTTATAATATCTTGTCATCTATTTCAGCAGTTGTAGTTCATAGCTTGGGTTTGTCAAGATTCTAAGCTCACTTAGGGCATAAGTTGTAGTTTGTGCCAGTCTTTAAAATTTCGGAAGATCATTTTTGAGAAATTTCAAAAGATTTGGCAAATTCGCATTTTTAAAGTTTTATTTTAAGGCGGACTTACAATTATATCTAGATTTTCAAAAAATTTACGTATAATTCATGCATATTTGGGATCAAAGAACCCTTTATGCGCTGATAATTTCCGTGTCACCCATCCCTACCCTCTTCAATGTTTTTTGTTTATTTTTTAAAACCTCGGGACCGCAGCGGAAATGTCGTGGACATAACTGCGAATCAATTGTCCCGCTTCTTAAGGCCGAGAGTGTGTCAAGTCTTGCATTTTACTCCCGGAAAAGCGCCGCTCAGCTGACCGGCCATTTGTGGGCTGGTCACATGCTCTTTCTTCTCCCTTCCCAGAGAGAGTCCAATATTCATTAGTTTATTTTTGCTTTTCTAAGTTCATTACCGAACTGATAAGAGCCCGGATTTGACACATTTTATCAACTAAAAGTTTAAACTAAAAGTATACAAAAAAGTTGCAAGGGATTTTTTCTAAGTCTAACTATAGTTGTTATGAGCTTTGTAAAGTAATTCCCTTACCACTGCCAGCTTCCTTGTTTGGCATCTCCATAGATTGTGAGGAATCAGGGTTAATTTCATTTTCTTTTTTCTTGTTGTTGTTTTTTATTCCTGAGGCGTCAGTCAGTCTTCTTAGACCCCTCATCCCCCTCTCGTGACCCTTTTCTTCTTTTTTTGTTGTTCAAATTCAGCTCAAAAGTTTTGCGGAGCTTTTCGCGTTTCTAGTGAAGCCGATCCAGAAGTTTTCAGTTCATCCAGAATCCTTTTTTGAGGGGGATTTTTATTATTATTCCGGGAGATCCTCTTTTTGTTTCCGCGCAGCAGCTATTCAGATTTAAGATTTTTTTGGGGAACTCAAGCGAATCGATAAAAACAAGCCGTGACTTTACCAGGCAGGTCGTTGAAGTTCGTCAACTCTTACTCCCTGTGAAAATCGATAAATAATGACCCAGGTTGTTGTTTTTTCGAGCACGGGGTCGGAAAAGGAAGGCCATCGATCGAAGGCGCTGCAACGAAGGAAGCAAAAGGGGCGGGTCTTAGGCGGAAAAGGGACGCGAAAAGATTAGGGGAAAGGGAGAGAGTGGATGCGTGAGAGAGTGTGCGGAGAGAGGGGAGTGGCAGACAGGCCGCAGCAGAGAGCGCAAAACTCAACCATCACGTGCACACGATCCTCCTCTCTCGTGCTCGTAACCAGCGGACACCTCATCTGATCATGCAGCGTGGTCGTTGTTCCCACCTCCAATGACGTGCATGAGTCACGGTGGAGAGTATCCGGGGGGCGGGTGACAACTTTTGTTTCGAAATATGTTTTCCGTTGACTATTTAAGTGCCAGCCTTCCCCCACTCAAATACCCATTCCTTATTTATTCCTGTAGTTAGTGTAATATCCGTTATGCTAGTTTGTTCCTCCAATCCGAGAACTAATAACACTATAATGCAAATACCGACCACTTCCACTGATCCCTTTCCAGAATCGCTGGTCGATTTGCAAGCAATCACATCTCTGGTCATGCCAATTCGCTCTGCCTGGACTAAGTCGTCGACTGGAACTGGAGCTGATGCGGTGCCGGACCTGAGGTGAGTGCCTCAGCCCTGATTCTGACCTGGCTTTAGTGAATCCGAGTTCCCTTTCCTGGAGGGAAAACCTGAGGTCGATCGGAAGACCTCGAAGGGACGTCGTCATGCCGGCGAACAGCTGTTAATGAAACGGCTGGCTGGTCAGGGCTTTGTAATGAAGACGGTGCTGGACACCGGAGCCCTGGGCAAGCGACGTCGTGCACGACTCCTCTCGGAGACGGTGGGTGATGACATGGACGCATCCATCCATTACTCCATCAACCGCAAGAACCGCTGGCAACTCGGTTCGGCCGTCGAAATGATAAAGAACAAGATAGATACAGACAATGTTGCCTTCTCGGCCATCGACAGTGTTTACGGCTTTGACGGACAACGAGTTATGGCCCAACATCAACTCAACCAAAATGGTCTGGTCCAATCCAAACACTGTAAAAGTCATCGAGGAAGTCAGAACGGAGGCGAGGCATCAGGCAAGGGTCTCGAGGTCCGATATCTCATGTCGAAACCGCATCCAGTCGCGAAACTAATGACTGGAAATGCTTTCAACAAGAGTAAGTTGGCAATCCTTGTATAAAATAAACACTTCTGTAGGCAAACCCGCAGTCCGTTCCAAGAAAAGAGCGCAAATGGACATCAGTGTGTACAGTACTGATGGAGAACCGACCGAGGTCGAAGAACAACCGAAACAACTCCCGGAAGAGGTCATTAATCTCTACCGTCCCCGTCAGCAAACCTACACCTTGGCCGATTTCATTCAGGATAAATCGGCCCCCGTTATTGTCCGGCATCGACCAGAGAACGTGAACTCGGAAGAAACCTTCGAACAGGTGAGCAGTAATTCTAATTATGCAAATCGAGGTCAATTCGGAGTCGATTAAAATCATGTTAAATCATGAGATTGTAAGGGAAAGAGCTACGTCATGTGGTGTGGGTTGCATCCGGCGAACCCTCAGAGATCGTTTTTTCGAAATCAATTTGTTTATCGGCTGGACTGCGGGTTCTTTGACCTTTTCTTTCGCCTTTAAGACCCCGTCTCTAGGACCGGTTTCCATCAACTGTTGACGGAAAAAGAACAGCAAAGTCAGCAGTTTAATTATTCCACAAACATCTGGAGAACGGAGGGATCCAATCGTTGCGTAATTAAACTTATCTGATTAAAGTTATTTATGATTTTTTTTAATTAGGTTCAAATGTGACAGGTCACAGTCGTAAAACTAATATGAATGTGTAAAGTGAAGGTTTATCGGGTGTTAATGTAGCGGGCCGGTAACAAATCGGGTCAGTTTGGTGTACCAAGACAAATTAACTGTTTTTGCAAAAAATCGTTAGCAAAAATTGAGATCAATTATAGCGATAATTACCCATTTCATTAGTATTTACAATTTCAGGTGGAAATGCCTGTCTCCAACATCTCTTCTTCCACGACTGATTATTCGACCAAAGTGGAGCATGGAAACCGGTTCGAAATCAAACTTGATGCCGATCATGTTGGAATCGGGAAACAAATCCACTGGCTTCAGCAAGCCGCAGTCATCGCCGAACGCGAAGAATTCAACTTCCAATGGCTTAATCTGGCCAGGACCGCCTTCCAAGTGGATATTAGTCCAATCCTTATGGAACACTCGTATTCCCCGGTGATTGTTCTTTCTTTCTCTTACAATCAGAAGGAGAAGATGATCAATGTCATCTTCAATGCGTCCAAGGAATGTGAGATTCACCGATTCCATTTGGAGATGGGAAGTATGCCTTATCAGAAACGAGTTCGACTCGACACATATCTTAATCTGGTCCTCCAAAACACTCGGATCCATGTTTTGGGCGTTGAGCCGCCTCGTCATGGAATGAATTCCACTCAATTTTCCACCAGAACCCAACCCCTCACTGACTACCAATTGATGTCGTCAACCGAAAGCCTTGATAAACACATCACTGCCCTAGTCGAAGGGTCTACTCAGGAATCGGAAGTCGAAGAGGAAGATGACTTCGAACATGTTGACATCGATGACCTCGCTTTCTCCGATGATGAGAACAGTGAGGCCATCGATGAACATGAAAACATTGACCCGACTTGGATCGACGAATCCCTCGACGAACAGGTGGCCGAACTCAAGACAGTCTGTCACGAGTGTGGAGAAGATCGGACCACAGAAGTCATCACCTCCGGCTCCTGTGGTCACTCTTTCTGCTTCAAATGTATCAATCGTCTAGTCAGACCTCCGATTGCTTGTAAACAAGCTCCCTTAATGTGCCCCGCTGCCAATTGTGACAAGGAGTACCCCATGTCCCTGCTGCCATCCGTCTTCCCCATACCTCTAATCTATCTTGCCTTGAGGGGTCGTGCTGAATATATGGCCAAAAAGCACGACCTCCGAATGTTCGAATGTCCAACAGGATGTGGGACCGCTCTTATCAAGAGGGAGATTCCGTACAATCAGGTCGAGTGTGGTCGTTGTTACAACCACTGGTGTCCTGAATGTCTCACCGCACCTCATTGGCCAATGACTTGTTCCCAGGCCAAGCAATGGCGAGAGAAATGCCTGATCCAAGCCGATAAGGGAGAGGAGGCCGAACAGAATCATATTCAAATCCAATACTATGAGATGGTCATAGACTGTCAGAAGAGAAGATTCGGGACTGAGAACTGGAAACTGTTGGCCAAGGAGCTCAGAAAGAAGGTCGGATACAAGTTGGAGCGTCAATTCGTTGACATCATGAAGACTGTAAGCAAACAATTTTAAATTATAAATGATAGACAAAGATTCTAATTTTGCATTTTTAGACTCTCCAAATGGTTGAGAATGGCTTCGCTTGGCTTTATATGACTAAAGGTCCGAATCGTCCCGCCAGTTGGCCCAAAGTAAAGGTCGCCTTGATGGCGCTTTACTCCGAATTCAACAGGGTTGAGAACTGTGTGATCAAGTCCCCTCAATGCGAGAACGAGGCGCAGGTCGCCGCCGAACTCCACGCTCTCCGTGGCCTCATCCGCAAAGGCCTGCAGGAGTACAATCCTTAGGGTATTTAACTCATTTAGACCTCATTGTAAATAGGCGATCTTTGTATAGAGAAAAGCTTTCAATGTGATTTTCCCATGATTTCCATGGCTGTATAGTGTAAGATATACGACTAGGTAAGTGCCCATTATCTTATAATTTTCCGTCTGTCTCACTTTGCCTGCCAAAAACTCTCAAAACCCCAAAAACACTCAGCAATATTGATTATTGTGAACATAGCATTCGACTAGCACTTAAAGCATCATTTTTTTGTAAAACGGCGACGTAAACAATTTGATAATAAAACTTTTCTCGCCAAACATCGGATATATTACAGATCAACAAACCAAATAATACAGAACAACTTTAAACGTATCGAAAGGCCACTACTTATCAATTGAATTCGATCGCTGTTTTTAAATGTTTATTGTATCTAATTTCTGGGGGTTCTTTTCCGGAGTTTGATTCCATCTTCGATCAGAATCTTGGAAGTCTCTTCGAATAATTGGTCTTCCGACAACTCAGATCGTTCTGATTGTAGTCGTTGGTATGTTTCGATGAATGTTTGGCTGATGGTTTTGGTCTTCGATCCAGAATGTAGATTAATTATTCCAGGAGATCCATAAGTTTTGTAGAATTTACTGTAATAATTCAATGTTAGTGTGTCACATGCGGCTTTCTTTGTCAAAAATTTCACATACGCTCTAATATTGTCTTCCGGATATAATAGCTTCCTCACACATTCATTCTTCTTTGGCATTTCCACATTCCACACCGGCTCCGTGACTGGTGGACATAAAACATAGATGTCAAACCAAAGTGGCCGATCTTCCCATTTCAATTGTCCGGCTCTGATAAGCCCGCTGACCCTAAAAATAAAAACAATAAGCCCTTATCAGCTGAACATACCTCTGGAAAATCGGTGCAGCCTTCTCAACGCGAGTGAATTGTTGGGCCATCTATAATAAAGAGGGAACAAAGACCATTGGCAGATAACTTCAAAGCAGGAAAAACACCTAGAAAGAAGATTCAAAACTTAAAAAGTGAATATTTATTAATTACAAGGAAAACTGATGGCGTACAAAATATGTGGAGACATGGATAACATCATGGTATGCTTAACAAGATGTTACGCATGGCATAAAGAGGACGGTAACGTCCTTGATAAAAGTCTGGAAAATAAACCCGTGCATTCATGAATCCAATTGGTCCATATAAACCACCAATTGCTCGCCAGGACGAATACCAATATCAGAACGGACAGCTTCGGAGAAGATATCTGATACATGGTTAAGGAGTTGGACATCAACGGCTGTTACATGGTTAACAAAGGCTTTGGGCTGGTTGCCGGTGTCTAACAAAATATGACCAAGAGGTGCAGCCTCTTCTAAAAACAAAGGGATAATAGCGTATTAGACGAAAAATTAACTTTTAGGCATACTTAATGAAAATAATAGCTCCCCTACCTCCATTCTTCTTCCTCTTAGCATCATGTTTCCGCACAGCTTCAGAATAGGCTCTAGATCGTTGGGTAATATCAATTTCCCCAACATTATCATCCAAATTCACATCAATTATTCTCTAGAACATTAAAAATAAATAAACGAAGACTTACCTCCTGTGCCGTATTCAAAATACGATGGATCAAGGCAGCTTCGTTCTGCTCCCTAGACCTGGCAGAGTTGTTTCCGGGAAAAGTTGGCGTTAATCGATTGCCAGCGCTAACCCCGTTCCCGGCCGAATTTTGAGTGGGTACATTCACACTGGAATTACAATTCTTATAAACAAATCGCAGCACTATCTCAGAATTTCAATGGAACTCGTGTACTTACCTCTCAGATCTGAAGATGTCATCGGTCTCATCATTTCTGATCAAATAACTCTCATCTTCTTCTTCATCTGTTGTGCAACAACAAACCTTGAGAATAAAGCTCATTTCGTCCAAAACGATGAACTTTTATTGTTTATCTCGATTTTACAAAAAAATATGTTCTTTGCAACATAATGCCAGAACAAAATATTTCGTGTTGGAATATAAATCATCTCGTGATGGAAATGCAGCGCTGCATGACATGTGGAAACTGTTATAAGCATCACAATAAACAAACCATATTTGTTTTCCTTTCTGAGAATACAAGATTGGTATGAGGAATTTCATTTATTCAGGAAAAGTATTCAAGGAACAAGCAACCCCCAGAAATAACTAATTCTTTCAATTCTATTCCTCAGTGCCTTCTGTCTCAGCATTTTTGTCGGCTTTCTGTTTCTCCTCATTGTTATGCTTTTTGACGTAAGCATCATAATCATCGATGAAGATCAGCAAATTCTGAGACATATCCACGGCATTCGATTTGGTAAAAAAGAAAAGAACTGTGCGGGCGACGTATAGATAGTGCTGTAAAAAGTGAAAAATCAGTGTGAAGACGACCCACCATCTCCGAAATGATGGATTTATGTCGTTTCTGTTTGAGTTCCTTGGCCATTTTGAGCATGTGGACTTCCTCCCCTTTTAAAAGTTTCTCCAATATCTGACAGGTCAACAAGACGATGGCACTTCTCCCGGATCCCGAACTGCAATGAACAACCACTTTCTTGCAATTCTTAATCAACCTCCAAATCACAGATATAGCGGATGATGGCTCGGGGAGTCCTGTGGGAGGGAAAGACCAAAAAATATTCTTCACGGTGATCTCGCCCTTAGGGCATTGGGCTTGTAAGACGTTGATTTGAAGACTCGGTTCCTCTGAAGGTTCTGTCTAAATCCTGTGATTTATATTTACTTAGTTGGGTATTATAAGTATTGAAGCTATCTTTACATTCAGATTTGAGACCTTAACCCCTCCGACATCACTTGTCTGGCCAACCTGAGGTGGATAATATCTGGCGCACTTCTTTCCCTCATCACAGTTGGACAGTTGAACAACCTGAAGATGTTATCAGGTTTAATTAGCCTTTGATTTCTTACTGCTTCCACTCCTTCATGATGGATTAAATCCCAGAAATGGCCGACCGTATTTGGCAGTGGGGATTGGGCCATGATAAACCTCGAGTCCACAGAATTCGCATGATAATATCCACCATCAGAAAGACGAACCCGGGAGGATTCGATGCAGAGAATATTCTAAAACCTACACTAAACTGCCATAACCACAATTTCATATTACTGAAAGAACACTTGCCTTAAATCGATTTCTGTCGGCATTGGTAGGGTCAAGAAAGGCCGTTGCCTCAGGCAATGTCTTATCTTCAGCCTTCAGCTCCTCGAATTCCTTCTTCAAACCTGATATCTCCTTATCCAATAAAGACGAGACAAATCCAGACTTATCCGTAAGTAAATCGTCCTTGCCTGCGGGAATTTGAGTAGGCTCCGCTCCGGCGGTATTTTTCACAGTAACCTGGCCGGGAAGCGGCGCCTTCTTCCTGGAATTATCAACCTCTCCGTATGAGTTTACAAGGCCATACATTTTAAATTCTACAGTAACCCGATAATGGCTTGAAACATCGTTTTTAAATATCGTTTCGATACGACATCAGTCCAAAGCACTCGATAACCATACGACAATTTTTAAGTAACAATTGCAAGTTTTGTCAAACCAAAGCGTTTTTTCTTTGGGTAAATATGAGCTTTGTTAAAAAAATTGCTGTTAGTGATTGTTAAAATGGGCCTGGTCAAACTAATTGAAAAAAAATATTTTTTCGATCAATGTGTATCGCGCCAAAAATTTTAATAATTTTGGCAGTGATGTCTTCCTTTTCATATTATCGTTTATCGGCCGAGAAATTTCGATATGACGATGTTGAAGCCCTGGCCTGATGTTTAAATTTGATGTTTAACTTACACTTTCTTCCTACTCCGACTGGATTGTGGTTCGTTGCTTCGTGGGCTATAATGTCGGGTTCATTGCTTTGGAAAGTTTAAAAGCCTGGATTACATGTTCAACCTACACCTTCTTGGTCCTGTTGCTCATCTCAGCTTCATTTACGTCGACTGTCTTTTCTCCCCCCGCCGCGGGTTTCTTCTTCCGACTAGCCACTGACTTCTTTCGTTCCCTCTGAACGTAATCATCAACTTTTTAAATAAATACAGGATGTCCCAAGATTTCTGGATCTTTTAAACCTTTAGTCATTTCCTTCAAATAGAAGCTAATAATATAATTTTCGTGGCGTTTTGAATACAAATTGTCAAATCGACAACTATTAATGATGCAACGATAAAAATAATGCGAACCACAATTGGAAATATTATTTTTGTTGCGTTGAGCGGAAGATTGCAGAGTTAATATAAAATAGTATTTTTAATCATGTAGGCAGTAGTAACAATGACATCGACCTTTTGTCCTGCTAACCTTGGTTTTTGAATTCTCCATGGTTCAAACCCCCAAAAAACCAATATTAAAAATTTTCTTTCGGATTATTTACTGTATTAAAAAAATAAACACACAACTCGGCTGTTGTCAACCATCAAAAATCGTATTTGCGTTTTAAATTGGTGTGATAATGAGAAAAGTGCACAAAAGTTTCCGCCGAATACACTACTCTCCGCGTTGGCGGAGAAAAAAAAATTTTCGGCAAGAATCTTGACTAAGCGCCGACAGAAGCTTTCCTACCTATTTCTCTGAACGCCCTTTACAATTATTGATTTATTATGTTACGCAATCTTACTTACCTTGCTAGCCTTATTATCCTCGCTCTTGGTGGAGCTCCCATCGTTTTCGTTGGAGTTTTTTTTAAACTTTTTGCGGAGGTTATGGATGGCTCCAGCCAGCTTCCCTCTGTCCATTTTAGTTCCTCAATTCTAACCAATGGGTCTCGTTAAAGCGCGTTGGAGGATTGGATTCACTAGGCCAAAAGAGAGGCGGCCGTTCTAGAATTGATCACAGAAAACGACTGATCAGACCATCCGCTACTTATTACCGCTGAATTATTCAAATTTCCGCGAGCGAAATTTGTTAAAATTTAAATTTTAAATCTTGAAGTTGAGAAAGAAGTGAGAAGTGGATTCGTGGGCTCATTAATCATTCCATCTCACGCTTGCAAGCCATAGATGTCATCCAACTTGCGTATGAACACATGTTATTTAATTCCCGAATCCTCATTGTCTTGGCCTGAGGACCATAAAAGGCGACTGTTTACTCGATATTCTCACGGGTTCATTCATACATGAGCGGAATCTTGACATTCTGATTAATTGAGTTTATTTGGGCTCGATTTAACCATAAATTTTGGGGTTATATTAATCATGTCTTGGAATGAGAAATGTGTTTATATGGTCTGTTGATGAGAAAGTAGGGAGCAGCTCATGTTGATGACATTGTCCAGTGTCTGTAACAACGAGTAGGGCCTTCAATAACCCCGAGGCGTCTCCTTTCCCGTGCTTGTTTTGGGGAATAATTGGAAAGACAGAGGTTGCAAGGGACAAAGCCAAGGTTGTAAGAGACAAATAGTAGTTGTCAGAGACAAGGGAACCAGTAGTCAGCGCTGTTTTGGACCGGAAGTAAGGACTTGGCAGCTTTTTCTCACCTAAAAATGGTCATTTCTTTCTTATAATCTCGATCATTCGGCCGGGAAAAGAGCAGATAAAGGGGATTCGGGACGGCGGAAACAATTTTATTTACTGCAGACAGTCAGCATTACATATCTATGCCTCAGAGAATTGTTTTGTTGCTGCGCAATCCCTAAAATGGGATTTTTTGTCCTTTAAAATTATGTTAATGTTCTTGTCTTCCAAAAGAGGAGATGTTCTTGCATTTATATAAGTCTACTTTGCTCGTATTCGTGAGAGATGTGAGTGTTTTATGGCCCTAGGTGTCTTTAGGGTCACAAATATATTCTTAAATATTCGTTGGGTTAAGCACCTTTTCCAGCCCCTCAGGGCTTAATTTCTTTTTTCCCAACAAAACATTCCCGGCTCTCTTAATGTAATTATTTTTATGGCGTATAATGGTCAAGACACAGGGACAAAAGAAGCTTGGTTGGTGTTTCAGAAGTCGTCGGATGCTCTCTAATCTAATATTCGCTGCGAGTCGATGTCATCCCATCACCTGTCGTTGCCTAATAGGTCTCCAACCAACAGCTCATGAATAATGCCCAATTACAATTGTTAATTTTAGATTCCGTCACTTTTCGAAACCTGCTAAACACCGGGGAAGGCATAACGGTGTGAACTGTCCCTTCGGCCAGCTTGGGCGCAAAACTTGCAACCAATTTACGGGTTTTATGGTCGAGGATTTATTGTGGCCATGGGGTTTAATTAGCGCTTCAGGCACTGAGACTGACATTGGGAAGTGCTGACCCGATATGTTGGGGAGTTTCGTGTTCAGTACTTACCTTATTCTCTTGTCGTGATTACAATTGACTTTAAAAATTTTCCGATCCGAAAGCACAGAATGACATCCAACCTTAAACAGCTTTTTGCTCGGCAAAGTGAAACCCTTTGCTTTCATCTTCGAAAATTTTGAATATGTCATCGAAATCTACACATCCAAAAATTCCCCTTATGTTAGGCCTTTTAGCAATTTTTTTCATTTGTTCGAACACCAAAAAACATAGGTGTAATTATGCAAAGAGCTGTAAAAACACGGGGGGAACCAACACTTTTATGGCCCTAAGAGTAGCCGAGTTCGGGCATGGGGAGCGTTTTCCGGATGAATTTTGTGTTTTTCTGCTTTTGCTCCGACCTTTGTAGCCGAAAACAAGCTTGATTGTTCTCTGTAACACTTGCTATACCATATTTTCTACAATCCCTCTACTTTTTAAAGAATTTAAATTCCCGAATTCTTTTTATCACACTGTTTTCAGACTGCCCGGAAACTTTGGCCACTTATTCCCTTACTCTCGGCCTCTTTCCTTACTCATTATCCCATTCTTTTTTCATTAATTTTAATTTTAGATTGTAATTCGAATGATCCTTTGCAGAGATTATGCCAATTTTAATATTTTTTCCTCTATTTTGTGCCGACTTGCAACATTAGTATGGGATACCCAGATATGTTGGAGTAATTTATTGCGAATTTGTGTAATCCGTTTCGAGTAATCCACTCAGTTCGACCGCTTGAGCGCAATGTTTTTTTTGGAAAAAAATACGAAAGAACTTTTAACATAAAGTGTACTGTCCAAGCGAATTCAGGATCAGAATCCGAACACGGAAGCGATGAAATTAATTGAGATGAAAGCCGTCGGACATTATTTTATTTATTTGACATTTCGGCGAACGAATTAAATGTATCCGGCCTGAGCTCTGACTGTCAATCTTCGGCCGCAAAAAGGACCCGGAGTTCGTTTCGGAAAAGAGCCTGCGGGCATATTCTAGATTCCTTGATTATTCCATAAGGCCAGGGTGAATTGATTATGAGTAATAAAGTCATTTGTAATATCACTATTCACAAAGAAAAATTTTATTTTTATTTTCGCACCGTGCAAAAAAATCTCGCGACATTTTTGACACTCAATCGTGAAAAATTTCTGGGGACCGAAAGGTCCTGACCCCGAAGAAAGAGTAAGCTTTTTACGATTCGTATCAAAAAATTTAAATAATTGATATCAAATGACATGGATAATATAATCGCTTGTCACAAACTCGCCCATGATTGGTGTCTTTCATATAGTTGACTGATGACGTCCGCCTCCATTCTCCAATTGTCTCCTTTCTCCATCAAAACAAGATGTCTGAACCTTCTTTGCGTGTCACCTGCGAGTCCTTGTTCATCTCAAATTCATGTAATTCGCTGTTTGTAGATGAGTTTGGAAGCCGTCGGCGATCGAATTCGCAGAGCCTCCACCGGCCTGAGACGGGGATCTCGCGTGCGAAGAGTAAGTGATTAATTAATTGTTATGTAAATACTCAATGAGAAGAGAAGACACATGCCATCTTCAGCCCCGTTTTCCGGCGGATTATGCGCCCGCAGGGCAAAGATTTCCTAATGTTAAGATAGAGCTATAGATCCATGGTCATTATGTTCCGTGTTCATGGCTTGTTTAAAGATCTCTTTGCGGCTGTTTTCTTGCAATGATAACATATTTTTTCTTTATACCAAGTGTAATGTTGCCAACTGAGAAGCTCCGATTAACTTGGAAGCATGTTGTCACATACTAAGGCCTGAGAATTTTGCTTGCATTTTGCAACGGCAGCCAAGTTTTTGCGAGAGATTATGTAATAAGCGTCGACGGTCGGAGAAACGATCGAATAGAATTTTTTTGCATGTTACTCTGTAAAAAATACTTTTTAAAAATCATAATTTTATTTTAAAATTTTTAATTTCTTTCTTGAATTATTGTCTCTTTTTACCTGGACAGTTTTCGTTTCTGCACAACGCGATTAAAAATTTTGAACACGTCTTATTAGGAAAACACAGCCCAAATTTTATTTTTTAGTCGTACCAAAATTGCAGAGTTCCACTTTGTTGCTTCGCAATGAAAACGTCTTTTTCAAATGCTAGATATAGTATTACCGAGTGTCATTGGCCATGTAAAGGTAGATCTCCCGGGTCCGTAAAGCCGATGTAGTGATGGCTATATGGCTGCTATTTATGGACATAATATTCTTTCCGGGAAACTACTTTTTTCCCTACGTTCTTCCAAATTCCCCCCTTTTCTTGAGTCAGGAATTTATTTATATTACATTTAATGGAGTCCTGAACCTACTTCGCCCTCCTCCGACACATATTCTCTGACCAGAAACCGGTTCAGACTTCGCGGGATCGGAAACTTTTCGACATTCCCACCTGTTTTCCCAGATGATGTTGGACTTGGGTGTGCAGGTGAGGCCAGGGACGGGTTTGTTTGGAAGTCCTTAAGAGCAGATTATATATGCCCTGAAGGCAGATTCAATTTCATTATTGGTTTTCTTTTATTTCAAAAATGAATTCAAAGGAGTGCAAGTTGGTTGGGGGTCTTGGAACGGGTCATAAGGCCGGAACAAGGAAGCTGTTGATGAGCGGGGAAAGGGAGGTAGTTGGTCACATCCCATTGACCTTATACTTGTCCATCCCCCTCCCCCGTCTTGGCCTATCCGCTTAAAACACTGCCCCAATTCTGTCACCAAAATGTCCGAGAGTTTTGTGTCGACACTCCGAATAGGCCGAATACCCATAAAGTCCGTGGAATTTTCACAGTGCTTTTTTTCGCCTGCGCCGCTGAGACTTCCCATCTTTGCGCTTATGACATGCATTTTCTTGCGAACGCAACGAGCGACGAGATCAAGAAGATTCTACGGACTTTATGGCGCAAATAGTATAAAATTTCCGGAAATTTTGGCGACCTTTCGCAGGTCCAGAGATCTTTTTTCGAGGGATTATCCAAAATGAGGAGGGACTGCCAGGGGAAACCCCAACCTTTTATCAACTTCTAGGCTAAGAATCTTGGTTGTTTCTGCAAAGAGCGCCTTCAGAACCTCGGAGTGTCCGGCAAAGCCCTCATTAGTTTTCCCCCGGCTTCCCCAGATGGGAATGTTATACTATATTATGTATATATACATTTACCTTGACCGCCTTCTTGTAATTCATTATCCATAGGACATTTGGCCACAGTTTTATCACAAAATAAGACCAAATTACATGGCGTTGTGTTCCCATGTTATTTTTGGACTGTTTATTTACCCTTCTGCATTGTTGTCATTCTTAGACTTTATCTTTCGACCTCCCCATCCTTTGATATTATATTACCCATCATTTGTTGATGAGTATTCTGTTCATTTGGATATTAAGCAGAGTTCGTGTCTACTATATTACCTCTTTTTAAAGTCAGATTACAGTGTTCTTTCTATTTCCTTTCATTCCGCCATATTTTGATGTTATTTTGGCATCTACGACTCTAAAAACTCCGTTCATTTGTCTGGTCTGTTTAATAAATTTTTTGATTCTTTGAATTTGTGTATCGATTGTCAACTTAATCCCCTCCGTTATCTAGGATTTTCACCGGAGGAGTCGCAATTTTCTAATGAATTTTTTTACTTTTTTTAAGCGCCGATTTTGCTGACATTAGTCTTGATTAATATTCGAAATGTATTTTTGTGGAAGTGTATGGTGTCAATGGCCGAACTTCCGGCCATTCGTCCATTTAAGTGTAGATCCGGTGTTAATTTTGCGCCCTGAGGGCATAAATGGGGACTTGACATGTTATGACAAGCCTAGATGAGGGGGGAAAAGACGGGTTTGTAATTGGGAACAAAACATTCCTTAAGCAGTAGTGTAATTTCTATGAGCTGTAGTCTAAGACTTCTTTGCCTTCTATCTCTGCAATGGTAAGGTAAACGGGCTCCAAAGCCGGATAAAATGGTCTTGTTTTCATGGCCAAATTCCTTCTCAAAATGAATCCAGTCCCTATGACATTTGACGGAAAACCTGGGGAAATTAATTATGGACCAGACCCTCAGGTCACAAGCGTATTTCTTCCTTATCTGCACACCTTATGTCGTTACTTAACCGTCTAAATCTAAAGATTATCACCTCATTCTACTCGTCCGAGACTCTCAATGTTATCTCGGTAATCTCTAGTGTAATCTAAACACAATTGTTGTTCCTTTCCAACATTCCTCGAATATTATGTTCACCTAGAGACCACATTATGGGTATTGTTACTTTGTTTTGGCAATAATCCTTTAACCGAATTGGATATAACCTTAGCATGGCCGGATTTTAGGGCCATTTGAGTGATGAATTAATTAATAGGACTAATTGCTGGCCGCGGATTTCCCTCTCAACATTTGTCGAACTCTTTAAGCCGCTTAATTACAACGCGTTTGAGTGTGTTTAAATCTGCATGCCGGTGTAGCTGTTAAAATTTTTTTTTGTCATTTTGTGGAGTTCCAAAGGGTAATACAAAAAAGAAAGTGAAGAAACTTTTATGGCAGTAGGCATCTGTTGTAATGAAATCCGGTTGATTTCAGGACGCAGAATGGCACTCCGCCTCCTGTAAAGCGCCCCGTTCCAGTTACACTCACTTCGTCCAAGAATCAGAATCCCTCCGACAGCAAGTACATCAGCCAATATACGCGATCCAACAATCCTCCCGGACCTCGGAAGTCCTCGAACACCCGGCCATCCCTCGAATCAAAGTCACCCATCCACCTCGGGAATCTCGGCGGACCTCGATCTGTTCTCCTTTGAGATTTACAAGGACAGTTTCTACAGATTCTATTGATTCCCTCGAGCGACAGTGTTTGAGGGACCTCAGGTGGCAACGAATGATGGAAGCTGAGATGCAACAGCAAGGGAAGAGCCTGCAACGACAAGTTTCTGTTCGAAATGGGGAGGTTGGTATTGTAGAGAATGATTTTGATGAAGAAATCAGTCAAGAAATAAAGCTACATGTTTTAGAAATCTCTTCAAAATACAGAACCTGTAGCCTCGACGTCGCTGGAAGAGCCCGTATCTTCATTCCCCCATCTGGCCAGAGTCGGGAGATCGAAAACTGATCCGGGCAATGAAGACCAGCAAGGACCAAGTGCAAACAACAATGGGAATCCTCGAAACGGCCTGCAGAGATCTCCATTATCCCTTTCCAATGGCGAGTCTACCCTCAAAAAGTCTGACACGGTGAGCTTTTTAATTTTTCAATTTTGAATTAGTCTTAAAAAAATTAATTGTCACAAAAATGATTTCGACAAACTTGAACTAACAGGGAAAGTACCCCAAGCGCCACACTCTGATTTTGGTGACACTTGACAAAAATTTAGAATATTAGTGTTTCCACAAAAACCCATTTTTTTTCCGCACGAAACTGACAGAGGTATGGCTAAACAGTGTTTTTTTCTGTGACCGCTCTCTGCGTTTCGCGTACTCTCTCGGCCGCAAAGTTAATCAACGGACGAGCTAAAATTATTAGGAATTGATACCATATGTGGCCTATGTCAGACATCTGTGCAGAATTTAAAGAAAATGTGGGCGTCACACTTGGGGTACTTCCGTTGTAAAAGAAAATAAAATTGTAGCTGAAAAGGTCAAGCCCAGACCTACTTCTGGACGGTGTGGCACGGAGTCGGATCCTCAGTGAGGTAATCGGGCTCTCCTGCTACCAACAAAAACTCATCTCCCAATGCTGGCCCAATATTTATTCTACTGGTATCAACGGCTCCTTTGCCTCCCAATTATATGCCACTTTGTACGCGAAAAACGCCAAGGCCAAAGCGCTGATGCAGAAGGTATGTTGCTTTATTTACATCTTTTCTTAGTCTTTTCGCCCGCTCTCTTTTCCCTTAATAACTTTATATGCATACTATACATAACATATACATAATTATTCATGCGTGGACCTCCAATTTTGATGTCACTTTTTTAGGCTGATGGTGTGGCGGTGTTCACGCAAAGCGATGCTGATTGCACGACCATGCACACGAAGCTGACCTTAGAATTAATCGATCGAATTGTGAGGAATCTGGATGCACATCCGGGTGCAATTATCGCTTATTTGAATGAAATCGGACAAGTCCACCGCAGTCTAAGGACAGAAGGCATTTCTATCGCTATGTGGGATGATCTCGGTATGTAAAAAATCGATTTTTTCAAATGAGTTTGAGTTTCTCAACAATTTTTTTCAAACTTTTTTCCGAATTTTGCTTACCAAAATGTCATAGAAAACCGAGACTCCATATATTGGCAATGACTTATAAATTTCCTAATGTAAAATATTTTCTTTACAGGTGATGCGATTTTGGATGGAGTTCGAAAGAATGAGGTGGTCAGGAAACACAAGGAGCTCCGTCGAGCTTGGCTAGCTGTAATCGCCTTCATCACGGACAATATCAAGCAAGGCCAGTCCCTTTTCCGGTCGAGCCCATCAACCGAAGGTGCCGATCTTCGATTTAGTTAATCTGCATATCCGACATGGCCTCTGTGTACAAATATTTATCTGATAAACGTCACAATCAAGCTCCCTATATACAGAAATGGTTACTTTTCAACAATTATTTACAGAAAAAAGAGACCCAGAGATCACCGAATTTGAATAAAGTCTCGATTTTTGTCGGAATTAAGTCCCCATGACAGAGAATCATTACTAATCTGTTCCTATCTTCTCCAGACGTCATGAAGACATATCATTTCGACAATTTTAACAATTCCTATTAACGCCCTAAGGGCATAAGTTAACAAACGATATGAAATTGAGCGAAGAACCCGGCATTTGTGTCTGATATATGCTGGAAATTAACCCATATTATGCAGATTATGATACAAACATCCATGTTATACGATGTGGGTGTAGCCGAGACGAGGTTGAATAGTAATCACCTAAAATAAGATTAAAATTAGGGATCAGCACCATGTATAATATAAATTTTGTTTGTTTAGAGTGAGAACTCACCCTTTTGCTTCGAGGTTTAACAAAAAACAGTAAAAAGAGAGGAAGCAAGGCTAGAGAGGAGAGTTTGAGCATGGTGGAAGTGGACATTACATCGTCCCAACTCTTCAGATCCGAAATAATGGATCCGGCTTGGACACAGATGAAATTGTAAGGGGCCAGGCCTGAAAAAACGAGGATTAGGTCCTACTAAATATTTTAAAACAGTCATGCCATTTGGTGCACATTCAACGCCTTAAGTGTATTACATTTCTGATGCCCGAAACTCACCAACGAAAGCCGTGAATGCAAAGGTAGGTATGGGGATGTTCAAAAAGGGCGCTACAACATTTAGAAGCCAGCTGGGAGAGATGGGAAACATCCGAGCGAACAGCAAATACAGAACAAGACCATGCGAATTATCCTCCACCTTTTGTTGCAGGAATTTCATTCGTTGGCCAAAATAATAATACGCGTTCTCTCGGCCAAAACACAGCTCCGAAAACAGGTAACAGAAGGTCGATCCCATCGTGGTCAGCACACACACCAACATAAAACCAACGCCCATATCGAATACGGCGCCCGCGATCACGTTCTAAAAATGATTACAATTAGATTTAGATAGGAGTGCTTGCGATACAATGATGAATAATCAGCCATGCAAATGAAGAGTAACTGTCAGAGAAAACTTGTTGGTTACTGGCTATGACGTAATCTGCTAAAATTTTTGTAGATTTTAACCATGAGGAATGCTGTATTGGATATCTCTCATTAATAATTTAACCTAATTTTTTCTTACGTTAGTTAATTACCAGTAAATAAATGAGGTTTTTGAATTTTACAGTTACCTCAAAACTGAACCGCCCAACAGTGTGAATTTTTTATCAGTTACCCGAATCTTTGTTAATAAAAAAATTTAAAAAAAATCAATTTCCCTTAAATTTCTGACTTTACACTCTTACATATTTTTTATATGAAATCGTAATAACAATCCGTGCTAATTGTTGTCAGTTTTACAAAAGGAAGCATGTTTCAAACCCCACCCCGCCACTTACCAGCAGAAATGACCCGGGAATCGCAAAAGTTTGTTTGTAAAGATAAACCGAGCAAAACAAAATGGTAATGTAGATGTAATGCTGGTCATGATACTTTTTGAACTTTTCCACAACTGTTGTAAAGTTGTCAAACTGTTTTGGAATCTCGAATCCAGCTGAAAACAAATTAATTAAACACTAAATTAATTGAATTTGCAGAGGAATGACAAGTCAGAGGTGTAAAAAACTTTGTAAATCTCAATTCTTTATGTAAATAATTGGGTAAAAAGGCTGAGAGCGGATATTGCTTACATTATTATTTTTTAACTTGTCATCTTTTCAGTTTTTCTTACAGTACACTAGCATGTTCAATATGTATAAATAATGATGACTTGCCTTGATCGGAATGCCAATCCGGCGCAGATGTGATCATAATCCATATGGCCGCACTGGCTGTGACGAATATCGTCGGCAGGAATAAAATCCTGGACATAGCACCTAAAAAATGTCCGTTAACTCCGTCAAAGTTCACCTCTGTCAAGAATATCTGAGACTTCTCAACCCCTTGATTATGTAATAGTCACGGCAAAAGTGAGGTAAAAACGGAGTGACGTCGCGAGGATCGCCTTGAAGCGCGATCTGATGCCCTGAGGGCATCGACGTGGTGGTTAACGGTCGATGGAAACAGGTTATATTAAGGGAGAGAGAGTGGTCACCACTTGATTCCTTCTTCTCGATTAATCAAACAGAATTTAATCCCCTTTTTATCACAAAATACGACACCGGATGTGGGAGAAGACGAAGAAAGCCTGGCCTTCGGAGGCTACGTTAAATTTAGTCTGGGGATTTACAGGACTTGCAACGAGAGGGAACAAAATATTCGGGAAAGGTTATATTAGCCATGAAGATTACGTATTAACGGGCTTTTTGAATAAAACAACCTAAATTGGAACATCAGTTAATTAATTAGCCTCGATTCGGAGGGAGTTGGAGCTGCAAAACAGGAGTTACGGCATCCATCGACAAAAACATCGACGAAAGAGAGACGTGAAACACCCATTTCCTCCCTCTTCTCCTCAGGGCGAGATCTCCGAATGTCTCAAAAAGATCTCCGCCAACCTCAATCCCCCTTCAGATTCGGGGGATTCATTTCAAATTATTCGAAAAGGAGAGATCGAACCCTTCTCTTCTCCCATATCCGGCTCAAAAACTTATTCAAATGCCCTCCGGAACTACAAAAATGGTCTGTGGATGGGAGAAGACTATCTCCTGGAGTCATGCCCTGCGAGGATTCCAATTACTTTTGAACTTTTTTTTTGAAAAAAAGATGGGATTTGCATAAAAAAGAAATAGAAATAAAGATCGCGCAAAAAAAACAAAGGTCAAGGGTCCTTAGAGCAGCGGAAAGTTGACCTTTATTCATGAGATTTCCACGAGCAATTAGACCGCCTTTAACTTTGTAAGCGCGGACTTAAAATTACTATCTACTCACTTTTAGCGATTACAAAACAAGATTTTTCGAATTAAAAAACTTTACGAAAGCTTTACAAAATTTCTTCGTATAAGAATATTGCCTGAGGCAAAATGACGGAACATCGGAAATACCTTGGCCAAATCATAATTGTTTGGCCTCGATTTGTATACAGTTTACGAGAAGTCATCGTTTTTTCTTCAAATTAAATAATCAAAAATAATCACACAAAGTGCCGTCAGAATGTACGTAATTTTGAGCGCAGTTTATTCTTGTTGGCCCAAAGATACAAAGATTATAATGTCATCGAATTAAAAGAGTAAAAATTAATAAGACATACAAAGTTTTTGCACTCAGAATTTCACGGAAATTTTTTTGCGGGGGATTTTGGAAAGAGAAGACTAAAGAATTAATAATAAATATGAGATAAATTCGCAAAACAAGGCTGTTTCAATTGCATTTACTATTTATAATTGAGACTAGATTTACAATCAAACTGGGCAATTAAATCTTGTAATCAGCAGCTGATAATGATAGTTTAATTCAAAAATTAAAAATCTCTGACCATATTTGGGGCACAATCAGGTGAGAAATTTCTTTTTATACGCGATTAAAGTCGGCTTTTTCTACAGTAGGTTTACTTATGTCAAATTTAAAATAAAATGATTTATCCGAAAAATTTTATTCAAATATAAAAATAAAACTTTTTTGAGTAATAATTCAATAGATACATTATAACAAAAAACCTGTTAAAACTTTTAAAAAAATCACAACCGATATTTTTATCACCAAATGAGTCAGCCCAAATGGCCTCGAAATATCCAATATTATACTAGAAACGACCACAAACTCCAAAGAAGAGCCGCCTCTTCGGTTGTCCCCGGATACAAAAGTAGTTTCCAAATATTTTTAACTAGTAGTTTCCTCTTTCCGAATACTTAATTTATTGCTTCAACTAATGCATCGAGTAGAAAGTAGGTTCAAGAGAACGGAACGATACCATGTTCATGTTCAGATTCATGTTTGTATTCATCGCCTCGGCCTGGGGTTTGTCTCTTTGGCGCCGGTTTTTGAACCAGTTCGCTATCTGAATGAAAGCTATAAGAATCACAGGAAATGAAATAGCTTTGATCATATTTTATTGTAAAACAAAAAGAAAGGGGTGTACGGTAAGGTCTGATTCTTGGGACCTTTTACTTGGCTTAGCATATGAGAAATTATCTAATTTAGTTTTCTCTTAAAATTCAATGTTTCAGCAATGAGAGCGCCGGAAATCAGATGCAATATTCAGAAAAATTCAAATCAATTTTTTATCAAAATTTTAAACCCGCATTCCCACTAGTACAATATTACATATGCACATATATGAATAAGAAAAACCTTACTTGTTGAGGCTTCAATTTTGTCAACTGAGCGATCTGGAGTTTCTCCTCGGGCTTTGGGTATTTGTTTTTGTTGTAGCAATTTTTCAGAATCTAAAAAATGTCACCGTAATCCACGTAAAATTCAAATGTCATCAAAATATTTTTATACTAAAACTCGTGTAAACACAAACAAAAGTGTCAAAAAATTAATTCTGTAATATCCCCCTACCTTCCTCTGCCCGGCCTTGAAGCTATAAATCTGCTCCTCTCCATCAGATATTGTCAATGGAGGTTTGAATTTCTTCCTCAATCTGTATTTCTCCACTGGTCCCAATAATTTTGGTTTCTTCATCTGTTCCTGCGCGTAATGCCCTTCATACCAGAGATTCGTGAACTCTCCGTAGTATCTCTCATCCACTTTGACTGACTCCAATCGACGAAACAGTTCATCATATTGCTGACTATGATAAAGAGAGAAGAAAAAGGCCAGTAAAACCGAGTTTGAATGAGCCTGACGGTTGATAATAAAGGGGTCGGTCTTGAAGAAGAGATCCACCAACTTGTCTCCATCTTTGGTCCGGTAGAGGGAACGGCAGATGCAGGAAATCTAAAGCGTAACGAATAAAAATATATAAATGTCTAAATCTACATGATACCTTGGCAACCAAAAAAACAAACTAAGATGTTCCGGCAATTGCGGCCTAATCGTATTTGACATAAAAACGCGAACGTCGCTCCGTACCAAATCACATGCATCATCTTACCTGATCTACGGTCATGAACTGAGAGAAGAGGCCGTTACAATAATCGTCTTTATTATTAAAATACAATAGATTTTTGTTGTCGTAGACACCCAGATCAGCACTCACATCGCTGATATTCATGTTGAAGTCAAAGTTTTCAGCGAAAATGGGAGTGTGTTCCATCCCCAACGCTCATTTACCATATGCGGAGATGGTATTTTAGGATGGGCGACGACGAGGCCAATCAATGGGCGGGGAAAGAGCGGGTAATTGGCTACGGCTGACTTCCACGGATCGTATTTCCGGCCCGAGAGTCGGGAGCGGCACTCGTTTTTTGGCAACAGAAATGGCCGAGATTCTTTGGTAATTAAGGACCTTAATTGGCCCCAACTTTTCGTGTAATATTGAAGGGAAAATGGTAGAAGGGGGTTTCAGTCCAAGTTTGGGGTCAAACATCTGGAACTATAATCGAGGTTACGCAAGAAGCAAAAACAATAACATCCGAACATTACACATGATGTAATCAGCAGGTCTGAGGGTTGTTATTAGGACTAATCGACTTTAAAGATCTGATCCAAACTAGGACAGCTTCTTTGTAGGACCTTTTAAGACTCGAGTCATTCGTTTTCTCCAATGATTTATACCTTTTACAATTAAATCTAGAGTTTACCCTCAAAAAATCGCCTAAAGTAAAATGAGAAGCTGTTTTCGGTATTAAAGAAAAGGACTAAATTAGCGTTAATTGTTGAATTAATCCTCGGCGCTTCCCTTTTGTTGCGCAATCAAAGTCGGAAGTGTAAATCTTTTTCTTTTCGCTTTCATAGTTCCCTGGGTCCCCCAGATTATCCGACCGGCCAAATGGGCGCACTTGACCGATCTATATGCAAATTTAGGAATATCCGGATATCATCCAAAGAGCACTTCAGACTTTTATTACGTTAATTACTAACTGAATACTTCTACCGAGATTTTGCTTTTTTCCATTCCTCTGATTCCAACTTGAGTTCATAAAGTTGTTGGATTTGCTCATCACTGAATTTGTCAAGTAATCTTGGATCCAAATCATCGCCCAATTTGCCCCGAGCAATTCCTTTTTGTGTCAATTGTTTTGACAGAGCTGTACAGTATAACTAGAACCAAGCTTGTCTTTATAGTAACCCTTCTTACCGTCCATTCCTTTAAAAAAAGAAGAGATTGTTCTGGACTCGCCGCTTTGTGTCGTCTGAATTCGTCCTTCACATAGCTATCACCCATTATCCTCAGTTCTTTTGGAAGTCCATAATGTAACCTAACATCAGATAAAAGATACGATAATTTTACGTACCTTAGTATCCTTTTGTAGAGAATTAGAGGGAATTTCGCGACTTCTCTCTGACTCATCTACATTTTAAAAATCAATTATGACCTTACGCCCAAAATAACACAAGGAACTACCACATTCACCACGACTGACTGTAAAATAGCTAACGAAAAATTTGCATTGTTTATAGGAGATCAACAATATAATATTAACACATTCAGACCTTGAGAACTCGTTTAGATCGTTGACTGCGAGACTTCTTTGGCATCTCCCCATTTTGGGCGATCATGGGGATGAGAACAGGACGCTCGTCCAGATAATGGTCACCCATTCCTTCAGAGGCGCTTCTCGAGTCTGACACTGAGGTTAAAGGAGGTGGAGTCGAGAGATCACTGGGGGTAAGTGAGTTGGCAGAGGAGGATTGAGGTCGGGAGTCGGCTTTGTACGGGTCGGAGGCAGCCATCTTCGGTTTCTTCCTGGGCCTACAACAAAATTAAACAAAACTCGAATTTAAAAAATCTACAAAATTATGTTCACAACTTACGGATTCTTTGCCGCTTCTCTTTCCGATTTTTCTTTCTTTCCGGGCTCGGTCGACCGGTCGAATCGAATAGGCATTTTCTTGAAGAAGGCCAAGTATCTCTTGAACAAGCTGTTCACCTCTTCTTCGTGCTGTTTCTCCTTTCCAGATCTTTTCCTTTCTTTGGCATCTTCCAAGATCTTCTGCAGATCCTTTTCTTCTCTTTCGAGCATAACGAATTCTCTTTTGTTATCCTCCAATCTTTCCAATTCCTCATTGAAAACATTCACCTCCCGATTGTTGTAATACCTAGCAAAACATAATTCGTATGCCGATATAATACCTGATGAAATCATGACTAAATGCAGGAGCCATCTGAGTGATTTCTGATGGATCCAATCGAGTAAAACTCTCTTCAAAATCCTTCTTGGAAAGTCCCAAGAGTTCGGCTTTCTCGGCAAATCCCTCCAAAATCCCGGCATTCGTGTGCATCAATCTTTGGCGTTTGTTTTCTATCTAAAATAGATCCATAACAATGTAAAACAAAAGATTTAATTAACATAGCTAAATTATATACCGAGGGCATGTGGACGGTGACATTTCTGAAGTTTTCCATTCGAGTTTCGTAATGTTTTCTTTGAGAACGGAGCTTGTTTTCTTCTCGATTATTTAGCTTCTTAAATTTTAGTCTGGCCATTCTCTTTTCCTCTTGTTTTATCATCTTCAAATATTGGAATCTCTTTTTTTGTACAACTTCAGAAGCATTGTGAGTTTTGCATAAAATAAAGTGAGGATGAGGTTCCATATGTGATTCTGAGCTTGAGGACGGTTGGTGGGAATGCTCAAAGTCGGCATCCATCAGAAATCCCATTCTAAAACAATCGAAAACCCCTTATCAAGCGTAATATTAAATTGACGACTTTAAGATTAAATAAATTTACCCAAAAATAACTTACTTTTGAGCACAAGTGATATGATAATGCTGTTTACATAACCCGGCTTCACAACAGGTGACAATTCCTGTTCTGGCTTCGAGCATACTCGTACAGGCATTGCAACTTTTCCTTCCAAACCGGCGATAATCGATTTCCTGCCAACTAACTGCTGTCAAATTGTCCACATCTCCAAAGCTCACACCAGCCGTGTATAAGGCACATACAAGGTGCACAAATTTCCCTCCAACATCCGCTCTCTTAAAAGCACCGAAACGGCGAGGACACAGCTCGCAATGCGGAGGCTCCGTATATCCGTATAAACAAGGCTCACAGAACCAGGGCTCGGTCGAGAAATTGGAGACAATTGAGACGTCATCATCAATATAATCATCCACCGCATAACATGACTCGTGAACGGCCACTCCACATCTTAATATGTATTTATTTGAAATAGAAGAAAGTTGAAGAAATTATCTAAACAAAAAGTCAACGAAAGGCTTACTTATCACACTGAATCACCTTGTCTCCTTCGCTCTTCCGCAGGTTTAAACAGATTGTGCAAATAAATTCGGACTTAAAAAGTATGAACGTAATACGAAAAATAAACGTCTTAAAATGATAAAAATACCCCCTTACTTCTTTCTCGCTCTCCTCCTCTTCTTCTTCGTCTTCCTCGTCGTCTTCTTCATCCATATCTTCGGCATCATCATCTTCTCCATCACCTTCATCCGATTCTTGTTCGGATCCACTTTCCTCAGCTAAATTCAGAAATACTGCAAAAAATAAGCGAACGTACGATTAAAGTCCTCGTCAGATTCGTCTTCTACATGGATATCAGCCAGAGCAGCGGCCGTTGGCTTGATTTGACGCTTCCCTGGACCTCTCTGGACTAAAATTAAAAAATTATGATAAAGATGAGCACACAGTCGTCAGAGTACTGTAATCTGGATCACTTTTACAAGAAAAACCGTTGATTTTTTTGTAGACATAATGCCAAAAAAGAAGAGTCAAGACTTACTGGCTCCCCTGATGTAACTGGCACGTTCCTGATCCATCTCTGAGAAGTCCAGAGAATTACCTTACTTGAATATAATAAAGAAAGGGCACCCGAAGTTGTTTGACTGAAGCAGCTGCTCGCCGTCTCGGTGCGCGCTTTCCCGAGAAAAAACCAGACAAAACCCGCTTCACTTGCAACGGAATGCCAGGGATTCGTTAGAGGACTCGGGATCGCCGATTCGACACGTTTTTGAATCGACCGAATGACTTCTGGGTCTTATAATGAGTGTTACATAATCTGAAAATCCGTTTTTCACGTGAGTTGCACCACACAGTCTTATTCCAACGTTAGGCTTATGAATAAGTTCATTAAATTCACGTGCCTTGAGTAAATGAGTCCTAAAGCATAGCCGAGATAAGTCAAAGTACATTTTAATACAATTTAAAAGAAGCATAGCATTATTAAAGCATTATTAACACCTTCTCCTTTCATGTTAACGTCGTTTTTGATCTGTTCAAGTCGTATATAAAGTATGTAAATGGCATTTCATCATTCTTATGCATCTTTACACACCGCATTTATCCGGTCAGATAGGCAATCGGAGGTGGCAAGGTCAGTGGGATCATAAAGCCGTACTCGGCGATGCAATGAAAGGCGGGCTGGGACCTCGTGAGGGCGACGAATAGGCAGACGGTAAGATGTGACCGCCCAGAAATACAGGAAAAGAAGAGGAGAGGCCAGCACTTTGTTGACTTCATTTGCTCTCTACTCAAAATGTTCGGCAACCTGTTTCGCCGGAAGGTAAGTTATAAAAGTTATATTGTGCATGCTGGAATGAGCGTTTAGAAGCAGCCCACGGAGACTGTAAAGGAGCATACTCCAAACTGCTTGTACTCCCAAACTTCCAGATCTCCCAAAATAAGCTTTTGCTCGGTCTCGTCGGTTCAGAGCTTCTCTTCGACGACTACGTTGTACTCAAGACAATGTCCAAGTTCTTCCCAACCCTCTGATTCGTATCAATCTCAACTTAGATTCTGTTGTAGGCGCTCTGAATCTGCGTTGTTGGCCGAGAAACATCCCAATAAAGTTCTTGTAAGTTCTAAATTCTTTATTATAGTCATCATAATTACCGTAATAGTCTGATATATATATTTTCTACTTTAGTTGATCATCGAACGGTTTAAAACCGAGAAACAGTTGCGGAAAATGGACAAGAAGCATTTCCTCTTGCCCCCCGAGGCGACCGTTGCTCAATTAAAGCACGTAATCAGGTACGTTTGTCACTGAATCTTATCTGTTGTTCAGTTCGAGGGTTTCGGCGAGGAATGAGTCCCTCTTTTTGCTTATCGATGATGAGATTCCGGACTCAACCACCAGCATCAGAGAGCTGGCACGACGACATCGGGATCCTGATGGATTTCTGTATGTAAAATACTCTTCCGAAGATACTATGGGATAGTAACTGAAGGAACGTTATCATAATAGACATATATTATGCTACAATTACGGTGCTCCTCACAAATTCAAATCATTTTTATTAGGTCTTTCCAAATTGGTCCGAAGATCAATGGGCAAAACATGTTTTTATTTGTCTTTCTTCGTATAGTATTTTTTATATTTTCGCAATGAATACAATATCAAATAAACGATTCCATTACCATTAGAATAATGTTTTGACAAGAGAACGGAGAGATCGATCACAATATATTACATACCTTGGTCTTGATCTTGGGGTCTTTTCGGATATTGTCGCATTTACAGGGCTGTTCGTTAATCACAATATCCGAGTTGGAATCAGAATCACTTTGGGCGTTCTCAGCTGCCGGCTTTTTGGTATAATTAAAGGCCGATGGGAGCATGTAATTGGCTTGTGCGTCAGCCAATTTCTGGGCGTCTATATCAGAGATATCGGTCTGGGGAGTGTAGGCTTGACGGGTTACTGTATTCTCATCTTCTGCGGGTTCCAGAGCTGGATTCGTGTCAGATGCTGACAAACCCTAAATATAATATAAACCCATGTCATATGAAAAAAGACGTTATAAAAAGCGAAAACTAAACTCCCTCACACCATCGCTTTTATTCTCTGCTTCTGGGAACTCATCCGTGGGCAGTGGAGTTGTCTGAGCTTCCTCTTCATTCCTCCTTTCCTCGGGAGAAGTGGGCACTGGCTCTATTCCAATGTCAATCTCGATCTCCTTGGATTCTGGGTCTTCTTCGACTTCGGTCTTCTGCGCCGCATCTTCATCAGTATCAAATGTGGAGGTGGTTGAGCCTAGAAAGATATAAATTCTCTTTTTATACCGACCTGCTAATGATTTGAGGCTATCATTTATATTCTCATCTCCTTCCGTTACAGTAGGAATCTCCGGCAGATCGTTGGCTCCATTGGTCTCAACTCCATTCACTTCTGACTTCACTTCTTGGCCAGTCTCTGACAAAGACTGCTCTTCACTTTTGTCGTCTTTTTCTTCCTAATAAAAGAATATATTACTGTTTTGGCGTAATCAAACCAAAACCATGTGATGACTACGGTAATCTCCCTTACCTTCTCACTCGACTTGACTTTGGTGGCTTTAAAACCTCCTAAGGCGTCTTTCTGGCGTTGTATTTGTTCGGCCAATTCGTCAGCCAATCTGGCCGCGGTTTCGTCGACGTTGGCCTGGACTTGCTCGGCCAGGGCTTCGCTAAATGAGACGTTAAACCTATAGATATGTTCATTTACCTGTCCGCCATGTCCCGTAATTATGTTATTAAATGGAAAAAAGTAGCCGAATGTTGGGATCTCTCTCTGAATGGGCTCCTTCCAGGCAGGGAGATTATCCGGGCTATCAGGCGTTTTGTGGGACCAAGCCGGATGTCCTTCAAAACTGTCTTTACTCGGACGTAACATCCTGTCTAACTGAGGATACAATCAAGATACGATTATTTTCTTCTTTCTTTATTACACTACTCTGGCCTCTACTTTGTAGAGCATACTGTAATCAAGACGAATCACGATACGAAAAAAGAGGAAGCTACAAAATTAAAAACATAAAAAGTATCATAAAAACATAGACAGACCGCGCCATACGATGCTCTGATATTAACTTCATCATGATGGTATCGTGAAAATGGCTGGACAATCCAATAATTAGCTCTTTACCGGAAGACTCTAGCTATGAACGACAATTGCGAGAACAAAAATCTGTGAAAACTCTGATCAAATCAACCCGTAAAAGTAAAATAACCCATAATTAGTCGGTCTTGGGCTTCCTGATATCCCCGAAGCCGATCGGAAAGGGGTGGGCCTCGGTGTTGAAAACCCACTTGCTCAAAGGGATCTCGTCGTCAGCGAACGTCAGATATGCGTATTTTATGGTTTCGGCGATGAAGAAACTCTGTTGAACATCATCAAATCCCTAAAACCATAAAGAATAGAGTAAAGGAACAAACAATTACACGACTACCCATGATTTACAATTATAACCCAACACCTAAAAAACTTACAGCATCCGGATTGTAAACATTCTTCAGGCCCACATATCCATCTTCCTTCTTGCAGTACCTATCGACAGCCACAATGGCATCCCAAATCCAAGTTTTATATTTCTAAAGGGCATCGTTTATATTACAGTTCTTCTTACCTCGTTCTTGGTTAATCTCCACAAATAAAACCATCCTTCAATGGCCTCTGGCCTCAGAATAAATCCATTTTCTCCCCTTTTAGAGGTCGCGTCCTCATCAGCGTTGAAATAAAACATCTCTGGGCCGATGCCAGTGGGAGCTCGGGCATAACTCTCATGGCAAGTGTGGCCAAGATCTTCGGCCAACTGCATGACTTTCCGTTTTCGGTCCAGATCTTGTTCAACATCAGCTTCCAGCGCAAACATCCCGGGACAGAAACAGCTGAGATGACTCATTTTGTGCTCGGCATTGTCTCGACGCAGCTCGGCAACGTATTTCAGGCCGGATTTGGAAGTGAACACCATTCTGAAAAAAATCATGGGTAATACTAGTCGCGACATAAAGTCCTGACACATTTCGCACCGTGCATTCTTCTTTCATTCATCCGCACTGTGCATCTTTTCGCATTTGTCGCCCCGATTTCCCGTTTTTGCACTAGCGACGTGCACTTTTGCGCGCGACAAACCCGAATTTGCGGGCGCGACATCCCAAAACCGAACTTTCGCACTGTGCATTCTTCTTTCATTTCGCATTTGTCGCCGCAATTTCCCGTTTTTGCACTAGCGACATGCACTTTTGCGCGCGACGAACCCGAATTTGGGGGCGCGACGTCCAAACCCCGAACTTTCGCACGGTGCAAAATGTGTCAGGACTTTATGGCGCGACTAGTACTAGTCGCGACATAAAGTCCGTAGAATTTTCTGCACTGTGCATAAACCCGAAAAAGCATTTTGCACTGTGCATTCACCCGAAAACACATTTTGCACTGTGCAATTTTGTTGATTTTGCCTTATTGTCGCGCGCGATTCCCGTTTTTCGCAGCGACAAATCAACATTTCGGAGCGCGACGGAATTTGGGGGCCGCGAAAAATTCTACGGACTTTATGTCGCGACTAGTATAAACAAGAACATACTTTTTCTGAATGGCATCTGAGGCATTCCTGTACATGTAATAGGCCTGCTTATCTTGCTTCTCCGTATGAATATAAGACTTGATCAAATACTCGTAGAAACTGTCACCGAGGGCTCCCAAACTAACGTGAGAACCCACAAATTCACCAGTTTTTGGATCCACATAATTATAATACAACCCGTCTTTCTTCGGAATCTTCTCCAAAACATCCCGAATTCTTTGTACCTAAAAATTTTAGTCATTAAAAGAAAAAGAAATTACCTTTTCTTCATAAATATTTTTCCCAGTCAGCTTTGAAAGGTATAAATACTCGAGATGGAGACTTCCAAACTCGGACAGGATCGATGCCAAGCTCATTACCCATCCATAATTAGAAGCCGACTTTCCGGGGACATCCACCAAAGACATGGCAATTCCAGTTTTGGTATTAAAGGCGGGTAAAAGAGCGTCGGATACTTCAACAGCTTTATCACTGAGCACAAAATGATATCATAATCAATCAACTTACATGTACATGGGATCCTTGGTGAGCGCATACAAAGATAAGAGCCCTCCTGTAAATCTTATCGTCGTCTCAAAAGTAGAGGCAGTCTTGGCGTTGTGAATAGAGAAGTTGTTTTTGATAAAGTCCTTAGCTTGTTCATACTCTTCATGAAGGCCCATGATGTACAAAGTGTCAGCACCATCAACAATCGTAGCTCCCATCTTTTCTCCTCCGAAGATTGGTTGATTATGAGATCTTTTGGAAATCGGCTTCACTTCGTTGTAACCCCAAGCATGTTTCCTATAGCCGGCCCATGCATGTTTGGTCATGTTTTTGATAAATTCACGGCGATGAGCTAAAATTATAAACGCATTCATACAAAAATATTATTTATTACAATGGTTAACATTTAAATTACCATTCTCCAAATCTATAGGTTGAGGCTTCGGAGGTTCAGCAACAACATTCACTTTTTCTCCAGCTTTATCTGCTTCTTCAACGTTTGACTCTAAACTTGAAATGAAAAAAAAACGAAATTACACTTGCCTTTATTTGAATCAAGTTCTGGATTCTGTTTAGGCTCCACGATGTCGTCGTCGGGATTACCCTCACCATTGCCGGCATCGTTGTCTACATCCTTATTAGCAGATTTCTCAACATCAGGGATGGCGATGTTTGGTACAGCATCCTGTTTCTGCCCTTCTTTCTGGTTTACATCCTTATGATCAATTCCTTCTTCCAATTTCCGCCTGTTCTGAACATCTCTAGGAAGAGCTATACGACTGAAGTCCTTGACATCGGATTGGCTCAGATGGAGAATTGTCAGTACGAAAACAGCAAATGCTATCAACGAGACCAGAGCAACAGCTCGGTTATTCGGGAAGACGGTCCTCATCTAACCAAGGAGTTCCTATTCCACCATAGAAGTGTCTGCAGCCAATCCCTTTTCTCTATTTTTGATGTACAGATAAAGATACACACACGTGTAAATCTCCTTTGACTTTATAATTGACAGTGACTTTGACGAAATGAAACACTTTTATTGGATTTTTCCAGCGGTTGCGAAGTGTAGAAAAAAAAATATTATTTTTCGAATATTTTTCGCTAGGTGGAGCAATATTACTCTCCGTAAAGCTGTAACGTAGCGTAAGGAAGTATATTTTGGTAAACATGTTGGGAGAGGGAACGTCCTTCCAAGCCTGGCAAGACGCCTTAGAACGGCGAGAGCTGGGTCAAAATCCCCTCAAAAGCATTGATCCAATACACAAACACACCAGAAAGACCTTATATCAACGAGATGTCAAAGGACACACCGGATGCGTAAACGCTCTCGAGTTTTCAACTGATGAGAATTACTTACTGAGCGGTAAGCACACCTTGTTATGTTATCCTTCCTTTAGGTGGAGACGATTGTCGAGTTTTCCTTTGGAATGCACATGACTTATTGTTGACTCAGGATCCAAAACCTTGCAAAATAATGGACACATACCATACCTCAAATATCTTCTCTGTGGACATCTCGACTGACGGAAAAGTCGGATTCTCAGCTGGGAATGATCGAATGTTCTATGCTCACGATTTGGAAAGCGGCTCCGGAGTGTACAGTTTAATTGGAGGAGGATCGTTCCATCGAGTTGATGCTCATGTCAGTTTAATCCGCACGTAAATGATGATGTTTTAGCCGACATCAGATAATATTTGTGTGGCCACCAACGAAGATGGCCGGTTTCATATTGTGGATATCAGGGCCAAAGAACAAACCGCGTACAATGTGAAGTGTTGTGCTTATTCCGCAGTCTACAACCCACAGCATCCGGAACTTCTTTTGATTGCAACCAGGAAGAAAGGAATGACCATTAGGGATATCAGGAAACCGGAAGAGTAGGCGACAACTAAAATATTGGAGTTGAATATTTAGTGACATGATCACTTTTAATGACGGCACCCATAACAGGACAAAGAAAGCGACATTTGCAAGATGGTCGCCTAATGGGGAATCTGCTGCAGCTGTTATTTCCGGAGCCGGTTTGGTATATTGTAATGTAAGTGTTGCATAATGTTATGTAACTGAAGCTAGGTATATTCTGAAAAGATGATAGGCTTATATGACCCGGACTACGTAAATTCGTGTACAATGAAGTCTTGTGAGTTTATTGGAGAGGATTACATTCTCTGTGGAAGTGACAAATGGGATATTTATGCGTGGAAGATTCCCAAGAATCAACAAGATGGTAAGTAACCGCGGTAAAACTGATTTTTATGATAATTTTTTAGTCACTGAAGTCGCAGAGGCTGTGAAATTGGAAGGGCACCGATCTATTGTCAACCATATTCGTTATAGTTCAGCCAATAATTTAATCGCTTCGTCCGGGGTTGAAAAAGTAATCAAGGCAAGTGTAATATACGATGTATTGAATTTGTTTAGTGTTGGTCGCCTTATGAAATGCCAAAGTCGTACCGAGATCCGGTCAGGAGAGAGATGAGTGATCCGTTCGCTATGAATGGAGATTTCTTTGAGCATGACATCGATTCCGTGGAGGAAGATCTGGCCACATTGGCACAATTCGATCAGTACTTGGTAAGTCTTTTGATTGTGCTGACTCTGAGGTCTCGTTATTTATAATGAATTATTTTGTTGTTTCAGAGACAAGCGATGAGTAGTGCAGGGACTTCGTTGGATGACTCTAGTGACGATGATGAACTAGATAGCAGAAGTCTCGGCGATATACTCAGATTCGCAGTATTCCGCTTTAACCAGGTAGGGAAGTTGTTGAAGGGATTACGGTTAAACATAAATATTCGCGTTGATTTTTTTAAATGACCTAGTGCGATGTAATTTTCGTATTTAGTATGACGATCTCGTTGATGAATTTTTCACTGATGAGGAGTATGCAAATGATGTCCAAACGTCTGCCTCTAGCAGTGACAATGAGGAAGTCCAAGAGATGCCTGCCGACTAAGCGCCAATAGCATGATCATAGTTGTAAAGAGATGTTAATATTTGTTAGTTTATTAAACGAATTGCGAAGAAAGGGCGGCCTTTTTTATTTGTTTAAGGGTTCATAGTACTCTGAAAACATCTCTGATTAGAAGTCTCGTATCTATTCACAAAAAAGGAGGTAGTTTTTTTCGAGATCATCACATTTTTGTCCGAAAAATAATAATGATTAGAGGTATAATTGCGAGATGGTCCTTTCCGATAAATTTGGTTCTGCAAGAGTACTTCATGGTTGTTGTAATATGAGAATGATCCATAAGTCACCCTGCACAAGTGCATTTTACAGTTTCCCCCTCTGACTCGGAAGGAAAAATGCCTAGAGAAGGTTGTTTATTATTGTTTTAGTATTATCACGAGGTGGTTTATGCAACGTTATTTTGATAGCGTTCCACACGTTTTCTTCGTGTTTATCTCAAGGATCTTTATAGCGTTCTCAGATCAAGAATGGCCCCCAGCAAGAGCGTTCCTTTCCTTTTTTTTCATCCGTTCACTCTTTTTTGTCCACTTTTATTATCAAAAAATGGACGAAATGCGTTTTCAGAATTTTGTTTATCTAAATTTTGAGCTTCCTTTTTTGTTTTCAAGTGACTTTGATCTCAAACAGCCCCTGCAGCCCGATAGTTATCGTTTCCGTGCATTTCTTTGACCTTCTGTTGTGATAAGACGTTGAATGATAGCCAGAACTTTGATCGCGCGAACGAAAATAGAAGCAGATCATTTGTTTTCCTTTTCAAATTCTCATTCTGTCGCCGTTCCGTGCTGCCGTTCTCTTGATAAATAAAGAAAAATGAGAAGATTTTTCCCGATTTGCAAAATTTTAGGTATCAAAACATTAATTATGAGGACTATCATACAGATTGAGGGTTGATGGGCACGGGGCTTTTATCGCGACGGCAGGGTACGACCTATGTTTTATTTGAAGTGATCTTTGCTCATATTAAGAAATTATTTTGGGGTGAATGTCCATTCTTTTCCGCTGACCTTGTTTATTTCTCGACTGATTACTCGATTAAAATGATCTTCGCTTTAGAGTCGGATGGAGTGGACTTCGTCGCGGTCTTCTATCGTGTTTTGTTAGTGGTTTTTTGTCTATAAAATTTATGTTATGACAAGTTGGTTCTAATGTCCAAATTTTTAAAATCTTTTTCAGTAATCCTGACTTTCGACCATGTTGGGATCTCGTCGTCAGCAGATTGTAACCATGATGCCGATGGGACGAGTCCTCCATCTCCACCCATCTCTTCATGGTATTCGATTTGCCAGCACCGAATTCAAAAAGGTCATGGTGGCCAATCGCGGTGAAATTGCGACTCGAGTATTCCGAGCCCTCACCGAGCTCAACAAAACATCTGTTGCCATCTTTTCAGAACAGGTAAGTATTAGTCTTTGATTTTATTGATGGTTACATCCATGTTTTAGGATAAGCATTCCATCCATCGTCTAAAAGCGGATGAGGCTTATTTGGTGGGTAAGGGACTCCCTCCAGTTGCGGCTTACCTCAATATCGACCAGATCATAGAGATTGCTGTCAGAAATGGGATTGAAGCCATTCACCCCGGGTACGGGTTTCTTTCGGAGAGGTCGGACTTTGCCAGAGCTTGCCAGGAAGCTGGTATTGTATTCATCGGACCCAGTGCTGATGTAATGGCTCGAATGGGAGATAAAGTGGCTGCGAGACAAGCAGCTATTGAGGCTGGAGTTCAGGTTGTCCCCGGAACCCCAGGCCCTGTGTCCAGTGTAGAAGACGTAAAGGAGTTCGTAAGGCAATATGGATGCCCAATCATCATCAAAGCCGCATTTGGAGGTGGTGGAAGAGGAATGAGGAAAGTGGAGCACGAGGAAGAAGTAAGAATTCTTATTCGATGTAATATTACGTATAATTTAGGTTGAAACCGCTTACCATCGGGCATTCTCAGAAGCTCAAGCCGCTTTTGGAGATGGTTCTTTGTTTGTTGAGAAGTTTGTAGAACGGCCACGACACATCGAAGTTCAGATCATGGGTAAAATGGCAGACAAAGTGCGAATTATATTATTTTAGGTGACAAATACGGAAATATGGTCCATTTATACGAGCGAGATTGCTCAGTTCAACGACGACATCAGAAAGTCGTGGAGATTGCTCCAGCCCCATCTCTGGATGAAGGAGTCCGTGAAAAGATGCTGGCTGATGCGTTGAAGTTGGTCAAACATGTTGGATACGAGAATGTGGGGACCGTTGAATTCCTTCTCGATAACAAGAACAATTTCTATTTCATGGAAGTGAATGCTCGTCTGCAGGTTGAACACACAGTGACTGAAGAAATTACAGGGTAAGTGGTATGTATCAGTCATAAATGAACTTTGTTCAGAGTGGATCTTGTCCAAGCTCAAGTCAGAATCGCTGAAGGCAAGACTCTCGAAGAATTGAAGTTGAAGCAAGAGAATATTCATCTTCATGGATCTTCAATCCAATGCCGAGTCACCACTGAAGATCCGGCCATGAACTTTCAACCAGATACCGGTCGAATTGAAGTATTCAGATCTGGAGAGGGAATGGGAATCCGTTTGGACTCGGCTTCGGCGTTTGCTGGATCAGTCATTTCACCTCATTATGACTCCCTTCTGGTCAAGGTCATTGCTCACGCCAGAAATCATCCGAACGCGGCCGCCAAGATGGTTCGAGCTCTGAAAGAATTCAGAATCAGAGGTGTTAAAGTGAGCAATAGATGGTATTCTGAATAATTACTATTACTTGTAGACGAATATTCCTTTCTTGTTGAATGTTCTGGAACAACCAAACTTCCGAGATGGCTCTGTTGACACGAATTTTATCGACGAACATCCAGAACTTTTCAATTTCAAGCACAGTCAAAACCGAGCCCAAAAGATCCTCAGGTATCTAGGAGAACTGCAAGTGAATGGACCTCTGACTCCGTTAGTTACTGACCTCAAGCCAAAGAATGTTACCCCATCTATCCCATACAGCCCTCCAGGTAACTTAATTGGTAATTAGGTAATTACTCAATTTCAGATCTGAAACCACCCACCGGCTTCCGTGATATTCTTGTCCAAAAAGGTCCTGAAGCCTTTGCTAAAGCTGTCCGCAAGCATAAGGGCTGTCTTCTGACAGATACCACCTTTCGCGATGCCCATCAGAGTCTTCTGGCCACCAGAGTCAGGACGTACGACCTTCTCCAGATCGCTCCCTTCCTCTCTCACAACTTCAGCAATCTGTTTTCCTTGGAGAATTGGGGAGGTGCTACCTTTGATGTATCCATGAGATTCCTCCACGAATGTCCTTGGGAAAGACTTGAACAGTTGAGGAAATTGGTCCCTGGAATCCCGTTCCAGATGCTGTTGAGAGGTGCCAATGCTGTTGGTTACTCCAGTTTCCCTGACAATGTCATCAACAAGTTCTGCGAACTGGCAGTGAAGAGTGGAATGGATGTGTTCAGAGTATTCGACTCTCTCAATTACGTTCCCAATATGATTGTGGGAATGGAAGCCATTGGGAAGGCTGGCGGAGTCATCGAAGCGGCCATCTCTTACACTGGAGATGTCTCCGATCCGAACAGAACCAAATACGACTTAAAGTATTATCTGGACTTGGCTGATCAGTTGGTCAAAGCAAACGCTCACATCTTGGCCATCAAGGATATGGCCGGTGTTTTAAAGCCTCAGGCGGCCAAGTTGTTGATCTCTGCCCTTAGAGATCGCCATCCAGACATCCCAATCCATGTCCATTCTCATGACACTGCTGGAGCTGCTGTTGCCTCGATGTTGGAGTGCGCCAAAGCTGGTGCTGATGTTGTTGATGTGGCTGTGGATTCGATGAGTGGAATGACAAGTCAGCCATCGATGGGTGCTGTCGTGGCGTCATTGGAGAACACCCCGTTGGACACCGGAATCCATTTGAATGACGTTTCCAAGTACAATGCCTACTGGGAAACTGCTCGTCAATTGTATGGCCCATTTGAATGCACTGTAACCATGAAGAGTGGAAATGCGGATGTTTACAATCATGCCATCCCGGGTGGTCAGTACACCAATCTGCAATTCCAGGTAAAACGAAAGTCGGGTTAACATTGTTCTACACATTGAAACAATTGCAATTTTATTTATTTTCAGGCTTTCTCTTTGGGATTGGGAGAGAAATTTGACGACGTTAAGAAGATGTACGCTGAGGCCAACGAAGTCCTCGGCGACATCATCAAGGTCACTCCATCCAGCAAGATCGTCGGAGATTTGGCCCAATTTATGGTCCAGAACAACCTCAACAAGCAGACGGTGGTAGAGAGAGCCGAAGAGTTGTCCTTCCCCACATCTGTTGTCCAATTCTTTGAAGGTCAGATCGGTCAACCACCTTATGGGTTCCCCGAACCATTGAGAACCAAAGTTCTGAGAGGAAAGAAGAAGTTGGAGGACAGACCTGGAAAAGATTTGGCTCCTTTGGACTTTGACAAGTTGAAGAACAGCCTGGAAGCCAAGCATGGTCGGACACTCAGAGATGTGGATGTTATGTCATCAGCCATGTTCCCAAGAGAATTCGATGAGTTTGAGCAGTTTAGACAGACTTATGGACCGGTAGATAAGCTGAACACACGAGTATTTTTGACTGGTTTGGGAACCGCTGAAGAGACAGACGTAGGTTCATTTTCATACGTAATTGTTAAAAACAATGATGACAAGTATTAACCAGTGTTTTTAGGTAACAATCGAAAAGGGAAAAACCCTCGTGATCCAAGCTCTCGCTGAAGGAAAGCTTAACAACAACGCTGAACGCGAAGTATTCTTCGAACTGAACGGTCAGATGAGATCCATCTTCGTTCAAGACAAAGAGGCCGCCAAAGATGTCGTGGTGAGACCCAAGGCCCTTCCCGGAGTTAAGGGATCTATTGGAGCTCCAATGCCCGGAGAAATCCTGCAGATTAATGTCAAGGAAGGAGATGTTGTTCGAACCAAGACTCCTCTTTTTGTTCTGTCGGCCATGAAGATGGAAATGAATGTAGATGCTCCCATCAATGGCACCATCAAGAAGATCTACTTGAAGGAGGGCGAAAAGGTCCATCCCAACGATCTAGTCATCGAAATAGAACCCCACAACTGATTTTCTACTGTTATTTGTTAGGCTTTTATACTGTATATAACTTCAACTTTCATCTTGTGCATCTTTTAACAATCCCGGCTTCACTTATTTGAAGAGATAATTAAATTTTTAACCTAATTCGACGAAATATTGAGCAAAAATTGTGAAAAAATCGGCGTTATTTATGCTTGCATAAGATTGGTAGACAAGAACAGGGCTGTATTTTGTCAGGTATTCCCTGACTTCTTTTTATGCTTTCTGGGCGCCTTGGTGTGACAGGAAGACTTCTTATCTTTGCGCATGCATAACTTTGAGCTCTTGTTGTCCGGCTTGTCGCTGCTTGCCATCTCGGACTCTCTCTGAGATAGCTTTTTACTGGTAGGCTTCTTCAATTCCAACGTGCTATTCTTCTTGTTCTGAACTATATTTCAAGATCTGATTTCTTACCTTCGATTTTTTTAATTCCGAAGGCGTACTTGTTCCACTCGTACTTGTTTTACTTGAGGTCAGGACGGAATTTCGACGTCTTGTCTGATTTAAGTCACTCCCCTCCATACTCTGGGTACCATTTTCCGATCCCGGATACAGATTAGTTTCTTTCGTTTCTTTTATTTCCTTCCAGCATTCAAAATACCTAATCACTTTCTTCATGTTGATCCGTTCTTTCGGATTAAACTTCCAGCATTCCTCCTGCACCAGCGGGATAATCTCTTCTGGAGTCCCGGGAGGGAACGGCAATTTGTATCCTTCCTTGAGCTGAAAAGAATACTGATTCCATCATTTATATTATTTTTTACCATTGTCTTCAATTCAGCATTTGAGACATCACCGTAGGGTTTGGCGCCATCCGAGAAAATTTCCCAAGTCAATATACCGTAAGCCCAGACATCGGATTTCTTGGTGTAATTTTTGGTGGTCAGAATTTCGGGGGCCGTCCTAAAATATATAGTATAATAAGTGAGAAAATCAAGGCACTTACCATCTGAGTGGAAGTGGTTTCCTTGCATCAATCTTAAAGCTATTGCCCCTCCGAGTCATCCCGAAATCACTGATCTTCAAGACATCTCCGCCCACCAAGCAATTCCTAGCCGCAATATCCCGATGCATCAGATCGATAGAGTGCATGTACTCGATTCCCAGAGCAGCATGAAAACAGAACTCCGTCTTCTCATCAACGCTGAACTTTTTGTTGGATAAGAGTGAGCTCAAGCTGTCATCAAGCTTTTCCATAACGACCAAAAGAGGCTCTTGAAAGGCTCCAACTCCATAGAACTTGACGATATGTGGATGGTTCATATTTCTCATGATTCTGGCCTAAAGAAAGCATCAATTTAATTATTATGACTTTACCTCGTCCATAATTTCGTTGACCTGTTCTTTTGTGATGCTCTCCACCTTGGCGGTCTTAATCGCGACTTGAGGATGTTCCCCATTCTTGAGCTGTGCGATTCCAGAATAGACTTCTCCAAAAGCCCCTTCGCCCAGCTTCTTCAGTGGATGGATATCTTCATGCTTTAACTGCCAGCTTCTTCTCATCACCGGGTTCTTTAGCAGACAAGTGAAACGAGTGGTAAGCGACTGTCGCCGTGTCATAAAACCCATGATCAGTCCAGCGATACTTGGAAAAGGTTTGCTGTTCTCGATGACAAATCCTTCAGGTACTTTTTGGATCACAAAATGCTTGATCTGAAAGTCTATGTTGGCCCGATAGTCATCACGTTTACCCCCTCGTGTGTCCTTGCCTGTTCGGCTTGGACTGAAAGCACCAAACCCCGAGGCTTTCCTATTTCCGGATGACTCAGTCTGACCACGAAATCTCCATCTAACTTCAGGAGGGAGTTTACATCTTCACGAGGGAGAAGACCTATAAACATGTTGGTTATACGTTGCCATAAGGTTTAATAAACGAGGTTTATGGATTACCATGATAATACTCTTCCGCTACTAAGTTCGGATCGAGCTCGTCAACGCCGGTTTTGGGCCACTGATGTGGAAAGATCTCACTCTCGCCCTGAGACATTCCGCCGGTTAATACGCAGAAAAGTTCAAAGAATGACAATTCCCGAGAAACCAAAGTTTTCTAACGTTGTACTAAAATGGTTATGCAAATTTCAAAAGTGAAAATCCCATGAAATTGACTAATTGCTCTATTTTGACTGATCCTCCGTCTGGTTGATGGTAGACCGATTCCTCTAACTGACAACGATGAGCTACCAAACCAAGTTGCCCTTAGGCACTCCTGTCATTGATCAATTCCTCGGCCTCAAACCCCATCCCACCAAGTGTCAGGCCACGTACGTCTGGATTGACGGGACTGGAGAGTGTCTCCGCAGCAAGACTCGAACCCTTCCTTCAGTCCCCCGCACCGTCTCTGGTAAGTCCCATATTATGTTTTATTAGATGCAAAGTCGTATCCTTAGTATTACGGTAATCGTTTGTTTGCAGACTACCCCATTTGGAACTACGATGGTTCCTCTTGCGGCCAAGCCAAAGGCCGTGACTCTGATACTTATCTCTATCCAGTGGCTCATTATCCAGATCCATTCCTTGGTGGAAATGCCCGTCTTGTCCTCTGTGACACCTACAATCACAAGAAGGAGCCAACTGGTAGGTACTATAGGATGCAGTAACCTCAATCTCATCCTCAGCCACCAACCATCGCTTCAAATGCAAAAAGGTGATGGATGCCTGTGCTCATCAGAAGCCCTGGTTCGGAATCGAGCAGGAGTACCTTCTCTTGGATCGTGATGGATATCCGCTGGGATGGCCGAAGCATGGATTCCCCGCTCCCCAAGGTCCCTATTACTGTGCTGTTGGGGCTGACCGTATCTTCGGCCGGGAAGTGGTCGAAGCCCATTATCGCGCCTGTCTCCACGCCAATCTGACCATCTGTGGGACCAATGCGGAGGTTACCCCCGGACAATGGGAATATCAGATCGGTCCAGTGGAAGGTATCGCCATGGGAGATGAGTTGTGGATGTCCCGTTATCTTCTTCACAGAACAGCCGAACAGTTTGGAGTAGTGGTCACCTTCGATCCCAAGCCATCAGTTACATGTGGAGAATGGAATGGTGCCGGATGTCATACCAACTTCAGCACACTGGCAATGAGACAGCCTGGGGGCTTGAAGGAGATCGAAGCTGCCATGGCCAAGCTGCAGCCACTTCATGCTCAACATCTCAGGATGTACGACCCCAATGGGGGAGAAGATAATCTGAGAAGATTGAGTGGAAGATGCGAGACTTCCAGTGCGGACAAGTTCACTTGGGGTGTGGCCAACAGAGGATGCAGCGTCAGAATCCCGAGACAGGTTGCCGAGGAAGGCTGTGTAAGTAAATCTTCCTGTTAGTTCTTTGTTAGGTTGCCGCAATAAAAATATTTTTACTTTTAGGGTTATCTGGAAGACCGTCGTCCCTCCTCCAACGTTGATCCCTACTGCGTTACTGCTGCTCTAGCCGAATCTATTTGTCTTTGATTTAGGCTTCGATAAACGGCTTTAAAAAAGTTTTTTATTATGATTTATGTAATATGGCGTCATCTTTTATTTGGTATTGGAATACAAAATGTCTCTAATGTAGGCGGTCCAATCAATCACACCGCTCTTCTTCACCGTGAGATGATTCATCATATCTGCAACTTCGTTCTGGCTCAGAGGTTCCCCTGCAAAGTTTGCTGCGTATTTAGGATGACATTTTGAAAATTATTACATACCGCGAGTCGTGAGACATTTCTCCAGTTTATCTTTGGTCAGCGGGTCGAACCGCTCTTCAATGGTTCTGAATGCAGCCTGAAGTTGAGATTCAGACGGTGGTTTCATCGTCTCGTCTTTCATACACGAGATCAGTTGCGGCTTTAGTTCTGAAATGAGAATTCGATTGTCCGACTGTTTCGTTAGTTGAGACAAGATGTCTTTCAGCTGATTCTGAGTCGCGTTGACCCTGAGATATCGTAATACAGTGCCCACTTCATTTATATCGATGGAGTTCTTTTGGTTTTGATCGAATATCCGGAGAACATCATCACAGCGTTTACCCAGCTCATCTACAACAATAAATCAGCTCCAGTCACCCAATTCCCACCTAAATTAAACTCGCTCAACGATTCCTCATCTTCCGAATTGTCAGGTTCAACTTTAGAATCCTCAGCCATATTAGGGTATTATATTTATTTTATTCAAAAGTAAAATTACAGGGGTTTAAGGTCGATTGCTCATGTGGAAGTTGCCGGTTGAATGGGTTTAGCTTAATCTCGGGAAAATATGTCTGAAAAAGAGTGCTTAGTAACGTTCAAAAAATATAATATTCAGAACAAACTATAATAATACTGACTTAGCAGATAAGGCCAGCAATGGACAAGGGAAGGTGGTAGCTGGATACTCGCCCATAGAAGAGCCGATGTCAATATGACTGTATCTTATTGGTTTCTGTGATGAAATACCATGTTCATCTAGCCTCGAGGCTTGGATTAAGAAAGCGCAAGGACTCTGATGTCCTCTCAGAGTCTGAACTGATGGCCTGTTGTTGGCTTGGCGAAGATCCGCTGATTCCACTGGGGACTTGTTGAAGTCAAAGTCCTAAGAAGTCATCAGTTATATGGCCTTAAATACCTACCTCAACATGGAGTCTGCTAACTTCGAGTGGCTGACCCCACTCATCCCCAACTTTCTGAAGATTCTGGGCATGGCCCGCCGATCTGGCAACGGCATTATCAATAATAGCCGGAAAATATCCATACGCCAAGACTTCATGCCCAGTGAGAGTAGCCAAGGTGTATAGATGAGGGTTGTCTTCCTTGAGGGCAAGTTCTCGGGCATACGTTAAGGGGTCCAGCATGGCCAAACGACCTTCGGCATCCGTGTTTCCAATAAGAATTCTTTTACCACTTCGACTCTGAAATTAAACCAAATGTAAGAACGCACAACGTTATCACAAAAACTTCCAAATATTCCTTACAGTAATAATCTCATCGCAAGAGTAAGATGCACTTCCACATGAATTTCTGACCATGGCCATCAATCCAACAACCTTAAGTCCCTTTGGTTTTAGCTTGTCAAGAGCATCAAAGAATCCTGCGACAACCGCACTACCATACTTATCCCTCGACATCCCCAACATAGCTCCATTCACCTTCAAATCGAGACCTCCGGTGTCCAGAGTCACGCCCTTTCCAATCAAAAATATGGTCTCGAATGGCTTCCCTGAATCTTCTCTGTTCTCGTATTCCAGGAAAAGTAACCGAGCCTAAGAAAGGTAATGCTACCCATTATATCTGCATACCTTATGTGGGTCGATATGATTGCAGCCTCGACTAACGGCTGCCAATAAAGGGAATTCCTTCTTCAAGGTCTCCACGTTATCTTCTATCGTCACTTTAATTTCCGTTCCTTTAAAATGCTCTTGAACATAGCTGGCAGCTGGCCCTGGAGCCATTCTTTGCGGGTCTGTATCGCCAATATCACGACAAACAGCAAAGGAAGACTGGAGCGCATCAAGGAGTTTGAGAGTTTCGGATGAATGGAAAGAGCCCGTGCTTAAAACTCCAAGTCTCTCAACCTTCTGGGATCTGTTACTCTCTTCTTGTCTGATATTCAACGGAACATGAAGCTTGTGGAAAACACCAAGAGCAGCGACAACCAAAGCATTTGGATGATCTGTATTCGGGACAACGGCCAATAGAGGATTCTTAACTCCTGAACTCAAGGCCCTGCGAAAAAATTCTTTATACTAACAATGACAAACGATACTTATTGAAACCATAGCTCGAACTTACAAAGCGATCCCCTGTTCACCCGCATGTCTGTATTTTCTGATATCATCAAAATCATGATTTCCAAAGCTGACCGGACTGTAGAACAACCGTTTAGATGGGAGTTCGGTGTGTAACAAAAACCCAGGTCTGTTCAGAACACCATGTGAAGATTGTTCAGTCAACTGATGCGCAAGGACTTTGAATTGGGCGTGATTGGTTAAAGCTTCCAATGAATGGGATACCACAATGACACCATCAAAGGTCGGCTCCACCAACGAAGACGTTAAAGCTAATGGAACAATTCTAAATAAGTCAAAAAATCAGCATAAGCGGGAACTTACGGTTTAGCTACCATATTATGAAGATAACGGACTCGTCCAAGCAGAGCGAAGGGACCTTGCACTCCTGAAGAAAGCATAAATTAAATTATGATGTCCGGCTGAAAGAAAAGAACACGTCAAAAGACATTAACAGTGCAAAGTGACAAGAATTTGAAGACGTTCAACCCTGATAACGGTCAGGCGAGATTAGAACTGCAAGACTTAAGAGAATTTGTATTACACTCAGTCCATTGTGCAAACAGTTCCACAAAAGGGTTCCGAAAGGCCATCCGACAACATTATGGAAGAGAGCCTTTTGTGCAAGTTCACTCTATTTATAAACGGAGAAGTGACGGAAGTTCTGAGTATTCCCCCCGAAAGGTCAAAGTTTATAACATCACGAAAGGAAGAGTACTGATTTACAACTGCACTTTGCAAAGTTCTTCATCAAAACCAGTAGTTGAAAATGTGAGAAAAGATTAATCGCCTACTAAATTGACCACTGAGCCAGGCAAACTTGATTTTTTTTTGTAGTTCCTGCAAAAAAGATGTTTTAAATTCCCGCAAAATTCCATAATTTCGAAAATTGGCATTCTGTTTCAAGCGTTCCCTCATTTTTCTGCAGCAAACGCGCGAGGTAAGGAAGCTCATCCTCACTATTATTTGTTTTTGTGAGTAGTTGTTTGGCCATGCCAACCAGGATCTTCTTCGGTCGTCTTCCGTTCCGCACAACTGAACGTGATATTGAACATTTTTGCCGCGGTTTTGGTACAATCAATGATGTCATCCTCAAGAAAGGATTCGGATTCGTTGTAGGCCATTCTAATTATTTTTATCGCATTTTAGGCAGGTGACCTTCTTATGATGCTAATTTTAGGATTTCGAAAACCCCAGAGATGCCGAAGATGTTGTCTACGAGTTGAATGGCAAAGAATTACTCGGTTCTCGAATTGTTGTTGAAAACTGCAAGCCTGGCCACAAACCGTTCGCCTCCGGCGGATCTTCTAGAGGTGGCGGCCGTGATCGGGACCGTGATCGCGATTACCGCGGCGGAGATAGAGGAGATCGGGATCGTCGTCAACCCAAATGGCTCAGTAAATATGGACCTCCAGAGCAGACTCGTCATCGTTTGGTTGTGGAGAACCTGTCGACCCGATGTTCGTGGCAGGTATGTATTGTCTTGATAGATTATCTTCCTTTTCTAACGTTTTAGTTTCTAGATGGTGTTACTCTGATACTTGTGTGTGTTGCTGTAATGTCAATCTGTCTTTAACAATAGCTTATGTTAGATCCTAAGAAATCGCTTGGTTTTTTAAGGCCGTTTAAAGAACTGAAGAGATGTAAGAGAAAAAAGATGTGAGGTGTAGAGGTGTAAAGATGTGAAAGTAGTGAAGGGAAGAGAAAAGAACAAACATTGAAGATCGTTTGAAGATTCTTTATGAAGATTTGTTGTTTAGGACCTGAAAGACATGATGAGAGCCATCGGTGAAGTTACTTACGCACATGCCCACAAACCTGAGAGAAATACTGCGTAAGTTGCTGTTGTCTTTGTAAGATTGTTTTGATTCTAGTCTGGTCTGCTTTACAAGAGCCGATGATGTGAAGAGAGCGATTGAAAAATTCCAAGGAAAGGAGATCAATGGACGGAAGATCAAGCTTATCGATGACACCCGCAGGTATGTTGACATTTCTGCATTATGCGATGTTACCAAGGATAATTATAGTAAAATATTTTCAGTGTTTCGCGTTCTCGCAGCCGTTCTCGGTCGAGATCACCTCGCAGATCTCCATCCCCAAGAAGTAGATCTCGCTCGCCCATCGAGCGTTCCCGCAGCCGCTCCTGAATATCGCTACAAGAAGATGCCACATTGAACGCAAGAAATTTTTTGATTAACCAATACAGTTGTTTCTCCTGTTTCGATTTAAATATTGTGTGAGTTCATAAATTGTTTTATTCACAACAAAAGAGTGGGTTTCTTCGATACAAACTATTCACATTACACAACTAGTCTAGATTGCTGCTTGGCCGAACTTTGTTGCGAATTCTTTCATTCTCAATGTGTTTTGAGGGTTGGTAGATGCTTTAATGACAGTTATGGCGGACTTGAGATCTTCGAAACTAACTGGCGGTAACTGAGATCCGGTATAATTTTTCAATTGTTCTCGGCTCAATGATCGCAGTGGAGCCATAGCCGCTTCTTTACATAAAGCTGTCAGATCCGAGAAGGAGTAACCATCACACAGGTTGGAAATTTCCCTAATACATTAAATTTTTAATCGAAACCCTTACCTTATTTCGTCCTCATCCAACGCAAATTGTGTCTTGGTTTTAGTGAAAATGTCCAAAATCAGGTTTGCCCTCGCTTCTTGACCGGGTAAGTCGATGTATATTCTCCTTGGAAATCGACGAAGAACACCATCATCCAATTCTTGAGGCCTGTTTGTGGCTCCAAGGACCAAGATTCTTTCGCTAGAACTGCTCGTACATCCATCGAATTGAAGGAGGAACTCGGTCTTGACCCTTCTTGTGACCCCATCCTCCTTTTCTGTTCTTTGACATAACAACGAATCAACTTCGTCGATGAAAATAATGGATGGTTGATTGGCTCTGGCAACATTAAACAAGGTCTGCATCAACCTCTCGCCCTCGCCAACCCATTTGGACATAATTGTGGCGGCCGAGATGTTGAAGAAGGTACATTTGGACTCTGAGGCCACCGCTTTTGCCTATTATTTGATAAAATTCAATTTCTTTGTAACGTACAAGCATTGTTTTTCCATTTCCTGGTGGTCCAAACAGAAGAATTCCTTTGCACGGCTCCCTCAATCCTGTGAATAAAAGAGGGTTCAAGGTGGGCAGGATAACGCTTTCTTCTAGAGCTCTCTTTGCATCCTCATTCCCAACAATATCGTTCAAAGTGACCCCAGTTGTGTCCACGATTGTACTCAAAATTGCCGCTTGGAGTTCCGATTGGGAATCGGGATTGTCATCACCAACTTTTTGACGCTTTTCTGCAGGAATATCTACTTATGTTTCTTATTAAAAGTAACCTACCTTTATTCTGGTAGCAGTTAACGTAATCGCTCCGTTCTAGTTCTCTTCTGATAGGTTTGATGACTGCAGTTTCAGTGGAGACCACTCTCTTCACTTCTCTTACAATCTGCGATGCCCCACTGGCCATAACAAACCCATCCGTAGCCGGTAATTTCTTTGGGGATTCCTTTTTTCTCTTCGGATTTGTTAAGAAATCGTCCATACTTTGCTGACCCGATCTCCGATTGTTGTTCTTCTTCGAATATTCCTCCAAATAAATGACTTCAGAATTCTGTTTCGCCTGCCTTTTGGCTGTCATTCGGGTCGCTTTATCAGTCCTTTCGTAGTACTTTTTAACCGTGTCATCCTTGTCAAAATTGTAATTAAAGCCTTCGGGAGACCCTAGATTCCGTATACCGGACATCAAAATACTCTCTACCAAATACGAATAAAACATTCTTCAATTAATGTATTAAATGACATCAACATGCCAGAAAACAAGAAGAAGTAGTAATGAATATAAATTTATGTCAACAAATAGGGATTCGAAAAGTTTTGCGGGATACCAGTCTGAATGGATTCGGATTCTTTGGAGTCATTGTCGTATAATACAAACATGGAGTCGATGGCGGAATTTGTCATTCCAACGATATAGCGCCCATTTTCACTCCAATCACAAGAAGCCATCTAAAACTCAATTTCACATAAAAATAACTAGCAGCTTACTTGACTAGAAACATATTTAAGCCCAAATTTTGGAAAACTTCGCGATCGTTCTCCCTAAAAAAGTGAGTTGAAAGTAATATCAATAAATGTCATAATGACGACAGAATACATACCATATCCCAGATCCCGGCCCCTTCATCAGTTCCACAAATCATATGATCGCTTATAGGTGATACCCCGAATTCAACTTGAAAATCCCCTCGGATGGCCCCACTGTAAGTTCTCAGAGGTTCATTCACCATCTTGCCATTGCTAGAACAAAGGCCCATGGAGATGTCGTATTTCCGGACGTCTCCATCAGTGCATAAAGCCAAAAGCGTGGAATGATCCGACTTCAGATTTAATGACGCCACCCCTAGAGTTGAATTGAAAATATACAGTATCCTTACCAAAATTTGATCGATATTTAGGAGGAACCTGGAATGTACAACAAGGAGCGTCTGTCTTTACATACCGGAGGTCCCAAAGCTGAATTCCTCTAAAACACCCTCATAAAAAGCCACTTTTCACCTACTTTTCAGCCTTTGTATAACCCACAGCAAAAATTCTGTCATCGACATGTTTAATACAGGTCGCCGCCGCGATCACTTGATTATACTGTCCTCGGAATTTGGAAGTTGGCGTAGTAGGAGTTCCCGGTCTTCTAGGGGACTTGGCCTGTCCTCGCTTTGGAGTAGCTAAATTACCCCTTCGAGGGGTCAGCACAGATCTCGGCTGAGCCGAAGCAACGGCCATATTATTTGGCTTCCTCATATCCATGTATTTCAGACCGCCAGTATTCTTCTCAGCGATAACATAACAATCTAAAAACCAATAAAACCAAAACTTTTCGCTTACAAGGATCATTGGATTGTCCGGCGAATGCAGTGTGATTCCCATCTTCAGATGAGATCTTTTTCTCGATGGCTCCTCTTGACATATTCACAACAAAAACGTCCCCAAGCATACTCAAAGCAATCACGGTTTCATGATTGTTCATAAAGTATAGATCGGTGATGGCATGCTCGGTCAGCTTGACTCGTGGGAGGTAATCAAAATAGTTCAAGAATTCATCAGCTGGATAAAACGCGATCTCTCCAAACTCCGTACCTACTCCCAGCCAGACATTGTTGATGTCCGAATACTTGGAAAAGCGTGTTACTGATACCAGTGGCTAAAAGAAAAAAATTTAATGTTTCTGCGTTCGTGAGTTGTTGCTTTAGTTGTAAAAAAGCTTACAGAATTCGATTTCAACGGGGCCACAAATCGATAAATAAATGCATTTGATGCGGTCCGTTTTACAAAAGGTAAGTCATAAAAATCCATGTAAACCATAAAAATTTATGCAAAAATTATTTTATTTTTTTTCAAAGAAGAAATTACGCGCAGGGGTGGTCGGCGGGCCGGGCCGGCCCGGCCCGGCCCAAACGGGCCGGCCGGCCTCAAAAATGGAAATTGACAAACGGGCCGGGCCCGTCACGGGCCGGGCCGGGCCGCGGGCCTGGGGTTTTTCCGGCCCGGCCCGGCCCGTCTAAAATACAATGCCAAACCGTTGGCATTCATTGTTTTCGCGCCGGTAAAATTAATTGATGTTGTTATAGTTGCTGTTTCTCAAGTTCTAAAACGTTTACAAGTCTCTAGTTCCATTATAGAACCACAAAACTATCACATTGATCCTTTACTAGCTAGATCAACGCCTTTTTTGCCTCAGTTTAGATCCCGAGCCTGGGCGCAGTTCGCAGAACCCTCTATAGACGGGCCTGCACGGGCCGGGCCGGGCCGGGCCAGGCCCGTCACGGGCCGGGCCGGGCCGGGCCTGGAAAAAGACTAGACGGGCCGGGCCGGGCCGGTCAATTAGACGGGCCGGGCCGCGGGCCGAAAATCGGAAAAATAGGGTCTGCTGACCACCCCTGATTACGCGCAAAATGACAAAACTTGACTCATGGGTCAAGTGTTCTTCTGACTTTTGCAAAAATCTGTTTCTTCTTTTTTTTTGTTGAGATTTTCCTGTTCTGTGATAATCGAGCCAAACCAAATCTTGAATCATGGGTATTGTGGAGAAGATTCAGGAGATTGAGCGGGAGATCAGTCGGACGCAGAAAAACAAGGCCACGGAGTATCATCTTGGCCTATTGAAGGCAAAGTTAGCCAAATACCGCCAACAACTACTTGAACCTACTGGTAAGAGTGGTGCTAAAGGAGAGGGGTTTGATGTTATGAAAAGTGGAGATGCACGAGTGGCAATGGTGAGGTGATTTGGATGTTTAATGTATGTTCATGCAGGTCGGATTTCCATCGGTGGGTAAATCTACGTTTCTTTCGAGTATGACCAAAACTGAGAGTGTGGCTGCCGCTTATGAATTTACAACCCTCACCTGTATTCCTGGTGTGATTGAATATGAAGGTGCCAAAGTGCAATTGCTAGATCTACCTGGTATTATTGAAGGTGCTGCTCAAGGCAAAGGTCGAGGACGACAAGTTATTGCCGTCGCCAAGACCGCCGACTTAATTTTGATGATGTTGGACGCAACAAAAGGAGATCATCAAGTAAGTTTTGTTTTTATTTTCCTATTTTCTCTTTAGAGACGACTACTTGAAACCGAATTGGAGGAAGTGGGAATACGATTGAATCGACGGAAACCGGGAATTTATCTGAAGAGGAAGCCTGGAGGTGGAATTAAGTTTACCCATACAGCCATCCTAACTCACTGCGACGAGAAGATGGTGATAAATATCCTCCATGAGTACAAGATTTTTAATGCTGATGTGGTCTTTAGGGAAGATGCAACGTAGGTCCAGTAATAATGCAGTTTATCTTCGACTTAGGGTTGATGAATTTATTGATGTGATCCAAGGAAATCGTGTTTATTTGAAATGTATCTACGTCTACAACAAGATCGATCAGATCACGATTGATGGGCTGGATAAGATTGCCCGACAACCTCACAGTGTTGTGATTTCATGTGAATTGAATCTGAATATGGATTACATGTTGAAGAAGCTGTGGGCATACCTCGATTTGATCCGGGTTTATACGAAAAAACCAGGAAACGCTCCCGATCTGGGTAAGTTTACTATGTTATGGCCATGATTGCATTTCCTTAGGGCCCGATGACGGTATTATTCTTCGTTCCGGGGCCACCATTGAGCACTGTTGTCATGCTCTCCATCGAACATTAGCTGCCCAATTCAAATACGCTATTGTCTGGGGTACTAGTACAAAGTTTTCCCCTCAGAGAGTGGGAATAAAACACAAATTACATCATGAAGATGTTGTGCAGATTATGAAGAAATGATTCTGAAATGTTATTTGTTATGTTTGATTAAATATTCTATGAATTCTTGTACCTGGTGTTGTAAGTGTGGTTGTACTGCCCGGTTACTTTATAATATTACCATTGATTTTAATCTGGAGAGGTGGATGAACTCGGTAAGGAGACTTCACACAACAGCAGAGGTCTCCAGGAAATGGATTCGGATCCATTGGTGGCCAAAGTATGAGCGATGGCAAGATCTGGAGAAGGATACCATTTTCAAAAAGAAGGGCGATGAAGCCGTCAAACAGATGCACAGATTCTCTGACGAATTCTATATTCATCCAGAACGAAGGGAAGATGGTAAGTTAGTTCCTTTGTAAAGGTTTATTGTCAGTTTAGCCTTGCCAAAGAAACAATTCGAAGATCAGTCCCGAAGAGATCAGAATGCCCCATCTTTAAAGTTATTGACCGATCACACCACTCTAAGATATGTGGACCATAGTTACGACAATATTCGAAGAGTAAGGCGGTATGAAGCCTTCCAATTAAGACAATACGATCAACGGTAGGAAATATTCATAACATTAGATTTTGTGTTTTAGATTTATTGCGGAACGACTTCTCTTCCTTGGGGCAGACCTGGCTGCTGCTCATTTCCTTGTCCATCGAAAGGCTGCTGTAAAGTTTATAGGAGACAATAACTGGTATAAGAAGGATCGATGGGGCAGGTATTCTTTACCCGGAAGACAAATCCCTGGTCTTTATGTAGAAGCGATCGACGCCTCAGGCACAGAACTGATGTATGAAGGTAGCAAATTCATAATGAAGTTAAATTTCTTAGGTTTTGACAATCTCTACGACCTCAAACATCTCAGGATGCTTCGGTTAGCCAACTGCGAATTCATTGATGACTGGGCCCTGAGTAGAGTGGGTGGAGTTTGTGGATCTACGTTGGAATTCTTGGACCTCTCTGGCTGTAAAAATATTACACACAAAGGTTTGGCTGCGTTGCGGACCGCCAAGAATTTGAAATATCTCCGATTAGAGGGATTAGATCATATTCCTCACCTGGGGAAGACGGTTTTGATGCTAGAAGAGATGATACCTGGTCTCATTGTTACTGGCCTCAACTTTGATAAGGAGCTGGAGAGACTCGAATGGGAAAACAAACTAAAAGAAGATGACAGAGCTGTTATTGACGCCAAGGGTACGGCATTTCCTCTTCCTCTTGTTGTCCATGTGGGGATTATATTAATTTATTTATAGGCAATGTCTTTGTGGAAGATGATAATGGAGAACTCTATTACATTCACGGGAAAATCTCCGAAAAGGCGACTGTCAATGATGATGATCAACCGATTGTAACGTCCACCATCAGAAAACAAGTCCCTGAAATGAGTGAGGTTGAGTTCGAGAGATTGGATCAACTTTCGAAGGGTCGTCTTCGTCATCTAATGGTCGGATCTCCCAGTGGATACATGTGGTCTGATCAAGTGGAGAGAATCCTTCAGCACGAAAACAAACTCCATATAAAGGACGGCATCGAAACCGATCCCAAGCTCTTACCCAAAGAGCAGCGACGGAAGAGATTGTTGGCCATGGGCGTGGACATGGAATTACTATTAGAAGAGGACAAGAAGACCCTCCGGAGAAGTGATGCCATCGAGAAGGAACAAAAACAAGTCGAGGCTAATTAGGAATCTGTTAATACTTTTATTGTTTTGTTATTAAAGTTCACCCCTATTTAGTGTTTTCTCTTTCTCCTGTTAATGACAGCGCTAATGCAGGTTACCTTTATTTTTTGTTGTGTAGAGTTGCTTTAAAGGAGCATTTTGAGAACATAATTTTGCCGACTATGGTTAATATCGATTACGTCTCATCAAAACTTTTAGGACTCGTTCTTGTCTGATTCATAAGCCCGAATGCATGAAAAGTGCCCACGGCATCCGTGTTTTTGACGTTTCCTTCCCTGATTCAGAAACGGCTTCTGCAGTGAGAGAGATATTTTTTGTAGACTTTGCTAAAGAAATTTTTCTCTCTATTTTCCGGATGTTTGCATTGGTTTCGTAAATCTTGTGACCTGCCGAGCTTGACGGGTCTTTATCTAGGTGTTTAAGCACCCAATTTCGGCTCGAAAAGGCGGTTTTCGGGCGTGGAGCAGCACGTTCTAAGGCATCGGGCAGTTTTATGGAGCAACCACAATGGGGCTGTGGTGATGTGAAATAAAAAGGGTTTAGACCCCACGTGTGTGCACTAAAATGTAGATCCCTTTATCCTCTGTTTCTAATTTGTTTTTGAAATAGGGGCTTTCCCCTAATTCTGATGTGCAGATAAAGGGTTTGGACGTCGTTCGCTCGACTGAGGAATTCCTTAATTCCGACGTTAATTCGAAAAGTGCTTTCTTTTTTCTCGTTCCTTTTAAGGCTTGGCGTTTCATGACTCACATTCCCCTCGAGGATGGCCCCTTGATTTCTCGATTGGTGGCAGTGTAATCTTTTTAATAAATTTCAGTGTAGAATCTTATGAAATGCGTAATCGGCTTTGTTTTCGGTGTCTTTTCTCTTCTTCCCTTCGCTTATTGGGGGTTTGTTGTCTCGGAAAGCATCTAGACGAATTTTGTTTTAAAAGTTATTTTTTAAACCGCCAACCATTAATTCCCATCCATAAATATTCCCGTCGAAACGGAATGAAAGCCAGAGAGGTTGCGTGTCAGCTATTTTTTACAGCGCTGGACCCTCAAAATTAATTTGGGGCTGTCTTAATCTCGCGTGAATACAGCGAAAAGTGCTAGGTTTTGTGTAGTAAAATCGGTTTATTTCTGGAATCACTGTCAGATTTTTTTGGCTGATGCATAGATCTGATGTTTACCATAAAGCCAAGACTTTATTAACTGGGTAGGTATTAGAAATATGTTAGGCATTAAAAGCGCTGTCATCCGAGTTAGAAAGAACAGGACGAACCCTCCCATGATGAATAGAGCTGGTCATGAACACTCCTTCGTATTTAAATAGCTGCTCAATTTCAAAACACTTCCATCTGGCATTAGTTCTCCCTGCTCTCGAGGCTTTCGTCTGCTGGTCGTCCTCTTAGTAAGGGCCTTATATTTTGTGGTTTCTTGGCCGTCGGGTTCCTTGTCTTGCCCTCGAGGCCGTTCAAATGGCGCCTGTTGGCAGTCTGGCCAGCAGGTCCAGTACCTTCCTCGTAAGCACCAACCGGTCCTCTTCCTTGACCTAGCCTCCGTATTTTTCGTCTCGATACGAATCACACCCCGGGGCTTGGATCATCTAAATATGACCCTCCAAGCAAACCGCCTCGGGTCAGTGGATGGTCTTCTTTGGCCGCCTTGTTTTGGTGATTGTTTTCAGGTATCCGGGTCATTTTGTTCTTCGCTTTCATACGGAGTGGCGGTGTGTTTCATTATTCTTCGGGGTAATTTATTTTCTTTCCGCATTTATTTTGGTCCTCAATTATTGAACTGCCGGTAGGTGAGATTTGTTGGTGGGATGTCGGGGCTATAACGACACCCCTTCCTTCTCTGTCGACCATTTTCATGCCTCCATTAAAAGCAGGAGACCAAAGCCGTCTGGGTGAGGGATGAAAGGAGCACGGTCTGGTGGCCGTTCCGACCATCCCCGCGACTCGATTTACCTTGGCCACGCGCCTTCTTATCTACCATGAGCCAAAAGGGACGCACGGAATTTCCTCCGCATGCAGACTGGCCCAGTTTTTGACCACAGATGGCTTTTGCGGTGTGCCAGGGGCGTTTGGCCGCCGTTTCTGGTGCGCTCGCGGCCGGGTCTCTGAAACCGCGAGGGGACGAATGCGGTCGTTGAGAGGGAAGAAACCCAGAACTAAGGCAGGCTTCCCTCCTCGCACCTCGTTCCTGCACGCCGCCGCTCTGACCAGCGCCGAGACGACAACACGGCCCTCAGGCACCCCCCCCCCCTTTCTCCCTCTAGGCCGGATCTGGGCATGACAAGCTGCCCGTTGCTATGGGGTTTCTATTCTTTTTTCGCGCGCTCCTTGCTTGCTTGTTTGACGCCGCCATCTTCTATTTTTTTCGCCTTGCCATGGCTAGACGGGTCCGTCTTTGGCTGGCCATAGCCCCCGGTCTAGGCCAAAAGCTGGGACGAAAAGAGCGTCCGAGAGGAACCCTGCGTGTCCTCCATTCTCTTCTCGAACGAATTCGTTGGATTCATGTTCTCCGATTCCGTCAATTCGCAGCGTTCAATCGGGTACGGCATTAATTCGCTTGAAGTTTCATTTGTCTCTGACATTATGGCGTGTTAGTTGCTAATTTTATTGTTCCTCTAGGGTGCCTTTACTGGGTTTACTCGTCTTTTCGACTACTTTCCATTGGTTGATCTCCGGTCATCTCTCTGGGTGAGATCTTGATCGCGGTTGACCAGCAATCGCGTTTCTTGCTGTTGCATCCCTCCCCTCCTTTCGCTACTTTTGTTTGCTCTAATCGAGTGCAGGAGCCCTCCGGGATCTCAAGGTCCCATCCAAGGAATTTAAGTGACATCGACTTTCATCCTCTTATCGACACATGATATGTTTGATTTGGAGCCGCATTCCGTCCTGCCAAACCTTTTACTTCTACGCTCCATTTTATTCCAATTTCCTCGTTGTTTCGCCTTTCATTGATTTTGTATTTGTACTCGTTCCTTTTGATTACATAACTTGTGTTCTCCAAATTAGTCGCTCTCTTCCTCCGCCTTATTTTGTACTCCTTGAATTAAATAGGTACCCAACTTTTAAAAATTTTTTCACCGTTATTTGTTCGCTTCCCGAGTTGATATCGTTTTTGACAAAGTTTTAAACACAAATAATATATTCAGACGCTAGACAGTCCGGGCCGGACAGGATTGGAACCCCCCACCATCGGCCCCATATTCCACTAGTCAATAGCTCTTCTGAGCCGCTTCACGGGCCACTTAAACTTTAATTAACTTTGGGTTTCCCGGGCTGCCTTAATTGCTTTTTGAGGGAATTGTCGCGCGGCCGTTTTCTGTCCTAGCCTCACAGCACTTGTTGATCATGCCATCGAGAACGGAGGGCACTCAAGAAAGCCGCTTGGTCAATACGGGACCTATCAACAAGGAAAGTGGGCTACGAAATCGGTGGGACGGAGCGGCAGCGAAGCCGAAAATCAGGCCGTTTCTCGCCGCGAGGCAAGAAAAGAGAGAGCGAGAGAGTAGACCAGAGAGCACGCCTATACGAGAGAACGGGGCACGGGGAGCGGAGAGAGTGAAAGAAAAGCCTTCCTTCCATTCTTCTCTTTCTGCTGCTTTCCCCTCCACTTTCCCTTTCTCTCCCTTCTTATCCTTCCCCGTCCGTTTGACTTTGAGACTCCAGGCCTTGCCTGACTGACTGCAATGAATGACTCTAGGCTGCCCTCTTCCGTCCGTCCAACCGGCCGCGGCCCTCTTCTCGTGGTGCTCGCGCTCATTTACACATTGTGGTGTTGCGTGTCGCCGGTGACGGTGCAGTCCACCGCCCGTTCCATCATCATCGACGCCGCTGCTGCCGACTTGTTGAGAACACGACCTTCAGCCCCACCTCTTGAAACCATAAACCCGTTATGATTTGCATTTTTGTGTATTTATTATAGGGCTTCTCAACCGATCCCCCAAGTTTTCGTGATTCTTTTCATCCGCGATTTTTGATGATTTCGTCGTTCATTTTTCACATTTTTTATCGTTCTTGGAATTTCAGGTGTTTTCAACGGTTTATCGTTCGAACGCACTGTACTCCACCGGTGTTCTCCATTCAAGCGGTGCCGTTTCGTCGAGTGCGGTTGCTCCTTTCAACTAGCTTTATATTATCGATATCCCTCTCGACTGACCAACACCCCACAAATTAAAATGGCGGATCAACTTACTGAGGAGCAAATCGCCGGTAAGTTTTGATTTATCGCTTCTTTCGGTTTAGTCTTGTTCAAGAAATTTTGGTAACATTGAATTTTAGGCATATTTATTGTCTTTGCTCCTTTTGGTTTCGAAATAATGTTGAAATTTTGAAATATAGGCTGCTTGCTTTGTTGAGATTTGACTTTCTAATCAATCTAACCTTGAAATACATTTCGAAGGTTCTGAATCTTGCCTCATTTTGTCTTTCGTATTTTGGCCTGAATTCAAGGCGGAATTTGCGAGTCAGGAGTTACTTTGTGGTCTCGTTTTTGTGCCTTCATGCATTTTCAATGATCTCTCTTTCTAGAATTCAAAGAGGCGTTCTCACTTTTCGACAAGGACGGAGATGGAACGATCACCACCAAGGAATTGGGTACAGTCATGCGTTCCTTGGGGCAGAATCCCACTGAGGCCGAGCTGCAAGACATGATCAACGAAGTCGATGCGGACGGCAACGGTACCATTGATTTTCCCGAGTTCTTGACCATGATGGCCCGCAAAATGAAGGACACCGACAGCGAAGAAGAGATCCGTGAAGCCTTCCGAGTAAGTTGTTTCCGGCATGAATAAGGTTTTGATTCTTTAGGTCTTCGACAAGGACGGCAATGGTTTCATCTCAGCTGCTGAGCTTCGTCACGTCATGACCAACCTTGGCGAGAAGTTGACCGATGAAGAGGTGGATGAAATGATCCGAGAAGCCGACATCGATGGTGACGGACAAGTCAATTATGAAGGTGAGCTTATCTCGAGATGTTTTTGAGGAGTGTTGCGCGTATTAGAGTGTGGAAACAAATTTAGGCTGTTTTTCTAGTTTTTTTTAAGTTATTTGAGTTTAATTGGATTTAATTGTCTCTGACAACGTTTTGAGTGGTTAGACAAAGTCAAAAAAGAGGGAAGACATTCTGTGACCTAAAAAAACCCAATGTTACACTTTACGATATAACACCTTCTTTTTGTTGAGAAGAAGGTGGAATTTCTGGGGCAAAGTGATGTGGGCGTAAACTTTTTTATTGCTGGATACTGTAGCATATAAATGTAAATGTTCTTAGAGGGTTGAAACCCTTGAGTGTCGGCTAACACCGAAATAATCTGACTCATTTCAGAGTTCGTTACCATGATGACAACCAAATAAGTGCGGGCCCAACTTGATCATGTCTTCTCTTTATTTTATACGTTTTTCGTGTGAATGTCAGTAAAGTCTCTGGTTTTCTAGTTCGATTATTTTGTTCAACCTTGATAACATAATGATGATGGACTCTTGTTTACTTCCACTTTTTCTTGTAATCCCGTTCGGATTAATTAAATTTGGGGCGAATGGGAGACCGGGCCACGGTCGTCCGGCCTTCCCGGCCAGCCTCGGTCTTCTCTCTTCTTGCTGGTCCTAGTTTAATTCGAGTTTTCTTTCTTTTTTCAGACTTTCTTTTTTGTTTCTCGCATCCCCCGCTCACGCACTCTGCGCACCGAAAGCCATGTCCCCGGCCCCCTAATAATCGAGTCCCATCCGGGAATAGGTCATAAAAGCGATGCCGAGTGCCCCCTCTACCTGGACAAGCAGACTCCTATTATTGTACAGTCAGTAGTTGTCGTTCCTAGTACTTAGAGGAATGGGCGGACCTCGAGAGCATGCCATGAGAGTCTGATCGGGAATCTAGAGGATGTGTAATCTAAAATTTAGACTTTATTGCAACACATCCTTCCCGATCGACCGGTCAGGATTATCAAAGATTGGTTCATGTGCTCCAATCGCCCTCGGGCATGATGTCCCGCCGGTCTGCCGCCTCCTTCCATCTACCCCGACTGTGGAGCGTCTGTAGCCCGACTCGCCAACACTTTTTTGCTTAACTTAACTGATAACTTTATTGTATTGTGACACTCTTGGCCCCATTCCCTACACTCGACAGTTCTTATAGATTACTCTATCTTCTCTCTTTATGTCTCTCAATTGTTATGATATTTTCTCGATTATCCTCTTCTCCAGACACGATTTTTATGAAGGATTTGCGGATAAATGGTATTATACGAAGAAGTTCATCGTTTCGTACAATTTTATTTTAATTTCTGTTTCCATTAAAATATCAACTTACAGTTTTTTATGAAATTTGAATACTCCTTTCTCTTTCGCTGGGCCTCGGTTTTCGTTTTCAAGATCCATTTTCGCGGCTTTTGAGGAGCAAATTCCAGGTGATGACGGCTGGAGAGAAGGTAAGAATGGTATCTAACGGAGCATCGAAAGCAAGTGTTTATATTATCCAATTCTTTTGCACCAAACGTATGATATGCCGAAAAACCCGGGTTACGTAACAGGAAGTATGGTGCTGTAAAAACGACCTGAGCCCTTGAGGAAAGACGAGAGATAATGGACACATAGGAAACGCAAAAATAGGAACAATCGAAAAAGAATTTGAGAAAATGATGAGGCTTTAGATGAATCTTAAACCTTTTATTAAACCGATCGTTGGAAGAATTGTTAATTACAACCATTTTTACAAACAATAGCTAAGAAACTACATATACGACATAGTAAGTGACCAGATTGATGGATTTGAAAGTGGGAGATCATAGATTCCGTAGGGCTAATTCCTGTGAGAGGTCAGGATAGACTCGTTGGCGATGTCCTGAGTTCTGAGAAGCAGACAAAGGCGTTGGCAGAGGCGCCGTTGGATGTCTGATGGGCGCATTTACACTTAGTGGAGTGGCGAGCCCTTCGCTGATTCCACGAAGTTGAGAGTCGCTGAAGTTGGTCGGCTAAAATGTAATATGGTCAGTCAACAACACGTAATTTACAACAATCTGTAAAATCCAGGATACAATCCGTTGTTATGCAATAAAACCGCAAGCCCCGATGCCTTGATATAAGGATGGTGACATACAAATCAAATCGGTTTTCGTGGCCAGAAACCGCCATTTCTTGTCTGTTAGGCTTCTAGACAAGAAATGCGTAATTCTTGTCTGAAATTGCGCAATATTGCGCAAATTTCTGCTCTCTCCCCGTGAAGATTTTTTTCTTTTTTTCTCTGCTCAGACAAGAATTGTGCATTTCTTGTCTAGAGGCCTAACAGACAAGAAATGGTGGTTTCTGGCAACGAAACCCGATTTTATTTGTATGTCACCATCCTTATATTATCGAACTTACAGGGAAAGATGGGGGCCGAGAGACGGCGGAATATGGCGGAGGCGGAGTGCCCGGCTGGTAATGACTGACGGGCCTCATGGCTCTTCCAAATCCGGGCGGATTATATTGTAATCTGATATCTTCGCTGTTCAGCGCCCTTCGGACTTCACCTATCCTCTCCCTCGTAAAAGGCACACCATCATAGGTCAAATTATTAATGTTGTGGGTGGTTAATGCCGGGACCATCTCCGTGATTTCTCGATGACAATTGAAGATGGTTCGACAGTGTTCGTTGAGGATTCTGTAACTGTCAGCCAATCCCATCATGCCTTGTCGGAACAGGAACATCTTGACAACCTCGGCCTCTTGTTGAGCAGTGTTCAATCTTCTTCTGGCCTTCTCCACTTCCAACGTGGCCTCATCCTCGACTCGTCTCAGCGCCGCCATCTCCGACGTGCTCTTTTTCCAGAAGTAGGATGACCTTGTAATCTGTTTTCGTATCGAAAGTACTCGACCTTCTTTCTTGCGGAGGTTCTTCTCGTACTCTCGGACTCGGTATTCGATTTCCGCTATCTTTTTGAGTTGCTGAAAAGACAAAGATAGGCAAATTACAGTAAGCGGCTGTTTAATAAGGTTTATACCAAAGCTGCTATTCAGTTTTCCCTGCTGTTCCACAAACGATCAGGAATTTTCCGCTCAGACGAAAAGTGACATCATAGAAATAGTTGCAAGTTCAAAAAAGACTAAAATCGGATTGACCGGCCGTGGAAGGGATCTGACTCATTATAATACAATCTAGAATATCTAGTCAGCCTGACAGACATTCTAGAAAATTTGTCGGAACCACAACATATATGGTAAACACGGTTGGCAAGATGAAATGTTGTGAACTGGTACTGAAACTTGACCGGACAGGTAAAGAACCCCGATCAAGCATATCCGTCAAGTTTCAAAAATGGTAAAAAACCAGGCATTTTGAAGAAAATTTTGTGGTAGTTAGCCAAAAAAAGAATACTAGTACCAGTCGGCGGTCGCGCTGGTCAAGTTCCAATCCCAACATTTTTTTTTGAATAATCTCGACTAAAATAATTTATGTTTTACCTGCACAAAGTGATCATGATCTCGGTTGAACTGCTTCTGTTTTTCCGTGTATAAATGAAATAATTGAGCGGTATGTTGCATTACATCGTCTATGGCCGAATTCCTTGATCTCTTGGCCCAACTGGCAATGGCATCGATCCCTCTTCGCTCTGATTCTGCTGCTTTTGCTAGGCATTTGCTGAAACAACTCGAGTGAGAGTTATGTTGAAATACAATTATCGTTATAGCCAAGTTTAGAATATCAAGGTATACTGTGGAATATGAAAGTTTAGATATAGGCTTTACCTCGTAATCTCCATCTCGTTCAGACCATCAAGCAGAAGATTGACCTCATCAGCTTCGTAGGAGCTCTCGTTTCGAAACAACTTTGTAAGTTTATTTCTTTGTGAGGCCATTTTTAGGTATTGAACTCCCAAATAGATTGAAATGGGGGCTGAAAAAGAAAAAACCGATGTTATCTCTATGTTAGGGAACTGTGGGTGGGGGAGCGTAACCAGCGCGAGGGTCCAGCCTCGACCTCCGAAAGCTTTTTCCGCCAAATTTTCATGAAGAAAAATTCGCGCAGAATTTTTTCTTGAGGGCTTATTTGCCTCATTTGCATAACACGGCTTCTAACCGTGGGTCTGAGGACAATGTGGGTCGGTGAGGACCCGAAAATGGCCTGTTCGGTAAGTTTTTTCGGAGGGTCCAGACTAGCATGGGTCTAGTATAATATGCATTGTTTTACGTTCCGCTGGGCAAAAAACTTAAAGAGCTTTGCTTAAACAGTAAAGCGCCAAGAGTGGCGCCCGTCGGGCTTTTGTGTGAAAAACCCGAGTAAAACATTGAAAATGAAATAAATTTAGACATAATGCAAGGCAAGCCAAGACGCGCGCGGGCCATCTGCGCGTCCACTTTGACTCAATTCTGTGCCTTCCACTCTCAGTGCCTTGAATGTCACCCCGTCGCGCCGAGTGAACGGATATAACGACAGCGAATGAGAGGGAAAGTGGACATAAGGGAGTGCTGACCTTCGTGGGTAAACGAATGAATTAACCGTGATGATGGTTATGAGTGACCTCGTTGGGTGTGAAAAGACTTTATTTAGTCATCAAAAAAACATGGTATAATACGTGTAACACTCATTACGAAATAGGTCTCCTCAGATGGCGCACTAAGGGTAACTAGATTATGTATGCCTCTCGAATCGGACGGGGTTTTTATTTATTTTCATTGTTTTTGCGTGCATACCGCCCGGTGCGCGATCAATGTCCAGAATGGGAAAGACAAAGAAATGCCGCGCCATAAATGAAATTTTAATTGGATCAGACCCTGAATGAGAATTTGTTCGACAAAAAAGGAAAGAGAAGAAGAACTGAACCTCAGGAAACGCGGGAAAACGAATGGAGCCGTTTATGGTCCGGAAAGAGCAAAAAATAAAATTTAAAAACGCTGCCCACGTATTATATTTTCAGAGATACCCGGATCGAAAGGCGTCCATCTCTGACCCCCGGATGACCGAAGCCGACCGGCTTTGCTCGCTTATCCCGCTTATGGCACTGCGCGAAATCGGGGCGAGGAGTGGGAGGGGCGGACTCTCCTCTCGGACTCCAAATAAGAGGGAGTGGATGTCTTCTTCCATTCGGCTCATCAAAGAACTCTTTGCTCAGCTCGGCCAAGTTCAATTTATCTGGGAACCGGCATTCGATCTGCCTTCCGATGGGTAATTTGAATACGGAGTTCCGGGAAAGGGAAGGGGGCAGGTGGTGTGGGACAGCTGTTGCTCGGCCACTTTCCGGCGACATGAATGGTGAGATCGGGTATGTATTGTATCCCCAAGAGGTGGAAATAACCCCAGTCTGAATCATGTCGAGGCCTCCGGTCTCTCGAAGAGCACGTTCCCACAAAAGGAAAACGAATTCCACAAATTGGGAATGACAGGGCGACGCTACATGCAGCCGATATGTATAATATATTTATTCGTCCAATAGTTACATTATGAGGAAACGTTAGGGATCAACCTTTCTGAATATGAATCAAATTCGCGACAACAGAGAATGTAAATACATTACATTACATAACAAAGTCCTCAACTGTTGCACAGCTGTTGATAATGGAACTGTTGAGTGACCACAACAATATTAAATTAATCTGTTGGACTTCTGTAGCTCTTTTAATCTAATTTGTTTGCATCTAGGGTCTTTCATGTTACATTGCCATTGTTCTTCGGGATGGGGGAAGGGGTGACCGGCGTGTCTTTTGGATCTGACATGACTGGGATGAATTCCTTTCGTCTTCTTGATCCAAATACTGTCTATTACGTGTCTTTTCTGCTGTTCTATGGAAATCTGTTCGAGCAGGAGATGAGTCTTGTTTAATACCGTCATAATTGTATATCCGAAGTCTTCGGACCTAAAGTAATCTTTTTATTTATGTCTAGTGTAATATTGTTGTGTTCGTCTTGTCTCACCTGAACGCGCTATGATTGACCGGCACTTCGGCGAAGGCAGCGGGAGTGGAATGACATCCGGCCGAGCCTGTGATGATATATGTGGGGGCCACGGGATTGTCATAAGGATCGTCCGAGACATCGCTGGACTTATAGGCCGTCCGGTTGAAGATGGGATAGAACCTCTCGTAGGAATGCTCGTGACCCCAGAACGCGATATCCATCCCGTATTCGATAAACACATCCTCTAATCCTGGCATATCTTGGAATCCTTTCCGAATCTGATAGAAAGGGAAAATAAGTAAACAAGTGAGGAAAAGGAGGGATGTAGGGCATGGATATTAGAGTTCGATGGCTTACCAGGGAGTTTTCGAAGCTCGAACATTCGAAAGAATTGGAGTTGGAACAGTAGAAGGGACGATGCTGCCAGCTGACAATAAAAGGAACGTTCTCTCGATTGGCATTTGCTTTCTAAACTACGAATAGGAATTATGTCACACCTACCTTTAGGTCGTCTATTAGCCAGTTGTATTGAGTGAATACGGATTCCTGACCATATTCGTAGAAGAATCCATAGAATTCGGTGCTGATCCCAATAAAATGGACTGGTCCTAGATCAAAACTAACATAATGTCACCATGATATATTAGACATATATACCTGTAAAACTGATTATCTCCGAAAGGATCATTTGGCATGTCAAATCTGTATCTGTAGTTGCTGAAATTAAACTTGTCATCTTCATGGTTTCCGGCAATTACAATATACGGAACATGGGCGACTGCTGGCTCCAATCCCCGCATAAATTCGTCTCCAACATATCCAGAATTGGTATGGAGATCGTAGGCAATATCCCCGACATGAACCAGTATATCATAGAGTCCTTGTTGGGCATCTTGAATTAGATAAGGCAGGGAATCTCCTTTGAAGACACCCAAGTCGCCCATAATACACATCCTATATGGGAAGTCATTGCCTTCGGGGAATGTGGTGAAGTTGAAACTTTGTGCCTGAGGGTACCATTCTTCAACTGATCCAACTTTGTACCCTTCAGTGGGAAAATATATTCGTAACCATAATATTACTTTACAATTTGTAATCACTTACTAACATTTGTCTTAGGTGGCAAATTTTTAAGTTCGGCAGTGTAGATGTACCTTACAACATTATCGTAGACAAACTTCTTGACTGTAGCGGGTTCCACTCGGTTCAAGATCCCATCGTCAAAACTATACAACACTGACGGAGCACTTAGAACATCGTGTAAGGTAACAAACTGCACTTTCATACTGGTGGGATCGTCTGCCAGCGATAAATGCACTTGCTCAGGGATTAGCGACATTACCCTTCCGATAAATAACCAAAAAAAACCTGGGACGACCAGGCTCGTCATGGCTTTACCCTACTAAAAGAAAACAATGTTACAGTGATTTTGATTTTTTTCACGCTCATTTGTAAAATAGAAGTTAAAGTAGATGAATGAAGATCGGGGCTGCTGGGTCGCTCATTTACATAAGTTTATCATAAAAAATCATTTTTTGAATTCAAAAATGAAAATGGAATAATAAAGGCACTTTTTCAAGGAGCCTTTAATTGAAATGGATAACATAAAAGGGTGTAAAGCGATTGAATAACACCCAGCTATTTCTTCAGCCCAACTCTTACAGTTTTTTCACCATGAATAATATTGGGAAGCCAGGTGCTTGGAACGTTTTGTCAAATTTTTTAATGAAAACGAACAAATGTGTGATCAGATACGCGAATTTACCCGGAACGACCCCTTCTCGCCCCAACAACAGCTCCATGTGAAAACTTTTTATTTTTTTCACTCAAAATCACAAAAAAAGACCTCGCGCGATGTTAGAAAAATGGTAAAACAAGGATTTCTGCACTGGGAGAATTTTATATAAATGAGTGGATATGTTGGCATTCAGCGCCATACGACAACAACGGAATGACGGTGGATAAAAGTCTGTTATAAATATGAGAATACCTAGAAGCCCGCATCGTTATTAAGATTATTATTTGTCCTCAGGCACTGGCGCGTTCCTGTTTCGAATTCTGATCCCGAAACCAAACACTCAATGGCTGGAAGTTTTTATCCATCCATTTCTTGTTTGTTTGGAGGATCTCGAGTCTCTGTTTGAACGCGTCCACATTCCGGGTGCTGCGTTCGTTCTGAGCCATGAATTTGGTGACCTGAAAAGCGGGGTATGTGTCGGATAAAGCATGATTATGATTATGTATTGAGTAAAGCCTCTTACTTGTTCGATGACTCGACTCGATGTGCCTCCAAGAGCTGCTTCGACCATACTTTTCAGTAGTGATGGTTGGTCTTTGAAACTAAAGTAATGTAATGCAAGTGGGCTCTTTGATGTCTTACTCTCTATAGATCTGACTCCAGTGATCCATAAAGTAATCCATGGCTATTTGTTGGCCTAATGGTGATGTTGAGGCGACTCCATCGAAGACAGTGGACTTGTCTTGCATTCTGATCAGAGTACTGTTGAAATTGGTTGTAATTCGGAGAAGTCTGAATAACAATAGTAATACGTAGTATTGACGTCAAACTTACTTTTTGAGTATGTGGGTGTCTCTAGAGCATGTCAAAGCGATCATCAGTCGTTCTCTTTCTACTTGAACACTCTCTTTTTCATATAAAGATAACATTTTATCCCAATCGGTCTCTGATCCTGATCGTACCCCCTCACAATAGACTAGACCTCTTAATGGAACAGGTACTCTACTGCATTTACTGCTCATTGTATCAGCATTCTGACATGGATAGACAAAGTCATTGAAGTACATGTCCATCAGTTTCTTCACGCAGTTCTGATCTCTATTTCTGCACATTCTGTTGATAATGGAAGTGTCCAACAAGGTATCAAAGAACTTGTCATCATCCAGATAAGTCGTGTTCAAATTCTCAAAAGAAATATTGTCATACAACCCCTTGATAAGTCCTTTGATGTAATCTCTAACATAGTCTGCTTCGGGTTCGTCTCCGAAGTAATATTCGATGGATTCCAGACCGGCCATGGCCATAGACCAAGGCAGATATTCGGTCTCTTTCTGTAGATAGATGGTCAGGTTCAAAGCTGCTTGATAAGGAACTCGGCCAGCTTGAGCCAAGGTGAAGGTGTCGTCGATGATACGGGCTCGCGATTTGACTCCGATCTTGGTGTGTTCAGATAAAAGCTGTCGATTGATACTTTCAAGAGTGTTCTTGGAGTACTGTACTCGATAGAATCCCTTAGAATCTGAGTTCACAATCAAAGGAGTGTCCTCGGGGACTTCGAGAACTTGATTCTCGTGAAGCCAGAGCATTTCTTTCTCGGTTCCATTAATCGTGTACCAAAGGGGGATGTCCCATTTGTACCAATATTTGGCGTTCCTGAATCTCGGCTTCTCCAATGCGCTTTCATCCATTTTAAAGCGTTTTTGTGTGAGTTCAACCTTGTTTTCGTCAATCCTCTTCACCTCGATTACTGGATATCCCATTTGGCGAGTCCAGAGTTTGGCAAAATCATCAACATCGAATTTGTCACCCGCCCAATCAGTCAGTGAATCAGGCACGGCTTCCGAGAGGGCTTGCCAGAGATCTTTATGCTCCGCATTCTTGAATTTGAATCGGTTCAAGTAGATCTGCAAGATGGTTATTTTGTATTATAGACTTCTCTGCTTACCGTAACACCCTTCTTGAAGTATTTCTCTCCCATAACATTCCTCAGCATCCTCAAAACAGACGCCCCTTTATCGTAAGTGATGGCATCGAATGCTTCACTGACGTCTTCGGCCTTGCTGATGTCGAAGAACAAAGGATGAGACGTCGCACGAGCATCACGATCAAAGGCACTTGAAAGGGCGTCGTTAACAAAATATTCATCCATTTTGAGTTTGTTATCACTGATGGCAGCAGTTCCGATATACTCCATAAGAGTAGCGAAGCCTTCGTTAAGCCAGAGATCCGACCACCATTTCATTGTCACCAGGTTTCCGAACCACTAAATATCATCATTAAAAACTATTGTCAGTACCATTTGGTGCAACAGATAAATAAATCAGAAAAAGTGCCCAACCTGATGAGCAAGTTCATGAGCGACGACTGTGGCAACATGGACTTTCTGCAGAGCCGAGTAGAGTGACGGAGTGTAAAGTAAATATTTTTCCCTGTAGGTAACCAATCCCCAGTTCTCCATGGCCCCGGCCGCAAAGTCTGGGAAGGCCATCATGTCTTGCTTGGCCAATGGGAATGGGATTCCATAGTAATCCTCGTAGAATTCGAGACATTTGATTCCTGCCTGGAGGGCATATTGGGTCTCATTCAAGGCTTCTTTGCGAGCCCAGATACGGAACTGAAAAAAATCATGAATGGAAAAAAGGATTAAGTTTGCACAAGGCAGAAAAACATTTTGAGATTAAAACCTACCCTGACATTGTTCTTGGTGTGACCTTCCACGAACTCGAAATCAGAAACAACCAAGGCTAGGAGATACGAGGACATGGGCAAGGTCTCTTCGAACGTGGTCAAGAGCCAATCGGGGTCATTACTAAAATTCGAGGCAATTTTAGAAATTAAGTTGTAATTCATTGATTATGATGACATTACTTACGTTGGCTCGTCTTCCTTGATCTCAAGAGCATTGCTGACAGCTCTCGATCCAACAGGATGGATAACTCGTAATCTCCAGACAGCCTTAAAGGCAGGTTCATCGAAGCACGGTGCGAATCTTCTGGCATCCGTTGGCTCCATTTGAGTGACAGCGGCATATCTAAATCAATATGTAAAACTGATGTTTCGCATTTTTAACTGTGGTTTAATAAGCTTCGTAATGTTCAGAAATAAGGTTGGTAGTTGATTTCGTATGTTTATTCACTGTGCTCACCTTTGTCGTCCATTGGGGTCCGTGTATTGCGTCAAATATAAACCGGAAAGTTTGGAGTCAATAGGCCCGGAATAGGGTAGCTGCAAAAAACAAATAAATCAACTGTTTTACGATCCCTAAACATAGTAAATGCGCTCGGTAAACAGTAAAGGTAATTGGTTTGTAATTACTCACCAGAAAATAGTATTCCTGACCCTGCTGTAATTGGGCGTCCAAGTCGAAGACAACTTTTTGCAGGGTCTCGTTGACTCGGATGGCTGTTACTTTGATCCCCGAATCAACTCGGCCTTGAGCTGATGGAGTCTGAAATTATAGTCTTAGACTTCGAATTACTTTACAATTAAGTCCGCAAGATGGCTACCTACCTCACTCTCTGAACTCAGCTCTTCTGAAGTTACCTCACTTGAAACTTGACGAGTTCCATTGGAAGATACGATTAAAGCGCTGCCGGTTGAATTGGTGGCTGCTCTTCTTGCTCGCTAAAAAAATCAATTCAATATTCAAAAAAAAAACGCATCCGTAAATAATCAAACTAAAATAAAATACCTTTGGATCAATCTGCAGTTGATACAAATCAGTTTTGGTTAAAAAGTTGAGAGCATGCGAGTTAAGTTCGATCCTATTAGTAGGATTGTTGACCTTAAACTTGATGATCATGGCTCCATCGAATGTCAGATTCTTCTCTGGTGTGATTGGAACAAACCCAGGGACGTAGACCTTCACACTGAGGTTATACCAGACTGGAATCAGGTCCTGGACTAGCCTCAACTCTTCGGCTGTTGGCTCTGGTCCGGCATCTTCGGAGGTCTCTTCTGGAAGGAGATCCGGAACCTCATGAGGTTTGAAATGAACTCTGAAACAATTGTGATGACAATTCTAACCAAAAAAATAGATAAAAATAAGAGCAGTGTGAATACTAAATTTTGCTTACATATCGAATTCATCTGAGTAATGTGAATTTTTACTGGAACCCGTCCGATTATACGACGCCGTCCGGCTTAGGCTCTCCTTTGTGACTGTGTAGGTGATCAAAATGGCAAGAATAACAGCAGCGACCGTCAATATCAGACCTGCTAGCAGCTGGGATTTGCTGAGTTCGACTTTATCCTTGGGCTTGGCGTCTTTCTTGATGGGACTGGCGCCCCCGCCCGCCTCAACTCGGGCACTCATTCCCCGGGTCCCGTTTTGGATGTTGGGATCCTGGAAGTCAAGAAATATAAAGCTTTAGACTTGTGCTTATATTATACATACATGACATTAAAATCTGAAGGAAATACCGTAAAAAAAACATTACATAAAGAAGCAATTGGTATGGATTGATCTCAATGTCGCGCAAGGTAAAATTTACTGAATATGACTGAAATCTAAGCCCACAAAAAGCACGAATGGGATTAAATGCTTGCAAACAGAAGTGAAATCAAACTATTTTGTTTGACTGTAACTTCCATCCCCCCTCCAGCCTCACGCCAAAACCACAAAAAAAAGTTTTGCCCCAGATCAAACACACAAAAGGGAGTCTAATGTTGATCTAAACAGATCGAAACCCGTGTTCAATAACTTGGAAACGGGAATCGAGTCAGCCGAACGCCCTCAGGGGCTCCGTTCAAGGACATCTCGGCACAACCACGCACATCGACGGTACTTGCTTTGCCTCTCGAAAATGAGAACATGCCGCAGGCAACGAGTCGTTTGGTGGGTCGGGTTTTTCGTTCGGTCAACTCGCTCCCCACCTCAAACAACCCCATTTGCAAGGACACACTGGCCAAGAGCTGAGCAAACTCGAGGGTGCAAAGGTGTGGTCGCGCATTTAAAACTGGCCTCACACAAACTTCGGAAAAGGTTCGAAACGCGACTCTGAGGCCTTTGATTAGCCAGCTCTAGTCAAGTGAACGGCCACAACACCCCTCAAGCAGGGCTGCAATCTTATTATGAAAATCTAATCACAAACTCCCTCGCCACAGACAACAAGATTTGGATTTGATCTGGCTACAAATCCCCCAAGATATCCGATATAAGGACAACGGAAAGTGGGGGAGGGAGAGGCCAGAAGATTTAATCCAATTGTTACGCAATAAATGTGACACAATTTTTGACGTAGACAAGACCTTTTAAATTTACAACACTGTAAAATGCTAGAAAACAAGCGAGGTTCGTTCGTTTTATACCCTCAGGTCATCAGCTAACGATCTTTTCGGATGTGACGCACTTCCGAAAATCGTACAGCCCCACCGGCTAACAAGCGGGGATAGCAATGTTTTCGCCCATAAGCGCTTACTCAAGTACAAATTGCAGGCAGAGCAATCCCCCGTTGCCTACCCACATGACCTTAAACGCCTTCAACTAGGCTGTTGGCCTAAGGGATGAGCTCTTACTTTCTTTTTTCTGGCCAGAGTGCATCCCAATTGGATGGCCAAGGCATTTCGGTAGTCTCGTAGTTCAGAGGATTCGTCGGCTGCTTGGAAGTTGAGATCTCCGTTGAGCGAGCTGTTGGAGCTGGTGGGTGTGGATGACATCTCGCGGAGGTCGAGATGGGTCGAGTTGGGGCGAGTTCTGATCATATCTCTTGATTTTTCCCAGAAATCCCTTAAGGCCATTTGAAGGGCCAAAGAGGTCGGTCGTTGGGAAGTAGTTTCATCTGGATCATCGACTGAATTCATCGACGGAAAAGGCCGTTGGCTTCAGGGCAGCTTCGATTACTCAGCGTAGATTGATGACGTGATCAATATTTGATCGAATATTGTATATTTTGAGTAATATTAATCACGTCGTTAGCTGATAACTGTTGAAGCGGCCAGCCGGGGTTTCGAGCCAAGCGGATAATATTCAAAGCCCACTGACAAACAGAGGGCGTCTTAAGCGTTCCCGAACAGCGGACAGTCTCGCGCGCGCGGTCGCCCTAAGGGCCCGGTGAAGATTACTGACTTACTGCCCGCCTCTCGCAATACCTCATTTTCATTTTCTCGCCTCTCTGACCATTTCCGTCGCCACTTTTTCTAATTGTTTTAACCCCAATCAACCAATTCCCGCTCATTAATCATAAAATGTCCATTCGATGTAATTGTAATCTCGGTCAGACTTGTTTTGATCCATTCCAAGGGAAGTTTTGATTACCAAAATGGTGTAAAAAAGTAAACAAAGTATCATTGAGCCGTGTAAGCTAAGAAAGGGAGGAAAACGTGAGGAAGATGGGGACACAAATTATGACATCAGGAAGTTTGGGGTTGAATTGACAATTGGAATAAAGTCTGGGACAGAAATAACTGCAAAAACAGGAGTTTTGGACCATAGATAATATAATAAATTCATCCAAAGACAGAAAATAGAAGCTGAAAAAATGATGACTTAAAATAACAATGACATCATCTTCAAGAAACGTAACAGTCGCTTAAGAAGGCTTAATTGTCCTCTCTGTCTACTTTAATTTAACACCCCACATTTGCAGCGACCTGGATCCCTCAAATAACTCCAATTATCGCAACTTTTGCACTCTTCCCCCTCCCTTTTCTCTTCCGTTTCCGAGGCGATTTGGAGCGGATTCAGGAGACGCTGAAGCCGGCTAAAGTGTCAAAAGTAAGTGGTTACGGTAATTTGAGGGATAGCATTAAGTGACTCCCGGAAATGGGAAAAAGTAATTATTTACTCTAAAGGGAAATTAAAACATTTATCGGGAATAACGGTAGAGGAAATGATCTTTTTTTGAACGAAGACAAAGGAGAACAGATTTAAGACCAATGTTACAAAATGTAAATTTAGGCTTGTTCTGGTCCGCATACAAAAATTTACCCGAATGTGATGGAGTCTTTTATCCATTCCAGAAAACCCCATGATTATCTCATCACAATTCCCCCGTTAACGAGATTTCAATGTCATGCTGAGCGTTTTTCACTCAGAATTAATGTAAAACGGCTAAAAACGATCTTCGTTCAAGGTGAGCGATCGAGTAAAGTAATTAAAGGAACGGAGAAAATTTAATGAGTAATCAAAACAATTAATTTCTCTCGGAACGAGATCTCGACTTACCCGCAGATGAGATGCCCCAGGTCCGGCAATGTCCTGCGCGCGGTTCTTGGTGTAGTCGGTCATGGCGATGAGGCCACGGCGGTCGCCCAGATCGATCTCCTCCAGGGTAGCGATCGACTGTTCACCGAAGAGTCGCCCAAACTGAAAAAGGAGAGCGGAATTGTGAAGGTGAAGGTGCGCGGGGCGGAGAATGACAACGAGAAGACTACTGATCTGATTGCGGGGGGTTCGGTCGAACGGCGGGCGAAAGATCGGCTTTCGGCCTCTGGAGACAAAGGAACCCGACCCCCCGGGGCCTTCCCCCTATTCTCCGGCTGACATGATAACAATGGACAGTCCGAGGATATTATACCACCAACTTGTACGCGCCGTCACCTTCCGCTCTTCCCCAGAAGTGCCCCTTAAACAGTTACTTCAAACAGTAATGCCCCCCTACCTAGAGCAAATCTCGGATTGAGAGGTTAGGCGGCTTTGCATAATTCTGAGAAAATTTTTTGAATTCATGTGACTTCAGGTCTCAAATCCTCAACTTCAGACCAAAAGAAAACAAAACAGGTCTACGCGAGGAAAAATTTTAAAAAATTTACACTCATTATGTTGATTTAATTCTATGTGGCCGTTGTAACAAAAGCAGAAAAGGTTTATGCAAACGACATTTTATACGGAAAAATAAAAGAGAAAAGGGATCAACCGTAATGTAGTAGTCTCCTCAAATATTTTACTGTGCCAGAAATATGGAAATTCAAGTCATCAAAAAAAAAAAAAAATCCCTAGAAAGGAACTTTGCATAGAAATAGCCTCAAGGAATGTTCTTTTGTATGGTAGGAAAAAAGTTTAATCCCCAAGGCTTTTAGACGATCGGGGCAAACTTATCGTGCCTGTTAGATCACACTAGGATTTTTGAATTTATAGTAAAAATTTGGAAAAATGTGAATAGAAAATTTCGGGAACTCTTGTCCAAAAAACCTGCCAAAACCCCCAGAAAATTTCTTATGAAGAAGAAAGATATCAAATATGGCCTTAACAACCCAATGAAAGTGTCTTATGCATTTCTAATCATTTACTTTCCCTAAAATATTGTAAAATTATATGATCGATCAACTTGATGGCAGATAAACCAAGAACGTCATCTTCTGGCTTTTGGCCGATCTCCAGTAAATCTGATTAGATGGAAGAGTTTAAATCGCCTCCGAATCTTGAGTTCCGCCTCCAAAAAAGTTTTTTTCCTTTTAACGGTGTCGTAAAAACGCATGTGGAAACGTTGACGAATCGCCTTTAGCTCCCTTGGAGCATATTTATGAAAGGTTCGGGGTCACGGCGGGCACAAAAAGGGGTGGGGAGACCTAGAAGCTCCGATGACCTATGACAAAAAACAAGTCTTTTTTCCGCCAACAATATTAATTACCAAAATCAAGATGTCAAGTGGATATTTATATATATTATAAATACAATCTGGAAACGAGTCACATCAGTGGAATTGGCAAAAAAAGTATTTTTTGAGGGAAGAATAAAGTCTTATGCAGTAATTGAAAAGACCCACCTTTAACTTCCTCAGCGTCCTCAACAAAGGTCCCGGTGTTCTCCTCACGTGAACATCGGCCATGGACTCTGAACTGCTCGAAGTTGGAGACCCCACCTCCTCTAATGTAAAGGGCTCGTCTTCCTCCATCACCTGAAAAGATCCTATTCATCAGCCCTCTAAAGAACGGTAATTGTTTTAAGAAATGGCTTCAATCGCCTAAAGCGATGTTATTTCTTAAGGCGTTCCCGGTGACAAAACCCTAGAGGAAATTACAAAAGGCCTAACAAGTACAAAAAATGGGGTTGGGTGTCAGTTCGAGGGTTAAAGAAAATGGTGAAAAGTCAAAAGGGAAAGAAATTTGCATACGATACTCCTGGAAGTGTAAAGATCTTAATTTTATTTTATTTTCTCTGAATCCAAGAACAGCGGTCGATATTTTGCGAGATTTGTGATCGATCTGATCCCTAAAGACCAAAACCGACAACCGTGAGTCAGAGAAAGCAAGGAGATGAGTGCGGAAAGTGTTATCCGCGAATCTGTCGAATTCCCTCCGGGCAAAATCATCAGTGGTCGATGGAAAATTATAAGTCAAATCGGGCATGGGGGATGTGCAATCGTCTATCAAGTACAAGATGTGAATCAGGTCAATCTGAAGGCGGCGTTGAAGGTGGAGAGTAATTATATTGACAATGGAGTCCTCAAGATGGAAGCTGATGTCCTCAAGAAGTTGGGAGATCGCAAATACACTATCAAGTTGCTACATTCTGGAAAAAGACAGGACTACAGGTGGGGTGTACTGTAGCAAGAGTTTAAAATTTCTTAAAATTTTTTTCAGTTTCCTTGTGCTAACATTATGTGGCCCTGATTTGGATCGTCTCCGTGAAAGGAGAAACACCCGCACCTTCTCCGAGAGCACTATTCTTCGGGTCGGAGTGCATTGTTTGTATGCGATCAAACAATTGCATGAGATCGGATATGTTCATAGAGATATCAAACCAAGTAATATGGTGATCGGCGCCGAGGAAACAGATCGAAGACTCATTTATCTCATCGATTATGGGATGGTGCGGGCTTATGCCGTTCAAGTGGCTGGAAAATGGAAATTCAAGAAGCCTAGATACGATGTAAGAAAAAGTATTTTCAAAAAATTATGTCATCTTTCTTTTGGTATTATGTACTACAATTTGTAAGAAATGTTTTCTATCATTTCCTATCAAATTTACTGTCTTAGGTTAAGTTGTATATTCTTAAAACCGTATTTTAGGTTGCGCTTCGAGGGACAATCAGATACTGTTCAGTAAACGTTCATCGGAAGAAAGAACAAGGCCGAGTAGATGATCTATGGTCCCTTGTTTATCTCTTGGCCGAATTACAAGGACCTCTACCCTGGTATAAATGCAAAAGCACCCTTCGATTGCCTGCACTGAAAGAGGAATTCGATGACGAAAAAAATAAATCATTGAAGAATCTAGAATGCCTCCGGGAAATTGCGAGCCATCTGAGGAGTTGTTCATTTGCAGATCGGCCCAACTACATGCTCGTCTATCTGGCGGTAAGGGGGTTTGCCTGAGGTAATGCGATCTTAGCTAATGAGACAAATCCGGGCCAAAGGATTCAGATTCAAAGACCCTTATGATTGGGAAAAGGATGACCATGACTTTGGGGCCAGCAATTTCTCCGAATCTTCTAATTCGGAAGGTGCAAGTAAAGCGGAGAAGGAGCCTTCGGTTGAGACCAACAGAGGTATGAAGGTCATAGTGATGCAATGCAGGGTACGGCAATTTTGTAACCCAATTTAATTAGCTACAAAACTTATTTTTGTTTCATACCAAATATGTTATATTAAAAATCCGGTTTTAGACCTTAGTTTGGCCATAACTCTTGACACTTTTCGACTTGCCCATCTTTTTGGCATATTTGGAAGGCCTTACTTTGAAGCCATACCTGTCTCTTCAACTGCTCCTGAGAGTCAACCGAGATTCAAGGTTTTTTGACTTTTACCGTAAACATAACGGAATTCATGAATTCTTATGACAGATTTGGTATTGAACAAAAATGTAGATTTTGGCCAACAAATAAAAAGGTTCTAGCCAATTTAAATTGGGCTACCAAATAACCGCACCCTGCATTATTTTAATATAATATTATTATTGTTTAGAGGAAAGAACTCAAGATTGTCATACACCTCCAAGAGGTTCCGATGAATCCGTAGAACCACCGGTAGTCGTTCAAAAACCTATATTGCTATCTCTTCCAGAAACAGCAGAGTCCAGAGAAGATGAAGCTCTGTTTCCGACCATAAGATCTTCCAACTTTGAACAAAACCCAGGAGACGTCCCAACTCATACCTTCCCGGAAGAGAAAGAACACAAAGTATCCAAAAAAAGATCCAAGAAAATTCGACAGGGTTAGTTTCTACTCGGTGACAAAAGACGAATAAACGGTCGACGCTACATTTCAATCATTTTGTAAATTATGCAAAAAAAATAATAAAAATTAGTGAAAGATAAAAAGTTGCCTTGTAAGACCAGACACGCCTGAAAGTCGAGCCTGGCAATCTCCCGACCTTATCCTTCCCATCAGACGTCCCATAAAACACCCAATTACTGGCTTATATTTATACAAATCTTGTAATTCTCCTCCCAAAAAAGCCCCAAAATGCCTTTTCTGGCCTCACGTGCCCGCTCTAGACCTTCTCTCTTCCGCAGAACACAGACGGCTCTCTCCTCTCTTGGCGTTCGGCCCTTCTCCAGAATATAAAATAATGTACAAAGAGATGTTTTCGTTTATTGACAGACAGAATCAACAGGTTTAGTGGGGCCGAGAGGTAGTCGTACTCATCTTGGGGAACTCCTTGAGGTCCACCGGCTTGGGTGAGGGCATGGGTGGGAATTGAGGTGGGGCTGGCATGCTGCCCTGAGGGACTGATTGCGCTGGAGCTCGAGCCGGAGCCGGTGTTGATGGAGAAAGGGGAGGAGGAGGCCCCATTGCCGGTGGAGCCATCGGAGGAGACATCTTTGGAGGCATTGGCTGTTCCTCTCCTAAGGGGGAAGGGATTGGACCACCGCCATTGGTAAAGGGTGAGGAGATGTGGCCTTGGATCGGCTCTTGGTCTCCTCCTTTGTTACTTCCCCAAACCCATCCGGTGGCTACTGCTGGGTAGTAGAGGCTTGGAACGGCCTTAAATTCCGATTAATTCGACCCAAACACCACTTACATAAGGCGGGTATACAAGTTGTGCCAGGCCAGTTTGGAAGAGGAACACCAAAGAAAAAGAAAGAGACCTGAACATAATAATTACCGTAACCTAAGCAGAACTTACATTTTGGAGAACATGCTGATTGATTGATAATGAGCGCTGCCTCTTGACCTTTATATACTCCCCTCCCTGAGGCTTACGTGATGCTAAAAACAGCGTTATAACCGGTCCTGAGAAGCCCCTGCGCAAGCTCTCGGCGAATAAACAAATGGAAAACAAACAGTTTATTGTAGATATAACCTCAAAATTGAAAACTTGATTCCTCTTCCCGTAGTAGAGAACATTGGGGAGCACTTCTCTGATCGGATGCCCATTTATAATACCAATATAGCCGCCGGGCACAAAGGAATTCGTAAACTCGAAATAATCCTTGACTAGTAACAAAAATTACGAAACTCTAAAAGGTAATACCAACGAATGGTTGACTTACCCTACTATAAGGAACGGGTGTAGAGATGTATGTAATGAAGGAAATCAGCAAAAATAACCCTGATACCAAGATGTTCAACACCAGAACTATCAACAGAGGTAGAACCAATTTGTTTTTCTCGACAATAATTGACATCTGACCACCAGTTTTATTATTTTTGTTTTTACCTACTAGACTAAGAGCATCACATATTCCATGGAATATTGTAAACGACAAAAGAAGTGTAGATGCGCAGTTGTCAACTCCCGGGTTTTTCAACAGAATATGTTTGTCACTTCGACATGTTCCAACCGTTTCATCGAATTCTGCATCGTCAACTTATCATCAAGGAAGAACTTACTGTACAAAAATAGATACAGTATTAGAACCAACTCTAATCCACATACAATAGCAATCACATTCCGAACATGAATACAAAATGATCTGTAAGAAGTGCCTGAGGAATCACGAGATCCAGATGAACATGAAAAACGATTAAACATGGACGAAACCAGTCCTCTTAGATGGAGTAACAGGTCTTAACAGAATGCAAAACGCCGGAAGGCGCTTTCACCCGGCACAATCCATTCAATTTAACAGAATTGCCCTCCCCCTCCCCATGAGACCAAATTTCAATTACACCACGAAGCGGGTATTTCCGATACCAGGCCCATTTCGAGCATCAATCAATCCGTAATTCAAAGTTGAACAAACTGTATTAAACATACACCGATGAAGATCATAACGAGAACCTGTATTATAGTTCATAAAAAAACAACAACACAACAAAAAATATTCATTTACTCTTCTGGGACTTCGAGTTCACCGCTGCGGATCTGTTCGACGACATCATGAGGGTGGTTTCCATCGATGGTGCACCCAACGGACTGGGCGGTACCTAAAAAACCACATTATTGAAATGACAAAAAGGACACAATTCTTACCGAGGATCTCCTTCACGGTTCCCTCAAGTTTCTTTGCCATGGATCGGGGTCTCATTGTGCGGGCAATCTTAAGAATCTGATCGAATGTCAAATCTCCACCGTGGCGCACTAAAAACAAAACATTTAATGAAAATTCAAACCTCCTTCATCTTCCCACCGATCGTTTCCACAAATCTGCTGCTTACCATTACAAAATGCAGCATGAGGATAAGACTAGCAGAACTCTGGACCGGAAATTCAGTCCAGAGAACTGTGGGATGAGGCCCTTGAGGCTCTCGACCCTAATTTTTCTCTATAACAAATGTTTTAGCCTAAGCCGCAACAGCCATTCTTCCAAAGAGCGTACCGTTCTTGACCTTCTTGCGGTCCCGAGGAGGCTCCTTCAATTCCTTAATGATCAGAGAGGCAGCTGAGGGAACAACATCGATCTTGGCAACACGGTTTTGGATGGTAAGCTTGCATGTAACTTTGAGTCCCTTCCAGTCTTGGGTAGCCTTGGCGATATCTTCACCGATCTTCTTTGGGGACAAACCGAGAGGACCAACTTTGGGGGCCAGAGCTGACGTGGCACCAACTTCACCTCCAACGCATCTCAGGTACACGATCTTGATCTCATTGGGGTCGAACTTTGGCGGCATAGTGAAGAAGGTAACACAAGCTAAAAAAACGATTTTGAAATAAATTGACCAAAATTAAATTCGCGGATAAGTCTCAATAGGACCTCAATAATTTAGAACGTTCCATTACTCAATCGCATATAAAAGTAACAAAACTGTAAAGATTTAGAAGGCCGCATAAAAATGCACGGTCAGAAAAAATATGGAAACACGTTTGAGTCAGTGAGATGGGCCACCAGTGCCTACAGTAAGACAATGCCAGGGAACTCGAATTTGTTTTCGTTGCGGGACTAGATAATTATCTTGATGCATCAAGCTTGATGTAGTATCTTTCATAGAAATCGAAATCACAAGGGGGTATTTTTTACCTTAATTACAAAATACAAAAAATCCGAGGAGCTGGCCTATCTTACACACATACGTAACACAAAATGAAAATAACATTAGAATTCCCAAAAAATGTAGAAGTACTCTTCTTTCTCTCTACATAGTAATATTATAAATTTAAAATGGTATGAAACGTTTTTCATGTGGTGTACTGCAGGTAGAACTTTGTTTAGTAATCAGCTTCTGTTTGATTGCGCCAGAGCAGACGAGCCACAAGACTTTTCGTATACCAATATTTCTGGCATTCTGCATCAAAGCTTTTTGAACGTTCGAATGCGACAAATTCCCGCCGAGCTTGCTACCTCGATTTTGTGTAATTTTCGGGTTTTGAAAACGGGATTATGTCTGCTGAAAACGAATTTGAGACGGAACAACTGCAATATCAGGTTCAGGTAAAGTACTATTATTTTTGGAACATTTTGTTTAGAACGCACCATACACTGAGGAAACTCCTGTTTTCATAGAACCAAATCGATCTCAATCTGTGTAAGTATGCCTAAATTCAGTACCTTACTTGATTATATTATTTTAGTCAATTCCGATCTCCAAGTCAATTCTTTCAACCTTCAACCTCTGCAAACTATTCTGTAAGGAAAGGCACGACGTTTGAAGCATGTGTAAGTTATATTACATATTTTATTCTCTCTTTAGGAGATAAAGTCTACAGTTCTCAAGCCTTCTCAATCGTACTATCAACTTGCAAGAAATTCCACGAGCAAGTCGACTTCAATCCTTGGTGGTCCGTTGAATCCACAACCAAAGAAAAGGTAGGACCTCTTACAGATTTTAGGTAACGTTTTTTCAGCAAAAAGGGTTCAGGAAAAAGGAAGAATTGTAATTGCACCAAGTCTCAGTGCCTAAAATTATATTGCGATTGCTTTGCAAATGGAGAATTCTGTTTGGATTGTAATTGTAAAGACTGTCATAATAACCTTGAGCACGAATCTGAACGGAGTAAAGCTATCAAGAGCTCGCTGGATCGGAATCCTCATGCATTCAAACCAAAAATTGGTAAGTAGTGGAGTATAATATCGAATTTCGGGTTTAGGTGTTGCTGCCAAGGTTGGGAAAGCTGCCGATTTGGAGAGATTACACCAAAAAGGATGTAATTGTAAGAAATCAAATTGCCTGAAGAACTACTGCGAATGTTATGAGGTATGCATTAAAAAATCTAATTCCTATATATTTTTTAGGCTAAAGTCCCTTGCACTGAGAGATGTAAATGTAACTCGTGTAAGAACACAGAACATGATCGAGCACTCCGTTTCCGAGAAAAGTTCAGTGCCGCAGGACTTGCTCAATTAGCGGCCGCTGCAGCCAATGATAATCGGGGAGACAGCCCGAGTGATGATGATTCTGATGGTGACAACGACGCCAACGATCCCAAAGGACAGCCTTGGTTTTACATGACCGACGATGTAATTGAAGCGACCACAATGTGCTTGGTCTCATATGCACAAGAAATGGAAAATACGATAACACAAAAATCCGAGGAAGACATCAAAGAAGAAATGGAGAGGGGAATCCTCATTGAGTTCTCACGATGCATCGGACAGATCGTAGAGAGCGCCAAAGGCGGACACAAGACTGTCAATCTATAAGTTTTACAATAAATTAAGTGTATATATCTTTGGGAAGGATAATATTTATTCGTTTTATAACAAAAAGTACAGTTATCTTTTGCGTAATCTAAAAAGTTTGTCAAAATACGGTTATATTAGATGAGCAGACTTCATGAGCTCTCCGGATTTGATCAAAAAATGTACAATGAGGTATGGTGTTATAATGGAAACTAGGCGGTTTAATAGTTTAGGCTTACAAGGTGGCAGTAAAGTCGCTTGAATGCAACGAAGTCCCGGTTGGTTGTGTATTTGTATATGATGGGATGATCATAGGTCGAGGTCATAACGACGTCAATCGGTAACTCACCTTCATATCATTTTCAAATACTCTAGAATGGCTAACCCAACTCTGCACGCAGAAATGAAAGCAGTGGAAGAGGTTACAAGATGGTGCCAAGAGAATCAAAAAGATGCAAGAACAGTAAGGAGAACGCACGCTGTTTCTTTCTTGCAGGTGTTCAGTGAATCTGATGTATACGTAAATCTCGAGCCGTGTTGTATGTGTTCATCAGCACTGTATCAACTGAAAGTGAAGAGAGTTGTCTTCGGAGCGCCGAATGAAAGGTTCGGGGGGATGGGGAGTGTAATGTCCAATGAGGACTTCAAACATGAAGCCCAGATTGAGGTCATACGAAATGTGGATATGGATCGATCAATTCAATTATTGCGCGATTTTTACAAACAGGAGAACCCATTTGCCCCCGAGGAAAAAAGAAAAACGAGGAATAAATTGGCCGCCAAAGAAGAGCTCTCAAAGTAATTACCGTGGAATGTGTTTATTCATTGTTTTAATTACCAAAAACAATATCAAACACTTCCTCCATTTCGTTGTTGTATTGTTCCACGTCTTTTAGAGCGTCAACTTTGTTCATAAGAGGGTCGTATTTGGTCCTAATCTCGTTCTTCTCCTTGTCCTTGGCCGTCTTATGATTTTTGTTCATATCTCTTGTCTTCAAAATGGAAAACTTCTTCTTGGCTCTCAATAACAGCAGAATGATATATTGGTAATTGGGTTGATCCATTCGAGATAACGTGTGTAAGTAGGCCTGGAATCAAGTTGAAGATATTATGTGAATTACTTACATATATCTGGTAGAATTCATTAGGGAGATCTCTAAGTATGAGATTAGCAGGAAGATGAGGGGACTTCATCAAGTGTCTGAGACGTTCATTCTTCTCGTATTCAGCCCAAGGTAAGCAATTCAAGTCATCGTTGTGGTAGAATAACTCGGTCAAGGTGTACATCCATCCCATCAAATCATCAACTCGGCCCTTAACATTCAAGGGACTGTTTGTGTCAAGATAAGGCGCAGGTAGTATGGAATTCCGTTTCGGATAATATTAGGGCTTAATTTCCTGCGGTAATGGGGATACTGTAACGGCATGGACTCGGGAAAGACTTAACAAATATAAATATAAGATAGTGTAGGTTGTGAGACCTGTAGGGCAAACGATGGCATAGATTTCAAAAATCTAATATATTTTTTCTGATTTTTACTTTTTTTCATAAGCAGTACTGTAAAGTAGTAATTTCTAATTGCTATATATAATTTACAGTACTATTTACTTGTTAAGACAAACAAGCAAAAATTAGAAAAAATGAATTGTATTTTCTAAGTCATCGCGGTCGATTACCCTGCACCCCTCTAGGTCTTACTGACATCAGCTTCGTTAGAAGAATCTTTTTTTGCGGACCTTTTTGACTGGCGGGCCTTTTTTCCGCAATCCATGCTACTGGCGGCCTGCTTTGGCTCAGTCGCTTGAATGTTAAGTCGGCTTTATTTACTTCTTTGTCATCCATTGTAGCTTTACCTGTTCCATTCCTCTTTCGCAATTTCCACTAGCCCATTCGTTTGTTCCTCTAACACATACTCGGGATCTTGTTGATCTGATATTTCCATCAACATCGGTTATTATTCTGGCCAACCCAAAGTCCAAAAGAACAGCTGTCTTTCCATTTCTGAAGCCTACGTTCTCTGCCTTGATATCTCGATGTAAGATGCCCAAACAATGCATATTATAGAGACCCTTAATGCAGATATAGCACTGCATTACAGTATACCGCTTACATTTAACATCTGAAGAGCCAACTCACATCCACATATCAGATAATCGTATCCCTTATATTGAGAGATAAAGCTAACAAGATTCCCCGGCAGAAACTCCATGACCACATAGTAGACTTCTTTGATAATTCCATCTACTACAAGGTTGATAGTGCCATTGGTATAGATCCGGCAGAGATGGCGAGAGCGTTCCTGCGGTTGTTTGTCGATAAACAATTTCATGACGGAGGTTTCGAGACTTAGAATTCTGTTGGAGTTTAATGCCACCTAAAGATTGATTTCTTCGATGCAGGATGACCATTACTTTTAGGCAGGCGGGAGTTTTGGACTTGACATGCTGCACTGCAAATGTTGCTCCGTATCCTCCTAAACAATAGACATAGTAACGAGTAGATATCTAACCGGAGGCGATGGCTTTTAAAACTTTGAAATCGTCGATTACTTTCCCCGATAGTAATTCTTTGATCTGATCTACTTCTCCAGCTAGATCATCGGCCATTTCTCAAAGAACAATTGTATAAATGATGAAAATTTTAATTTAAATTGTTTTATACAGGGTCTTACAAAAAACGTGAAGGAAAGTGGAAGGCTATAACTTCCGGCGGAGGCGGCGCAGAGACTTTGTATTTGAAATGTGTATTTTTAAAAGACATAAGTTTTTGTCTACGAAATAACAAGCTTTTAAAGTGCAAACTGAGTTCGCTACGACCTTCTGAAGTAGAGGCATCTCTACCCCGAAAACCAGGTTTTTTCGGTTGAAAATGATCGAGAAATTTCGGACTTTTTCGGTTGAAAATCACCAGGAAATGTTGGATTTTTTGGGGGTTTGGTAAATGATTTTTTTCTTTTTATTTGAGTTTTTGCATAATTTGCAAGTGTTGGCACTTTCCTCCTCTTTTTCAACATCACCCATATCGAAACCCCCCAAAAAATCCAACATTTCCTGGTGATTTTCAACCGAAAAAGTCCGAAATTTCTCGATCATTTTCAACCGAAAAAGCCTGGTTTTCGGGGTAGAGATGCCTCTACTTCAGAAGGTCGTAGCGACCTCAGTTTGCACTTTAAAAGCTTGTTATTTCGTAGACAAAAACTTATGTCTTTTAAAAATACATATTTCAAATACGAAGTCTCTGCGCCGCCTCCGCCGGAAGTTATAGCCTTCCACTTTCCTTCACGTTTTTTGTAAGACCCTGTAGTTATGAATAAATTATATTTTTCCAACAATAAAGTACATGACGATAGTCAATAACAAGGTATATTACAGATACAATGCCTGAGATGAGGTGTTCTTAGAGTCGATGGGAGGTTATAACTGTCTGTAGGCATAGCAGGAGACCTTTTCCTGTGTCTCTTGGCAGAATAATTCTGTATTCGTGACATAACTGAAGTCACTTGCTGAACAGATCACATCAAATCGACCGCCGAACTTGGACTCAGCAGCCAATTGGATAAGCCTTTTGGAGGAGTTGAGGTCATCGCTCATGTTGCTCTTGACGATCTGACGGAGATCTTCGTTGTTGCACTCAGTGTCATTAGTCAAGGTCAATTGCGAGATGTCAATTGGAGCATTGGGTTCTGGGGCGATACTAAGGGTAGTGTTCTGCTTGGATTCGATGGTTGAGTCTTCCTCCTTGAAAGGAAAATTATATTGAATTCATTCGCAAGTACTCTAAGAAGTCATACGAACTCTGCTTACCTCTGCAACCTCCTCCAATCGACCTCCAGAAGCGGCAGCAGCGGCTACACTGCCATATTCTTGTGGGATGGAAGCTGGAAGGACTTGAGCGCTTACAGGAGAGTACTGTGGAGGTTCATTGTTTCCGGCATTGTATCCAGCTTGAGGAGCAGAATACGATCCTCCAACGGCCGGAGCTTGGTAGGAAGACCTGACTGGAGCCGGGGCTTGATAACTGCTGGATTGATAACTAGCCACAGGAGCTGGTTGGTAGCTAACCGCTGGAGCTGCTTGGTAACCTCCGGCTGGAGCCGCCTGATACGAAACAGGCTGAGAGTACCCAATAGGACCAGAAGAATATCGGCCAACTGGTTGTTGGACATACGATGAAGGAGCGGGAGCAGGTCCAACATAAGAGGCTGGAGCGGAATAAGAAGCGGGAGCTGAGTATGAAGAACCGTAACTGGACCCTCCGTAACTGGCAGCACCATAACTCGAGCCACCGCAGCCACCACACGAAGCTGTAGGCAAAAATTATGAGTGATTGTATCATTGTATAGTATATACTGAATTTAGAAATACAAGCAAAAAGTATCAATTTGATTTAAAACAATCGCTTTGATACAATAAAGTTTTGATATACCTGCTGGTGTGCAAGCTGGCTGAGGACAACATCCACAACCTCCACCGCCACCACCCAAATTAAAGAAAAGACCCAAGGCTGTGGCCGGGAAGAAGAGGGCGATCAGCAGAAACCTCATGTTGTCTTAACAAGTGCTGAAAAAAGAGACAAAACTAATTGCGGCAGAGATGGGGATAAACAATTTAAAGCGCCATTCCACCGCCCTTCGAGAATCCCGAGAACCCGTTTCCGACTCAAAGGAGGCCTACGGGATCATCGCCCCAGGCTTCTTTGGATCCGATTGTGTTGTTCACGCCGGTCGCTTCTTCTACCGGTTCCAGTGCCATCTTCATCTCGTCATACGATCCTCCCATTACTCGGTATTAACTCCCCGAAAAGAAAGTAAATGTCAGTTTAATGTTGGATGAATGAACGTCAGTCTATTTCAAGATAATGTGCCGTTGGAAAATCGTCGAATCCGTCGCGAAACCGAAGCGACTCGTCAGGCTGGACTGGGCGGGGCCGACTACCGTAACCTGAATCAAGTTCAACGGGATTAGAAAGTCAATCAAACAAGTAATTAACAAGTATGATTACTTAACTGATAAATAACACTTACAAAACAGGTTTGTCGAGGCTCCAGATGAAAATTGCTATCGGAAACCTCGATCTTCTCCGGATTCGAGTTCTTTTCCATGCTTCCGATTACAATTCTCTCGCTTTTGTTTTGCAAAAATATACTGTAGATATCATCGCTCATTTTCTTGACATCTATCTCAATCTCCGGTGATTCTTTGGGCAGTAATGGTGCTTCAATTGTACTCGAGTACACTTCGTTGTCACCTAAACGTTTTTTTTGTCAATCGGAGGTAATCTTTAAAAAAAGTTTTCGGAAAAAACAATCTTTTATAAAAGGAAACTAATCAAATAAAAATGTGAGATGGGAAAGTAATCAAATAAAGATCACTTACATCGAGCGCTTTTACTTTCGAACGACGGGCTGATGTAATAAACGAGATCCACAAAGAAGGATCCACACAGAAAAACAAGCGTCAATTGGTTGCATAATACCGAAAACTAAATTAATCATACATGTAATATTGAATAGGGCCTTACATCCAGTAGGTCCTCTCTAAAAGAACAGGAATGTTTTCTGGCCAAGTCATCGTAAGTAGTGAGTTGAAGATAACGATGGGAAAAAGACATCGCCATCAAACAGATCAACTTGACGAAGACGGACCAGATAAACACATCTTTTCTATTCAATTGGTTCTTTCCCTTCAACTGTAATGTTTAGTATTGCATTGGGTGTAAAGAAATTCACATACCAAGATGAGAACTCGAAGAAGAGACAGCGATGAGGTGGCGAAGAAGGATGAAGAAGCAAAAGAAATTCCTCTGTCATATTCGGGCATACGGTAGAAGGCCGGCACAGCACTAAAACATAGTATTTACAGTGAGGGACCGGATCCAATGGCAAAAAACGTCTCATTTTGCATCCCGGAAGGGACCAAAATGACTCCAAACCATTCCCTTCTCTAAGCTAAAAAACTCCGCTTTGAAAAGCGCGCCCTTTCCTTCAAGGCGGGCTCTTCAAAGCGGGGTTTTTTAGCTTGGAGAAGGAAAGGGTTTGCAGTCATTGTGGTCCCTTCCGGGATGCAAAAGGAGACGTTTTTTGCCATTGGATCAGGTCCCTCACTGTAGATGACATATCAGAAGACAAATTATGAGAATTTTATCAAATTACATGGCTGAATTGGTTGCCTTCAAATCACAGCGGAACAGAGTTAACTTGAAATGCAGGAACGTATAGAAAGACATCAATGTCTGAAAGATGACTGTAAAACATCGTGACACTTACAATCAACATCTCAGTGAACAAACAGAAGTAATGGATATACCAAGGAACTTCCTTTTCTTTGGGCCAAGCCCCCAGGAATTTAAAGAAAGTTTTGCTCAAAGAAAACAACCAGATCAAAGCAATAAACATAATCACAAGAAGCGCTGCTGCTTGAGTTGAAACATATTCAACGGCCTGAAACTTCATGGAGAAGATCCGATTACATTCAAATGTGGGTCTGTCTCTGCATACACAATGAATTGAGGACTCTAAAAGAAAATAAAAGTAGCATAGAGGTGCATTACCATTTCTGAAACACTGTTGAGTGGCCATGTCATCCCCCTTCTGCAAACCATACAATTGATGGTCACATCCCAACTCTTCCTGTTCAATTCCGTCGTCCAAGTACCTCATATAGTAACAGTCTCGAGTGGCCTCGCAGACACTTCCATTGTTGCCGATGCAATAACCTCTGTAATCATCATGCTTATCTACAACTTTTTCAACAATTACCGGATTTGAAGAAAAAAAGGGAGGAGTATGAAAACTGGGCCGACCATGACCGACCGGTCGAAATGAAACTCAGCGAATCACCATTTCTTTTACACACAATTTTAAGAACTTCGATCCTGGGACTTGTATAGAAGCAACCTACAACATTGCATTGTGACCGAGGTTGTCTCCCGAGACGAAAACAAACAAAAATAAATAAATATATTTTTGGCTAAAATTTTTTGATCTTCCAAATTTACAATTCAAATGTTGTACAAATAAGTTGACGTATATATTTACAAAATTGGTTTTTTTATCTTAATCTGCGCTATAAGGGAAACATGTTATAATAAGGGTCGATATTTTCAGATGGGTTTAGGTGCAGACCTACTGATTTTTGTATTTGCCGCGGTACCTGCGGCCCTTTTGGGTCTGTATATGTAAGTTCATCTTTAACTTCAATGGAGTTGTATTTTAGTGTTGCCCGTCTTTATCCATGCCCGCGGAAGAACACGGTGGAATATGCTGTTCGGGCGAGACGGAAGTACAAGCCGAATGGAGAAGGTGAACCATTTCAAAATCTTCTCACTGGGAGTGGCAAAACCCTAAGTCAATTGGAAGTTAGCGAATCTGAGTGTTATCTCTCCGTGATTGTCCCAGCTATGAATGAAGAGGTAAGAGTATCTTCTTTATTCATTTTGGCCATTAGGAACGGCTGCCTGTCATGTTGGACGAATGCTTGGAATATTTGGACACGAGGGCAAAGAAGCAAAAGGATTTTACTTACGAGGTTATAGTAGTCGACGATGGGTCGTCGGATAAAACTTCTGATGTCGCGTATAAATATTCGGCTACCGGGCATATTTCTGTCTTAAAGCTAAAACAGAACGTTGGAAAAGGTGGAGCAATTCGAAATGGAGTCTTATGTGCCCGCGGACAATACATTTTGTTCGCAGATGCTGATGGTGCTACAAAATTCTCGGATTTTAAGAAGCTGGAGGACAAAGTATCAGATACTGACGGCAATAAAGACGCTGTTATTGCTGTTGGTTCACGTGCTCACCTGGAGAAAGATTCAATTGCTCAAAGAAGTCTTTTACGAACTATTTTAATGGTAGGATTCCATCTTCTGGTGTATATTTTCGCTGTGAGGACGGTCAGAGATACGCAATGCGGGTTCAAGCTGTTCTCAAGGAAAGCTGCAGCTTTTGTAAGGTTTGAAACTTGTTACCTGTACTCAAAATGTTATTACTAACATAAGTGATCTTTTAGTTGTTCCCTCGAATTCACGTCGAAAGATGGGCCTTCGATGTTGAGCTGTTATATCTTGCGGAAGTGAAACGTATACCTGTCCATGAAGTGTCTGTTGAATGGCATGAGGTGGAAGGATCCAAACTAGCCCCACTCTGGACGTCCATTGAGATGGGTCGGGACATTTTGCTGATATGGGCCCGATATTGGTGCGGGATTTGGAAGGTTGCCGCGTAATTTATCTCTGCTTGTAGATATCTTTAAATTATTTAAATATTTATTTATTAAATACATATCCGCTGACTTAATTCTTTTATTAAGACTTCGTTTTAACGATCATTTACCTTGTTTTTTATTCAAGTTACGATTGATTACATATTAGATGGTTCGAAAAATCAAAGAAGAACTGATGGAGATGGATGGAGCCGAAGATCCTTATGATGAAGATCGTGTGTACATGGAGCCGGAGATAGCCTTCAACGTAAGAGCCTATCTTTTTTTAGAGGCCTTCTATTTTTAGACATTTGATATGCAATTTCCGAAAGATGTGAAGACTTACCTCAAAAGGATTAATGTAAAGCTTATCAGTGAAGAAGCTGACGGAATGGAGTTGGTCTTTGATCTGCTACATGTCGAGGCACCGGTTGCCAATGCCTTGAGACGAGTTCTTCTGGCGGAAGTTCCAACTATGGCTATCGAGAAGATTTATTTGTACCAGAACACATCCGTTATCCCAGTAAGTTCTTCGAAAACCTGTGGGCCACACAATAAATCGTATCAAAGCTAACTTTTTGTCTTAAGGATGAAGTTCTTTGTCATCGAATTGGACTCCTCCCAGTCAAAGCTGATCCCAGAGCTTTCAATTTCCCTTCGAAACCTTTTGTCCCGATCTCGGAAGCTGAAGAAGTCGATTCAGAGCCAGCTGGAAATGAAAGCGAGAATGTGATCTTGGAGTTTAATGTGAAATGCACCAAGAAATCTGGCGTCCCAAAAGGCGAAACTGATCCCGAGAAGGCCTTCGAGAACTATAAGGTGTATTCTGGACAATTTGATTGGATTCCCATTGGCAAGCAGTCTGAGACATTCAAGAACAACAAAATCTCCATGGTTCATGATGATATTATCGTAGCTAAGCTGAGACCAGGCCAAGAGATAGAAGCAAGGCAAGTCTTTGCGTTTGTATAACCTTACTCATGTTTAGATGCCATTGTGTGAAAGGGATCGGTCGAGATCACGCCAAGTTCTCCCCTGTTTGCACAGCCACTTACAGATTATTGCCCGAAATCAAATTGAAGGCTGAGATCGAAGGAGAGAAAGCCCTGCGATTACAGTCATGTTTCTCAAAAGGAGTAATTGAATTGGTGGAGAAGAAAGGTAACCAACTTCTGCAGTAATACTCTAAATTTAGGGAAAACGCTGGCAAAAGTGGTGGATGCAAGGAAAGATACCTGCAGCAGAAATGTCTTCAGATACGACGATCTGAAGGACTTAGTGGAGTTGACCAAGAAGAAGGATCATTTCATCTTTAGTGTGGAGTCTACGGGAGCCCTGAAGAGTCGGGAACTGGTCAAAGAAGCCTGCAAAGTCCTTAGAGAAAAAGCGCGGAACCTGCATACTATTCTGGACCAGAAACTGAATTCCATCAGTCAGAAACAAGACTAAAAGAATTCGATTTTATTGTTTTTATTACTTTTACATTTGTTGATTTCATTGTTGACTAATAAACAGTACGTATATACAACTACTGTACCTAATCGCTGAGGTCTTCCTGAGTCTGAGTCGTCTTCTTGCCTGATGACTTCTGAATATCAATTTGAGCGATTCGTTGTAAAGGGATTACCTTTTCTAAGGCCTCGTCGAAAGGTATCGAAGAGTGAATGACTAGGGGTTTCGACACTGCCGAGGGCTCTGGAGCTGCTGGAGTACTCTTAGAGGAGAATAAACTCTTCTTCACTACCCCTACAACACCCTGAAGAAACAATATAATTTGAGAAAAAAAAAATATGTTGTTATAATTCAAAAGGCACTGTAAACTCACCTCTTTTTGAGCATCTAGATCATTCTGAATAGACTCTAACCTCCTGTCTATCAGCAGAAATTTCTCATCCAGTTGATTAAGCAGGTTTCGGTAATCTTCAGCAGATACTACCTCTTTTTCATTGGCTTTACTGTAGAAATGATAAGCGGCGAAGACACCCACCGAATATCCGAATATTACAGTCTGTTGCACAAGCTCTGAAGCTTGCTCTAAGGCCGCCGTTTCAGACACCGGCGCTAATGCATCTGGCTTACCCAATCCCAGAGACCTCATTCGTAGCCTCGTCGTCAGATTTACGAGTCCTAAAGCAATAAAATAAAATGAAATCTAGACTTACCCCTCCCAACAGGTACCAAAATCTTATCTCGAAAGAAAGGATGGCTTTTACCGTACCTCATCACAACATCGGCTACCGGCTTCGACATTTGCCGAGCCATTATCATAAAAACCTGTCAAATATCAAGGTCAATATAATGATATTTAACTCACTTGGACCATCGGCAACCCCATCCTGTTTCCTGCACATTTACCGCAATTGTTAGACGGTGGCTCGATGAATGATTCTCAATTCGCTAATAATTTCTCGGATATTTTTTCGTCTAAAAAATGAGTCGTCGTGACATCGATATTCAAGCCAATGCTTTATAATTTACAGGTTATTTTGTAAAGCTCGAGAATATCGTAATACAAAAATTTGCCTTATTAATTAAAGCTGCACCCTCTCCTCTCCATTCAAAGCCGTGGTAGATGACGCATTTTCTGGATGAAACAAGGCTTCTCGTGGCTTTCCGTTTCATGCCAAAATTCGGCCAATTTTCAATAGTGAATTCTTATTGATTTACCACGTTCGGTCCAAGCCACGGTTGAGATGGTCTCCCGAGCTGCGCCCGCGATTTTGAATTCGCCGGCGACATGTTATACGAAAGAATATCAAATTTCGTAATAATAGCCTCAGGGCTCTAATATTGTAGGCACAAAATATTATTTTCACGTAGACCTGATATACCAAGCACCAAGTTTCTATCGTTGTCGATCTTCGAGTTTTGCTAAATATAAGGTTTTGCCTTGTTTTGAGCCTGTTTTTGTACCCATTTTTGGACCCCTTTTTGGCATGTAGTGGTAAAAGTAAGACAGTTGCTCCAAATATCGTTCTCTGTAATTCAAGATACATGTGTTGTTGAACGTTTTTAGGTCTAGTTAGACCTCAATGATATGCCTCCTTTGAGAAACGTTGGCGACAATGACGTCAATTTTGGGCTTAATTTTGATGATTTTTGCATATATCTGCCTATATCTTTTTTCAAACGTTTTTTATTGACAAAATCGTCCTCTGTAATTGTAGACAAGAGGGTTGTCAATGTGTAGGAACTTGCCTTATAATTCAGGGACCAATAGTTTTTTCGAAACGTTGGCGACAATGACGTCTACTTTTGGCTAAATTTTGATGATTTTTACGTATTTCTCCCTAGACCTTTTTTTAAACGCCTTGTACCGACGAAATCGTCTTCTGCAATTGTAGACAAGACTCTTGTCAATGTGTAGAAACTTCTCTTATAATTCAGGGACCAATAGTTTTTTCGAAACGTTGGTGTGAATGACTTCAACTTTTGGGCTTAATTTTATTGATTTTTTGCATATTTCTGCCTCCCTCTTTTTCAAAAATGCTTGATCCATTAAATTATTATCTGTAATTGTAGAAAAAGGCCCTCTCACCAAACGCATCGACGAATTTGATGAGAACGCAAAAACAAAATCTGGAACAAGACTATCAGAATTGTCGAAAGTTGTCCAAAACTGCATCCAAGTCTTAAAAACACTCCGAGATATTCAAAATTATACGCAGGCCAGGAAATTTTCAGCGGAAGAGGTCGAACAATTCAAAAGGCTTATTAAGACATTAACCGAACAGCTAAAGCAAAATTTTTCTAACGAAAAACCCGGCCACAAATTCCACCAGACAATCATCCACATGGTTGACTTTATGAACAGACACAACACTGTTAATTTCTTTACAGAGCAGTCAATAGAGAGCACCCATGCAATGGTGAATAGGGATATGCTGAGAATTAAAACCAGTGATAGGAGTAAGATTGTAAGTCGAACAGAAAAGGTTACGCTGAAAATAGAACAGGTATTAGTATGGGGGATATTCATTCACAATACTTATTGATAAAGAAATTGCTATTAAAACCCACGCTTTACAGGCGGACAGCTTACTGCGATGGGCTCACGAAAGGACGGTGCTGTACGACGAATTTGGGCTTGACACAAGCCAAATTGATGAAGACATTGATGGAGAAGATGACACGGAATGACTCTTTGAATGCCAAATCCATTTCGAAATCCTTTCAGAAATTATATTTTTCCATTCTAATTTTCGTAATATCCAAAAACAATTTGTTTCGAACATGTTTGAAAAAGTGGGTGGCAGAAATATGCAAAAATCATCAAAATTTAGCCAAAAGTAGACGTCATTGTCGCCAACGTTTCGAAAAAACTGTTGGTCTCTGAATTATAAGACAAGTTCCTACACATTGACAAGCCTCCTGTCTACAATTACAGAGGACGATTTTGTCGATAAAAGGCGTTTGAAAAAAGATATAGGCAGATATACGCAAAAATCATCAAAATTTAGCCCAAAATTGACGTCATTGTCGCCAACGTTTCTCAAAGGAGGCATATCATTGAGGTCTAACTAGACCTAAAAACGTTCAACAACACATGTATCTTGAATTACAGAGAACGATATTTGGAGCAACTGTCTTACTTTTACCACTACATGCCAAAAAGGGGTCCAAAAAATGGGTACAAAAACAGGCTCAAAACAAGGCAAAACCTTATATTTAGCAAAACTCGAAGATCGACAACGATAGAAACTTGGTGCTTGGTATATCAGGTCTACGTGAAAATAATATTTTGTGCCTACAATATTAGAGCCCTGAGGCAATTATTACGAAATTTGATATTCTTTCGTATAACATGTCGCCGGCGAATTCAAAATCGCGGGCGCAGCTCGTGAGACCATCTCAACCGTGGCTTTTCTTCTATTTGGACCGGACGTGTTACTGCAATTTTGTATGCATAATAAACAGTTTTCTAATTAGTGGTACCATTGTCTAATGGACAGCCGTGTGTTTAATTTGTTAGCGTTGATTTTAATTTTTCTTTTCCAGACTCTCCGAAAGTGCAAGACCAGGAAAAAGCCGAGAAGTCAAAGAGAAGGGAAAGGCGCATGACCTGAAAACTCTGATCCCCGGCCATATTTATGAAGCGTTTAATTGGAGAATAACCAAGATGTCTATGTTTTTTTCCAATCGACGGGCAAATTACATGGTAAGTACTATATAATTTATTTAATTATTTAATTTATTACCCATTTATTATTTTAGGTAATTGATGGAGACCAAGAAGATGAACATCTTATGCCAAATATTCACAACTCTCATCCTCCGCAGATGGTGTATAACAGTTCGGAGGTAGCCTTTGAAGGGGATAATCCGAGGTCCACAGACTTCACAAAAAGCCAAAGACGATGGGATCACATCGAAGATATTGACCAGGTGAGTGACCTTTGATGTGAATTACGGGATTTTAGTTTTTTTCTTTGGTGTACGAATACCATCGAGGTAATGGGTTCCTCTGCATTTCTTTAAAACATCTCTTCGCCCTTTTTCAATTCATTTTTGTGGTTTCAATCTCAACATTTCTCATAGAATGTGTCGATTATGATGTCCTTTTCAACAACAAAAATACGACAACTGATGGGACGGTTATCTACGGAAAACGACATATTGGTGTACGTTTTTTTTGTGGAAAAAATCGTTACACTACATTGCACTGACAAACACTTCTTTAGGATGCGATTATTGATCAGTGCCCGGCACATTTCCATCCTCTTATTGTTGTAACTTTGCTGATGGCGACCTTCTTTTGGGTTGCTCATGTCCTTCGAGTTGGCTATCGATTATTGCAACTATTCGAGATCCAAAAGTTTTATCACAACGTCCTCGATATCACTGACAATGATCTACCTAACATCCCGTGGAGAGAAGTCGTTGATCGAGTGTGCAAAGCCCAGCCAGAATTCCATTTGATTGTAAATCAAGATGAAATCAGTGTTCTGGATGTGTATCAGAGAATCTTGAGGTATAAGAATTACATGATTGGTCTTGTGGACAATGTAAGTAAGACTTTCCTTTATTGATGTTTGTTTTAGGATGTCTTATCCCTTGAAATATCACTGCCGTTTATTGGAAAAGTCGATTATCTTTCCTCTGGTCTCAGATTGAACTTGGAATGGCTTTTCTTCAGAGGACCTTGGGCTCCTTGGAAGGGACCCTATGCTTTAAAGGATGAATTCAAAGATCCGGAGAGTCTTGCAGCTATTAGTAAGCTTGCGCGAAATTTTTGAAATGTTATTCTTTCAGCGGAGCAATTCGAGAAAACGATTACTTACATGGGCCTGGCCAATCTGGTCCTCTTTCCCTTCGTATTCATATACCAAGTATTGTTCTCCTTTTTTTCTTATGCCGATCTCGTCAGAAGAGATCCCGGAGTGTTTGGATCTCGGAAGTATTCGAATTTTGGAAGGTACGTCTTGTTTATAATACTTTTTATTTATATATGTTAGACTGAAGTTGAGACATTACAATGAGTTGGATCACGAGTTGAATTATCGCCTAAACAGAAGTTACGAGTACGCGGTCAAGTATATGGATCAATTTGTGCCTCCTTTGACTGAGATTGTCGCCAAGTCGGTGGCTTTTACTTGTGGATCCATCTTCGCCATAATTTTCTTGCTTTCCGCTTGGGATGAGGATGTTCTTAATGTAAGTAGCAAAGGGTGTATGTTCATTTTTCTTTTAGATTGACCATGTAATCACTGTAATGACGGCTACTGGAGCCATTGCCTTGTTATGCCGATCATTCATCGGCAATGAGAACTTGGTTTTATGCCACAATTTCCTGATGAAACAAGTGGTCGCAAACATCCATTATGCTCCTTCTTCATGGATCAAAGGAAGTCATTCTACGGAGATTTGTGCGGAATTCAGTAGACTTTTCCAATTGAAGGTCTACTTTCTTTTGGAGGAGTTGTTGTCTCCTCTGATCACTCCGTTTATTCTGCTTTTCAAATTGAGACCTAAGGCCGGGGCTCTGGTTCATTTCTTCCATGATCATTCCCGGTATGTTGAAGGTATTGGAGATGTCTGTGAATATTCGCTGATGGAACTACCCAAAGATCAGGAAGAAACTCAGAACTCCGCCAATCTCCCACCAAGCCAGGTCTTTTCATACGGGAAGAAGAAGGATACGGCCAAAGTGGAACTCTCGATTTTGAATTTTATTACTCAGCATCCAACCTGGAAACCATCACATGAAAATGAGGAACTAATCCAGAGAATCAAGGCAATGGTGAGAGTTTTGTTTTTGAATCGAATGTTTTATTATGTATGTATAATACATAACCTTTTTCAGTGGACCAAAGAAGTTGGAGCTATCTTTGAAAATGAGAATATTGCTCAGAGCATTCACATGGGCGTCTCCGAGAGGGCCATAGCTGCGTCTCTTATCCATTCCAACAAGTCGGTGTATAATAAAGAGGAAGGAAAGGAAGAAAGCAAATTTGCTGAATCAGCCGCCGCCGCTATGTCGACCTCGTCGCTGATCCAGTCGATGCGAGAGAGCACTGCCTTGGCGGCCCCTGTTGCCAGATATCTACCTCTAAACGAACAAGCAAAGGGTAAAATTTTAGTTTTGAGTTTGTACCGAATCTTTCTTGTGTTTATTAAATTTAAAATTGTAGATGAGCAATTGAAAGCATTGGAAATGTCGATGAATGCCCTTACCATTACCAGTCTCCTCCAAGACAAAAATCTTCATTCATCTCCGAATAATCCCTTTTATGGATCCAATTTACCGTCCACTTCCCAAGCTCCACATCGCCCGACTCATTCACAATTACAGTCTAACATCTGGGAAGTAGCCGACAACAGCTTCATCATCAACGAATCCCAATACGATGAGATCAACGAAGAACCAGAGGAAGAAGAAGATCATGAAGTTCTCCCTCCAGGCGGGTTTAATGTCTAAATTAAGGCTACATGTACTCACGCGTGTGTAGCGATGTATGTAATGTATAGGATCAATTAACCAATTGTCTCGGTGCGCCTAAGAAAACAAGAAAAAGACCTCAGGACAGCACGTTTCGTCCATTTTTATTAGACCCTGACTTTGATTATTGTTATTGTAAGCGTTTTTCGTTATCTTCTTAAGTCTCTAAACATTACGTGTATTCGGCTCATATTGTACAGTTGCGCATTCGATGTGCAGATCAGGTTAAACAATAAATTTTGAATCATATTGAAAACGCATGTGTGTTCCAGTTGAATTCTGCTTATATTTTGATGATTGAGAAGTTTCGCATATTCTTTTTGTAGACCAAAATGGAAGAAGATAGCTACTCCGATGAGGAACAGTTCGATGAAGCCGAGTCGGGCCAAGAAGAACGAGTTGAAGAGACAAATGATCCATTGAGACAGGGTAAGTAGGAGGAGGATCATTAATCTTTCTGTAGAGATTTCATCGATGCCCTTGAGCAAAGTAAGAGCCCTGAAGTCAAAACTGGGCGTCAAGTTGTTCAACAAGATGTATCTCAATGAAGTTGCGCCCAAATCAGAAACTGTTGAGGAATCTAATGATGAAAAACCTCAGGAATTTAAAGTAAATGCTTTTTTCAAATGACTAACAGGGGAAGTACGCCAAGTGCGACGCTCAGATTTTGATGAAACTTGGCACAAATTTAGAATATTTTTTTCTAAGATATATGCGAGAATCCTAGCTCGCGCTTTGCAGAAACAACCGAGATTTTTGGATCGAAAGTCGGCCAAAATTTAGGACTTTTTTCCCGAATTTCGGCACAAAAAGTTTCATGGCTATTTCCTCCATAAAGTATAATGTTTCTACAAAAAATCAAATTTTTCCGCCAAAGTTATGGCCAAAAATCGTTTTTCTCTGACCGCTCTCCACGTTTAGCGTGTTCTCCCGGCGGCAAAAATCGTTCAGGAATTGATATTTAGTCCATACCCGACGTGTGTGCAAAATTTAAAGAAAATCTGAGCGTCGCACTTGGAGTACTTCCCTTGTAAACGGGATTTTAATGAATTTTTTTAGCGTGACAACAAGAATCGCCCCCGTGAAATGTCCACAAAAGCCCCTATTAGACATAATACAATTATAGCGGCCAAAAAGAAAAAGAAATACGATCCGAGATTTGAATGCGGAGAATTTGATGAGGTCAGATTCTCGCGTGACTATGGATTCATAAATGATATGAAGATTAAGGAAGTGAACCAGATCAAGAAGTCTCTGAAGAAAGGAGATATTGGAGAGGCAGATCGATGGGAAGTGAATGAGACCATCAAAGTCATGGAGAATCAGATCAGAAATACCGAGGATAAGCGTGCCGAGATTGAAACGCGAGCAGAACTCAGGCAAAGTAACATTGAAAGACTCAGAAGCGGGAAGAAACCAATCTTTTTGAACAGGAGTAAGTAATTTTGTTTTTTACTTTAAGTTTTTCATCCTCATTGTTTAATACTTTTAATTTTTTCAGACCAATTGAAAGCGAAGATAATGGAAAAGCGTTTCGAAAAATTAAAACAAACGGGAAAGGCGAAGAGTTACGTATCGAAACAACGGACAAAGGCGCAGAAAAAAGGATTGGATGTGTGATCAGACACTTGTTATTAGTTGCTGTTATTGTTCGTTGTTTGTTGGATTTGGTGAACGTAATTGATAAAAATTTATTGTATTGTTACACAAAGCCAAGGTATGTACATGTACAATATGTTTACTTGGTCTGCACAATGTAATGCAATTTGGAGGCCAACCAAGAACCCGAAACATTCTGGAACTTCACTTTGTAGGTTCCGTTCTTATCACAGGTGACATTCCCGATCTCTGGGGTCCGCAAGGAGGTTAACGTAACCTTTGGCCATACTGTGACTTCTTTGTCTCCATCCACGAAAACAATCTCGAAAGTGCAATCACAGCTGATGGTGAACAACCAGATAATTTGTTGGCCAGACCTCAACTCTTTGCTCACTTCGTGGGCAGCCTTAGCTTTTAAAGAGATGGATTTGGAGACTGGCGGATTTTGGAATCCATGATGAGCCCAGTATTTATCTGCATTGAAGACATCCGTGTCCAGGATTGGTTTGGGAGATCTGCAACATGAACTGGGAGTGGCCGCATAGCCAGATTCATCTCTTCGATTCCCTTGCCAATCCTCGGGAATGCTGTCTTTGCTGAGATAGAGGAAGAGATCGTCTAACTTCTGAATAAAAACAATTCGAGATCTGGTCTTGTCATCCACGATGTGTTTGGCGATCTGCCACATCAAGGATAAGAGGGCTGGAGGGTGGAGAAGGAACAGGCTGATCATCTAAACAAATATTCCAAGGAGGCTTTGCAAGTTTTTCTAAAGGCTCTTACATTTTCGCTAAAGTAATCAGACCATATTTTCACCACTAAACGTGCCAATTTACTAGAAGTTGATAGAGGATTGATAAAGTCGGTTAAATTGATGCCAGTAAGGTCGAGAACAACAACAACAGCGTGCTGTCGACCCGTCTCTCTTTCCCGTTGATGCATTACGCGATGGAAACATTCATGAAGTAAGAAATAAGAATGCAAAACATTACTCAATGGCATAATTTTCATCACCTAAAAGCAATACTTCCATTAAAAAAATTATAAAGTATTAACCCAACCTCTTTGATCTCTACGTTCTCCATTTTCTGACAGAACACACCAACATCTTCACTGAATACGTCCATCTTTAGTTGAGAAATGGCAAATCTCTGAAAAAAATTGAATTTTTCGTGTTTTATGTCATCGAATTTTTACCGTAATCTCACCATTACATTTAAATTTTTTCTTGTTAATTACCTCAAAAGTTTGTTTAGCCAGAGGGAAAGTATCGCAGAATTTGACGATATTCTCTTCATTGTAACCCAATGCCCGCCGATGTTCCAACAATTCATGTAATTTGGTGATCAGACCTTGCTCATCACCCTTGTAGGCCCTTAACCAACGGCCGATAAAGAAGTCCGAGTTGAACTCTTTTGGTAAAACATCCTGGAGTCTGTTCCTAAAAGAAGAAACATGTGAGTTTATTAAGCGAAAGATCTCTATCTGCCGTCCAGGATCCACTTTCTTTCATCATACACGAGGAAAGTCATCGTGAAAGTGAAAACAATAAGCTGAGAAAAATAAAAATGTGATCAGCAATGCTGTATTCAACGGCCGCCTTGCCATAAATTGTTTACACTATAAATTTTAAAAACTTTTACGTACCTCAACTCACGAGCCTTGGCCAATTCGGCCTCGGTGAATGGCTCCGGTCGGCAGAGAAGCTCGGGCATTCTGAAAAAAAACAAGTCCTCTAGGTTACAAGTGTTATTAGTTTCACGCTGAGAAGACGTTGCAATGGTTTTTGTTGAGAAATTAGGAAAAACGGTTGGCTTCCTCTCCGGAAAACGGGTTTACGTTTACAAAACACAACCACAGTAAAAACAGAGAAGGCAGAAGTGACCAGCTATTGCGTCGGTGATCATCCTTGCACAGCAAGCGTATAATAAAAGTTTCTTAACAGCAGAGGAAGTTCCAAAATTATTTTGAAATAAAGTTGATTGCATAATCATGCCTGTTAATAACTACTAATTAAGTTAAGGTTAACAGAATTAAATGAAAAATTTATTTTGGCCTCAATTTAAGTTAATTAAAATCTCCTATTTGATGCTCTAACGAAAAGCCGGAGATGAGAAAGCCCGGAGAGAACACCTGCCCTTCCCCCCTGAGTTTTGTTCATCTCATCTAAAACAAAGTCGTAAACGCGCAAATATATATCGTCCAATCGAGAAAACAAGGTGAGCGTACCTCCAGTTGTTCTGATTCCTTTTCGAAGAAACAAGAAGTCTTAAAGAAGGCGGGGGAAGGGGACAGCAGTCAAGGGGAAGGAGGGCAGGCGCTTCTCGATCTCAGAACGTAAAGAGGAATCTGAAGACGCGCCGGAAATCCCATTACTTTCTGCACGGAGACTTCGGAAAGTTCTGGTTTTGGGATGATTACTCTCATATAAGGGAAGAACACAAGCCTCAGGTGAATTAAAGGGTTTACAACAGTCATTGTTTTCGGTTTGGTCATGTTTTGAGTCGAATTCTGATATTGCTGTCGGTATCGCAAAGTGGCTTTGCGCGACGAATAAGCAGCACCTAGTACCATAAGGTTTGATGATGCAAAACTGATACAATTTACGAAAAATGAAGATGTTATTGTTCGCAGTGCATTGTATGTCATGCGTTAAGTACTCATAAAGCAGAAGTTGGCCCAGCCTGGTTTAAAACTGGATTTGCGTTGTCGCTAACCCTCGTGTCAAATCCCACCCATTTCGCGAGAGTCATCAAACCAGTTTATGACATAATCTTTCGCCTTCGAGAACGTTCCCAAGTCCACCGACAACAAGCAATTTCTTTTTTGTTCGGTGTGTATCTTGGAACAAACGGTAATAACAAGCCACTTTTAATTTATGATATTTTATGAAGATCAATTCAAATTTGCAGATTCAACAAAACAACATGAATAACGGGATTATAATCGAAATGATTAGTGCATTAGATAACTGTTACTTTCGTGTAATTCCGAGAGCTGTCCCTGGAAGTCGATGGAGATCTTGAAATCCATATCACGAGGATTTCTTTCATTTGGATTCATTTTAAAAGTTCCCTTCACTTTCTCATCCTTCTTTATCGTAATCGAGTCCTTCAAGTAAAAGACGGTCTGCTTCCAATGGGTGTATTTTGAGTCCGGCCCAGTCGAGAATCCTGTCCTTTTGTGAGATTTCATAAATTCCACGGTGAAGAAGGTGACCAGAGCTTGGATATAATCATCTCGGCAGGCACGCAGTTCAAACTCGGATTCAAAAGCAAGGTCGGATACTTTCACAGTGTAAAGATCGATGTCCTAAGAGCATATTATTAATAGCAATTGGCACTTACTTTGATTAAACAGTTATTCGTCACAGTCTGGGCATAATCTACAACATCAACAAGAGGTTCGGTGATGGCAATATTCCTGATTGAGGACATATTGAAACCGTACACATTATTCCACCTAAAAATACAACAATGCCCACGCAATTCTCTAAACATTTACACTATTCAAACAACGTACCAGTTTATCTTATCATCTTTGTATTGCCGATCCTCGATGGCTTGAATAAACATCTTCGCTCGGTCAGGGAAAAGAGCACCATCAGGAGCCAACCATCGGTCTCTGGCATACAGAACAGTGTTCAACATACTCTCGTAGAACAAACAGTATCCCATCCATTCACTAATAATAACGTCTACCTTCTCGATACCCTCAGGAAGCTCTTTAATTTCTTCTACTTTGCATTGAATAACTTCTATGATGTTGTCAAGCCCATTGTCTTTGATTATTTGTCTGGATTGTACGGCCATATTTGAAAATTCAATCTTAAAATTATCATTTACAGTGAAACTGAATAAAAAAATAAATGGATAAAAAACCCAGCCTAAAATTCCAATACAGAAAATAAAAGTAACTCACAGCAAACACTCTTCTGGCTCCAGCTTTAGCGGCAAACATTGACAAGATTCCAGTTCCACTGCCCACGTCCATCACGACTTTGTCTTTGAAGAGATGTTGATTGTGATAGACAGCATTTCTGTATGTGAGGGTTCTGACCTCGTCTTTCAACATCTCTTCATGGATTCCAAAATGAGCATAGGAGTCAAAGTAATAATCTTTACTGGTCATTTCAGATGGAGTCCTCGGTTTAGTATCACCTTCACCATGGCCATTCTCCTGACCGTTTTTCACCGATTCTTCTGTCATTGTACCGAGATCGAAATTGGACAACCCGTAGAAAAGTAGTAGAACGTAAAACCTCACGAAATTCCGGATTTTTTTTGGGGGAATTATCCAGTTGTTTTCGTTGCGGGACGGAGTGTGTGGTGTGATGTGATGGAATAACGCTTTTATCAGCAGTACTTTGAGCATTTTGGTCGATTAAGAATATGGTATGAAATATTTTTCGTTTGATTCAAACATAAGTCCCTACCTTATTTTTACATAACTTACAAATGAAAACTGTCTTGGACACAATTTGCCGTATAAAAAGACCCTACTTTTTGCATTCAAGGTGCGCCCATTTTTTCGCCTGGAAATGATTTTCTGTCTGATCTCGGTTTGGACTGCCGAAGAATCCCGTCTTTCGTTTTCAGCCGCTTTTAAACACAACAGACCACAGATTTTGTGCTCAACGGACTTTGTTTTGATTCGGCTGTCAGTGTAAGATGTTTCTCGTCGGTCTTACTGGAGGGATAGCATGTGGAAAGAGTACTGTAAGCAAGATTTTCCGGGATAACGGCGTTTTTGTCGTTGACGCAGACCAAATCGCACGTCAAGGTATGTACAATATTTTTGCTCCATTTATTTTTAGTTGTTGAACCAGGGAAACCGGCTTATAATCAACTGAGGACGGAGTTTGGTGCGGAGTATTTTAATGACGAGATTGATGGGTCCTTAAATCGAGAGAAGATGGGGAACTTGGTTTTTCACAACGTTGAGGTAATTTTGTTTGTCTTATTTTGCTATCTGTATAATTTTAGGCTCGAAAAAAACTTAATAAAATTACACATACAGCAATCCGGAAAGAGATGCTCTGGCTTATTATTCAACAGTTTTTCCACGGAAAACGCTTCATTGTATTAGACATTCCATTGCTGTTTGAAGGAGGATTGAACCGATTTGTGCAGAAGATTGTAGTAGTTTCTTGGTAAGTTAATATAAGTTAGTCAATTGCTTCAGTGATTCGGATACTCAGCTTGAGAGGTTGTGTCAGAGGGATGGATTAAGTAAAGAACAAGCTGAAGCCAGAATAAGTTCTCAATTGCCGAATGAATATAAAGTGAAGAGAGCAACTTATATTATTGACAATCAAGGTGAGTATTACCGGTTATTGAACTCTAATAATAAGATTTGACCTTCAATGACCTTTGTTTGCAGGATCCGTGGAAGAGACCAGAGAACAGGTCCATCAAATCGTTTCAATGTTGAACTCCAGCTGGATTCCATATGTCCTGCGGACCGGACTGTTGATGTGCTTGGTCGTGGCCGGCTATTGCCTCTGGGGCTTCTTCCGGTGACTTTAATGGGACCAAGATTGCTGATTATGGCTGTTCTCGTACCGTTTCCATAGTCACCGGGGCGCTCGTGAGATGCGTGGTTCAGAAGTTTTTTTCCCTCCGAATGTGGCCAAAGAACTGGCCGGCACCGAAAGCGCCTGATTCTTTGTTGTCATAATAGCCCTTGTAATTATACCGTTCCGTTGCAGCGATTGTTGAAACACGGGTTGTTTTATTTAGAGGATAAATCTTTGAATCATATGTTATCTGTATCTGTACAGGGCGGGCCACTCTAAACCTTGTTTTACGTATTTCTCCCGCTAATAAAGCACCAATTTCTATAAATCAAGCTAAAACTGTGAGACGCACCATTTTTTTTTTGTCCACGGAATATGGCGCATCTACGTTCACGGTGGCCTCCGCACTGACCTTTGACATTTTCATTCCAAATTTTGGAGCCTGAAATCGGTGAAACTTTTTGGACTTCCGGCAAAAAAAAGTCGCCAAATTCGCTGAAAAATTTTAAAAAAATTGAAGTCATGTCCGTACCGAGTGTGTCAAAGGCATATTTGAATCAGACGAGGTACCAAGTCGTACTAATGAGACCGAAAGCTGTTTTCTCTGGCAATCTCGGCCTCAAAACTTTCTATGCATCTTCGGGGTGGATCATGTCGTCATGCATGCAGACAGCCTCGAAGTCCGAGAAACTCAATTTGAAAATCATTGCAAAATTTTTCTAAGTTTCACCCATTTCGGGCTCCAAAATTTGAAATGAAAATGAGGTCAGCACGGGGGCCTCCGTGAACGCGGGACAGTCATATTTGGTGGACGAAAAATGGTGTGTCTCAGATGCAAATTTTGTAGAAATTGGTGCATTACGGGCGGAGAAATAACTGATGCGCATATATCCGTTGATTTGGCCTCTGCTCCTTTGACCCTACACTTCTCTTAATCTGACCCTCAAAGCCTCCAGGGCACTTTGAAAGGCCTCCGTTTTCACGTCATTACATCCGGTGTTTAAGAATTTTACCGGAACCGAAAGTCCTGCTCCTTTTAAAGGAATTTCTTTGGCCTTCGGCTTCAGATGGATCACAGTCCCGAGAATCCGATGCCGCCTCCAAAGATGCTGCTGGATAAGTATGAGAAGTTAGGGAAGATCGGAGAGGGATCTTATGGGGTCGTCTTTAAATGCAGGAATCGAGAGACCAATCAGATCGTAGCCATCAAGAAGTTTGTCGAGACTGATGATGATCCATCGATAAGGAAGATTGCGCTGAGGGAGATCAGAATGCTGAAGGTACGTGTTATATATTATGTTAGGTGATATTCAAAATTTTCAGCAATTGAAACACCCCAACTTAGTTAATTTAATCGAAGTTTTCAAACGAAACAAGAAATTGCACCTGGTATTCGAGCATTGCGAGAGAACCGTTCTCGATGATCTCGAGAAATACCCAAAAGGGTAAGTCCACATGCAAATTTGAATAAAATCTCCTTTCAGATGTCCGGAATCACTTACAAAGAAAATGTTATATCAATTACTTCAAGCGTTAAACTTTTGTCATAGCAGAAACTGTATCCACCGGGACGTGAAGCCCGAGAATATTCTGATTACATACAATGATGTAGTCAAACTGGGGGATTTCGGATTCGCGAGGGTAATGAGTAGGTTCCGAGAAGAGTAATCAGACCCCTTCAGATACTAATGAGTTGTATACGGACTACGTAGCCACGAGATGGTATCGAAGTCCGGAGTTGTTGGTGGGCGATATCCATTATGGGGCGGCCGTGGATATCTGGGCCGTGGGATGTGTGTTCGCCGAGATGTTGACGGGCGATCCTCTTTGGCCAGGCAGGACCGATGTGGACCAGCTTTATCTGATCAAACAGACCGTCGGTAAGAGAATTATATTGTCATCAAAACCAATGCCTTGGCTGTCCATTAATTTAATTTTTAGGGGACATTTTTCAACGTCACCTTCAAGTTTTCCGTCAGAATCAATACTTTAGAGGGATGAGTATCCCCGAGCCGGACGAATTGCTCGATCTTCCACAGAAATTGCCTCAGGCCAGTTCCGTGGATATTGATTTCCTTCAGGTACGCCTCATAAGCAATGTAAACTTCCTTTTCAGAAATGTTTCGATCCCAATCCAGACCTCAGATGGTCTTGTTCGGAACTTCTGAAACACGATTACTTCAAGGGATTTGTGTTCAGATATCCGGAGGACTCGACTCCCATGAGGAAATTGTCTCCTCATCTACCTCAACTGGAGAAGAACTCGATGGACGTGAAGAGAAACAGTCTGCAGAACCAGTACAACAAAGGCATCGACCATGCTAGTTACCTCCCCACAATTTCCTGAATCAAACATCATATAATATACTCCCCGCCAAAAGTTTTGACCCCCCTTCTAACTCGGCCCACAGTGTACCAATTTGGACCAAATTTGATACGTAGTTTACTGACAACCTAGTTGTAAAAAATATCATAGCAGGACAAACCATTTAGCTGTACTTCAAAATCCAGGGAGAATTTTCAAAAATCGCCTCAAAAAAACGGGACAAAAGTTTTGACCCCCCTGCAAAAAAATGAAATATCGCCAGCGGATGTAACCAGAACCTTTTACAATCGATGCCCCATACCTGAATACAGATTAATAAATGCTTTTTCGTTGAATGCTTCGTTGCATTTGAGGATGCAACGCGTTAAACTGATTTTGATGTAGAGCTGCCCAAAATGGTAAAAATCTTGTACTGGCGCTTTCCAAAAATTTCAAATTATGTTCACATCACGTGATTTTGACGTGTTATAACCTGCATTAATCTTTTCCTTTCGAAAAAAGTCCGTGATGGCCTAGCGGTATCGATTCGGCCGATATCCAGTTGTCATGGTCAGCCTTGGTGAGCCATTTGCTCTTTGACTAAAGGTCTAGATGGGGTCGCTAGGTCCTCAATCTAATCCTGAGACTTGTGTCTACTCTCAAAACAAGAATAAACCCCCGCTGACACGATCCCAAATGGTTTGTAGATGCAACTTTACCGATCTGCACCTTAAAGAAAAACCCGCTTTTTTCAAATGGATTTTTTGCGACCAAAAACGGTTTTTACTTGATGTGCCAGGTAATTTAGGACGCTACAGCACCCGCCATACTCATTCGAGACGTATGGAACGCCAAATGGGCGGTGGGGATGGCATCGTACTCGGGGGCATCTACAGTAACGGCAAACTTAAGATTAAGGTGAATGAAACCCATTCCAAAATGTGTCAAATCGAAACCTTTGTCCATGCTGAGAGTAAATAGGAGTCTCAGGATTAGATTGAGGACCTAGCGACCCCATCTAGACCTTTAGTCAAAGAGCAAATGGCTCACCAAGGATGACCATGACAACTGGATATCGGCCGAATCGATACTGCTAGGCATCATGGACTTTTTTCGAAAGGAAAAGATTAATGCAGGTTATAACACGTCAAAATCACGTGATGTGAACATAATTTGAAACTTTTGGAAAGCGCCAGTACAAGATTTTTACCATTTTGGGCAGCTCTACATCAAAACCAGTTTAACGCGTTGCATCCTCAAATGCAACGAAGCATTCAACGAAAAAGCATTTATTAATCTGTATTCAGGTATGGGGCATCGATTGTAAAAGGTTCTGGTTACATCCGCTGGCGATATTTCATTTTTTTGCAGGGGGGTCAAAACTTTTGTCCCGTTTTTTTGAGGTGATTTTTGAAAATTCTCCCTGGATTTTGAAGTACAGCTAAATGGTTTGTCCTGCTATGATATTTTTTACAACTAGGTTGTCAGTAAACTACGTATCAAATTTGGTCCAAATTGGTACACTTTGGGCCGAGTTAGAAGGGGGGTCAAAACTTTTGGCGTGGAGTATATATTGACTTAGCAAATTTAATTTAATGAACTGGTTCATCAGTACAGTAACAAGTCAATTTGTCTCCATAAAAATGGAACTACTTTTTGTTGTCCGCAAATTAGTAGGATACTTTGTACTTTGGAGCAAGGGCTTCCATAATCCGTGAAAATTTTCAAAATAGGACATTTAAATTTAAAAAATTTCGATTTAATTTTTGTGCCCCAAGGGATTACTTTTATCTAATTTTTTGTCGATTAATTTATAGTGTGGCACAAGCCACGTTCGGAAACATCATCAGCAAACTCCATAGAAAATTTTGCAAGAAGACCTACTTTATCCAGGAAGATAACGAAGGCATTCCGGATATTACAGCATTCCAGGATGAAAATTTCTGGTTTTCGTCAAAATCGGAAGTTTTAAACTTAGGATCTTCTTCACTTTATGACACTTTACACATTGGAGCATGCGCTTTCATAACCCGTCAAAATTTTCAAAATCGAACATTAACAACTTTTACAGAAAAAATTGGTGGAAACCGGGGTTTCTTCCAAATCGACATGTTTTTTGTTTCATACTAGTCGCGGAAAAAAGTCCTGGGAATTTCTCGCGTCCCCAAAATTCCGTCGCGCTCCGAAAAGTTGATTTGTCGCGGGAATCGCGCGCGACAATAAGGCAAAATCAACAAAATTGCACTGTGCAAAAGCACCTTTCGGGTTCATGCACAGTGCAGAGTCGCAGAAAATTCCCAGGACTTTTTTCCGCGACTAGTAATCCGCCAAAAGTTTTAAAACTCTATGTTTAGATTTTGAGAAATTTCGATTGAATTTTTTTTTCAGAAAAAATAGGCGTGCAGTAATGATATATACAATATAAGACATGAACGCCATAGACAATGATCTTAGAAAAGACATTGGTCCAAATGATCATTCAGAATAGACAAAGGAAATTTTCGAGGACAATTGGGGCATGGCACTTGTTCGTCTGAAGGGAGATCATCCGATTTACGGAACCCAGAACATGATCCTTGGACAGAAGAAACCTGGGATCCTCCCAGCCTGGCGCCTAAAATCCAGATTTTATTCGTAAATATTCCAAACTTACCCTTCCCAATAAATCCAGAAAATGAACCTGTAGCATCATCAACAAATATAATGTCATCGTCTTCCATGTCTTGGGGTCTGATCTCCTTTTGCGTTCTATTCACATTCTCCTTGCCATCTTTAGTGAAGTAATTTAATATACTCTGTTGATTACTCGGCCTTTCCGGTTTTTTAATTTTTCCAGTAATCGTCTTTGGGGATTTCTCTTTGACCTTCTTATCGGGTTCTTTAACTTTAACAAAAACTCCGCCACAAGTCTGTTGATGTCGACTCCACCAACTATCATTCTTGGAAGGCGCCCGATTCATGGATCGCTTGACATATCCATAGAAAGGGCCTCTACTCTGACATGAACCATTACATCTCCACCAGTGTTGTTGGTACAATTTAACTTCGTCGTGGAAGGTATGGTAAATGGAGATGTTTATCCCGGCCATTTTGTTAATTCGATGCATATTCGCTTGAAATTCGGGGCCATGCCCATCCCTTCCATCAAAATTTCCGTTAAGAAAAAGGAGAGCATGGATCATCTCGTGCTAAAACAAACAATTATTGACTTGAACTGTGGAAACATAAAATAAGCAGGAGAATTTACAAGGGAAGTACTCCAAGTGCGACGCTTAGATTTTGATGAAACTTGGCACAAATTTAGAATACTTTTTTCTAAGATATATGAAAGATTCTTACGATTAGCTCGCGCTTTGCAGAAACAACCGAGATTTTTAGATCGAAAGTCGGCGAAAATTTAGGACTTTTTGCCGAATTTAGGCACGAAAATTTTCATGCCTACTTCTACTGCAAAGGATAATGTTTCTGCAAAAAATCAAATTTTTCGCACGAAACTGCCGAAGTTATGGCCAAAAAGCGCTTTTCTCTCTGACCGCTCTCCACGTTTAGCCTGCTCTCTCGGTTGCAAAAATCGTTCGATATCTCGGCGTCGTCCGCAAAGCGCGAGCTAAATCAGAAATTGATATCTAGTCCATACCCGACGTGCGTACAAAATTTAAAGAAAATCTGAGCGTCGCACTTGGAGTACTTCCCCTGTTAACCTGAAAAAGAACACAACTAACCAGTAACGTTTCAACAAAGTCTTTTCTCGACCTCAACTTCAACAAAGGTTCAGACATTCTAATCACGCACATTCTTGACGCTGGTTGGAATGTACAGGTTCCAGCACACCTAAGAGTATAATACAAAACAAAATAAAACCCTACCGTTTCATTTGCTTCGACCATTCGACCACACAGCATTGAAGTCGTCCTTGAAAGAATTGATAATCAAACAATTGAAACATTTCATGGAGATCAGGAGTTGGATCGTCAAGTTCAGAAGCAGGATCAGCTAAATTCATCACCTGCCTTTCAGAAGATGTAACAGGAAGGGAGTCCAGATACGCTACATGCCCTTCCATCCTTTACCCGCATGAGCAATCGACCAAAATCGACCGTTCCCGAGATTTTTTTTATAATTTTTGCTCGGCGACCCGCGCCCACGGCGTGTGTTTCGCAGTCCGCAGAAAAATAAAAAATTGGCCAAAATCTTAGATCAATCTTATACCTCAATGTTATGAGTAAAAATGGCTTTACTGGGTTTTCATATTGTTTTGTCCTTAATTGCCGCTACTTTGTTCAACAAATTTGGTGCTCATTTTACAATTTGTGATAGACTAGTATGGAAAGGGTAAGGTAATAAATTTTCTGGCGTATTGGCTTTTAGGTTGAAGTATTTTTGGCTGCCAGAGCCTCCAGAGTATAACGATAACAAAAAGTTGAGAAAGCGAAATCCAAAAGCTCAAGAATTGGATATCAGGCAGAATGTAATGTGTGTGGACATGAACTTTCTTGTAATGGGAAGATTAAGCTTTTACAATTCTTTGGTATGGATGCTCAATTATGGGATTCTGTCGTTGTTGGTTTTTACATTAAGTCAGATTTGGTGTTATCTGTTGCCTGCCGATGATTCAACCAATGTTTCCGTCTTATGGTGTTTATTTTCGATATCTTTTTCTTTACAGGTAAGGTTACTGTCCCTTAGAAAATTCAATCGTTTCCAGAATCTATGCAAAATATTGTGGATGAAGATCTCGAAAAATGAGTTGAGTTCCGAGAGGAACCTGGTAGTTTCCTTCTCCTTGATCACCTTCTTATTCTTTGCCGTAATTAATATGTTTGGGGATAGAATTATGAGCAATAATCTTGGGCGAGGTAAGTGAAAGTTCTTAAAATTATGATTTGTTAGGATTTGACCTCCTTATGGAGAATTCTCGTGTATTGGCGTCGAACGTTGATAACTTAACAATCGGAAAGAGCTCCCCGATATTGTTGTTTATGTTCACGTCACTTGTTGCTGCACTGTTATGTGCTCTTTTGATGCTGCCGTTGGTGCAATATTCTTTGTTGTTCAAAAGTGCTTCGGAAAGGGAAAGTAGTTTTAAAAGGTGAGTGGTCAACTGTAATATAATAAAGGTCATGGCCAAATTTTAACGCAGTTTTGTAGAATTTGGAAGTTTTGAGTAATTGGCTCACCCAGGCTTTACTTTTTAGTATTCTCCACAAACTGGTGTTTATCTTTCCTTACCTTATCCTTCCTCTTTATCTGGCTCCAGTGGAACAGATCTTCCTCAGCCAAGTCCCAAATCTCCGAGAAGATCTGTACAGTCTAATAAGAATATCTTTGGTGATCATCTGGTCTCTCCTTCGTATCCTCAGCTTGCAATCTCTACTCCAAATGTATCTTCTGAATGCCTGGGACAAAGCGCAAGCGTTTACAAAGCATGTGGACTCTTTTGAAACGGTAAGGATGACATTTACATGACATTTTTGTAATTTTTTTGCGCTTTAAGACCGGACCGGATGAGTACTATAATCAAGGATTTATTTTAAATAATATTTTATTTACAGCTCCGCAGCCACATCTCCCTTCTGGCGATGACTGCCATACAATTACTCGCGCCCGCCATTCTGATTCTTTTCGTCAGTTTGGCCGAGATCTCGTTAGGCCAATTATTGGGCCCTAAGGCCATTCGAATGGAAAACAATCTCGACGTGATATTAGACTATCGGGTTCAGCGGATCTTCTGGGCCTATTCCACCTCGATACTCTTGACTTTACATGTGGTGTTGGCTTCGATCGGATTGGCCTTCTCTTAGTCCATTCGATCATGTTTTAGGTGATAAATAGTAGTCATAATAAAATGCTTTGTGTAAAAAATATTTGATATACGGCTTTCTTTGTCCTCGCAGACATCTCTTTGGATTGCTTACAAGATTTAAGTACGTCTACTTGTTGAGTGTAAAAACTCGACCTCTTCGCTATTATGTTATACATGGCGGAGGGGGTTCTATTTTTGATCTCGCGCTGACATGTCTACAAACGAAGGGGAAGTGAATGCTGATAAATAATTAACTAATGACATAACTCATTTCTTTGGTGCTCTTAATCCTGGGAAAGAGTTTCATTAGTTCGGAAGCCGTGAGGGCATTCTCGCCTTTTATTCCCTTAGGCTATCATAATAGAGCGATACAAAGCGGCGTCGATTCCGTTTTTAGGACACTCATCGAATTACTCTAATTGGGTTAAGTAATTACTCGAGAAATTCCTGTTAATATTGTCCTTTATACGAGACGATGTCATCTTGTCAGACGGGTGTTATCTTCTCGGAAGTGTTGACCTCTCGGTAATCATAATGATATTATCGGCGGTCTCTATGGTCCTTTTTTGATCGGGCTTAGTGGCTTGGCAAGCGCGTCATTTTTGCTCCATTTGAAGTTTCTTGAAATGAGGATTAAAGTAGATGACCTGGACACTGTCACTCTTTCATAAGCCCCACTTCTGGATGGTATTTTCTGATTCAGGAGTGTTCGTTGAACATTTTATTAACAACGAAGGGTATTCAAATATTGCAAAAGTTTCCAAATTCATGAGGGTCTCGGTTTCAGGGAATTGTAAATGCGTTGTCAAGTGAATCCCCGATCTTATTCTGGGATGGATGTATAATATATTTGAGGGAAATCTGACAAAACAGGCGTCCTCTGCCCTCCTGTTTGAAGCCGTTTTCGGGGCGGTTCTTCTTTCCGTAAATTCCTCGAAAAGGAGCCGGAAATTATTGAAATGCGATTACCGGCTCTGAGAAAAAAGAAAACTCGCCTCAGGGCCGAAACTAACAATCCGGGCAACTTTCGCGGAACCGTAACGTTTCTTCTTTACGATTTTTTCATATTTTTTTGGCTATGCCAAGCAGAGATTTTTAAAGAGAATTTCGAAACCGCAGTCATCAAAACCAACATGAACCCTGAGGCATTTTTGAGGAAAGTGACAAAACTTTCTGAGAAGATTGCCTCAGGGCCGGATCAAGTTTCGAGGGGGTTTGTTTTTTAAAACCGGATCAGTCTCGCGATCACTCAGCAATGCAAATATCACGTATATATTTGTTGTTATTCGTTCTGTATAGACAGTATAGTGAGGCCACACAAAAGAACAATTTGGAGAGGTATGTCACCCAGGAGGATAGGTCACCCAAAAATTTACAGACGTGGAGGAGTTTACGCGTAAATCGATGGCATGAATTTCAAACATCTTATCGTCTTCTTTTGAGTTTACCTTGTATGTCTTAGGGAGTTCTGTAAAATAGAATTTTCTTTCTGAACAAATACATAGTGTTTTAATAGGTGACTAAGCGATGGTGCTGAGTACGGAAGTCGTGTTTATTTTCTGTGATCTTAACTTTTTCTTGAGTAGTAGACTTCTTGCAGTGTTTCCATTCAAAAATGAACTCAAAGGTAACCAATTTCTAAAGTCACACTTGTTTTTTTTTATCTTTAAATTATTATTAAATAGTAGTAGCACAAAGTCACAATAAAATATTATACAGGATGTCTCAAGAATTCTGAACGATTTTTATGAAAGAACGAAATGAAGGGCACAACTCAATTTTCACGTAATATCACGTTAGAAATGAGTTACCTATGAGTCCATAATGAAAACACTTCACAAAATTACTGCTTTACTCTACTGCTTAAGAAAATAGAAAATCTCGATTTTGGAAAACTTTGCTTGTACAATCCAAACTCAGAAGAAATGGATAAGAAGTTTGAAGGCCATGCCATCGATTTTACAAAACTCCTCCAGCAATTTTTTTTGGGGTGACCTACCCAGAAAGGATGACTTATGTCCCCGGGAACATAAATGAACTTTAAGCCTTTCACCAATCGCTATTGGCTTACATTAAAAGTCACCTTGAGTTTGTGGAAGTACGAAGTCTACGTGGAAATAATAGTATTTATTTCCGCGCTCCTTTTGGTGCCCAATGTCATGTCAGGCCACTCATATGGCTTCAGACATTCAAAACACTCATCTATTCGCTCTAATTAATTAGTTCTCCACTTTTTCATGCGCTTAAAGTAAACTATCTCTTTTAACTATCTTGAACGTGTCCAAATTATCTCTTTATAGGCCCTCAGGGCATTTTTATGGCTCTCGAAGTGACATTAACACCGGCAATTCGGGTTTATAACAGGGGAGGTCAAAAGGTCGACTGGAAAGCTCTACAAGTTATCCTTACAATTAGGAAGTATTTTTTGATTTGTATTTGAGGTTTTCTGTTCCGTCTGTTATAAGTATCATATTTGTTTCATTGTAGTTACAAATATTTCGAGATGCACAGACTCTTCGCATTTCCTTTTTGGCGTCATACCTTTTTTTAACTATGTTTTATATTATCTCTCTGAAGCTTTGGTTTTGTTTGCTCTGTTCGCAAAGTGCTTGAGGATTTGCCGTTTCCTTTCTCGAGACAAATCTTGTCTCCATATTTCATTCATCCGGTGATAAGGAAGACGCCTCGGGGTGATAAAGAGTGATAAGGACACCGAAGATTGTGATAAGACAAGTGAAAGCGCCCCAGATCAGCGCCGATTCAATGTCCAGATCGCCACTTATCACCACAGGGCGGCTGTCCAAAATCAAGACTGCCTGAGGGCATGATTCCCGATGTCCGGGTGATGGATCGGGCCTCTCCCCGAGGCTGTCTTGCGCCCTTCCATTCCCCAAATTGAAGCTGGAACTCGGGGACCCATTACCTCGTTTTTACGCCCCGGTAGAGACCGAGACATTCAGATTCTAATCAGTTGTAATTCCGAGACTCCGGCCTCTTTTGGAGACCGAACTAGTTGAGGTTTTTGTCTGATTTATGTTCCAGATCTTTAGTTGCGTATTGTAGTCATCTTAAAAAAAATTTTTTTTTTATTTCAACTTTTAATTTTAAATATTTTTTGACGATTACTGCATACTTTCTAGGAAATTTGATCTGTTTTATAAATAAAATACTTTGCAATAATACATCTATTTTTGAGTGTCGCGACTCTTGCCTCCTGCAGGCAACCACTTTGCGGGCAGCCGACATTTTCCGGTTAGAATTACGATTTTCCTCGCGTAATCTGCGTAGTAAAAATGTTGGCTGATTTCCCAACATGGCCGCAATCTCCGTGGTTCTTCTGGCTGCCCGCAATGTGGTTGCCCGCAATTGTGGGCCCGCCATCTATTGTTGTATCGTTTAAAAAAGAATCTATCTAAAAATAATAACACTGTTTACACAACCTTCCTAAGACCTCACACCAACATATTTTATCTGAAATTCAATAAAGTATGCATATATCATCCTTAAGCGAGTCTTATAATGTAAAGTTAATCCCTTCATGATGTCTTGAAACCCGGCATTTCTCTTATTACCGTTTCTGCTTTCCAAGGGACAAGTAGTTGCATCGTGATCAACCATAGAAGTCTTGTTTTTTGTTTTCATTTAGCCGTTAATAAGTGTTCCCCATTGTCCCTTAAAATAAACATGTCATAAAAAGGTCCTGGCTGCACTTTGGTTATCCGGGAAGTCTATCTTATGGCATCATTATGATTACTGATCACATTTTTATATGAGTGTATGACCTTGACTCATTCGTATCTTGGAACGTCTCACAACCGGCATGCATGTCCCGTGCTGTTTCCTTAATCCAAATTCGGGCCAATTTTCCGTGTCTTTATTTACAGCGGTAAAAGTGTAGCCCTCAATTTAAATAGTATTGTCTGATGGAAATGCGGTACGTCATGGGGAGTATATTGGGGGTCTGATTAAGCACGAAGAGATCCGACGTGCCCTCAGGGCTCGTCGATGTCTTTATTCTTGGGAAACTTTGCCCGAGGCACTTCCAGCGCCCTGATTTTGGGTTTTATCACCATTTTGTGGAGTTCGAAACCATCTGGGTTCCGGTCTGCGGAAATGAATCCAGAGAGGATTCGGAGTCAAAGCAACGCCGGAGGGACTCAATTCCTGATGCGGATGGTTCGGCCTATTCTGCTCATCCTGCAAAACGGCGTGACCCCGGATTTAATAAATCTTACTTTTCGGAATGAATGAGTAATTAGCATTAAGTGGCCGTCTCGTTTCAAGATATCAAACCAAAGAATATAAGGTGGTCATAAGTGTCATGCATTGTTAGCAATTAAGTGGTTGTAATCGTTCTACTTTTGCGATGCCGTTTCCTCAATGTGTAACGAAACGTCTGCGTGACTGTAGCCCGCGGAATATCGTCAATCGGGAAAAACGACGATTGAGAAAAATAAAATAATTTTTTCGCTTTTTTGGATGACCAAAACTGTACTTTGCTAGTCTGAACTTCCGCAGGAGGTCCAAGACTTGAACTTTTGATAAGACGGCATCTAACACATGTTTCAGAGGTTGAGTGGATAAACTGAGGCCATGTCGGGACCAAAGAGACTATTAATGAAGTTTTTTCGAGGATAGTCACGCGAAGTATGGTTTTGGCTAATCAAAAGAAAACTGATTTTTATTTCCTGTAATCGTCGCGGTTCGCGTTGTTGCAAAAAGCTTGTAACATCTCAGGAATCCCGTTTTTCTTGACACAAAGGCACCGTTCTTAGTAGTCGATCTTTTGGCAGGTATCTGCGTAAAAGTCTGGATTTAATAAAACGCGATTCCCAAAATCATCGGCCGCTTTACAGTAGAAGTTCGCGGCCGACCTTTAACTCGGTTCTCTCGAATCTTTTTATCTAATTTCTGCTTCGAGGCCAATCATTCGGGCACTCTTTAGCAGGAGGGGATAAAATCTTTTTTTTGAAACAATCCTCGAGGTTCTCGAAGACTCACAATGTCCTCTCACAACCACCGAATACCGCAATCAAGGCGCTATTCAAAGGTTGGGGGCCGTGACCATCAAGTCTGGCGCTGAGGCAATACAGTCCTCGGGCGACGTCCTTTTCTCCTTTCAGGCAGTAGTTGCATTTTGAGTGATGTTTAAGATTTGATGGAAGTGCTTGCGAGCATTTACATAGAGGATATTTACATTTTAAATACATTTAGGGGTAATTCCCGGGCCGTTTGTCCAATCTTTGTGCCTTCGGCTTAATTGGCCTAGACTGAAATTCCTGCTGATTATTTAATTTGCCGAAAATTGTTGCTTACCTTCACTTCCAGATGTGTAAAATTTTATAACCCTTGCGATTATGCTGTATGACGTGTTATTTCAGGAGTTCCAAACCTCTCTTTCAAAGCTTTTGCCCGGCGATTTCCATTCTTATGAGTTTTTTCCTAGACCGGACAGAAACGACCGTCTGAATGCAGATTCTGACAAGTCATTTCAAGGTTATCGAGTCTTGTGTGCAACGCCTAATATCTCTTTTTTATAGTCATTGATGATCTAATCCTATGGGCTCTCTGGACTCTTAAAGAAATCATTTTGAGATTGTAAATAGTTTGCTTGTTGGAGCTTTTCCAAATATATTTTTTGCACGTTTCAACTTTTCTGTAAAAGTGCATCGATACGTAGTTCGTCGATGCCTGTGCCTCCTACATGGAGCAACGGCCAGTAGAGTATCCATTAGAATAAATAAACGGTCTCCAACTTGATCTTTATCTGGTATAGTATTGAATCCTCGTTCTTGAAGGCTGTCCCATCCCCATATTGTCTTCCTTTGTCAAAACATCATAATGTCGCGCTTCCCGCAAAATAAATAATTAATAGAGTTTATCCGCTTCATCCCCATCTTAATCGGGCCTTCAGAATCCCCGTCCCATTTTTTGAAACTTTCTAGTTCCGCACTCTTTTTCGATGTAATCCCTTTAAGGGGGTCGCGGGGGATAAAGCCCACATATATTATATTATGTCCAGAACGGAGATTTAAACAATCATCCACTTACTATTAGATTAGGGCGTTCAAATTGGGTTACATTGGACTTTTGCAGATCTTGATGACATGAAAAGAGAGAGTTCATAGAAAGGAGAGACCGTAGAGAAGTGTTGGAAATGGGTACTAAGAAGTCTAGAGAGAGCCGGAAGAAAGGAAAGTTTAAAGGTCATCACGATCAACTTGTTTGATCGGTTGTACTTTATTTCCGAGATTTGCCTTTTAGAAAGAGTCCAGAGAGGACGTTGTTTGCTGCATAGTATTACATATATCTCATTCCCAGATCCCGGAAGGCAGGCTTAACCTCTTACGTATAATCTTCGAACATAAATTTATTTTAACTGGAATTGGCGCGCTTGTCTCCGGATTTAACCGACTTAATTTTTACATTTCAGGTGAATGGGCGATCCCGATGTGGAGGACTCGAGGCCAGATGGATTCATCAGTCTCGAACGGGACTGCATTCCCCTTTCGGATATGATCAAGGCCCAGGGCATCGACGACCTCACCAGGTGAGATTACTTTTCCTTTTTACGCCCATTTTACTCAACGCTTAATCCCCGGAATCACTCAAACAACCGAAAAATCGGGTGGTTCTTTGACCCCCAATCTTTAATTCCCATATAATTTTGTAGCTTTCCAAGAAGCCGTCTTCTAACGATAAGCCATTTTTTTGACGTCACAACGACCTCTTTTTTAATTTTTTTAATCCAAAAACGCTTTGCCTTTCTGAATACTCATATAAGAATCCTGAAAATAACAAGATTCTTATATTTAGGGCCGTTTACAACCGCCTTCGTACTCTTCTTGCATTGTCCAAGACCTCTTGGCCATTTTTTGCTGATAATTCCCGGAACTACGTCATTAGGCGTTGAATGCCCCGGAATTTGTAGAAATAAATTTTGAAAAGGCCATGCAACAATGTCAATGTCATCCATCTACAAAGTAATACCCACATGTACTTAAAAAGCTCTGTTTTAGTCGGCTGACGGTTCAGGCTCTCTTTGGATTGGTTTACCTTGTTTTATTTGTTCTCGGATTGGTTGGGAATGGAGGCGTTTTTCTGGCAGTTCTACAAAACAAACGACTACGATCAGCACGAAACATATTCCTCCTAAATCTGATCTTAACGGACATCTTGTTGTGTTTGACGGGGATCCCAGTAACTCCGTGGTATGCTCTGTCCAAGGAGTGGGTGTTCGGGTCGTTAATGTGCCGATTAATGCCTCTCAGCAACTCTTGTTCAGTGTTCGTTACAAGGTGAGTATTTGCGTAGTTTGGTTCATCACACTCGTGTTACAAATATTTTAAAAACCACTTTTAATGAATATTTTTTGCATTAGGTATGGTTTAATTCCATTCAAATTTTAAAACTTATTTTTGCAAATTTGATGATTAAAAGTCGTCGGAATTGAACAAGACTTGTTTATCTAGGATTGCCTGAGGGCATTAATTTCAAGACAACTGCTTTTCTTGATCCCTGAGACCATAAATTGTCTAAAGTTTTTTTGTGATCCGAAGAGAATTTGTTCAGAAAAACAATGAGATTTATGAAACCATTGGAATACTTGGCGGTCTCTAAAGAAAGCGATGACCTCGTATCACGAGAATCTCATAATTAATGAGAAGCCGGAGATTAGTGGGAATCATTGAGACAAGCTCTGTTTTAAATGGTGTCTGTTTAATGGCTAATGCAAAACTTTTCATTTTGTAACAGAAAATATTATATTGTAGCAGGACGAATGACACGGTTGATTAGAAAGCACGACGCATCACATATTACGCGCTCATTTGAATTACCTTTCAGTTGGTCGTTGACTGCGATAGCCATCGACAAATTCATGCACATAATCGACCCGACCAGAGAACAGTTCAGTATGAAGTTGGCGGGCATGGTGACTGTCCTCATCTGGGCCGTCTCTACTTGTGCCAATATTCCTTATTTGATGTCCAGTGAATTGGTGGACGGGGCGCACTTTGTGCCTGTTAATTCTACTCCTTTTTGTGGCCATTTCTGTGAAGAGACCAACTGGAAAGGAGAATATCGACTTTTCTATGGGACCACCGTCATGGTGTTTCAGGTATATATGTTATACCTATTGTACTTTGATTACCAATCACTAACAATAAGATTATTTATCATTCTACGCTCTAAGTTGCAAATTTCAGTTTGTGATTCCATTGAGTATCATCATGTATTGTTACTCGAGGATATTTGCCAAAGTGCACAAGGACATGATCATCCAGAATGTCCAATTCTGCCAAAGTCTTACCAATTCACAACGAGTCGATGCCGAGAAGAGGTGAGTTACATTACTTTGCTGCTTAAAATTAAATTGAACTGTTTCTATTAATAGTAATGTCATCTTGTTACATCAAGATCTTTTATTCCTCCCGAACACATTTTACCAGGTCTTGTTTTGGACTTGATATTGTGGAATATGTAATAACCCTATGTGGAGACGTATTTTGAAAAACATTTTCAGAAAAAAACGGGTCAACTACATTTTAATAGCCATGGTGGCCACCTTTATCCTGTGCTGGTTCCCCATTACCATTGTGAATCTGGTCAAGGATTTCCGTAAGTTCATCTTTTAAGCGTTTTAAGATTGAAGTCTTATGAAATCATTGTGCTGAATGTTTTTCTAGAAGTGGAGCCGGCTTTTATGACAGCGCAGCCATATCTGTGGCCTTTGATCGCTCATTCCGTGGCGATGTCGATTGTGGTCTGGAATCCTTTATTATTTTTCTGGCTGACACGGAAACAGAAACGTTCCCATCTGGGTGGCATCTTGCACACAAGTGAGATCATCACTTCGCTCACCTCTCGGATGCAATCAATTCGATCAACAGCCGGGGATTCTGTTCGTCTGGGCTCAACAAGGTCAGTCTAGTCAAATTTCAAGGGGATTAGGGGAAACTAGTCGGTTTGGGAGTAAGTTACACAATAGACATCAACACGTTCATTACGCCACAAGGCATTTTTTTACACACGGGATTCGTGTCAATTGAAAGAATTGCATGCTTTGAAAGGTTTGGAGAGGTTTTACGAACAAGTTAATACTTTGAGCGTTGGGATCTAAAGAAATGACATCCGCAGATCCGATTCATTGACAATTGAGATTAACATTCAATCTTCAGGATACGCAGACGAACCCCCAGCGAGAAATGCTGCTCCAGGAACAATTCCGTCCAGTCAAGGCCGTTGATCGTTAGCCAGACGGACAATGGCACCACTCCCACGGCTCTGCTCACCAAGGCCAGCTCCATGGAGAATAACATGCTCTAGTTGTAAAAGAAGGGCACTTAGGCTCATGGACTGGATGGTATATTAACGTCGGTCCACCAAAACACTTACATCTCAATTCCGAATGCAACAGAATTTTATTGTTTCGGGTCCAAAACCCCTGCGGGGGTCAAACAGGCGGAAAATACGGGTGCGGAAAGCGAGAGATGATATCAGCGGACTTTGTATTTATATTCCCTGCATTTCCAATCGGGCGATGTCTCTCTTCACCGACGCCAAAAACAATCAAAAAATTTGAAACTTGCTCAATTCGTTTTTAATAATAATAAAACTACTACTTGTAAATTTGCTGAGTTCTCTACCACTCGAGAATACGAGTTATTGCACAGAAAAAGGTAACCAGGACGGTTAGGCCATCAAAAAGTTTTATGACTTCTTATTATTACTTTTAATTTTAGGCCCTAAAAGAACGGTGTTTGTCTCGCCGTGTCTTCTGAACCTGGGGTTGCGAATAACAACGGTCTTATTGCCCAAGGGAGCTGATAAATCGGCGGGCAATTTGGAAGGATCATCAACGTTGGCATCAAAGGCTTCTTCAGCGTTATAGGGAGTGGCATAGGCAAGGATGAATCTGAAAAAAAACCCTCAAAATTTTACAATCATGCTTTTTACCGTTGTTTTAAAAATATTTTATGGTACTCACTTTCCATCAATCTCGATTTTGCAGACCAACTCCCCGCTGAAATGAATCTTCTGTGCATAATCCTCAAATCCCGTGATTGCCTCAAAAGGAGTGTCAAACTTTTCCTCCGCATGTCTCTGGACGGCCGAAGTAACAGCTCCAATATTGCAAGTATGGAAATGAGGATCGGCTTGGAGAGATTTGTAGACATTAACCATCAATTCATTCAACTCCAAACTACAGCAAACATAACCATCCCCATTGTAAAAACACTTGGGAAGAGGAAGATCTTTCTTCGGAGGGTAATAATAATTGGCACTGATCAGTTTGGCGCTGTTGCCTTGAGGGCCTGTTCGGATCTTCATTCATTTTGTATACGATTTCATTACTTACTGAGTGCGTGGAAAACCTAGACATCCCTCCGATCAACTTTGGATTCACCTTATTCCTTTCGGCCATTGCTTCTTCCTTTACTAAGGAGTATTATAATCGTTACTCTACTTACCCTTTCCCGCGCTTCTTCCGATTCTGTCTTTTCTCCGGGTTTCTTTATTTCCGGCTGGTTGAAAGGCGTGGATCCACTGTATCCATCTTCCCCAGGCCCAGGTCTACCGTAATATCCAGGCTTGGCCTGACCCGTTCCCATTGGTCCATAGCCAGGTTGACCTACATTCTCATGATTCGAAGGTCCATAGTGGTTTACGCTGTCATCATATCCTACTGCTGCAGTATTCATCGGGATTTGTCCAATAGAATGACTTGAATAATCATCTCCATGCTCATCATATCCAGTGTTTTTTGGACGATTTTGTGGGTCGTAACCATCACTATTTTCGTAATTCTGCTTACTTTTGTACCCATTTCCATTAGCACTTCCAAATCCTTGTCCATCATCAGGAACGGGACCTCGAGGTGGGGGAAGAGGTTGATTTTGATTATGGATAACAGCCCCGGTCGGATGCCGATGATGAGGGGCGTCCGTGTTTGGAGGAAGTCCTACTTTGCGCTTGGCCAGATAAGTCGGATCAGCATTATCTCCCCCACCCACTGGTCCCACCAATAATTTATCCGAATTAAATTTAGAGCCTTTCCCTGCCGCGTCGTGAAGTTTTGGGCCAAATGCTTTCGAGGACTCCTTAGGATCGATAACTGGAGCTAGAGTTGGGTTTATAGTGCTTGTGATCAAAGTAGGGAACGGCTTAGAAGTTGTAGTTGTTTCGGGAACTTGGGATTTTGTCGTCGTTATTGATGGAATTGTGGATGCCACAGAACGAACTGTACTTGAAGAAGGTGAGTTTTCTGATGTCTGAGTAGGTGCAATTGACAGTATTGTCCGAGCGGTAGTTGAAGAAATTATTTCAACTACGGGAAGACTCGTTGGAGATAGCTTTGTACCGCTTTGGACGCTTGCCGACTGTGCTCTAGGCATGTTTTGTCCAAGGGTATTTGGAGTCCTTAGACGTTTATTAGCGGTTCCGAAGACCCGATATCTTCTAAATCCCTAAAACACACAGATTTTGGAACTTCAAAATATACTTATACATACTTACCGTAGGACGATTATTCCGGATATTTGGTTCAAGAATCCTATCAGGGCATTTCAAAGGGTTATTGTCTAAATCAAGGTATGATAATTGTCCAACACTTTGTCTTTCCCACCCAAACAGACCAGCTCACCTGTACAGACAGTACCCGATCGTACTCTCAGGCATATTAGCCCAGCACAAATCAACGTTACCCGAACCAGGATCCGCATTTCAACTGAAGTCTACCTAGCCCGAGGGCCTGTCTTTTGTGCAGTACAGGCAGAACGATCTCAAAAAACAAGATATCCAACTAATTCGATTAAAGTCGCCCAAAACAAGCGTCTTATCAGCCAGAAAAACAAGTCCATCATCGCGCAGCTCTGATGACGATCCGACCGACGTTTTGGTTGCATTGTTATTGTAAGCGCCGAGTCATTAATAGGCGTCAAAAATAACGAACAGACAGAACTTAAAAAATGGAGATTACAAACTTGATAATCAATTATCAATTCGTGATGATTGCGTAAAATATCGAAGAGTCTCATTCGCAAAACGCCATGCATGTCGAAGGAATCTGTCGACACAAAATTTTGCGTTCACGATTTGAATTTTTTTGTACCCACTCCTCTTGTACTACCTCATTTGCATTTTAGGTGTCATAGGTTTGTCCTAAATCTAAGTCACATGAAACAATCACCTTTTTAAAGGCCATCAACGGTTTACCTTAACCTAACCTCGGGCGCATTTCGCCAATGTATGGGCGTTCAATTTTATACGAAGTTCTACAAAAGAATAAAATGTGATTTATTTTTTGGAAAATTGATAAATATTTTTTCTTTATTATTCTTCGAGTCATGCGATTTGCGATTGTTATTTATGGGAATGCATGTACAAACTTATAAGCCGTGAATTAATGTTTCCTACGAGCCCCGAATTTGCACCAGAGATCTCTCAGCCACCGCTTTTTGAGTTTTCAAGTTTTTCGGACCGAAAATTCTATTTTTCTTTGTCTACACGGGTCATAAGTATGGGGGAAAGGAATCAATCCCGAGTTTTACGGGCTCATGAAGTCTAATTGGGAGGAATTGGATGTGTTTGGCGTAAACACGGGTTTTTGATCCGCTTATTTTCAATTATCTGAAAATCAAGCTTGCCGAAATGTATATAACGCTGGTAAAGGAAACGGAAGATTTTATGTTCTTGGCTAAATTCCTAAAATTGGGGAAAAGTATTGCCGAATTGTACGGCTCGTTCCAATCTTTATCCTCACTCGGGATATGTGAACAAAAATAGGGATAGTCACGTGTCCTCGCCCGGACCTCCACTGACCTTTGTATCTAGAATCACGGGAAATTAGGCTTGTTCTCGGTGGTTCTACCGGCCGTGCTGTCCTCGGCCTCGTGCTTCGGCTGCCTCAGACATTCATTCTCGTTATTGGCACGCCGTCCGAAAAAAGAGGCCTTTCTCGTCTTCGCCTCCATTCTTTTGCACCCTGAATCAGGCCCCTTAAGCGGTGCGGCCGTTCTCTCATAATTATAATATTCCGGCATGATAATTATATTGTTTTTTCGAGGACGGAAGAAGGTTACCTTGTTCGCTTAAAGTGATGTCGGGACCATTACTGGTCGACTCTTTGGAGGAGACCATGTGTGAATTTTGGAGAATGTCAAATAACCTTATTCTATTTCAGAGGCGGCGACCTTCGGCGACATCAGAAGGCCGGCGCGAAATCAAACTCTCAAACTTTGTGTTTCTACCTCCACAAGATCCACCAAAGCATTATTTCTCTGATTCACGGGTTCCTCAGATCCTCGCAGCATATAAAACTACGGGTACCTCTGGAAACATCTATCTTCGGTGAGGGTTTTATTCATCAAAACACGCCGGCTTCCCCTACTTTACATTGAATTTTTTTTATAGGAATGAATCATTCAAATGGAGTATCCACCGGTTGGATAGTCGACAACAGAGTGAGATCGGCTTCTCATGCTGGGTCCTGGTATTCTGGGGATGCCGGTGATCTAAACAATCAGCTCGAGAACTGGCTAAAGCAAGTAAAGAAGTCCCCTGGAATTGTGAAGGCTATTATATCACCGTAAGTTGAAATTCATCTTATACTTTTGTCGATTTAGACATGCAGGATATTCCTATTGCGGTGAAACAGCGGCTTACGCCTTCAAGCAGATTACTCCCAATAAAGTGTAAGCGTCTAAAAATTATTTTTTTTGAGTTTAGTAATCATCCTTTTATAAACAAGTTATTCGTTGCTGTTTCAGAAAACGAGTATTTGTTTTGGGTCCTTCACATGTCGTCTTCTTGAACGGGTGCGCTCTTACGACCTGTGCCAAGTACCGCACTCCTCTCGGAGATCTTGTTGTCGATCAGAAAATCAACGCCGAGTTGGTGGCCACCGAAGCATTTGAGCCGATGAGTGTGAGAAATGAAGAAGCTGAACACTCTATAGAGATGCAGATGCCGTTCTTGGCCAAGGTCCTGGGTCACTCCAATTTCACGATCATCCCAGTGTTAGTGGGCTCGTTATCTCAATCCAAACAACATCAGTATGGGAAGATCTTTGCCAAATATCTCGCCGATCCCGACAACTTCTTCGTAATCTCTTCTGACTTTTGTCATTGGGGCCAACGCTTCCATTACACCCCTCATTCGAATCACTCCAGCAAATCAATTCACGAACAAATATCGGACCTCGACCATAGAGTAAGGGCAATAAGGCTGAGCTCAATAAATATGTCTTTTGCAGGGTATGACCGCCATTACCTCTCTGAATCCGCCCGTGTTCAACGATTATCTGAAGGAGACGCAGAACACAATATGTGGCCGAAATCCAATCTCGGTGATGCTCCAAGCGGCCGAATATTTCCGGCAAATGAATAATCACACAGCGGAATTCAAATTCCTCCGTTATTCTCAGTCGAACAGCGTGAGTTTGTGGTCTGTGGTGACAATTATGAGATAAGAGACCATGATATTATGGCATCATCTGTACTGAGTACAGGGTGTCCTAAAAATTCTGGATGTTTTAAAGCTCTGAATACCTTCGCCCAAAGTGAAGCTGGAAATATAATTTTGACGTGGTTTTGTGCAGCTTATACTAGTCCTTCCGGAAAGTCGCCGGACGGAAATCGGCGACATGCACTCCGCGAAAACGAAAGTTCACTTTGCACTGTGCAATTTTTGGCTTTTTGCACAGTGCAATAGGCTTTTTGGGGCTGTCGCTCGCACCCTGACTTTTTTCGTACAGTGCAAACGTCAAAAATCAGTCCGGCGACTTTCCGGAAGGACTAGTATGCCGGGTTTAGATGCAAGCAGTGTTTTCATCAAAGCTTATATCGGAGTGATGGCAAACCCGCCATTTTTAGCGCCTACAATTTTAAGAAATTCAAATCGCGTGAGGCATCTATAGGAACATTTTTTTAAAACACAGATATTCCAAGTTTTTTCTTCCCATAACTCATGGAATACTGAGTTGTTGCAAATAAAAATATTATAAGATTGCCATAACCCTCGGACAACCGTGTCTTCGGTTCGCAAATTTTGATCGACTGAGGAAGTTCTGGTAAACCGAAAATCCGTTTAATCACCGGAAGATCAAATCGCAATTTTGAAAGAATAGGAATGAAATTGGGACTTCTTTTACAGAGTAGCAATTTAAAACTTTCTAATACTAACTACAGAAATTCCTGTCTCAAATGAAAGATTGCGGAGGTTATGAGTTGAGCTGTTTGCCCCCGGGGAGTACCACTTTACCAAAGAGTACGCACGTCAATCCAAAATAGAAGAAAAAATTTCCCGCCCCTTTTTTGGTGATTCGTTCAAAATCCGATAAAACGCATTTTCTTATCTTTCTTCTTCCTTTTCGAGAAAAAAACAATTATTTCGGGCGAGAAAAAGTGCCGATAATTTCGCGACATTTCGTCTCTCTTTTAAACCAATGAAAACGGTACGAAGTTTCGAAACGGTTCAGGAAATGCGCTGGATTGACGTGGTACGTCTTTGCCGAAGAATACCCGAAAAGGGAAGAGTATTCCTTTTGGATGCCACCTATGGACATCTAGCGTCAAGTAGTTCCGGAAACACCTACACTATGTTTATGTACGCGATATAAGCATTTCCGCTGCCGCTAAAAAAGACGTTGGCTAGAAAAGGTGAAAAAATCGCTACAAAATTTATACTCCTAGCTTCATCTTGAATGAATTTATTCAATGTTTAAAAATTCTCAAATTCTTGGTACACCCTGTATAATATTTCGATTTCAGTGCCGTTCCTTAAGTGATTCATCGGTTTCGTACGCTGCAGGGGCCTTATTCATTCAGCCCAAATGATAAGATTTCCAATTTTCAGAACGATGTACATGTCCAAAAACAGAAGACGAGGATTCTTTTCTTATTTAATTAAAACTTTTTATGTTATAACAACTAAACAAGTAACTAAATAGTTCTATTATTAGACCACATGAACTCTCTTTGTCGATTTCTCCCATAAAGTGTAGATTAATTTCTCCATGGAACCGTATCGACCAAAGATGTAGAGGTAATTAAGGACGAGGAAGACCACAGTACACTAAATCTTAATCATAACCCTTACAATAATAAGCATTTACCTGCACAAAGGGCATGAAAGTAATGTGATAAAAGTAAACGCTGACCATCGACACCCAAAAACAAAGTCCGTAAAAGACGACTGCGTTCTGTTTGAAGTCGTCACGCAACTAAAATGCCACATTAAAACTTAATAAATCCACATACCCAAATGAATCCGTCATCACAGTTGAATTGACGCTTATTCTTTGCTTTTTGGGAGTAGTATTCTTCGAGTCGTTGTTCTTTCTCGTACCATATCCTGAAATCATGTTTGTCATGTGTAGAGGTTCATTGGGTTAAAGCCAACAATTTTCCTTACTGATGAAGCCAATGGTTCAACTCCCCCTCATTTTTTGGCAATTCGCTGACATGATATCGTTTTATGTGATAATGCACTTCACTGGGCAGACTCCCTTTTATCACCATGTCTGTTTCATTTTGTACAATATCCTGTGGATATGCCACTGTCACGTCATAAACATATTCGAGATAGTTGTCTGAAAAAATGATGAAGAAAATGGACATTTCTTATTTCTCTTCCGCTTGCTCTTCAGAAATAGCAAAAGCAGGAACGAGAGGGGAAGCCAGTGTGTCATTCTGGCCGAGTGGTCTAAGGCGCTGCGTTCAGGTCGCAGTCCTCTTCGGAGGGCGCAGGTTCGAATCCTGCGGATGACAGAAGTTTTGTACTTTTACCCTTATATTTTTATTTTATCATATTTTTCTACTTACGAACACTTACTTCTTCTCATTTCCTTAACCAAGTGCAAAAAACCAGCCGAACGTGGGTATAGCACGTTCTTGAGTTCCCTCAATCCATTTTTCTTGGCAAACTCATTGCTTCTATTCAATGTAAATGCAGTTCGATCTGTGCCCTCAGGGAACATTAAAATCTGGTACGGTATTCCCATGTCACTGTAATATTCAACAGCCCTAGTCATCCGGGGTAAATCGACCTCGAGGTCTCTTTTCAGGAATATGAATTGTTGGACTTGCATACCGAAGCCTAAAAATAAAAGTTCGAACAGTAATCACGCAACATACCGACTCCAGGAACGTGCTTCAGTAATTGTTTCAAAGCTATTTTGTTAGAAGTTGACAGCCAAGGATTCATTCTCCACAGAACTAGCCAATAATACATCCAGTCCAGCCTTGTCCGATGGTTCATCACAACTACAGCTGGACTCCCATACAAAACTTCGTCCCCCGTCACTCTCACCTTGATCCTGAACACAAATTTGAGAAAGAACTGAAATGTGTGAGCTATTGTATGCGTTTAACCGTATTATTATATTATACAAGTTCAGTATTACCAAAGGGATGACCATCCAGAAAGTGGCAGCCCGATCCATCAGATCCCTCCATAACCGATGTTTGTTCAGGACTGTGATTAGTGGCAACGACAAAGTGATGATGTAATTACCGAACAATGAGGTCACAAACACAACAAACGCAAACGTAGCCCCGACGATGGGGCCGGTGATCTTCTTCGTCTTCTCGAACATCCCCATCTCGATGTTCAAGGTCGAGAAAAGCGAAAGAAATCAAAATTCGAAAGACTTTCGGACGAGTTCATCCAGCTGACGGGAGAAGCGCGAAATAAGGGATGGAATCCACAGAAACTCGGGATGACCTGAATTGAACGTCGCGGGGAGGGATACCATGAAGAGTGACGGCACCCCGCGATCTAGAATAATTGCCATTGTTTATGGGTTTAACTCAGCGTTTAAACTTTGATTTGAAGCCAATTATGTAATCGAAAGGTCATTCAATTAGATCAAGTAATGTTCATCTGGTTATGCATAATTAGATCGACACCTGCTAAAATTACACTTAACTTCAGCCGAGCTAATTGTTATTCTGCACTTGTAAGCATGAATATTGTGAGTAAATGGAAGTCTTATTCAAGTATCTGCTTACCTCTTCTGATGTGAGTAAATAAAGGGCCGATTTTTTCGTTCCAGTTACCTTACATTTGGGTCCCGCCACGCAAACTAAGAAGAGTCAAAGCGTTTTCTTCGAAGCCAAAAGAAATAAGAGCGCGTGATTTCACAACGAAACGAGGTGTCAAGAACAAGTTTATGAGGGTTGCGCAATGCCTTGGCTTTATCAAATCCTAAATTTTTGGTTTCTCAATATAGGAAGATTAATATGCGTTTAAAACAAGCAAACGAAAATAGCGATCTGCTGCTGTTTTGATGTTTTCGGACAACAATCCTCATTGGTTGCTAGGGTGTTTACGGTCTAATGGATGTGGTGAACATTGTTTTCATGTCATAAGTTAAGGCCGGATCATATTACACTTGGTATCTGATGAATATGCTCCATCTTTCATGGGTTTTGTTATTTATTTTTATATGAATCTCCGCGGCCTTACATATTGCGGTCTGGTTGCTGTTCTAATGTTATCATTTCAGGAATTTCGTGAGCGCGGATTTTCCGCAAGTGTGAGGAGTGAGAGTGTGTGTGTTGTAATATTTATTATTGTTAATTATTTCTGTGAGTTTGAGAGGAAGAGAAAGGTGTTTCTTGGCTTTTTCTTTCAATTACCATTTGAGGCCACACAAAACGTAAGTTATTGCGATTTTATTAGAGTGATTTAGACTGATACAAAAACATGACACCCTTCTTACATAAAAATAATGCAGAATATTTTTGATCGAATAATCTAGAAATTTTCTGCGTTCTCAAAAGCGGTGCCATTTTTGACGAAACGCTTAATTAAACGTATTTTTATTTGGGCTTTATGGTAGCTAAATTGTCTGATTTTAGAAAAATGTCAGTCGCGACAGCCGAATTAGGTGTCATTGAGCAAGCCCGCACCGGATTGGACCCTTCGGGCGAGAAGATCGATGTGGAAACCTTGGATCAAGTGGTAATGATTATGAATAAGAGTGCTGGAGAACAACAACGAGCAGCTTCCGAACTGCTGAGCGCATTCAAAACTGATGCAAGATCTTGGACTAAGGTAGATGCCATCCTCGAATACTCGAAACACGTCGAAACTAAATATTTTGGACTTCAAATCCTGGAACAACTAATCCAAACCAAGTGGAAGAGTCTCCCGAGAGATCAGTGTGAAGGCATCAAGGGTTATATTGTCTCCAAGATCCTCGAAATTAGCTCTAATGAGATTACCGACGAAGGAACGAGACTGCTTCTCCAAAAGTTCAACCTGGTTCTAGTACAAGTAAGAATTTGAAGGGTTTTATCTTAGATGTTTAGATTGTCAAATTCGAATGGCCCAGGCATTGGCCAAGCTTTATCATGGATATCGTCGGCTCTTCGCGGAATTCTCAATACATTTGTATGAATAATATGGAGATCCTTCGACTCCTCAGCGAAGAGGTCTTTGACTATGATACCAATCTGACCACCTCCAAAGCGGCCTTCCTTAAACAAGAGTTTTGTTCCCAGTTCCAAGCTGTTCACACTCTTTGCTTGGAGATTTTGCAGTCTTCGGACAACGCCGACCTTGTTTATGCTACTCTCAGGACGCTCCATGGATTTCTTTCCTGGGCTCCAGTTGGATTTATCTTTGAGAACAGTCTGATTGAGTTGATTACTGGTCGTGTAAGTAGTTTTCATTTACCTTGTATTTATTGTTTTGAATGACGATTATAATGTTGTTGTTTTCAGTTCATGCCGTTCCCCAACTTCCGTTCTCTCTGTGTCCAATGTCTGATCGAAATCTCGGGCATTGATATCTCCGGGGAGCCGAGATATGGGGTGCGTTTGGATATCATGTTCAAAAACGTGATGAGTGTTCTCTCGGATCAGATCCCCATCGAAACTGATATCGCCGATTCATACTCTCGCGGTCAGAATGCCGACCAGCAGCTAATCTCAAACCTTGCTTTGTTCCTGGCCACCTATCTCCGCAAACATTGTTCTATCTGCGAGATCCTCGAGGATAGACCGGAGGCATCTCGGGCCGAGACTAAAGCCGCCCATGCCTTGGCATTGAAGTATGTGATTACTGTTGTTTAGAGAATGTAATTTTTACATTTTTAGATATCTTCTCAAGATCAGTGAGGTTGAAGATACTGAGGTGTTCAAGATTTGCTTGGATTATTGGAACTGGCTATGTGCCGAGCTCTTCAGAGAATCTCCATTCGAAGCATTGCAAGCCAATCTGCTGGATGCCCTCAGGCTGATGAGAGAGAACAACAGTGAGAATCCTCGACGTCGTCTCTACTCGAGCGTTCTGTCTGATCTCAGAATGCTGATGATTTCCAGAATGGCCAAGCCCGAAGAAGTTATTGTAGTAGTGAATGAGAACAACGAAGCGGTCAGAGAATTGGTCAAGGATACCGACTCCATCGTCCTCTACAAGACCATGAGAGAAACTCTGGTCTTCTTGACACATTTGGACTACAGAGACACTGAAACCAAGATGATCGAGAAACTTCAGCAACAAGTTAATGGAAACGAATTCTCCTGGAAGAATCTTAACACTCTCTGCTGGGCCATTGGATCCATCTCTGGGGCCATGAGAGAAGAGGATGAAAGAAGGTTCTTGGTTACTGTAATCAGAGATTTGCTTGGACTTTGTGAACAGAAAAGAGGAAAGAATAATAAGGCCGTTATTGCCTCCAACATCATGTACGTGGTTGGGCAATATCCACGATTCTTGAGAGCTCATTGGAGATTCTTGAAAACGGTTATCAACAAACTTTTCGAATTCATGCATGAGTCACATGAGGGAGTTCAAGTAAGTTTGAATTTGATCTGATTTGATAAGGTTTTTGTTTTCAGGACATGGCCTGCGATACTTTCATCAAGATTGTGGTCAAGTGCAAGACACATTTTACCTGTATTCAAGGCGGGGAAACTCAAGCTTTTGTGGATGAGATCCTTCACAACCTGAACACCATTATCTGTGACCTGTCTCAGCCCCAAGTTCATGTCTTTTATGAGGCCATGGGACATATCATCTCCAGTGAGACAGACGAAAATAACCAGGCCCGACTCATCGAAGGCCTCATGACAGTCCCCAACAGAATCTGGGCTGAGATCGTTGAGCACGTGTCCGGGAATACCCAAATGTTTTATGATCAAGATGTCCTCAGAAATCTGATCCACATCCTCAAGACTAATGTGGCTGCTTGCAAATCTGTCGGAGCCCCCTTCTACACTCAGATCAACCACATCTTTAACGAGACCATAGTCATTTACAGACTCATCTCCTCTTTCATCAACACTTTGGTCAGCGAACAAGGCCCTGAAGTCTTGAAGCAGCCAATTGTAAAGTTGATGAGGGCTGTGAAGAGGGAAGTCCTGACTCTTCTTTCTACTTGGATCGCCAGGTCCAATGTCGCCAGAAGTGATGACCTGAGGAGATTGGGAATGGGAAATGGACAGACCATCGTCGACCGAATGAGCGAACTTGTGATCACTCCCTTGTTCGACACCATCCTTGAGGATTACAGAACTGGTGTGCCCGATTCCAGAGAACCCAAAGTGTTGTCATTGTTGTCAATTACCATAGTCAGCTTTAGTGTAAGTCGTTTCCTTTTTTTATTGGAAATTGTTTTAGGACAAGTTCTCCGGATATTTGGAAAGAATGATGGAGATCGTCTTCATGCCCACCTTGGAGATGATCCAAGCCGAGACCTCCCAATACCCCGAACATCGCGTCAATTTCTTCCAGATGGTTCAGGCAGCGACGACCTCTTGTTTCGATGTTGTAATAAAACTCCCTGAGAAGATGCTTTCTCTGATCGTCCAATCTCTTCTTTGGGCGCTGCAACATACCATTAGAACAGTCGCCGAAATTGGAATTCAAATGATCACCGAACTGATCAAGAGACTCCGAGAATATCCCAACGAGGCCCTAAGGCAGAAATTCTATCAGACTTATTACACCGAGATGCTGACTCATGTGATGGGAATTGTTACAGATCACAATCAGGTACCTTTTGTTGGGCTGGGAAACTTGGCCGAGGCGGTGTGCCAGCTATTCATATGTGCTGAGAGTGATATCACTGTCAATTTGTCCCCCAATCAGAGTAATGTCGAGCATATCGCTGATTCCATGGCTCAGATCCTTCAAAGGCACTTCACCAACTTGAATGGGTTAGTTCTTAGATAACCATTGTTTATAGTTCGTGATCTTTTTCAGGGATCAGATTAGAGTCGCCATCAAAGGATTCTTCTCATACAACAGAGTTCAGCCAAAAATGAGAGATCACATTCGAGATTTCTTGGTTCAGATAAAGGTAATAATTGATTAAAGTATCAGACCGTTCGTTTAGGAAGATGCTGGTGCTGATACTGCTGATCTATTCCTGGAAGAGAAGGAAAAGGAAATCCAGAGAATGCAAGAAGAAAAGAACCAAGTTCCCGGCATCCAGAACCCCCACGAAATCGATGAAGAAATGGCCTAGGTGTTAATCAAGAGGAAAGTCCGAATTCATCTTCTCAATTCTTAATTTGTCTTTTTTTGTGAATTATATGATAATTGTCGATAAGGTTATTTGTGTTATTCTGTTTCTATCTATAAAGCGAACTCATTCCCTTACAAACCAATAATTATTATGTTCTTTGTTACATCTCCTACTCTGATCTTCAAGGTATTTCAATACCTTTCCTTGCTGATAATGTCGTCGTAGAAAACTTGACCCATAAAAAATGTTTCAAAGGTGGAATATCGTTTTTTGTCCTATCACGTTGCACATCTCCCTGTGTAGAAACGCAGTTTTATTTTTCACAATTACCAAATAGACGTAAGAAATTAATACAACAAAAATGCTAACTCCGATTCAAAAGTTTGTCAATGAACAATATTTTATTAACTAGTAAGAGTTTTAGTTGAATGGAACAATAGAAAATACAAAATAAGTTAAGCTTGATGTGGATAATATTGGTTTCGACCAGCTTGCTGTTGTGGCTGACCAGCGCCGCCTGCGGGTCTTCCCTTCATTTGTTGCTCGATGATAGCTGCCTGTTCGTGCATTCCAACGGATCTATAGTAATCTGCCCATTGAGCCGAATAGTCGGGTTGACCAGTTTGAGGGTTGATTTGTGCGTTTTGGCCTGGTTGAGCCTGGGCTGCAGGCTGTGCTGTTTGAGCAGCTTGATAAGCTGGAGCACCACCGCCATATTGATTGTTACCACCGCCTGCAAAATTAAAATATACTATCGACGATTTTAAAATGTAAGGGCAACAAAACTACTTACCGTAGCCATTTTGAGACCATTGATTCTGATACTGATCTCCGGAGCCTCCGTACTGCGAACTCTGGTATTGCCCTCCAGTTTGAGCAGCAGCCCCCATTGGTGGCACCGGTGTCCCTGGTGGGATGTCTCCAACCTTAATGCGAATAATATGCTGGGCACAATGTATGTTGTATGGAGATCCCTTGATTACAAACACCTTCTCAGTGGCATTTGGGGGAGGGTCACGGGACAATTCGACATGAGCTCCGGATTCATTGCAGATCTGCTTAATGGTCTCTCCGCCTTTTCCAATGACCAAGCCAGTCTTGTTAGCAGGGACATGCATCAGACAGACCTCTGTCGCTTGATTGCCGGAGGATCTTTGAACCAAATCCCAGATCATTTGAGTGGCTCGAGTGATCTGTTCAGGAGTTCCTTGAACAACGGCACATCTCTCCGAAGCATTTGGATCTTCTAAAAAACGTTTAAAAATATGAGTTGAAAAAATATCATATAACCAAAAATTCAATTTTGTTTGTACGAACAAAAATTAAGAGAAATTTGACTCAATCGATAAGCTCTCCATGATTTTGGTTCAAACATGTTCTAGCGTCCTTATGACACCTAATAATTGTAATGGTCGTAATTCCGATTCAAATAAATCACAAAAAACTTGCTCATTAAAAGAACCAGAAGGCCAGCAATTACTTGGCTCTTAGAAAACGCAAACGAGTAATCTTTAAACAGAACATAACCTACCATCAGGCTTGAATTGAATCTTGGTGTTTGATTCCTGAGCAAGTCTCTTAATTGTTTCTCCACCCTTTCCAATGATGATACCAACAGCAGAACGGGGAACGATCACTTCTCCAACAGACTTTTGTTGAATCATGGATGTAATCGAAGAGGCGTTACCACCTTCGCTGATCAGTTGTTCTACAGCTCTCTTGCATTGCTCCACTTTATCAGGAGATCCAGAAATTCTCAAGGTCTTTGGATGTTGAGAAACATGCTGACTCTCTTGGACCAGCAACATTTTGCATCCAATTTGTTCCTAAAAATAAAATTAATAACATTAATGGAGTCTTACCTGAAGTCCCTTGATGGTTTCTCCACTCTTTCCAATAATCAGGCCACATTTATTCCCAGGAATTAGCATTTCATGAGTGATAGTAGGTTGCCCAAGTCCAGGAAAGTTTTGTTGAGGAATTCCATTAGCTCCAGTTTGCTTCTTGTTGATCACATCCCCAATCAATTGCTTGGCTCGATCAATACAAGTTCTAGACCCATGCAGAGTGCACACCCGGAACCCCTTTCCTTGTGCATCTTGGGCCATTTGGACTCGACATCCGGACTGTTGTTGGATGTTGGAGATCTGTTCTCCGCCCCTTCCAATGACAAGTCCGACCACGTTCTCGGGAATCTGGATTGTGTCCATCAGAGGTTCGTTCAGCTGACCACCCATTCCCATGCCAGCCATTTCACCGTTTGGTCGTTTAGCTGGGTGCACTAAAATTTAGATATTACTCTATTGTCTAAACATTTAAAAAAACTATTCTAAAGGCACAACTAATAAAATCTACGATGAGCCAAAAAATCACCCAACCCCACAAGAAAGATTATAAATACGTAAAAAAGAAAATGTAAAAGTTAAACAAACGCATCAATCATAAGAATCATAATACGAAATGTGGTCGCGAATAAATAAAATCCTCGTTACACGTACAATTCAAATCGTCAGAACTTGGTCGCTTGATGGAGCCGTTTGATTGATTATGGACAGTAGAGAGCTAAACAAATATAATAACAAAGGCATTGTTCATTGCATTCAAATTTCTTACTGAATCTATAATATAATGTAACTTTTAAAACAAAATTTTCAGTCGCAAAAATTTAGCAATTATATTATCCATGTCCCAAAACCCCACGTAAAGTTTGAAATATGATATTCAACAGCGAAAAATACATTTCATGTAAATATAACATCATAATATATGCATCACATAGTCACCGGCAATGTAAATATCAATAAATAAATGCATTTCCGAACAATTAAATCCACTAAATAAAAAATTTTCGAGTAAATCATGCAAAATTTAGATAAATCCCCCATTTGTTGAACATTTGAAAGCAGGAAACAGCTAAGGAAATTAGGACTGACCTGTTTAACACGGTGCAATGGGTCAGTGATTCCTTCGTTGGTGATAGCTCCGCTGGACATAACTCAGAATACCATTCAAATTCGAGGATTTCAGAGCCTCAAGATGACGCCAGAAACAGTACGAATATGCTGAAAACATAAGAATATATGAACCTTTTCAAAAAATCTTTTGCACGAATTTAAACGGTACATTATGCTAGAGCAGCTGACTCGACAAGGGTAATATCAGTGAACTGACCTGATTGTTCTGCTCACACTGACGCTTACCTTGCTATCTTTTTCTGCGGTCGGCTGCAAAATGAACGCGAATCGATGAAAAAGGCGGTACCGTGGAGTTGGCCATTTGTTTTCGTGGTGGGACCCAGATTAATACAAAAGGCTAAAAGTGCGCAATTATCTATCGAATTTTTGTGACACTTCGTACCAAAAAGAGGCTTCGTGGAAACTGGACAGAGTGAAATTGGACAGAGTGAAATTGGACAGAAATAATTTGGACAGAGCGTGGAAATTGGACAGAGTGAAATTGGACAGAGTGAAACTCGACAGATTTTTTTCACTGCAAAAAATAATTATTTGATGGTTCAATATTGACATTTCGTACGATTGCAGCGAAAATCTGTCCAATTTCACTCTGTCCAATTTCACTCTGTCCAATTTCACCCTGTCCAATTTCCACGCTCTGTCCAAATTATTTCTGTCCAATTTCACTCTGTCCAATTTCCACGAAGCCCAAAAAGATGCTCTTAAAAAGATACGATTTTTTCAACCCTGCCATCCAGCATTTAGTGATTCGGTAAATGGTGAATTAGAAAGAGTAGACGTTTAGCTATCCGCTAGAGGTAAAACAATATATGTGATTGATTCCATGGTCGAGATATTCGCCCTAAAGCTTGGAAAAATCCTGAACTTTGCAGTCATGGGCAACTCTTACGTTAGTTAGAAATCCTACAAAACTGATCAGTCAGCACTACAACATCATTTTCAATCATCATGAGAAGTTTCAAAACTCTTGTGCACTCGTAACTCAGCTTATTGACCCATCTTTCATGCCATTAAAATTGTTGCAACAGTTGCCCGGGCTTTTGGCAAGACGGAGAAATCCTTGGCATTCCGCAACTAGAACAAGTTTAATTTTCAAACTCCTCAAATATGGTGTTTTTCAAGGATACGACTATAACAAAAAAAATTCACCGGTCTGGTCTATAGCCTAGATTTTACTCAATACTAGGCTCATTGTAAGTTACAATTTTTCTGATCTCTCTAAAAAACAAAAAAAATATTTAACAGCACGCCAAGTATTTGTTTTCGTGGCGTTACGCGACGAGTATTTCGTGAAAAAACGTTGTGAAGTGCATGGATCTCGGGATCTGAGCCTTGCGGAGATTTTTTTATGTATATAAACTAGTTTCAGACAAGCATTCATAAGGTTTTCTTTTCTAATCGTAAGCAAGTTTGTGCATTCCTTACCCAGTTACTTGCATTGGCCGCCATCAACCATTATTCAAAAATCGATAGTTACATTCTGCTTCGAAAGAAAATTTTTATTTTTATTAGCAGTTTCACCGATTGCTTTGGCATCCTTCCGCAGGCTTGGTAGTAGTGTTACAGTGTTACTCTGTTCACTTTGTATTTCTAGAAACAGAAATGGACGAGCCGCTTCTTTTGTTTCGGGATTATGTTCAAAATCGGATTTCGATGAAGGAAATGAATGTTGTAAGTAACTTCCCAAATGATTTTTAAGTCTTTAGAATGGACAACTTTACTATGTGTTCGGCGAAACAGCATTTCCGGCCAATTGTAATACGGCTCTTCAAGTTCTTGGTCAAGACAAGGTGTTCTACACGTTAGAAGCTGTAATTCAATGCTGGAATATGAGGGAAAGAGAACACAACTTCTATGTGAGAGAGGTATCGGGGAAAAGTATTCAAGTGGTAACTCTTTTGCAAAGGCAAGATTGTTTTTTCATCTATCCAAACTTTTGTTTAGACGAAAATTAACTGCTTATTTGGCTGGGGACACAGATTCGGTTATGGGATTGGTTCCGAATGCTCCATATTCAGCTGGTATTCCTTTATCCCAACTCGAAACGCTCACTGAGGAGCACAACGAACCTGAAGCTAAGAGATTGAAGTTGTCCCAAACGTATGTCTTTTTAATTGTTTTCTGTGTTTTAGAACTAACTATATAATTTTCAGTGATAATGACAATTCTTACAATACGACTTTTAACTTTGACACAACAATGGAAGGGGATAGTCAACCCAGTCAAGATGAAGGAATCCGAGCATTGAACGCTGATTTAGATGCTGATAAGATTGCTCAGCTAAGGAATAGAGTCAAAAAGAATCTGAAGAAGGCACCTGTTAATCTCGCCGAAGATGTGTATGATCCGATAGCTGAGTTTCCATTCGAAGATGCCTCTGAAGATGAAGTCGGACTAGCCTTGAAAGAGATCGAGACCCCTGGCTGTTCGAGGATACAGATATATAACTGTGAAGGATTAGATCTTGAGTCTGTCATGGAACATATCACAGAGGAAATTGTAAGTTTCGAACTACAACTATTGATAAAATACTTAGAACAAGAAGAATCGTCCTCCTCAAAACAATTCGTTCATCAAGCCCCAATTGCCAACAAATGGAGGAATTCAGAAGAAACCAACCAGTGGCTACAGTAGATACGACCAGGAAGTATTCAGACCCGAATTGGACACCGATCTCGAGATTGACATGGATCTGTCTTTCAGAGGTGTGTCATCGACAATATTGAGTATCATTGTCTTGAACTTTAGGTAATACAAAGAAGGCCAATCCGATCAAGCCGACCTTAATGCAGCCCCCGAAACCCCCTCAGAGACTTGATTTTGGTCCTGTGTCAGCACTAAATCCTAACGGAAGACCTCCGAAGAGACAATCCAAGACTCCCATCATTGTTATACCCGCTTCTGGGACGGCTTTAATAACAATGTACAATGCTGAAGATATCTTACAGGTAAGAAAAAGGGTTTTATTTATCATTATTCAATTTTAGGACATGAAGTTTGTCTCGTCAGAGGAACGAAAGAAACAGAAATCGAGGAGAGAAAACGAACTTTTGATTCATCGACGGAAAGAGAACGGGACAACTGTTCCCTTCAGAATCATCGAAGATCCCCGTAAACTCCGAGAAGACGAATGGGATCGGGTTGTGGCGGTATTCGTGCAAGGTCCGGCTTGGCAATTCAAAGGATGGAGATTCGGGTCGCATCCCACCGAAATCTTCGCTCGAATCGCCGCTTTCCATCTCAAATTTGATGAACAACCACTGGATAAGAACGTAGCCCAATGGTCGGTGAATGTCCTTTCCCTTTCTCAGACCAAGCGACACTTGGATCGAGCTGTGCTCAATAAATTTTGGACGACATTAGACCGGTATATGGTCAAGAATAAGCCTCATCTTCGTTTCTAAATTCCAATGATATTTTTTGTATAGAATCCACTTTTTAATAAATTTATTTGTTACATCATTCGCTCGGGTTTACAACAGTTCAAGTGAGAAAGGGCATTTTCGAAGAGCTGTTTGCAAACAACCTCTAGTGGAGTGTAAATAAGGAAGTTAGGAACTCTTTATTCTTTTTTCTGGCCCATGACCTGTTCTCTAATTCTGTTAGCAATGGCTTTTCTGGCTTCTACCATATCCATGCTGTTCTCAGATTTGGCGAAACTCCCCTTGAGGGCTCCTCGCGCGGCCTGTGAAGTCCGCGGCCGATCAGTGGAATTTCTTTGGGCCGCTTCAATTAATTGCTTTTCTCTTTGTTTCTGTCTGGCCTCGATCAGTTTATCTCGCTGTTGTTTCAGGTATTCTGTTCTCTGCTTTAATTTGTCGTTGTCATCAGTTGATTTTTTGTGAAGAAGACCCTTAGAAATAATTGATGTTTGTTGTCGAGTGCAAAATACTTACTTTAAAGTCGAACTTGTTCTCACCGGTTGGCGTTTTCTCCTCAGTCAGACTCTAAGCAGGAATACTACTAATTTATTTGTACTCTTACCATCGCTGGATGTTTCAACGGCGCTTTAACGGCCCCTAGTTTAAGTGAAGGCGCGGCCGAAGCTCTTCTGATTCCATTTGTCGTAGCCGCGGGTGATTTTTCTTCAGCTTTTTTCGAGGATTCTGATTTAATATCCATTTTTTTCAAATCGGCTTCGGTCTAAAAATTATGTCCAATGATTTTTGTGCTGACTTGCCCCGGCAATAGCATGATCCAGTTGGGAGATCTCCTCCACCCGTTGTCTCTCCAACTCTTTTACCTCCGCCAACGATGCTTCAAAGGCTTCTTCCAATGCCTTTCGTAACTTTTCATCCCTTTCGAACTCTTCTTTGCTCTGTCTGTAAAGAATGAGATAATATTTTTATCGGTCTTACTTCAAGACTGATATAATTATATATCTTTCTGTTTCGTCTTCATCAAGAAGATTTTGGAACAGTTCGGCTTCTTCATCGCTGAGTTTGAAGGAGACTGGATTTACTCCACAAATGTGCTGAAATCACCAACTTTAACACAGTACTTACAAGATTACCGTAATCAAATTTCATCTTACCTCCAACATTCTGACGGCCTGCAATTGTAATTCGATGTTGATTCTGGTCATTAAATGTACAAAAACATTGAAATCTTGGGCAGCCAGCACTGGTTCGAGAAGTTTTCTCTCCTTATCCGTCAATTTTACATGGATATCTTGAGATTTTAGAGAAGTGACCAGTTCAGATAGCTCAATATTTGTGTCAATACAATAGCTTTCTATGAGAGCGTCCACCAATTCGGTGTATTTTTCGTGAGCTTGCACACAGAGTTCATGCTTGGCTTGATCATGATTGAATACTAAAAAAGTATGATTAAAAGCTACAGTAATCACAATAATATTAGTATGTGAAAAATAGCTTACAAATTGAGTTTTTCTCGAGGAAATTAAGAGTTGGTAATCTCCATACATCCGTCCCCAGAAACTCGAGGAAGTTCTTGAAGACGGGCTTGTTCTTGCGCGGATTGGATTGGGACCGGCGTCGGAGGGACTTCATCATCAACACTAACTTGCATAAATATTGGGCGAAAGCACAAGCCGGGGCATCGCCATGACAACCCTAATGAAAACGAAACCCCTGAGGGTCGAGGTTTCAGGAACGACAGTCGTAATTTTAAATCGAATTATGCGAAACAACATTAATGATGCCGCAAGAGTTCAGAATTAATTAGAAGGATAAATCTCCAGATTTTATGTAATTCGCAACTGAAAGAGAGATTGTAATGTGTTACAAAAATTAAGAGAAGTATTGTATCTTGAATTCACAATGTCCTTCCCTTGTTTAATAATTTACCGTTATATATTTTTGTATTTTGTTATTTTTGCAATGATTAATTTTGGAAACAATTAAATGTCGTACCCAGTTTTACACTTTCAGTTTTCCATCGCTTTAAAAATAATAGTGTAAAAAAAGCAAAAAAATAAGACAGAATGAAATATCTAGAGAGCCTCCCTTCTTTTTTTTGTTGTTTGTTTGGGAGTCGAGGAGAACTGTGGTTGTTTTGGCTAAGGTCTTGGGCCGATTCCAGCCTTGACTCACAGCTGTGTTCTTTTTAATGACGCCGTTTTACGTGAACCTGGCCAATAGATACACGAAACCCGTTAGTTATGACAAAGATAACATGTTGTGTTAAATCTATTTTTACACGCCTTTTTCTTTTGGTCTCTATTTTGGATTCGGGGACAAATTGGAGGAAAAGAGAGCATCGCATGACCCCGGGGATCTTATTCGAATTTTACATCGTTTCGAGGACTTTAAAGGGACATAGACTGTTTTTTAGAGTGTTTTGGAACATCGCGGTTTTGATTATTGGTGTGGGGAAGACAAGAGACGGAAGTAAACACCTTTTTGAGTGGACGTTCGCATTCTCGAGTAAATTTTCTCTTTTCAGTATTTTAAGTGTAAAAATAAATTTTTCCAGATGAAGCCACTCTGGCTTCTCCTAACATTCCTGGCCTTCACCTGGGCCCAGGAATGGGATGCCTCTAATTATCCGAACCCGACGGCTACAGGATTCAGACAATGTAAGATGAAATCGAGAGCACAGATCTGTGATCCGGACGGAATCCTCAGCGAACAGGAGAGATATCGACTGAACCATGAACTGACACAGCTGGAAGCCAAGACCAGGCAAGACTACGCTCAGAATTTCTGTGAGAAAAAGGGAATCTCGGCAGCCATCGCGTTGGCCAAGCATGTCAGAGGAGGATCTGATGCTGTAAGTCGTTCTAAAATAATTCAAGTCATGTTATCTCCCAATTTTACATTACGAGTTTAGCCATCTTTTTATAGCATGTCCGAGCAATGGCGAATGAATTGCGAAGCACTTGGACACTTGATCAGCAATGTCTGAAGAGCATGGTCATCGTTTTGGCAGTTGATGACAGAAAGTTTTGGGTCGCTCGCGATGACAGAATCCCCGTTTACGCCAATGAATTCACCCAAATCTTCAATCTTCAGGTATGCCATTAAGGCGGCTCTGCATAAAAAATTTCAGAAACCGCTTTTTCAACAAAAGAAGTATCAACAAGCATTGATCAACGTTCTGCACGAGACTTGGACCAGAACAAGTGAGAAACAAGGCCAGCTTCCAGCAGCGCCAGGGGGAACGAGCGACGGAGGGCGGAAAGGTCCCATCGGAGGAGGAGGATTCCCCATGAAGATCCCCTCCATCCCCACTTGGGTCATCTTGGCCATCGTGTTCGTGGTGGTCCCCACTCTGATTTGTTGTTGTATTTGTTACTGCTGTTGTTGCAAGAACAAAGGAGAACGAGAGGCTGTTCCCGATGCCGAGGGTGGAGGTCAACAACAAGGAGGTGGAGGTGAGAAAAAAATCCTCAAAGGATTTTCATAAAGTGAATGGACATTTCGTTGCGGTCCACAAAAAACACACTTTTGCACAGTGAATTTCACATTTTTTTGCACCAAACTATCGGTGCAACACAATCAAGTTTTCGCAACGCGTTGCGTCAGCACGAGAAAAAAATGTAATGTGCAAAAGAGAACAAACGTCCATGCACTTCATGAAAATATATTTTATATTGTAGGAGGCAGTGGAATGCGAACCTTCTTCCAATCCATGGCCGGTTCGTATGTCATGCAGATGATCATGAACTGTATTCGAAACCAGGGCCAAAGAAGATCTGCTGCACCAGGCGGTGGAGGGTATCCAGGGGGATATCAGCCAGGAGTCCCTCAGCCACAGGCAAAAGAGGGTCAAGGTCTTTATCCAAATCAAGCTGTTAAAGATGAAGGTGGTGGAGGAAGTTGGTAGAGGCCGTTTTTGTACATATTCTCCCGAGTTAATGCTTGCCATACTCCCGAATCTCCAATCCGCCCTCAACATTATCAATAACGGCTTGCTTACCAGTCAGTATTTTTGCTTAAACAGCTCACAGTAGGTTTCACAGTAACACGTATTTACTCATTCATTGCAGCGATAAATAAAGTGAAATGATAATTAGATGAGACTATGTTTTACAGTTTTAAACCTTTTTCTTTTTGGGTTTTAAAGTCTGGGAGCCTTGTCCGGGTCGTTTTTTGGTCTTATCGTCTTCTGAGTCGGCATTCTCATCGTTTGCATCCTTATCAAAACTTGCAATTAGAGCAGCGCATCTCTTAGCCAGTTCTTGCGACGTCCTGGAGATGAAGAACCAATCGAATTTGAACTGAGGCGAGGATCTGATAGATTGTCGTATTTTCTCGAAACTCTCGTCATCACATCCGAACTCATGGTACTTGCAAAGAATGAACCTAAAAACAAATTCATAAACGGATATCCATCATAACATGTACATCATACTCTAAATCAAATGGTGCACATATCAGTGTGAGATTTTTTCCGAACCCACAAAAGTCGATACGGAAATTGACAAATCGACATCAGCTTAATTTTTGCTCGGTACCAATTATGAAATCAGGTGCATTTTTGCAAAGGCAGATTTTGGAGTTTTTTGCATTTTCAGCCTGCACTCATTTTTCGAAATCGGTGTCAAATTAACCCTAAAATCCAATGCACTCCAGAACGATCGGAACATTAAGCCGACGCTGGTCTTTCAAATTCGGTGTCAACTTTTTGTGCACAAAACCGCAATTTCGGAAAAAATCTAGGACTTAAATCAACCAAGATATAACAAAAACAAACCTGTCTTCATCCGCTGAGAACGACTTCCCTTTGGGCCCACTAAATACAAAATCAAGTTGAGTGTACGGATCCTGACATTCCTTGTACTTTTTTTCCAAAACACTCTTTACATAAGCTTTTCTGTGGAGTTTGTTCCGACCCTTTTCAATAGCATTACTGTACTTGTAGAAGTCCTTCAGCTCCTTTCCTCTCTTCCAGAAAACTTTCGAGTATTCTTCGACTTCTTTCTCATCTCTTGTGCCGATTTCCTTGGATATATTGTCATAATCGTTAGATTCATATTTTTCACAAGCCTTGATAAATGCGTTGAATTCTTTTTTGCTCCAATCAAATCCAGTAGTGTTGATGAGATGGTCTCTTTCCTCAATCATTTCGTCAGTAGGCGCCGTGGCCTTGTCCATCTTCTTCTTCTCCTCCTTTATATACTTCTCAGCTTCCTTTTCTGTACATCCATCTGGAGGTGTTGGCATGTATCCATTCGTTCTTCGGAAGAAATACAATTCATTCTCAACCAATTCGTACAACCGTTTTGGATAAAATTGGAAGTCGAAGACTTGAGGAAGACTCTTTGGTCGAGGGGCCTTTGATCCAGGTTTCAAGGTCCCATCTTGTTTCGCTTGCTCTCTAAAGAATACAAAACAATAAGCAAATTACTTACTTGAACATCTGATCCATATTGTAATTGGTTTTCCTTTCCCTTTTTGGCGGTTCCAAGAAAGCGGGTTCATTTCTGATGCTCTTTCCTTTGTAATTCTCGCCTTCAAAGTCGTATATACTCTTGAAATCTCTAAGATTTGACTCTCCAAGTTTTTCCAACTCCTCATTTAATTTGTTCGTTTTGTCCTCCGATTTCTCCAAGATGGCGTCGATATCCTCATCCGTGATGGTTGATTCTTTCGACGAGAAAATCTTACTGGCTCCGTGCTTGATCATGGATAACATTTCGTCCGATCCCAAGGTCTTTTGAGCTTCAGTCAGACGGCCCTGTTGAATGACCACCGAGTCCAGCCTCAATTTCCTCTCGGCCCTTTCGATGATTCTTTCTTCACAAGTGTTCTCTGTTACAAATCTGAATACCCGAACTTGTTTCTTTTGGCCAATACGATGAGCCCTGTCCTAAATCAAACCGTAATATAAATATAAGGACCTTTTCTTACCATAGCCTGCAGATCCATCTGCGGATTCCAATCAGAATCAAACAAGATGACTACGTCAGCTGAAGTCAAGTTGATTCCCAGACCTCCAGCTCTAGTCGTTAACATGAACAAGAACTTCTCGCTTCCTTCCCTGTTAAATTCATCAATCTGGGATTGTCGTAGATCATGGGCCGTCTGACCATCTAACCGGCAATATTTATGGCCTCTCCAAACGCAATAATCTTCCAGAATATCCAACATCCTGCTCATTTGCGAGAAGATTAACACCCTTGATCCTTGTTTTTGAAGTTTAGCAAGAAGTTTGTCTAACAAGACCATCTTTCCCGAGTTATCCACTAAATGTTTGTCTGTAGTGTAAGGAGGCCCTGGTTCAGCTCCATCGAACAGGTATGGGTGATTACAGCATTTCCGGAGATGCATAAACAAATTCATTAGACGTTTCTTCTCCACCTTTCCGTTAGTATTGACCACATCGATATCTTTCATCAAAATTTTCGTATACCTAAAAATACAATAAAAACAAAAATGAGTTACCATTCTTTTTGGAGCTGGCTTAAGCCAATGAAAACTTTAACCTCCTTCTTCGGCAACAAGGACTTTTCAACATCAGCTTTAATTCGCCTCAATAAGAATGGCTGCAAGACACGATGCAATCTTTTTATGATCTCCTGATTGTCCAAAAGGTTCTCATTGTGAAACCATGAATCGAAATCCTCAGCACTGTTGAAAATCTCCGGCAATAAGAAGTTGAGAAGAGCCCATAATTCGTGGAGATTGTTCTGTAGGGGAGTTCCGGTCAGAAGAAGACGATTCTTTGTCTTCAGTATTCTAACATTTTCGGCAAGCTAAACCAATAAACATCAGCTAAAACCGACGAAGCCATACCTTTGAATTCTCGTTTTTTATCCTATGAGCCTCATCAATGACCAGATAATACCAGGTAACCTTCTTTAAATCGCTCATACACTTGAGGACCATTTCATACGAAGTGATGACCGCCTAAAAACAACAGGTCAGTAACATAAACGCACTTACATCAAAATCTCTCTCTTTTATTCGACCCAACGGTACCGCCCGTTCTTCTGCACTTCCAATAAGAACACAAGTGTTTATCGTCGGACACCATTTTGTGAACTCATTTTTCCAATTTTGAATTGTGCTTTTAGGGACAATAACCAAAAAAGGACCATTATGGTTCTTTACGTGTTTCATGTAACCAAGAAGTGATACTGTTTGAAGCGTTTTTCCGAGTCCCTAAATTAAGCACAATATATAAAAATTCTCACACCTCACCATTTCGTCCGCCAGAATTCCGTTAAATTTATTGTAATGGAGCTGAATCAACCAGTTCAGACCTCTGACTTGATAATCTCTGAGTTCTCCATTTTTGATAAAACTAGGAGATTTGTCGAACAAAATCATATCTTCAGGCGCACCTTCTTGTGCCAGTAGTTCCTTATCTTCGTCTTCTTCCGTCATCCTATGCCTATGATCATTCGCCACCGGCCGTCCTTTTTTCTTTCTATTTGGATCTAAAAGCTAATTTTATATAAAGAAAAGTAAAAAAACCCTGCCATTGACGATTACCCTCTTCTGAATAAAACACAATCAGCGAAACTTACCAGCCATCACTGCATCTCCGGCACTCAGTTTCTTTGAGAAGTTTTCAGTCTTCTTCAACAACAACTCGAATCTCTTGAAAGAATCCGAATTTTCTAAAAAATAGGTAATATTACAGGTATAACGTACCAATGCCAATCTTAAATTTCTCCGATTCAGGTTTAGCTTCTTCGGTCTCCATCTCCTCAGGCTGATACTCACCGTCAGACTCCTCCTTCACTCTAGCATCGGTTTCCATGGGTTCCGCAGACATCGTCAACTGAAATATTCAAGATTTTCATGGAACACGATTCCAAAACAATACGTGAATTATAGTAAGAAATTCAAAAAATAGAAATTCGTATATTGTGAAGTAAACGAGGGACGAAGAAATGAGGCCGACCATGAGGAGTTTATCCAAGCCATTTCTGCGCTCCAAAAGAAAGAAATAAAATAATTTCGTTGGGAAAAAGGCGCCCAAAAAAGATTGGCATTCCGTGGCAGCCATGGAGTTGGGAATTTGGTCAAGAATACATAGTTATAACTAAGCTCAAAAACTTATAGCGTATTTTATAAAAGAGCCTTATTGTAATTTTTCATCCACATCAACGTACAAATTATTGAATCCAGTTGAAGATTGTTATAATCCAGAATTATTATTCTCCATCGTATAATTTTTAGGCGATTTGTTCGCACGCTGCGCCCAACAAAATTGCCACAAGAAGAGATTCAAAAAGTTGCATTTTCTCAAAGGTGTTCGTAGTTTAGGATACCTTGGTCCCTCCTTACCATTTTTTTCTTCGACCCCGGCCTGGGGGACAAAACATAGAATACATTACAACTAAAATGTCAACATGCATATCAATTAACTTCTTCCCATCCGGACTGCAAGTAACGAGTAACTACTTAACAAATTTAATTGTACAAAGATTACACTTTATTCCTCGTTTTTGTCACTCTAGGTTCTGATCAGAAAAGGTTCCGAGTCACCGATTGGCAGAATTAATACGGCATCAAACACATTTCGTTTACCTTTTGTGCTCAATTTGTTGAGAAATGTTTGAGCGGAGGTAATCTGACTATCTTATCAGTAGACGGCGGTCTCTTCACTTCTTGGTCAATCAATATCAAAGGGTTTTTATGAGTTCTTAGGGAGATTCAGGAAGCTAGAAGATGGTGCTGGACAGGACCGTGGTGTCCTTTTTTGTCTTATTCTCCATTGTCTACTTCTTGGAGGCCATCGGCGGGTTCTACATGACCAGGTAACAGTCTGTAATCATGTTCTAGCCACATCGATTTAACTCTGCACAAAAATGCGCAAAAAATCAAAATTTAGATGACAATGTTGTTAAATGTGTGCACGACTTTTTTGCATGATGGCCTTTATTTCAGTGCCGTTGTCGCCATCGAGAAGCAATTCCAGATTCCCAGCAAAATTTCGGGGATGATGGTGTCGGCCGGAGATTTCGGATATATTCCTTCAGTGGTGATTGTATCGTATCTTGGTGGGAAGGTAATTACAATAAAATAAACCTGAACCAACGTTCAGGGGAATAGAGCCAAATGGATAGGCGGTGGTTGCATGCTGATTGCAATAGCTAACCTTCTTATCTCGACTTCCAATTTCCTGTTTCCGGTCGAAAGAGTTGACTTGAAAACCTCGGATTTCCAAGAAACAATTGAAAGGGATATCAGTCGAATGGCCAATGAAGGAGCCTCCATTCCGTATCTGCTACCTCATGAAATAAGACGAATTGTTGCTGGGAAAGGAGGCTTACCCGCAACATTGCAACAATGTGAAAAGCTGATTGATCGAAACCAGAGTTCTACTTTATGTAATACTATCCAAGTGGGTTCCCGTTTCGTATTCAGTGTTTTAGTCGATACTCCATGTCCATAATCCTTCGACTATAACTGAAGTCGAGAATCTGCGAGCCATTACCGCTACAACGTACGCCTTTTGTAGTAAGTCTCTGAACAGACTCCGAGCAATGGTGAGATTACTGTAACAGAATTATTTAGTCTTTAGATGGACAAAGTTAGATGCACCAGAGATGCCTCTTACTTCGGGCCAACGGCCACGATCTTCTTCGGTCTTTTCCTTCTGGGTATTGGCCGTACAATGCCGTATTCTCTAGGTTTACCCTTGGTTGATGACAACGTGAAAAAAGCCAATCTTCCTCTTTATTTCGGTAAGCTTACTGTTTAATAATTTTCTTTATTTGCAGCTGGTATGTTCTTTATTCGAATTCTCGGACCAGTGATTGGCTTAATGATGGGATCAGTGTTCAACAAGTACTACTACACCTTCGATCGTATGTTATTTTACTTTCACATATAGTAAAAACTTTCAGCACCACAGGGCCTAACTCCTCGAGATCCAATGTGGATTGGCAGATGGTGGTGTGGATTCTTGGTGATGGGATTCTTGCTTTTTGGGCCCTCGTTAGCTTTATTCTGCTTCAAAACTCATCCTTCTTATCATGAAGAGGATGAGAATCGAGAAGATGGAGCTAAAGATGATCTTCTTAAAGGAAAAAGTGGATCTAAAAAGTAAAAATGATGACTCAAACTAAAGATTTAAGGAAGCCCCGGAGATTAGCTTTGGTCGACCGGCATGCTGAGAGAACGGCCGATGGGAAAACCGTGGTTCCGGACACTTTCCAAGAAAAGATGGATGACTTCGTAATCACCATGAAATCCGTGATAACACAACCCGTATATGTAGGACTTCTGGTTGGCAGGATTATCGACGTGATGGCTTTCAAAGGGTTTTTTGTCTTCCTCCCCAAATACCTCGAGATTCATTTTGGTGTACCTCAATACAAAATTAACTTTTATATGGGTAAGTCGTAGCGATTACAATTACTCTTCACCCTAGGTCTTATTGGCATCGTTGGATTTGCAATTGGGGTGAGTCTAGGGAGTCTTCTGATGAGATTCCTAAGATTAGAAGGACGAAAAGCGGCTGCTTGGGTAGCCATCTGCTCCTTGCTGGCCGCTCTTTTGTCCTTCTTGAATGCTGGAGTTGGTTGTCAATCTACAATGTCACAACTCGGTGAGATGTAAGCATGTTTTCCGGGCGAAAATTATTATTTTAATAAAATATTTAGAGCATCTAGAGGGGCTCCAAATACAACTGCAGTCTGTTCCCGGAACTGTTATTGCGAGAACGTTCCCATATACCCCGTTTGTGACCCTCAGGGCAATGTGTATTATTCCCCGTGCCATGCTGGATGTCCATCACCCAATCCGGCTGAATTCGCTCTTCTCGATCCCAAGTTACCCCCAACTTTTGCCAATTGTTCTTGTGTTAAGCAAGATGCTGAGAGAAGGGTTTCCAGAGACTATTGCGTTACCGACGATTGTAATTGGAAGATCAAGGTCTATTTCTTGAACATGGCATTAGGAGGGGTAGTTGGAGGACTTGGAGTAACACCTGGCATGCTCATCATGTTACGGTAAGTCCTTCAGGCTCTATCAGTAATGTCCATCATTTCAGATCAGTCCCTCCTCGCCATCGTTCCGTATCTTTGGGATTCAGTGGATTCCTAGTGAGTATCCTGGCTACCCTTCCTTCTCCCATCATTTGGGGGGCCATTATCGATTATTTCTGTGTCCAATGGGAAAAAAAGTGTGATGGACGGGGAGCTTGCGTCCTCTATAGCACCGAAAAACTGCGAATATGGTAAGATGACCCAAGACTTCTATTCATCTCCCGACTTCAGGATGCACGGTATTTACGGAGGTCTCCGATTGTTAGCTTTACTCGCCGACTTTTATGTCTTATATCATGCCAAAGGATTGAAAATTATGGGAGAGGAAAAGGAAGAAGAGGAAGATAACAAAGACTCGACCAATGAGCATATAGAAGAGAACAACGACAAGCTGAATGACGATCCATTGCCCAAACAATTCAAACCAAAAGATGAACAAGATATCAGTCGGACTTCGACAAATGAGTCTAAAAATGCAGCTTAACTTTATTATGCGACTAGCCATTGTAAATAAACTCGCCACTGTTTCTTATCTATATTGATCCGTAACACCCCTTTATCTTGTAAAATAATGTCTATTTTATGTGATCTTTACTGTTTCTGTAGAACTGTTAAAAAGTAATTTTTAATCGATTTGGGGGGTTTTCGATAGCGCTGATTTCGAAAATTGCATCAGTTTGTTAAAATTTTTACTTTTTTTAATTACAGTACTACTTATAGGGGAAGTACTCCAAGTGCGACGCATAGAACTTATGGCCAAAAAGTGCTTTTCACTCTGACCGCTCTCTGCGTTTCGCGTACTCTCTCGGATGCAAAGATCGTGGAATATCTCGGCGGCGCTTGCAAAGCGCGAGCTAAAACTTCGAGGAACTGATAACTAGTCTACGCCCGACGAGTGTGCAAAATTTAAAGAAAATCTGAGCGTCGCACTTGGAGTGCATGGATGGACACGGTATTTTTACATGATTTTCTGCGAATTCCCCTTATTAGGATAGCTGAACAAAACCCACTCAGACATTACTTCAACACGAAGAACAAATATAACCCCTTTATTGTGGATTTTATGTGACGAAAACCAAAAAAGAAAACAATCACGAGAAAACTGGTCGCATTCGCCTTGCATCCTTATTTTACCCAGCTATCCCACTGCTTTGCGCTCTCGCCATGCGACTTTTTGCTGTAATGCTGATAATATCGGTAAGTTGCTCATGCTCACTTAATAATCCCTCAATAAAAGATGATTAATACGGCCAATTTAAGTGAGATTGAAGTATGTGAGAACTGTCAGAAGGTTTTGTACATCACCTCCCTATACTACAACAAACAGCGGTCTAAGCCTTTCCTGCGACGCAAGGTTAAACATCTTTGCAAACGGTATTACGAGGTAAGTCGAAAACAACACAAGAATAAAGGGAACAACAGTTTAATAAGTCTACGCTCACTTCATGATAATACCTATGTCATTTTTAGTACCGTCGACATTGTCTGGTCACTCTTGTCCCAAAAGCCGACTTAATTGCTTTCACGATTGATAACGCGTTGGAAAATGGCCAGTATCAGCCTTCCGACACATGTACTCTCATTTCCGAATGTGATAAGAACCAAGCGCCAATGAATTTCAGCGAAATTAATGTCGATGAGTTGGATGGAAGTGGACTCGACCTATTCTTCGATCTGGACTAACTACTGCTATCGAGCATGCACTGTTCTTTGCTGCATAAATCATAAAACGTACAACACGGCGGTTTCAAAGGTATCTTTCGTGGTGGGAAAAAAATAAAAAACGCGCAGCTTGCAGAGGAAGGTATACGATGAAACATGTTTAGTAAGAAATCGTACAGTTTCATCAGAAGTGTGATGTAATTGATACTAAAAGGATAAAAAAAAAATTTCTTGATCTTTTCAGACCAATAATTAATTCAGAATTCACATTAAGATTTCTAAAATCATCAAATGAAGTGACGGTTAACATGCTTACTTAAATGAATATTAAAACAGCAATCAGGCCGTATTTTAATTAAATAGAGGAAGCAAACCCGTTCAAAGATGTAAAGGAAGCATTAGAACCTATGGGACCAACAAAAACCGAAACTTTTTTTAAACGCTGCTTACCGGCAATATTGTACATATAGTGGCATACCCGATGAACACCAGCTGTGGTTATATGAGGCTAAAATAATTGTTAAATGTTTAATTTATAAACATAAAGATGGAGGAGCACAGTCTAAGCGTAATATATGGTCTTTTATTGGCTTAAGCCTTGATAGTTGAAGTGGATACGGTGATGGTGGGTACTATACCACAAGTCCTCGCTAATGCAAAATCGACGCTGATTCTAAACGATTATTGCTTACTGAGTTGTAGTAGCACCCTAACTCCTCATAACCACCTTTGCATTTGTCTCACGATCAACTTTCACCTACTACAACATGACCAATGTACTTTCGGCCACAGACAAGTCTCTTCATTTGATCACCTACTTAGCCATGCTGTATACCAAAATATAGCTAAGACAAAGTAGTTTCTAAATCCCTGGTCGATTTTTGATCCGACTGTTTGTTCGAAGGATACTGTAGTTTTTCGAAATTGCCAAAAATCAGCATGTTTTTTGGGTGTCATAACTTCTCGCTCAGTCAACCTTTTTCGACGTTTTCGGTGTCTATCGACTCGGAATCGTGTATTTACATATCCACTTCTTCATATCAAGTTCCCATTTTGACTTTTGGTTTTGATACGGTATCCTCAACATAGGCAAATTTAGCGCCACAGACAATTGGTCTCCGTTTCCACTTCTGCAATGTGTTTAATACGTCATTAGATAAAAGACAACTTCTATTTTCTAAATCCCTGGTCGATTTTCGATCCGACTGTTAGTTTAAAAGTTACAGTAAAAAAACGTCATTTTTTGCCTCCGCGAGCTGCGCCCCCGCTTCAAAAAAGGACAAAACGAAGTTCCCGCTTTTCTGTTGTGTGAAACCGCCGTGACAATAAATGTGCCAACTTATAGTTATTGGGTTGTGTGTGTCCCGAAGCGAAATCCAGATTTCTGTGGGAAATACGAAAAATAAAGAAATTTTTTATTTTTCAGTTTTCTGCAAACGAAATTTCTGGAGTGTTCGTCCTGGCAGTGATGCAATCTCAATCTTAGTACCTCAACTATTTTTCTAACCCACTGCATAATTTTTATTCCCTGTTTTGAATTTGTCCGTTCCTAACATGTTACACCGTGCATTCGCGTTACTTTTCGATCATTCTCGAGTGTTCTGTCGTCTGCAAAGAGAGAAATTGCGTAATTTTCTTTTATTATCAGTCTCTATTGCAGGTTAGCGGAGGTCCCCAACCTCGTCACATAAGTTTATAATCAATGCTGTCTGCGGCGAGATCGTCGTTTGGCAATGTTGCCAAAGTGCCATTTGTGGCCAAGCAATGTTTTGGTTTCACGCCCCGGAGGTTTAAGTAATTTATTTTCATTTTTATGTCTTGACTTTAGAAGATTTTAAGAATATTAATCGCCTTATTGTTATAGATCCGACGCCGTGAAAGGTACCGTGATAGGAATTGACTTGGGAACAACTAACTCATGTGTAGCTGTGATGGAAGGTCAATCTGCAAGGGTTATTGAGAACGCCGAAGGTGTAAGGACGACTCCATCAGTAGTTGCGTTCACTGCTGACGGAGAGCGTCTTGTTGGAGCCCCTGCCCGCCGCCAAGCAGTTACCAACAGTCAGAACACCCTCTACGCTACTAAACGTTTGATTGGTCGACGATTTGATGACCCCGAAGTGCAAAAGGATCTTAAAGTTGTGCCATTCAAGATTGTGAAGGCGCCCAACGGAGATGCCTGGGTAGAAGCTCAAGGGAAACAGTATTCTCCATCTCAAGTCGGTGCATTCGTCCTCACTAAGATGAAGGAAACCGCTGAAAGTTACTTGGGAACTAAAGTCAACAACGCTGTCATCACTGTTCCTGCCTACTTCAACGATTCTCAACGTCAAGCCACAAAGGATGCTGGTCAGATTGCTGGTTTGAACGTTCTTCGAGTCATCAATGAACCAACTGCCGCTGCTTTGGCTTATGGCTTGGATAAATCGGACAACAAAATGTATGTTTCTGCGGAAAAGAGTATAATTTTCTTTTTAGTATCGCTGTTTTCGATTTGGGAGGAGGAACCTTTGATGTATCAGTCTTGGAAATCCAAAAGGGAGTGTTCGAAGTTAAGTCAACCAACGGAGACACTTTCCTTGGAGGAGAAGATTTCGACAATGCGCTGGTTAATCATCTTGTTGCGGAATTCAAGAAGGAAGCCGGAATCGATCTCACCAAGGACCCCATGGCCATGCAACGACTTCGCGAAGCCTCTGAGAAAGCCAAATGCGAGCTGTCCAGCACAACTCAAACAGACATTAACCTTCCATATATCACTGTGGATGCCTCAGGACCAAAACATTTGAACATAAAGCTGACCCGTTCCAAATTTGAACAGCTTGTTAGTGACCTCATTAAGAGAACACAAGAACCATGTAAGAAGGCCATGGTTGATGCTGAAGTCAAGCCTTCCGACATTGGAGAGGTCTTATTGGTTGGGGGTATGAGCAGAATGCCAAAGGTCCAACAGACTGTCCAAGACATCTTTGGCCGTGTTCCCAGCAAGGCTGTTAACCCCGATGAAGCCGTTGCTATTGGTGCTGCCATACAAGGAGGAGTCCTGGCTGGAAATGTGACTGATATCCTTCTTCTTGATGTTACTCCGTTGTCTCTGGGTATCGAAACTTTGGGAGGTGTGTTCACTCGTCTTATCCCAAGAAACACTACTATTCCAACCAAAAAGAGTCAAGTAAGTTCGTATAATTTTTATCTTATTCTTTCTTTTAGGTCTTCTCAACTGCCGCTGATGGACAAACTCAAGTCGAAATCAAGGTTCATCAAGGGGAGAGAGATATGGCCTCGGACAACAAGCTGCTCGGTCAATTCTCTTTGGTCGGAATTCCTCCAGCTTCTCGAGGTGTTCCTCAAATTGAGGTTACGTTTGACATTGATGCCAACGGTATTGTAAATGTATCTGCTAGAGACCGAGGAACCGGAAAGGAACAACAGATTGTTATTCAATCTTCGGGTGGTTTAAACAAAGAGCAGATCGAAAAGATGATCAGAGACGCCGAGAAGCATGCTGTCGAAGATGCCGAGAGGAAGGAATTGGTCGAAGCCGTAAACTCCGCTGAGTCTGTTGTCAACGACACCGAACACAAGATGACCGAATACAAAGACCAACTTAATGCTGATGAGGTAAAACCAAAACTTTGTCAACTTGCATTTGAGAGCGCTTTGAAAATAATTTTTTTTTCAGGCTAAAGCCCTGCAAGAAAAGATCGACGAATTGAAACAAAAGTTGGCCAACAGAGACGGACTCAAGGCTGCTGAGGTGAAGGAATTGGTCGGAACTGTCCAACAACAATCCCTCAAGCTGTTCGAGGCCGCCTACAAGAAGATGGTTGAGAAAAACCAGGGCTCCCAGCAACAAACCGAGACCTCCTCGGATGAGCAGAAGAAGGAGGAACAGAAATAATTGGACACTTCTAGTTAATTATAAGCTGACTGATAGGTTTTTTTAGATCTCGTTATTGTTCCTCCATTTTGTTACTGTTACTCGGTTTATTTTAAATGTTTATCCATATAAACATTACCTATTCATTGTCGGTGTCACTTTTCTTTTCCCGTTTTTTTGTTGAGATTCTGGCAGTTGGCTTAATCACTGGCTGCGCACTCGACATGGTTGATGACTGTAATTGTGGTTCGTATACACAGTACCCCGTTATCTTACTCCCATTCGATCCGCGTTCGCTCTGGCTGTTCTCATAGGAGTGCTGGAGATGCGGCGGGGAGGAGCAAACAATTTGGACGGAGTAGACACACGGCGAGCAGTGGCAAGAGCTCTGCTTGGAGTATTCAATGATTTCCTTGCAGATGGAGTGGGCGGTTTACTATTAGAAGATCGTGCTGGCGAAGGTCTAGGCCGGTCCGATTGACTGTTACGATTTTTACCACGAAATTCCGCAGATGAAGAGTTATCACTTGGGCGACTAAACAGAAGAATGACTTGTCGCTTCGCAGTGCTATTACCTCATTGGTTCACTAGAAGGGATCCGGTTCCTTGAAATTCTGTTCTTATGCTTTGGTGTATGTCCATGGAAATCAGAAGAAAAATCATCAGAACTAAGCTCAACTGAAGGACTTCGAAGTCTTTTTTGGCGTTCCTGAGTTATTCTATCCATGCGAAGCACTTCCTCTGAAGTGGGGGGTGGCGAACATTCATCTAGTTCAAAATCCTCGGGGTCCTCGGTGAATGGAACTGGAATGATACCCTTGGACAGCTTGGCCAAAGATCGATGTTCTGGCTTGGGGATCTATAAAGTAATCATAACCATCATCATTCTGCTTACTCCGGAAGAATTCAGAAGACGTCTGATGAAGAAAACAACTTCCCAGATCTCAGGCCGTCCATAAGGTAAATGGGCCCAGCATGCTGTGATGATTTGCTGGAATTCTTTGTGGGTTGAAGCGGGAATAGTCATCCTTTTGCCACATCTAACCAGTCTCATGATATCCTCGGTTCTTCCATACTCCGGCCAAGGTTTCTGACCATTCGTTACGATCTCATACATAAAAATGGCAAAGGAGAAGACGTCGCTCTTGGTCGAAAATCTTGGACGAGCAGTTAGACATTCTGGGGCCAGCCATGGGATGGGAACTTTGATCTTGTCCTCATTCGTATTTGTAACCCCTTCCATCATGCAGATCCCAAAGTCACTCAATTTCAGCTTACCATCCTAAAGTCATCATGAATACTGTAATTATTCAATACTTGTAACAATTATCATTTTCGTCTCGATTGATGTTTACCTTTGCGATTAAACAATTTCTCGCCGCCATATCTCGATGAATACATTTCCATTTCGTATGCAAATACTTTAATCCCCGCGCTGCTTCCAAACTGAAAATGAGCTTCTCTTCGAATCGAATTTCCTCCCCATTATGGTGGAGATGCTCCAACAAACTGCCTCCAGGGCAAAGACTGAGAACAAGCTAAAATAAGAAACAATAGGGTGGGTGAAATCGTCGCTTACTCTAATTGTATCCTCTGAAGTGTCGATTCCAAAACATCGAAGAATATTTTCATGATGGAAATGTCTCATCACCTCGGCCTCATGCAGCATCTGTTCCACCTCCAGCATTACCTCTTTCTGCGTATTCCTTTTTGATCCTAGTTTTGGAACTGTCGGTGCTGTCTGTGGGATCTTGACCGCTACATCGAACTTAACTTCTAAAAACCCATTGACATTTTGCCTATGAAACTTGCTGTTAATGGTAGCCTTAGCTCTGACTACAGTTCCATAACTTCCTTTCCCCAGTAAGTTGGCATCACAATTCTCCCATTCCAAGGATCCAGGAGGTATTAGAATTGGAGGGCGGTCCGCAGCGTTGAGCAGTTGTAACTAAAGTAATATTATTCGAAAGACAGTAGTTATTGTTAATAATGTATTACTTACTTTCTGAATAGTTTCTGTTTTGCTGTGAAGAAGCGTCTCTAATGATGGATAAACCTCAGATTCGGTCCCCCCAAAGTACCATCCCTTCCGTTTGTCAAATTTGAGGACGTAATCATGGATTTGGCCGTCTGATTTCTTGACACAAACGAAATGTTCGGTGTTGACTCGGCCAAAATCTTTTCTGCAGTTCGATCGGACACACCAATCTCCGGGATTCTTCAGATATTTCTCTACAAATTTGCTGAAAATATTTCATTACTGCCAGAGTTTTGTAACACAGCTGTGATGTCATCATTCCATTCCATACTGCGTGATTCTTACCGAGAAACATAGCCGAAGAACCATTTCTCATGGCGTAACACCTCTTCCATGAAGCGACCGCTGGTCAAGAACAATGAAAATCAAATGTCCATCTTGGTGACCACCATTCGTTGTATTTGTTTAATGAACTTTTACACTTTTTAATGTTTTCATTTTAATGTTTCTTTTTCAAATTCTTGTAAAATGAATGTGTATCCATAGATTGGGATGCTTATAAAAGGTGTAAATTTATTTCATATAGCTTCCAATCAGCCAATCTATGTGCCCCGTCCTGTTTCGGACATTATCCTTCCGAGATTACACAATCCTGGCCTGCTCGGTCCCCAAAATGAATCCGAAGCGATAAAAGACAGACCCAAGGCCATTCCTTTTACGGCGGCCGAAAGCGAAGACGGCCGAGTGTCCAGGGAGAGCGCGGCCAGACTTCGGCCAACAATCAATACTCTGGCCGCTGGTCTTGGTTTCTCCAAAAAACAATTAATTCGCCCGCAATCGTGTTAAAAGAAACTCGCGTTAACCGGGATTGCGCAATCGCCTTGACCTTTTCATCGAATCCAAAATCTCCCTCGACGGGACCTTCTCACCCTGGGAAACACAATTTTGTTTTCTTTTTTTCTTGTTTTTTGCGATCTCGGAGCGAAAGATCGCGCGTTTCGGCGAGAGCGGCAGACACAGACGGAACGGAAAACAAAAACTGGGAGGTTGTTCCTTCACTTTTGAGGTTAACACGTGAGATCGCGAGTGCTGAGGTCATTTCCTATTTTGTAAGGTCATTTGAATTGAAATTGACGGTCATCGAGGCTAATTATTATAATTTCAGTCTCAATTATGGATTCCCAAGATGGATTCGGAGCTCAAAGGCAGGTAAGACAATACTTTGATCGTAGTAGACTTGTTTTTTCGGTAATTTATGCACTTTATAAACGTTGGCGTAATATTTACACTTTATTTATAAAAATTCAAATCTCGTTTTTATTTTTTTTTGGATGAAATTTATATTTTTATTGTTGGCCGGTCCCTTTTGCAACGTAAAATGTAGACTAATGTTTAGGGTTGTGGAGTCGCCGATTTGGCGCATCAGTCGTTGTCAAATTGAACTTTTTTGAAAAATTTTTAGGTTCTTGCTAAAAAAATCGGCAGAATATAAAATTTTAGGCAATATATTCCCCTTCTTGTCCGATGAAATAAGCAATAAAACTAGTTACGACTAGTGTTAACGGTTCACCGTAGCCTATGTTAAACTCGCGTGGTAAAGGTTTGTATATTAGAATTTTGAATTTAGCCAAAATGACCGCAATTTGACGTCAATTTGAAAAATTCTGTCAACCATGCCGATGTTTTAATTAATTAATGTTTGGTTTTAGCCAGATCTGCCAGTCCCACCTCCACCTCGTTCTGACGGCTCGCAAGATTCGGAAACTTCGTCCACGGACTTTGTCAAGATTGACGATTCGGAATTACGTAATGTTCCAGAGGAATTACTGACCAATTATGGGAATCAAGTGGCGAACGATGTCCTGGGCTTGGCGCTAGCCGATAATTGGGTTAGTTTTATTTCATTAGACGTTCTTCCGGATATTATTCATGTTGAGCTTGGAGGCTTAACATTTTTGGAACGCATATTTCTCTTAGTATTTGGTTTATGGCTCGATATATGTCTAGTATAATTTATTTCGGGTTTGTTTCTCGTTTAAAAACGATTACGTGTTTTGGCCGTTCTCTGCAGAAACAGCTGCTGCGTATTTTCAGTCTCTTCCACTTGTTTTTTTCGGTCCTAGACCTCCTTGAAATGGCCCAAGAATTGGTTGGTCGGCCTTGCTCTGCTCCGAGGCTCTTTTCCATGACTTCTCCGTTGACTTTTACACTGACAACTTTATTCGGTTCTCTTAATCGGGTTGTCAGGGTTACCTTTATATTAGTGTATAAGGTACTAGTAATTGTTTCGTTCTTTGTTTACTCCATAAATTTCGAAACGCGCTCCACTCCTGTGGAATAACTCGGCTCCATTAGCGGTGTCGAAAAGAAATTATTCATGCTGCGTGCGGTTACCGAATTGCGATGTGTTAGTCATAATTTAAATGAGCTGTGAATAAGTCATTGACCTCTGAATTCCAGAAGATGGACGAGCGAGACCTTTATGTGCCCGAAGCAGCCGGAGAAGCCGAGGCTCATCCGACCGGCAAAGTTTTGGTTGATCTCGATGAATTCGATCCCCTGGCCAATCAATCAGCCCATAATTTGGAGCCAGTTCTTGAAGAAATTTCTCAAAAACCTCGAGAAGTTACAATCACAGAACTCCCAGATGACCCTCCAAGCAAACAGGACCAGGAAATAAAGAACTCAGGCGATTCCCATCCAGCACAGCCTCATCACGGCGCCGAACCGACCGGGCCTTCCCCCAAATCGTCTCCTTCTCCCGTTGATGAGCCAGCTCACGGTCTAGAACATAAAGATCCCAGTCCTCAACCTGTGCCATCTTCCCCCGTAAAGGAATGGTCTCCACCCAAGGATGATGTTGTAGATCCAACTCCAGCATCTCCTGAACCTGTTGATAATGTAAAGGAAGAGGTTCCTCTTCGTCGGACATCTCTTCTCACCCAAGATCAACCTCAGGACGACTCGAGTGGTGGGTTCTTTGAGTAACAAGTGCTTTTGAACTGATTTGCAAACAACTTTGTTCCATTCTGAATGGTTATAACAGCAAATATAAATTTATTTTAGCTGTTGCATCCCAGATCGAAGACGCTATTCAAGAAGCTCACGACGAAGTTGGAGATCTGCTGGACGATTTCCGCTCTGGGAACCGACAACAAAACGAACACTATTCACCCGCCGGCGATTCAGGAAACGATATATTGACTGAGCTGAATGGTGAACGAGCTGAGGAAAGAGACGGCACCAACATGAGGGAATTATCCCCAGATTTGCCTACTTATGACAGGAATGGCCCGCTGACATTCCCTCAGGCTCGAGAAGAGCCGGAACCCGAGCCTGAACCGGAGCCTGAACCCGAACCTATACAGTAAGTGTATTATTACGTTTGTAATTTTCGTGTTCAGACAACCCAGACCCCCAACTCCTCCAAAGGATCTTAGCGGACCGGAAGAAGAAAACCCTCAGGTTATCGATCTGGGCCCTCCTCCTCACTCACACGGATGTAAGTAATTACCGTATTTAGGAAATGTTTTACATATTCTAGCTTTATAAAAGCATCTTGATACGTAATTGAATTTATTTTGTTGCACTTTTTAATTGACACGTTTAGTGTTCCATCGACAATCTTCACACGGTCTTCCATCCATCCTCAAGCACACGGGTGAAGCTTGGGTGGACTTCAAGTCAGTCGACCCTCGGGGTAAGTCAAACTGTTTTTTGTGGCCGTTCTTGCGGAGAAAACGCCGGAATGGATGCCCTGTTGTGCGAGAAGTACTACGGCAAAAGATTTAAAAGGCAGGAAAGGGAAAACATGTGAAAATAAATGAACAAGAGGAAACATGGCCGGAAAATAGAACTCAAAAGTACAGAGATTTTTGGGCAAAGGGACAGAGAAAAGCCGAAAGAATAGAGCTACGGGCGAAGTGCAATGCGCGAGAACACAAAAGATTGGCCAAAATTGAAATGGAAAGGGGGAGAGTGCGGCGACAGGGGAGGGCCCAAAGACGCGTGCCACGGCAATGGGCCTTGCTCAAAAGTGTTGGGCGCACTGACCGCGCTCCTCTTTTCGGTCAGCTGACCGGCCTGCTTTTCTCGAGGCAATGTTTCGAGCTCGTTGCATTGGGATACTCTTGGACTCTGCATTTGGTGCAAAAAGACTCCTTGCACTCGGCTTCGGACCCTCTGACTTAACTAATCACCCGCCTCGGAAAGGTTTCCGTTTCCAGGACTGCGCGAGTTTTTCCAAATAATTGGCGGGCACATTTCTGGTGTTTCTCTCGGTTGGACTCGCCCGACCTCGCATTTTGTGGACCCGGGTCGGCCTTCTGAAGACCGCGATGTCCTTTTGGAGTCAGTCGATTGCCTTTTTTTCCATTTTTTCCTAAATTATCCCGCTTCAATTTCTGTGCTGAATACTTTACTCCCTGACTTTCGCAACAGCGACCTGAAAATCACGTGGCCGAGAGATGAGGAAGAGTTTTGTTATTAGTTTTGTGTTTCTCAATTCCTGTAATCATTGTTTTCTCGGTCGAACTTGTTGACGCATGAATCGATTTCAATCAATTGGCATCGATGTCATTTAGAATTAATGCTGCGGAGAGTCTGGATCCCCTGGCTCGTTTGTTTACCTTCTGCAAAGGCCTTGTCCCAATCCGCGCACCTTGTTCCTCTTTTCTTTTCCAATATCTCATCGTTCTCTCTTGAGACCTGGATTTTGATCGGTATTCGAATGTTTGGTTTTTTAATACTCGAGTAGTCTGATTGTGTTACCAGTTTCATCAGTTTTTATCAAACACGGCGAACATGTTCATTGCGCGTTTGTGACTGACCGGTATTCATTTCATCACTTCCAGCCTGATTAGACGGTAATGAGCAAAGTCGGTCTTCTATTTCGAGCCATCGGCTCTCTGATCTCCTTGATCACCAGGATCACCTTCAATTTAGTCCATTATGTGGGCTTATTGGGCTCTCTGGGTGTGACGGTCTATACAGTCGGAGAATACACTCACAATTTCATCAAAGACAAACCTCGAGGTAAGGAATCGGGGTCAAGGACGGAAAAAACGACAAATTATTTAAGCCCGGTGCAGGAACGGCGGAGAAATCATATTTTGGTGTATTTGTAGATGTTTGGTTCCGTCTAGGGCATCAAATCGAAAAGAGGATGTTTCATTTTATTTGATAGGGCATAAATGACGAATCAGTGCAAATTATAAACAGTTTGGGATCATAAAAGCATGATCTTTTCGTGACAGACGTATTCGTTGTAGACATCAATACCTCATAAAAACTAGATCGGCAATAATCGGAACATAGCGAACTGTCAATTGGTTTTTTTGTTGTCCTTAATGCAACCTCCACGCGGGATTCCGACGAAAATCGGGGTGGGAATAGAAGAGGGGACGGTCCCGACTGTTTCTCCCTATCCAACGCGTCTTTGCAGTTCGAAGGATGACCACCTATTCATATATCCTCTATATTGGGGGTTGTTATTCACTTTAAGTGAAGTTGCCACGTATTCGGGACTAAACTGGGAGGTTGATAGCGGCTAGCCTTTTTTTCTTTTAGGCCTCCCTTTTTTACATCAATGTTCGTAAAGATCGTAATGAAGATTTTTGCGTTTACCGTCGACCTTCGTCCTTTTTGCGTGATCTTAATCTCGGGAGTTTCCCCTCTGTATATCTTTCTTTAGCCGGTAGTGTGTTCTCCTTTTTCGAACGGGTTAGTAACTTAAAATATGGGTAAGGCTTCTCGTCGTCAATACTCTCGAGAGGCGGATTATGTTCCGGCCGAAGACTTGCCAGGAAAAGGTAAAATTATATAATACAGCAGCTGTGGGGGTTGTTTGTTAAATTTTAGTTTAACTTAATATTATTTAGTACTGGAAATCCTGAAATGGAGAGATCCTAAGAAGAGTGCTGCCGCTCTGGCCTTGTCCTTGTTGGCCTTGATCCTCATCGCCAAGTTCTCAGTGATATCACTCATCGCCTGGACTTCGCTCACCATTTTGGCTGGAACCCTCGGATTCAGAGTCTACAAACTGGTGGAGAGCCATCTGAAGAAGACCGATGGAGCTAATCCTTTCAAAGAATACTTGGAACCCGAGATCTCTGTTCCTCAAGAGAAGGCTCACGCTCAGGCTGATGTGATTGTTCAACATGGACAGGACTTGTTGAACAGCCTCCGTCGTCTGTTCTTGGTTGAAAATATCTGTGACTCCATAAAATTCGCTGTCCTTCTGTGGACTCTGACCTACATTGGTTCTTGGTTCTCCGGTATCTGTTTGGCCACCCTCTGTGAGTTTTTACTACATAATTAAAATTCCGCTAGTTGCGACTCAACTTATTGTTAATTATTACTATTGTTTCAATTTCAGTTGTCCTCGCTCTCTTTACCCTCCCTAAGGTCTACGAGCTTTATCAAGAGCCAATTGACGAGTACATTGCCCTAGCCAAGGCTAATGTGGAGAAAGTCAACGCTGTGTAAGTCATGAAGATCCTTTTTTGATATCAATGTTTAGGCTCCAAGAGAAACTTCCCTTCCTTAAGTGCGCCGCCAAGGACGACAAGAAGGAAGAGTAAACGCAAGCTATTCTATCAGCTTGGCATCTCCGTACCACTTCAGTAATTGTTTCATCTTGTTGCTTACATTGTTTCGTCCAATTTACTCTAATTAAACCCTCAGTTTTTTATTAAAAGGTAAATGTTTCGTCCGGGAACTGTCCCCTAGACCTCGCAATATCATTTACCCGCCTGATGTGGCCTCGTTTTTGCAGTGATTATTCATATTTTGTAGCAATTTTTTAGTAAAGATTAGCCAATGCCTATATAATTGCTACAGTATCACCCTCAACTACGTGCTTTCGGGTGATTTCTTATATTTTAAATCTTTTGGTCTGTAAATGATAACACTTGATTGAATAAATGCTATCGATTACATCGGGCTTAACTGATATTAAAACTCAAGACGTTATGACTAACATTTATTAAGATATGCGCTATGAACGAAAGACTCGTATGAACATTATATTTTCGGTTAAAGGCTGGACTCGTATATTCTTGACAATCATGGTAAATGTTGCGAGAGTTGAGAACAATAAGTTATGACCCGTCAAAACAAATAATAAATAGGATTAAGAGCTGGAGTTAGATCTGGGAGACAGAGACTTCTTATGGGAATCAGTCGAATCGCTGTGATAGTCGGAGGTGTTGGAGTTGGAGCGGACCTTCTCTCGCACTGGTTTCCCTAATTCCAATACGGAATGAGCCATCGGACAGAACTCACCCTGGCTACAAAATCCTTCTTGAATATGAGAGATGCAGAGAAAACTCTTCAGACCGTCTGAGGGCTCCACTTTCTTCATTTCGTCGGCGTTAGCTTGCAACTGAAAAAAATAAACATAAAAATGACGGCTTAATTAGGACTTGATACTGTTGCAAAATGTCTCAAAGAAAATAAAAGAAGTTTTAACTTGGGAATGTAACACAGTAGCACTTTTAATTTTGTAAACTAAATGAATGGCGTTCTCCATTCTTCAATCATCGATAAAATCCGTATATTAGACTGGCCATAAAAACAGTGTGCCTAAACCAGAGAAAAGAAGAATGCCGTAAGCTTCTCACCTGTTTGGCCACCATGAAAATGGACTCCCTCTCTGCATCGCTCAACAACGAGTCGGAGGATTCGCTCCAAATCTGCTGGGTGGGCGACTTGTTCTCGGTGAAGGCTCGGCGGCGAGGGGCCGCGGGCTGAGGGTCGTTCCAAATTTGGGCCAAATTACCTTGGTAACCATTATAATTCCACTGATAAGAGCCGGCCCGCTGTGGCGGATAGCCAATGCCACTGTTCGTACGAGAAGCGCAGTGCATAACCAGTCGCTCCCGTTGATGGTGAGGGAGAACAAATAAAAAATAAAAACGAAACGAACAAAAAATGTTTTTTTTTCTGTCCAGCGCTTGATGCGGGATGCCAAATGCAGAAGACAAATCAGTGCGTCGGAATGTACGGTAAAATTGGGTTATACATATATGTATTGGTTTTTGTCAAGCCGCATACTGAACCCAAAGACGGCCCACACTTAAAATTCAACCGTTTTTCGGCCCAGAATCCCCTCGGGCGCAGGGGTGATTCAACCGCTGATATCGGTCATCTCCTTAACGTTTCAGAACAATCGGAATGCACTCTGAATTCAATAAAATTGGAAATGAAGGTGTTGTCACATCAGTCATCGACTTGTCAGTCTTTAGACTCTCAACAAATAAAATCTTTCATTTTCGGGCATAATCAGAAATGATGGCATTAATGAGAATACAACGATGTAAGGAGAATGAGTGCAGGTTGAAGTGAATAGGAGTAAAGGAAAGCACAAATTCCTGCAAAATGACACCAAAAATACTCGGATTCAGTGAGCGTCAACAGGACGAAGTGCATCATGTCGTAATTAAGCCCAGGAAAGGAAGTATGTATGTCTGACTAGGCGGGCGGTTAACAATGCTTGAATCATTCTTTGTTTGTGATTAAGGGAAGTCAGTCAGGTCAAGATGGAGAAGTCGAGCTGAAGCCGATTTCAGGAGTTGTGGCCCCGTTTTTGGCGGCTCCATTCATGGGCCCTGAGGGGATTTGGCTCGAGGGTTGTGGTTTCAGGAGAGAGATCCGTCATAACAATCCTCGGGGATGTTGTTCATCCCCGATTTGAAGACGTCTTTCCGGCCGCGGCCTCGGGAGATGGATGTTTATACCTGATTTGTTCTTATCTTTTTTGTTTTATTCGGGGGCGGCCGAACCTCGCCTCTCCTACGTAATAAAAGAGTTGCGGCCGATGTGGGTACGATCACTGTAAACTTAGAGAAATATAGTAATACGTTTACCCTAACTGTCCCTTCATTTCGTCTCCCCCGAAACCTTTTTTATGAAAAAAGTTGTGGCCGTAACTTCAACTTTCAGACTATTTTAATGTCATCATTTTAAGTCAATGGAAGCAGCTGCCAATGGATTTCACGCAGCTAGACAACGATATCGGAAAAGACGATCTTCAAGGGCCGGGTCAAGTGCAGATGCTGTCAGAGGACGGATCTATTCAAAGATCTCGGGAAAGGAATTGGGGCTGACTGATGATCAATGTGAACAGCTAGCAACGGCCTTTTCCAATATTCCCGATAAATATTATGCCTTCGAACAGATGTTTCTCAACCTTTTCATGGTAAGAATCCGTTTGTCTCATTTACTTATTTTTCTGTTTTTAATGTCATCAAATTTGCAGAAGGAAGATCCCCAATTGGCTGTTGTCTTTGGATTTGAGGGTATAAGGCCCGAAGAATTGAGGAGAATGAGTCCCTTCCGAACACATGTATGCAAATTCCAAAGGTTTATGACAACAGTATTGGACATGTTGCCAAAAAAGAATCGGGAAGAAGAACTGATTCAAATCATCAGGTATAACAAGATTCGTTTTGCTTAACCTTGGAAGGGCCGCTTGAGCGTTTTAGGGGCGCTGTGTGGGGGATATCTACTGAGTACTACTGAATTCATTCTATAACCCTAAAAAGGTCCGGAGTCAATCGGACAGCTGATCGAGGAGAAACGGAAAAATGTTACAGTAACCCAAAAGCAAGGGGCAACCTGGATTATGCCTTATTTTCTATAGGAATGGCCGCTAACGGAAAATACGTGAAAATTGAGTCTGAAAACGGCTTACATGTTTACAACCTCATAGATTGTTTGGATTGCAGGACCTAAAACATTGTGTAATCACTCACTGAGAGTATCGACCTGAGAGTTTCAAGTAAAGTGTTCAATGTCACAGGTGACTGTTGGAGTGATTATTCAATCTCGTTAGCCCCTCAGAAGCCAAGAGTCCCAAAATCCAATTGGGAATTTTTTACAAACATAGCTCGCGCGTAAGGCAAAAGTAGCAACTAATTAAGGTGAACCTAGACCAGTTTATTACGCTCTTTCAAAGGGTGTTTGAAAAACCAGGAGGCGAGCTTTTTCGATAACTGGCATACAACATTTCCTTACGACATTTACATGACTTCATTCCTCTATGCAATGTGGAAGGCGATAGCATTGATTGCTTTTAAAAATAAAGAAAAAATTTCATGTTTGATACAATCTCTAAAAACTGGTGAGTATGGCAAAAGATGTTTCTAAGACAAAATTTTATGATGTTTCTGATGCGCTAAAACGTATCAGAATACAAGTGCAAAGTATTATAGTGCGGCAACCCCTACTTTTATGGGATACTGTATATTTTTAACTTACAAATTGTTAGTGGCAGCCATTCTCGACCAAGTGAGGTCGCCGAGAGTTCGGACCAAGTGCATTCTACTCTGTCAGTAGACATTCCCCACATAGCGCCCCTAAAACGTTACAACGGCCCTGTTAAACATTTGAAAGTTAAGTACTACGTAAATTTAGAATGGTGGGACGACAGCATTGTAATGTGAAGTTACTTAGTTTTACCGCTCAAAAATGGTTATCCTTCAAAAACGGAATGCTCAACGCCTTGGCCAAGGGAGGGGAATCGCATAAATATTACAGTAGCTGGAATATCCTGATCAGTTTTATGATATCCGAAATGAAAGATGCCTATCTTGCACACGTAAGTCCAACTACATATTTCGTAAGGAAAATTTTATTTTGAAATTTTTTTTCACAGGTGGCTAGCTACCTCTTGTCAAAAAACGGAGTCAGGACTTTTCGGTCCCCCCACTTTCGGTCCCCGCCTTTTCGGGCCCGCCTTTTGGGGTGGGAGACTTTTCGGTCCCCGTCCTTTCGGCTGGCGCCTTTTCGGTCCCTGGGCTTTTCGGGCGGGGACTTTTCGGGTGATGAGTAAAAAATTGTACAACAAGATACTACTGATGATGCAATATTGTAAATAATTTTTAAAAAAACTTTTTCATCCGGTTTTGGGGTTTTCGACCAAAAAACAGATTCTTTTAGATAAGCGTCCGAGAAGAATCCGAAAAAGAAGTTTACATTTGCCAAAAAGTATTTGAAAAATTAATTATTAATAATTATTAATTAACGAATTACAAAAGAAAAAACGGAAAATAACAGTAATAACACAATTCGTAAGTGATAAGATTACTAGTAATGAATTTTCCGATTTAATGCAGGATTTTATGCCAATTTCAATTAGAAATTCAGCTTCTTCATGGACGATTTGATAATGTTAAACTTTTATCACTTCTTCTAATGTTATTTTGAAGTTTTGTATTGAAAATGTCGCAGGGTGGGTGGGTGATTCTAACTCGAAACTCCCAAAAAAAACGGATGAAAAAGTTTTTTTTTTTAATTATTTACAATATTGCATCATCAGTAGTATCTTATTTTACAATTTTTTACTCATCACCCGAAAAGTCCCCGCCCGAAAAGCCCAGGGACCGAAAAGGCGCCAGCCGAAAGGACGGGGACCGAAAAGTCTCCCACCCCAAAAGGCGGGCCCGAAAAGGCGCCACCCGAAAGAGGGGGGACCGTAAAGTCAGTCTCCCCAAAAAACCTCCCCCCTCCAGACCAATTCCTCAGCTACGCCACTGTTATATACCTCAAAAAATCCAAATTGTGATGATCAAGAATATTTAAAAATTAGCAGCCCATTGGGTTTAAGGGGGTCAGGAAATTATGGGTGACGCAGAGTCGGGTGGTGCAGGTTCGGGTGAGAACTTTTGGGTGATCGCAAAGTCGGGAATTATCGCAGAAAAATAGTATTCACAGAAAATTTTGAACGAAATGAATTCCATTTTTGGATTCCTGATGGCTGAAAACCCCAAAAAGCATAAAATTTAAAAAATTTAAACAATATTACGTCATATTTTGTAGCCATTAGTACAATATTTTATATTTGGTAGCCTTCAGTGCAATATTTTTCATCGCCCGAGAATTCCCCCACCCTAAAATTCCATCACCCGAATATGCACCATCCGACTCTGCGTCACCCATAAATTCAGTCACCCGGGTTTAAGGGTCGAAAATGCCCAACAACTGGCTAATTTTCTTTCCTTTTCTTTAAGATTCGTCAACTCCGTTCCAATTCGTTGCCTCACGTGCTGGAAGCTTATCGCTTAGACTTCAGAAGAGGGTCCCCCGTCCCAAGCGATGAAGGTCCCAGCACTTCCAGGGAGGAGGACCTTGCCTAAGGCCGCTTCCCTCTACCTCTCACATCTCCAGGATAAGGTCGAATGCTCAACGTCCCCGTGTACTGTATTTTCCGGTCTCTTATGTACAGTAATCCGATAAATTTTAATTTGTTGGGACAAGTTTGATGATTATTATAAATAGTCCATAAAAAACGTTTTTAAATTCTTTATAAACAGAAACAAATAAAATTAATTACAGCAAGTCTATAGAATTGTGGTTGAGGGCGCAATGTAATCGACAAGAATTCAATGTGTTAAAGTTATTGGAGTTTCCTCCACAGCCAAGATACCAGAAAGGACGGCAAATAGAAGTTGGGGAGTCGAAATAAAAACGATGAGACCACCGGGGTCGGGGACATTCACGATGTCCCAGATCTCGAGGAAGGTTACAGGCGGCAGAAAAATACTTTTCTTGCTCAGCCACTAAAAAGATATTTTAATTAAAAAATAAGTTTACCAACGATTATAATGTTTGTTACAACATCCAACAAGAAACAGTGATAACTGAAAGTGTGAACTTACAACTGCTGGAAGAGATTGGCGAACTGTCCAGGGTCGATGTTCTTGAGGATATTCCCCATGTTCACTCCTCCACCACCCCCATTCCCAGTCTGGCCCACTTCTCGGATCGTATTCGCAATTAATCGAATAAAATTCGGCGGTTGTGTAACTCCACCTCCACCAGTGCCTAAGGGTCCACCACCATACCCATTATCTGGTCGTGGTCGACCTGATCCCTGAGAGATTGGAGGGATAAACCCTGAACTTCCTCCAGACTCGGTCCGAGAACGGACCGTCTGATCGGGAGGCGGAGGCCGGGGAGATTCTGAGGGTAAAATAAGTAAACTTTCACCGTGCGTAACGAAACGTAAAGCTGACGTTGATACTTACTCTGACATGCTCTTGTTGCTTGAATACATTGATTCTCCTCATCGAAGAGATTGTTATTGGTCTCTGGAGTCCGACATCCGGGGAACCAGAATTTCTCACAGGCCCCGGTCTCTTTATTGTAAGTGTATTTAAGCATAAATCCACAGAATCGTCCCATCGGGATGCCTTGTTCACAGACTGAGATCTTCGACACTTTCATACCGCTGAATCTATTATGGGGTCTTTGTGTTGTCAGCACCGGCTCCGGTCCTAAAGTGATACATAAGTATAATATTTCAACAGCACTAATCTTGTTACTATACTTACCATTTTCTCCTTCAAAGTCGCCTTCCAGGTCTTCGGTTGGATTGGGACCCGGATCTACATGTCGTCCTCCTGGGATTGGTTTGGGTGGGGGTGTGGGAGGTAGGGTCGGGGTTGGAGGTGTCGCCCTTGTCACTGGAATGCCACCATTAGCTGCTGTTATACACTAAAACATTAGATTTTTATTAGTCATCATAATAATTTTGTGACACTCTCCGTCTTCATTGTGTATTTATTCAGACGCGCGGAGCTCAACAAACCAAAGATCAAAAAGGTTTACCCACCGAATCCGGAATCGGTCTGCATTGATTGGCCTTCTCTTCATTCAACAGACTGCTCTTTCTCATGCATACTTGATGTGGGAATGAGCACGTGAAGGGACTGCATTTTATCGTATCTACGATCAAAAAGTCCGCATTCGATACAACGGCTTCGCCTGGAATTCGGGAGAATCGTTATAATATGCTAATAAACCCATTCAGAGATAAGAAGGCTTACATTCGGGGGTCTCAAACAATAACTCCAGGAACGGATCGACCTTATCCGGGATCTCATGGGCGCAGATTACCCCAGCAATGAGAATAACCCAGAGGGAACGGATCATCTTCAGAGAAGAATCAATGGAGAAAAGGCATCGCGATTTCGTTGACTCTGCTCTTCTCACAGATTGGCAGGGATCCAGAGGGTCTGCTCACGTTTATTTCGGGGGGATTTCGATCCTCCGCGCATCGAACATCCGACGCTACTCGGTAAGGGATGTCTTAGTCTTATTCATGTTCCTCTTTTTTGAGTAATGTTTTTATTGCGCTACCTTTGCATCGTCAGCAATTAGGGTTAAGCCGCTAAACGGATCGCGTTTGATTAGCGAAGCACATCAATCACTGCTAATGATCCGTTCTTTCGGAAACGCAAATGTTTACTTTTGGCTTTGTTGAAATCCACAATTAGAATATTTATGATAATTATTATTTACGGTTTTTAATCCTGTTTCAGTGTACGCATCATTCATTTTTGTCGTGGTTATAAATTTTTATTTTCACATTTTGTCGTATAAAGCAGAGGCCCCTCGCTGACCACCATGCAGAGGTAGTCAGCGACACGTTTTTTTCGGATTTTGGGCCCACGGCCGCGGGTTACTGCCCTTTCGGGGTCGCCCTTTCGGCGTGAGATCCTTTCGGGGTCAAGGCAAATACTGGGGTTTCCGGGTCCTGGAGCATAAATAATCATATTTTTTAAACTACTGATTAATTTTATGACGCAATCTTAAATTTTTTGAAAAATAGAGATGGTTGAAAAAAATTACTATGATTACTGCGATTTTCGAATTCAGCGCCCTCGATAACCCCGAAAGGGCGACCCCGAAAGGGCTCACCCCCGACAGGGCCTGTTTCCTTAAAAGACAGACCCTGTCCGGCCCGTCTAGTGTTTTTCCAGGCCCGGCCCGTGCAGGCCCAATTTGGGCCGAATTTTCTTAGAAAAAGATCCTTTATAGAGGTACTCAGCAAACTGCGGCTCAAGCTTGAGAACTAAAGTTAGCCAAAAAACGCGGTGATCTAGCAGGTACGGGATTACTAATGACACTAACATGCACTTCCGCACTGGTTTCATCGTATAAAATGTCTTTTAGCGGAACGCCAAGAAAAAAATTCTTTTTCGCGGTGGGACCGTTGAGTCGTTGCTCTCTCCCAGACTGTCGCCACATTTCGTGGTTGAGCTCGAGCTTTCGTCGTCAAAATTTTTTTATTTCGTTGGTATAACTGAAAGGCGAGTCGAAGGGGTGTATCAGATTACGCTCCTTACTTGATTTTTAAATGGCCATGATATGTTCGAGTTCCAGTTAGTTCTATTGTTATCGTGTATGTGTGTTTGTTCTCGCTTTGAATTCGACACAAATGGATCATTAATTTGTATTCTGGTTTCAGATGGAGCACGTTCAAGCTATTGTTGAGCCTTCTAAGAAGTTCGCCAAGGACAGTATCAGACTTGTAAAGAAATGCACCAAGCCTGACAGAAAAGGTTTGTTTTAATGCTTATTTTTGGTGATTTTAGTGGGGATGGCGTCGAAAGTTTTGGCATTAGAGAGCAGTTCTCTAAAACTTGTTCTGTAGACAAAAGTGGATGATACTGCTTTTTTTATTCAAGTTTTGAGCGATTTCTGGATACTACATCCTTTTTTACTTGCAATTGGTTCAGTCCTGATTTTACATAGAAGATTCTGTGTTGTTTCGATTACCGGTTAAACCGTATGGTATCAATTATTTTATTTTATCAGTAAGATGTATGATGTTTCAATTTTTCCTGTTGAAGCAGATTTATATTTAAGGAAGATGTATTCCGCAAAAAATAGAAGGGTAATGTCTACAACGTTTGTTAAGTGGGCGTTTCCACCAAATTTTGTTACCTGATGTTCCTCGTTTTTTCAGAATACCAGAAGATCGCTGTCGCGACTGCAATTGGATTCGCAATTATGGGATTCATCGGCTTCTTCGTTAAACTCATCCACATCCCCATCAACAACATCATCGTGGGTGGCAGCTAAGGCTTCGATTGTTAATTATTTTATATTTTCATTAATTTATATAAAGATGGATAATATATTTTTTGTCATCTTTTAGCGATCTTATGTATTTTTCGATTTTGATCGTCAGATTCTGCGATTCTATTGATATTGCGTGCAGTAAAGGATAAATATTTGATTCGTTGTTGCAGATGTATGCTTTAGGTAATCAGGGATGGATAAAGGCCCAAAAATTCTAGTCGGGTTCTCAGGTAAAAGGAAATCCGGCAAAGATTATGTGAGTGATGAGCTAATAAAGAAAGGAGAGAATTTGGGGTTGCGAATAGTCAGGAGGGGCGTCAGCTACCCGCTAAAAGAAGAATATGGAGTTGAACACAATCTCGATGGGGAACGACTGAAATTTGACTTCGAATACAAAGAGAAGGTCAGGAAAGAGATGGTCGTTTGGGGAGAGCAAATCAGATCCAAAGATCCTGCATATTTCTGTCGGTGAGTCTTGTACGGTACTTTCTTTGTTATAAATGTTAATTTTTACTGTAGTTTTTGTTCAGAAAAACAGTAGAAGCCGTGACCGATCTTTCATCAGTGGATATCTTGATCATCAGTGATTGCCGTCGCCCCACAGATTTGCTTTATTTCAAGAGTCATTTCAACGCTGTCTTTCTTCGAGTTGAAGCAGATATTGAAACGAGGAAGGAAAGAGGATGGGAGTTCCAGGACGGCGTTGACAATTCAGAGTCAGAGTGTGGATTGGATGATTACAAATGCTGGGACTTTTTAATAGAGAACAATGGAGACGAAGAACAACTGCAGAAGGACCTTGATGAACTCATCCACAAGCTGGGAGTTCTCCAAAAATAAGGAATCTGGACACAATTACTCTCTCAAATGCTGGGTCAATTAATTAGTCCGCGAACTTCACTTCTCCTCCACCTCTCATGTTTCTGTGAATAAAACAATGCGGTAATTGGTGGTTATTGTCTGCCTATTGTATGCCTGAAATGGAATGCGACCCTGTAATTTGTCTATTACGTTATTCTTCGCGAGCAGCTGTCCTCTCGAGAATAGGAGACGCTGCCTGCTATCTATAGGGATCAGAAGCACTTTATTAGGAACAAGCACTTGACTCCTGATCCTCCTAAATTATGCATACAAAGGAATGGACAGCTCTCCTATAACGGATGGCATTATGCACGGGAGTTGCATGTCATTCTACTGTAAGAGCCGGAAAGCAGATGTTTCCATGGACTATAAAGCTATCGGAATGATTGATCAAATCGACTTTGTCATAGCTATAGATTTGTACTTAATGTAAGGTAATGTTAACCTGGGATCCTCAAGAAAGACCAAGGATAATATCCAAACTGATCCTCCTTTCCCTACAATAGGTCCCTAAAGGCAAATAGAAGGGCATTCCCTTTATTCTAATTCGATTGTTTTTGCGGCCCTTAAGCGGTTTAGTGATGCCGCCATCTGCCTTCTTTATGTGCGACTTGTTGTTTGGCCGGACTTGTTGACAGTCGCGCCAATCTCGTTATGCAAAATCTCATCTGAACCGCGGTCTGGCCCTGGTTCAAGGGCATCAATCATTGGGCGCCTTTCAATGCGCGAAAGAGCCCCTTTAAATAATTCAGAATACAGTGCGGGGTTGTTTACGACTTGGCCATGGGGTCGCGCAGTCCTTATTTTTCATGGATAATGCGCGCACCTGGCCTTAAAACGAAGGAAGAGAGGTGGTACCTGTCCGTACAATCTTCCATTATGCTTCAGGCAAAACGGATACAAACAGAGCAAGGGGTCATGACAAGTGGATTACTGTGCATTTATACAAGCAAAGCAATCTGCAGTAATCCGGAAACTCTTCAGGTCATGTTTAATCGGGTGAAATGCGACTTTGTACGAAGTCTCGCAGATATCTTTAAAAAAATTATCTAAATTTGCGCCAAGTTCCATCAAAACCTGAGCGTCTCACTTGGAGTACTTCCCCTATAAGTGTAATCTTGTTTCCGAACAGGTAATCGACGTGGTTGAGAGGACAAATAAAGCTCTTCATATCTGCGCATTAAGAGCGCGCCAATTCCGCCCAATCTGTCCCAGTAATCCCGGGTCAGGCAGGTCACCTCGTCTCTTTCCTATGTCCTTAAACGCCATCTGCCCTAAAAAATGGGTTCATGGCCCCGCGATCCGATCCTTGGCCATTTGTTCTAATCTGGGTTTCGTCTTAATGGTATCATTTTCAGTGTTTATTTGCTTGGTTATGTACATATACAGAAATTATGGTGGGATGTAATAACATCATTAAAATGCATACTTTTTTTGGGCAGAAGATACCTGAGATTCTAAAAATGATAATTGAAATCCTATAATAAAAGAATTATTAAAATAGCATTCAAAAAAATCCTCGAATTCCAATAAAATTCGCCGACTAATTTTGCCATTCCAAATGCGGGAAAACGGCTCACCTGGTATGGACCGAAAAGGGAAACCATCTGCCGGAAGGAATCATTTTTTTGTGCATAGTGCATCCGGAAATATGCATCTGCCTTTCTGACTCCCTCTACTGTATAATCAAGAAAAGACAAACACCTGCACTCGAGAGATCTTACGCAACCCCCAATCGAACGGGGATTAGAGCAATCCATTGACCTTTCCAACTTATGGTTATGTTTGTTTTTTATTCGGATTAAATTGTAGGAGTAGATATATCAGAAATTTTTTTAAAAATTGCTTTGCAATATGAAAATAAAACCTTGACAATGTCGAGTAGGGTAAATTCAGCACAGCCGGTAATCGCCGTCTGCCCCAAAATGGAATTAATTGGATTCCAAATCCTTGAAAAGCCCAAAGAAGCCGCCAAACAGGAGTGTTTATGGTGGATCTCCTTCTTTTGTCGCTTATGCAAATTATCGCGACGACTTCCCACTGAAAAACATAAGCCCTTGATTTACAGTACCTTCTCCGAACGCTTTTTTATGAGTCGCCAGATTTCTATTTTCGAATGAATGAGGGAAAACGCGCGGCCAAAAAAGGGCTTGGCCACCAAAAAACGCTTAATTGGGGGAATCCGCGGAAGATGGATCAGGCCAGATGGTCGGGCCAAGAAATTCACGGCCTGGAACCGGCCCAAATATGGTCAGAAAAGGGTCCTCAAAAAAGACCTAAAGCGATCTTATCCTAGTCTAATGATTTATGGGACTGGGCATCTGAATCTGACTTTTCTTTATCTTATTTTCATCTGAATCATACTGTGTTACGCAATAAATCGGGTGTATTTTTCGTTCACAAGTCATTTCGCCGTTCCGCGTAAATAGCCCGCTTTTTTATTGTTAATCAAAGGTACCCTAATAATAATTAACCTAATATCTTTTAAGTAGTCTTTCGTGGCCATTAATCCAGGAGTGAAATCCAGTCCGGTTGCGGCTTTCTTATAACCCGAGCAGTCCAATTAAGCGCTTTCCTTTCATTTCGGACTGACAGTTCACGTCCAGGTCATGGACTTGAGACAGGTCCGGGAAGGAAAGGAAACGGTTTTCTTGTGGCCGCACAGGCAGATGGCCCGACCCCGCCCCCGACGGTTCTATTTTTTGGCGCCGATCTCGAGATCCGGTGCCGCGTAAATTCGGGAGGGGATTCAGTCGAAGAATGAACTCGAAAGTGGCCGGTCATGAGAATACAGTAAGGCTGTTGGGATACCATTGTAGCGCTATGCATTTTAGGGGTTCGAGAAGACAGTGATTGTAGTTCTGTTGGGGTTACTGCAGTTGCCATGACCTCAGATCGTGCTGGGGATTCACCTAACTTTGTTTCATATTGTGGGTCCTTTATAATACCCTTGATTTTACCCTTATCCCCCATGTTGACATGCACCGTTTACCCAACCCATTGTGCCTCCGCTTCTCCATTATCGACCCCAGATTCCAGTCGAAGTCTATGAAAGGCGTCTTCTGTGTCCCGATATTTGGTATTCAGATTCCTTGACGACCCTTCTAAATAGATGACAACCTAAGGAGATGCCACATAAACGCGGGTTCATTCTTTTTCTGGAGCTCTTCATTCCGCCGAACTCCCATCGAGATTACTGTAACACCCGATTTCGAAAGAGTACGGCCCGCGGAACGGGGGACGGGGAGAGAGCGATAAGGGTTTTGAAACAGACCGTGACTCATGCACGAGTAGTTATTCCTCGCAATTATATCAGTTATGTGTTCGCCTGCGGCGTGATTCTATTTCTGGAAGTGCTATCTGACATTTGCAGGACATGTTCGCCTCGAACGGGCTCATGTTACCTGGCCTCTTTGAACCCTCGGTGTGCACTCCGACTAGTCCAACCAGCCTCAGCGGCGTTTTCAACAACTCTTTTACCCCTATTGCTCAACCAGATTACAACTCGACATTACAATTGCTACAGCTACAACTGATTTGGCAGAATTCTGATCTCCTCAACAATCTCCTCGGACCTTATAATCCTCCAAACGTAAGCTAAAAACATCACTTTTATTTACTCATGATTTACTTTCGTTATATTTATGTCACCAATTCCCGATTCTAGGTGCCGCAGATAAAAGCAGAACTGATTCCTGAGAAAATCTACCTTCCAAAGCCCAAACCTCTGTCCCCCATCTCTCGGAAACGTCCATCCTCATCCAACCGATCCTCAGAAACCCCGAGTCCAAGTTCAATCCCAGCCAAAAAACACAAAAACATCAGAAAAACCTTGGCTATCGATGCTGAAACCAACTCCCCCGTCTCTGGAATGTACATCAAAGACGCATCGGAAGTGAGCATCGACGATCTCCAGAAGGCCTCAGAATTGGATGAAACTGCTTCTTGTGTCCACATCTCAGAGGAGTCGAAGCGAAAGATTGCTGAGATCCCCAACGTGATCGGGGACACCGTATGTTCCTTGTGTAAAGTTAAGTTTGTGGACGTCTTCCGTCTAGCCATGCATCGATGTCCTCGGATTGTTCATGAAGAATATCGCTGTCCCGAATGCGACAAGGCAAGCGCTATGATATTATTTATATTACTTGTGGTTTGAATTTGCCCGCCGCTCGCCCAATTAAGTGTAATTTGGATATTTAACAAGACTGGCCGAGTATGCGGTAAAGTCAATCTGGGCGCCCATAATTGGTGTACGATTCGGTTGACAGCCGCTTGCCGACAAAGGGCGCGCGATGTTGTCTTCGTAGCTGCGGGGGTCCCGCGTCTCGAGAGCTGCACGTCCTCTGGATAAACACTTGGCGCCTTTCGGCGTCTTGAACAGTGGCCTCATGCGGTGCCCGCACTTGACATGTCCCCAACTTTGAATCACCGCCGAGAACAAACAACTCTAATCCTCCCATTGCAGGTGTTCAGTTGTCCCGCCAACTTGGCCTCTCATCGCCGTTGGCATCGGCCCAAGACCAATGTCGACTCGCAGTCCACCACTTCTGAATCCTCCAAAAGATCTCCAACCCCGGCCTTGATCTCTCTCGGATTCTCCACTGATTCTCTCGCTTTATGTTAAAATTTCGAATCTTCAAGAATACGGTATTATTTATGTTCTCTACATTTACTACAGTATTATCCTAGTAGTCTACTTCAAATCTAACATTCTTAGATCGAGTTACCTAATAATGGCCTTATAATGTTATCTAATGTATAACCCGTCCCTAACCTTGTTATTTTAAGTCCGGAGTCATCAGCTCAACACACTCGGACTTAATTGGCTCGCTGAGTTATCTAGTCATGCTGTATATACCTTAACCATTACAATAAATCTTATTTGAAAGTCAAAGAAAAAGTAATTCCAATATGATCTGTTTTACCAAACATTTCCGACAAAAAGTAACTTAACTATAAACATTCGAAGGACCATTTATTCATGTGTATTCTACAATAATTTAAATAAGGCCGAGTTTCTGCTTCTGTTTGTTCTTCTTGCGGACTAAATCAAGGTTACGTTCCTTCCATGTGCTCTTTCGCAATTTGATTGGCCGGTTACCGACGTACTTCCCATCCATCTCACGCATTGCTCTTACAAAATCCTGAAAACACGTTCATAACGAAATAGCAATTACCACGACCAAACATGGTCGTTGTTATTTTCCAAATTGATGCCCCAACTCTCAAACTTACATCTTGGTGTTTAAACGAAACAAATCCATACCCCTTGGGCTTGTTCGTCCTTGTATCTCTGACAACCTTCGCTTTCTGGAAACTCGGATATTTTCGGAAAGCCTTGGCCAATAATTCATCTGAAACTTCATTTCCCAGATCTCCACAAAAGATTCTGAAGTCATTTGGATCCCATTCAGCCAAAGATGGATCCTCCCAGGTCTGCCCACCACCAGTTCGAACGAATCTTTTCATCTTCTTGTCTCCTTTCATTACCTGACCGAGGTAAGAATTTTTGTGAGCTTCTGCGGCCTGTCTTCTGGCCTGGATAAGTTCCACATCAGCAGGAAGGGCCTAGAAAAGCCGATTTAAAAATTTAAATCCATGCACACGACTAAAACATACGAAAAAATTAAGAAAACTCACCACAGTTTTAAAGGATGGGACTGGAGGAGGCTCAATTGTAACATTTTGGTTATCAGATGACTTGGAAGACGATGCACCGCTTTTACCGTATAAAACTGGGGCAGATTCAATAACTCCAGACATCGTGATATGACAATCTTTCTTCTTCTCAGCAACAAAAAAAACTAATTTTGCAAACAGAAATTTCACGAATGTGTCATCTGTTGTCGCAATTGAGACAAGATTCTCTCTGACACGAAGTGTCAATATTGATCATGAAAAAACCCGCTTCTTTTTTTCTTGTGAACTTCATTATTGAAGTCCGGGTTTTCTGAACTACGTTATGGCCGAATTGGATTATGATTCTGAAGATGGACAAGAGTTGACTGAGAAGGAAAAGCAGGTAAAAGATTTTATTTGTTGGCTACAGTTTTAGGAAATTGAGCGAAAGCGACGCAAGAATAAGAAGAAGAAGGAATCCAAAAAGAAAAACAAGAGCGTCGCTAGCGAGAAGCCAAAGGAAAATACCGAGAATGGTGACAAACCTAAGGAAGAAGATGACATCGAGGTTGAGGTGGAGTATGTTCCGGACGAACTTGATATTCCCACAGATGATCCTGCGTTTAAAGAATTCACGAATGTCTTAAACAGATTTAAGGTAGGACCAGTAATTCACAATTTTTTTGGATACGAATATTTTTAACCTAAAAAATCGTATCCGATAAAAAATTAACTTATGCCTTATACGAATATCAGAATTTTGGAAAATCTTTTAGTTATTCCACAAATTTGATACATGTTCGCAAAATTTAGTCGAAAAACTGTTCAATAAATTTAGCCTTTTTTGGTAATTATCACAATTGTCAGAAAAAGATCCGCATACGAATTTTTAGTCAAAATATCATAATAATCGTATTGGCGATTTTTGACGTCTCCGACAAAATACGGGCACGTAAATCACTGAATAGTACATGTATTGGCTTTGTTTAATTTGTGTAAATGTCTAGGCAGTTAAAGAAGAGATTAAAACAGAAGTTGTGCTGGACGAGCCCAGATTATTGGATAGCAACAGCATTGATTCGTTTAACAAAGCCGCGATATCTGAACAGATTCTACAAGATGAGATGAAAGAAAAGAAGGTATGCAAGGTGTTGATTAAATAGCTTTATATATTTAGAAAGAAGATGGTGATCTTGAAAATATGAGTCGTAAGAAAATCAGACTCAGTTTGCAACCATCAATCGCGGAACTTAAGGCTGTAAGTTAGAAATTCCTTTTTTGATTAGTTTAAATGTATTTTTGTAGAACACAACAAGACCAGATGTGGTTGAATGGGCTGATGTCACTTCTAGAGATCCTCATCTGCTTGTCCACCTTAAAGCTTATCGTAATACAGTCCCTGTTCCCCGCCATTGGAATGCCAAGAGAAAGTATCTCGCTGGAAAAAGAGGATTCGAGAGACCGCCCTTTGATTTGCCAGATTTCATTAAGAGAACTGGGATCATGGAGATGAGAGAAACCATGTGGGAAAAGGTAACATCTCTATTATAATGTTGGATTTTATGATTTTAGGAAGGTGAGCAGACCTTGAAGAGTAAGATGAGAGAGAGGATGCGGCCAAAGATGGGCAGAATTGATATTGACTATCAGAAATTACACGACGCCTTCTTCAAATGGCAAACTAAGCCGGTTATGACTTTAATGGGCGAACTCTACTACGAGGGCAAGGAAATGGAGACGCAGATGAGAGAGAAGAAACCTGGGCTTCTGTCGGATGAGTTGAGAATTGCACTGGGAATGCCCGTCGGCCCTGTAAGTGTGATAACAATGTTACCAACTTTCACATGTTATATCTGTAATTTATGTATTTTTAGACTGCAAATAAGTTCCCCCCTCCATGGTTGATTGCAATGCAGCGTTATGGACCCCCACCATCCTATCCTAATCTAAAAATTCCCGGGCTTAACACACCAATTCCTGAAGGTTGTTCCTTTGGATATCATGCTGGTGGATGGGGTAAACCTCCGGTTGATGAGACCGGGAAACCTGTATATGGTGATGTATTCGGACTGACGGTAGGTTTGGTATTATTTTGGACTGATTTTCCTTCTGTTAGGCCCCAGAAACAATCGAACCAGAAGACGAAAGCAAGATCGAGAGGTCTCATTGGGGAGAAATCGAGAGTGATGAGGGAGAATCAGACGAAGCAAGTGATATGGAGGAGGATGAAGAGGAAGAAGAACCAGCAGCAGGACAAGCCGAGGGCATGGCGACTCCATTGCCTGAGGGCGCAGTTACTCCAAGTGGAATCTCGACCGTCTCGGGAATGGAGACTCCGGAATCCATCGAGATCAGAAAGAACAGGACCGATGAATCAATCGTGGGCACAGACACTCCGATTTCCAAACCCCCAGGACAATTGTACACCATCTTGACCGAGAAGAAGGTCGATAAGTACGGGAAGGACCTTATGGGATCAACCCATGTCTACGACCTTACTGTAAGTCTGCTCTATAACATATTGTTATTACTCTTCGGAAAAAATACGATATAAAACATTAATTACAGAAAAAGAACCGCGCAGATGGAGTTGAAATCTCATTAAATCCGGAGGAATTGGATCTTGGCGACAAGAAACTTTTGGAGGAGAGATACGAAGAACAACTAAGAAAGCAGACGACCACCAAGAATGATGACAAAGAGGAGGAGGAAGACTTCTCCGACATGATTGCCGATCATTCCAGAGTGAGTCTTGTGCTTTTGGCTGTAGTTTATAATAATGTGGAATCATCTATCATCGCTTTGCGACGGCTAGCCGCGGCTGTAGATTTGGTTTGCGACTGCGCGGAGGCGAGACGTTTTGCTGCGACAAATCCACATTATTTCCCCGGCAGACTGATATATGAAACAAAAGTAATCAGTGTTTTTTCAGCGCAAGAGAAAGGCGGAACAGAAGAAACAAACGGCCAACGAGAAAAAGAAGCACAAGGACTTCAAATTCTAACTGTTGATTTTTATCTTTTTAAATATTTATATACAAGATGCGTCAAACAAAATTAGACTCATATTTATAGCCATATTTTTCTTTACGAGCGAAGTTTAACAAAAGTAACGATTAATATCAGCAACATGGAGCTTTATTAACCCGGGATTTGATGGTCTTCGACGAAGGCCGGGAGCCTCATCGGACCAGATGTTGTCGTTCTGTGGTTTGTGCGAACATGATTTTCGAAATTACATTTGTATTTGCAAGATTGCCTTGTTTCGCAGTAATCGACTGGTTTCATAAGAAATTTCCAACCGCGCAAATTCAAAAAATTTCATACACCGATTTCGAAAAAAGAGTGCAGGCTTATGGAATTGCAATGAATTTCAAAAAAACGGTAATGGTGTTAAAACCTCAGCGATAGATACGAGAAAAATTAACTTGACGCCGATTTCTAAAATTCAATGTCGATATTTTTGCGTATCGAAAACCAAGATTTCGGAATAGAAAAAATCCGAGAACTTATTTGCCCATCATTATACGTATGCAGCATCTTATTTATTTCTTCGAGGTGTTTTTTCTTGATTAAACGACTTCTCCCTCTCCACATAGCTTCTAAAGTTCTCATTCCACATCCGTTGCGTTCTCCATAGCCAAATACTCAACGCCTCCTTCTGATCCAATGTAAACACAGATCCAGCATATCTCGTCACCGGCACCATCCTCTCCCGATTAAAGCTTTTAGTAACCAGCGCGGCTATCCTGACCATCAACCGTTCATGTAAATGGGTCACCTCTTGGTCGAAGGCATCGTCCGAGATTCCATCGGACACGACCACCATGACTTGCGGTCGGTCATGTCTGGGTGTTGGCATCAGACGGTGACGATGTCTGACCCTTTTCATATTTTGCTCTTGGTATAAGACCCCCGCGGCGAATGAAAGAGCTTTGGCTAAAAATGTGGGGCCTCCGAGATATGGCATTCTTCGGAGAGCAGCTAAAAAGTAAGGTTTAATAATGATTATGTGTTGATTTACGCTTACTTCTAACACTCCTGACACTGTAGTATCGTTCGAATCCGAAGTAAACCTTTGGTTCGGCCGCAAACATTATAACCGCTACCCTTGAGCGGCTGGGTGCGATGTCAATATCAGCAACGAATGATCGGAGAACTTGCTTGACCTGATTAAAACTGTTGAGATCAATACTGCTTGACGAGTCGACCAATAATAAAACATCGACGGGAGGAAGGACTCTGATTGGATGTTCTGGAGCTGGGAATGAGTGAGAACGAGCAAAAGTGCTGAGAGTCCGATCGTCAAGGTTGATTACGTCTTCTGGAAATTTACTTTTAATAAAGGCAAGTATTCGTTTAGTAGTCCTCCAACTGTCTCCAGATAAAAATTTATTTTCTCAAAATCCATTAAATATAGAGACAATTGGAGAATACAAATATCTAAAGTCATGGTATGTCATTCCGTCGTCTACTTAGTCTGAGGTTAGGCCTTCGTTTTATCGTACCCGGTTCCACCAAAGTCACAGGTAGAGGCATCGACTGCTCTCGTCTGGCGGTCTCATCTCTGTAGTGATCCCTGATCTTGTTGCTTTCGTTGATCAACTCCATCATCGTCTTTTCCCTCTCCTTCTCAGTGGCTGAACGTTGTCGTATCCGATTTATTAGGTCTTCTTCGCGCTTCCGGCTACTCTCGCGTTCTGAACGAAGTTGAGCTTCGAGACGTCTTACTAAAAAAAGTTTTGCACCAAAAGCTCTTTTATTCAAATTGTGTAATCATCAAAATATTACCGTCGCTTTTGTAGTGATAAACTGCATAGCACAAACATAGTGTTAATACCAGGGCAATGACAGCTGTGAGAACAATAATCACGATACATAGAGTCGGTTTGAAGAACCCGGATTTGTGAGAGGAGTCAGAAGTACCTGAAATTTTTAAGTTAGCGGATTACAATTTAAATTTTTAAGACATACAAGATAAAGCCCAGTAAACAGTATTGAGATCATTAGTTTTAGAACAACTAGAGACGTTCCATTGAAGGTAATGCCACCAACTGAGAGCGTCTGGGTTGTCCATTATATCAAGGGGGCTGATTGGAGATTAGTTTGTGAGTCATATAATAATAATAGAGATTAGACGATTCTTAGAGACTTCCTGGTCACAGAAACAGTGGAAGAGTGCACTAACAAGATGTTCCGTTTAGTATTCACAGTATTTCGCTTCCGTTTTTGGCGATGACTATACGAAAAGGTCTGAAGGCGTTGTCCGTAGCGACTTCAGAAACTAATAAAAGGGGCGGGTCAACGCTATTTATGTCGTCTTTTGAACTTAGACAACAGTTTCGACATAATAAACGCAGAAATGAGTCAAGAAGACGCTCGCAAAGAAGAGAAACCAACAGTATACCAACTATAACATGAAGACACATGTCTATTACTGCTTACCAATGAAACTGTTAACACTTTCGCACAGCGGGAACTCCAACTGGGACAAGGAATCAAAGTCTAATGCCGCCAAATGCGTGGTTGTAGCGGCGAATTGAAGGGAATTTAGATATCTGGTTGAAGGAGCAGCACTTCCTATTGTAATGAGAAAGACGTGGGTCGGGGAAGAGGGTTTGATCAGAAGTTCGTTCGGATTTACTTCTCTGGGCTGATACAACGACGTTGATATGACCACCATCACATCCGGGGACTGAATTCTGTTGGCGGCGTCTGCACTGAGACCGCCCTTGAGCAATGTATTTAAACTGGCAGCATTTCGGGTGCATTGTTCTCCTTGAGCTTGGCATGGAACGTATTGGATACTCTGAAACATTATGCACATAATTTTTATTTTTTTTCAAAATCATACTGTAAAAGACCTTCAAGTAATGGGCTCACATTTATCCGCCTCTCTAATGCCTCAAACCCCTCGGCACTCAATCCAAATTCGTATTTTGCCGTAGGGGTGAATTGCGCAACAGATATTTGGACGCCATCTCTGCCCAACTTCATATGACTCAATTCCAATTTGATTAGCTCCAGTAATCGACGATGATTGGCGCTGCTGTCTATATTAATCGTCGAATCAATTACAAACAAGACATCTGCATCGGGCCAAGTGCACTTAGCAACCGCCTGAGGGCAGAAAACGGCCAGAAGCCAGGCCCAGACCGACTTGAGCCTCATTCTTCCGACTGGAGCGGCCACCGAATGGATGATTATTCGGAATCCCGGCTGGAGGCCGAAGGAGGATTCTGAATTGACCGGGCGGACACTGGCTATTCTTCCTTTTCGGCCGCTTTTCGTAATGTACGAACATGGCAACAGGTCGAGAAACACAAAAAGTCTTCCCAAGGCCGCACTTTACGATTTGCAAATGAATTCTTGTCGGGTTTATTTACGAGATAACAAAATTGCAACTATCCACAGACCTAAGACACGACGTTGAGCAATATGACCGCGATAATATTTATAGAAGATCAGACGTTGATGGACATTGGAGCAAGGACCATTCAAATTGACTACAATGGAGATGGTAGATGGTGCAGAAGAACCCGTCTGAAGCTGTTTTCTGTTCTCCGAAGATGCCCACACAATGTCGATGACTAAATAAGAATTACAGGAACGGATCAGGACATCGGACTAGGTCTTTCCATTCGATTCGAAAGAGTTGCTGAACAGATTCTGAAGCATATTCGAGCTGAGGAGAAATTGCTGGAGGGCATCGTTGTCTGTGCTAGAGGAACCGGGACTGGGAGCAGCGGAATGGGAGTCTATGCTCGCTGAAATTGATTCAAATATTAATTAAAAATTAATTTTTCAAATTATAAAATTAGAAAGAGTAGTCATTAGCCTATAAAATACTCAAAAAAAGACCATCTGGATTAGTGTAAACGACGCCCTGGGGCATCTGGAACACGATCTGGCCATTGGATTCGGTGCGGGTGGTTGTGTTGAGTGCTTCTAGTGCCGGTTTGTCTTGATTGTTATTATCAGTGGAAGAAGTGGAAGGATTAGCTGGAGAGGAAGAGGAGGGAGAAGAAGAGAGGCCTGCAATTCAAAAGTCAGGCATTCAAATCAAGTGCGTGCAATAACTGGAGCCAGCATGTAGTATATTATACTCACCTTGTAATAACAAAGGCAGAAATGAGTTGAGACTACTCGAATCACAGTTGGACAGGAGATTTGCCAGTGGATTGTCAGCGGGTTTCTTATTATTCTTCCGCTGCCTTTGGCGGTTCTCCGAAGCAGCTCTGATTACTTCTTTTAAAATCTGGTTCTTGTCGATTTCTTCGTCTTCTTCTTGTCCATCTCCATTCGAATCATTATCACTATCGGCATAAGGCTCAATAGAAGAGGCCGATGACACCATTGTGGGTATTGAGGCTGTTAGCTGAAATTGGATTTCTTTGAGTGCCAATTGCTTTACTCTTCTTTTTGTTTGATTTAATTCCATTTAAGTAGTCAAATAAGGACCCAAATTTTGAAGTCGCGCTCTTAGCCGAGACAAACAATAGTCGCGCAACCAGAGCCAGTGAGTACAAAAGGAGGGGTTTCGGAGATTTTAAACTCCCCCTAAAGTCGGGCCCCTGTCTTCTCAGAGTCCGACAGCTTTTAAGGTGAGTCGGGATCGACGGCGGACAACTGTTTGTCTCGCTTATGGCCACATTCCTGGCCATAACGGCGGAATGAGGCCCTAAAAGTCGAAAGGTCCGGGTCCCAATCAATCAAACAGCCCATCCAGGGCATCCCATCTGTTCTCGAATCCCGGCCTTTTACAACGAGAAAAAGTTTTGGGGCCATAAAGGACATTTATGACCTCGCGATCCAGTCCGACAAGTGCTCAAAGAGGCGATCAGCTCCGAAAAAGGCCCAAGATGGGTCCTTGGCCCCCGACTTCTGGCCGTTGTGTAACAATGAGAGGCAAAAAAGATGGGCAGAAGTTGCCGCCTTTAAAGGAGACAAGTGTTAAGATCTAAAAAAGATCAAAAGGTTACGCAAAAACACAAAGAAGGTTACTGGCTGCAGCTTCTGCAATTTCCGGACCAAAAAAACCAAGCAGAATAATGCCCAAATTCAAATGGTTAATTGGGAATTCAGAATATTCAGAACTCCGAATGATCTGGATTACGATAAGCTCACAATTCGAAAGGCTTTCGCAACAACCGAAACTACCGTATAAGCCTAATTACATATTCATATGACCTGTTTTCAAGCAAGGTACCCATAAAGTAAGGCATTCAATTTTCTCTCCCACTAAACCAAATTTCCCGCTCCCATTAATTTCTTCCATAATTAGCATGGCGAAAGTGAGATGACTCACCGTTTCAGTGATATCCTGGGCTTTCCGCTTTCTCGAGGTCACGTTAGCCAGAGATCCATTGTTGGGTTCGAAAGTGAACTCGGTTTTGACAGAAGTGTAATCATTAAGTGGGTCTAAAAAGATTTAAATAGAATGGAGAGAGCAGAGAGGCGGCGAGACGGACGCATGCCCGTTTTCTAAATGGTCATGACCCTCCAAACACGGTAACGCGAGAGAGGGCGCTCATTGGTCCGTCATTTCTGGATGGGTAAACACGCGTTTACTTTACATGAGCTGTGCTCCCAATGGCCAGATAGGCCATGACAAAACAATATCCTCATGGAAAAATGTTTCTCACCTGCCGGAGTTGTCAAACAACTATGAATCAGTGTTCGGCCAGGTTCATTCGCAATGATTGGCTTTAATTTGTTGGTGGCGAACGCATAAACATGCCCGGTTTCTGAAGCTACCAACAGCATGACTTGAGTTCCCGTCAGAGTAGAGAGTTCATGCGCTTTCTTCATGATCCCCGTTTTCCTTTTACTGAACGTTGTATATCTTCTCAATTTATTGCCGATGTATTTCATTTCAATCTTGACGCGGCCTAAAAGCGGAAATGGTTAGAAAACTTGTTTTGGAGTTATAATGTAAAAAAAAGTACTGAGAAAAAAGCAGTTACCCTCTCAGACGAAAGCTCCAAATGACTATGCTAAGTTCAACACTGACCTTACCTTTGGTTTTCTTCCCATTTGGTAGGGTATTTGGCTGAGCCATAGACTGCTCGGGATTCATGTGAACTGTGGGGGTAGACTCCTTGGAACCGTCGGAATCGGCAGCCGCCAGATCGTCTGAGGAGCACTGAAAGAATCCGCGGAAATGTAAATCTAATTAACCTTGATCCGTAATGAGGCCGAAGACAAATTCCCAAAAATTATGAGGATGCGCCCAGAAGTCATCGGGATGCCCCATAAGATGAGATGCCCCAAAAATAAAACGCCCCAAAAAGTGCTGGGCTCCAACTTGTCACCTCTACCCGCCCGCCACCTCACGACCTCAGAAAATCCACAAAACCGGACAATAAAGAAGGAATGGAATGGTTCCAACGTCTCTTTATTCATTATGTATATAACTCATAAAGATGAGTTGAAAACGACTGTAACTACATAACGAGACGCGAATCCAAAACCAGTCAACTTACTTCTTGTTTGGGTGACAACAGAAGCGACTGGAATGGCGCAGTCCCGCCTGGGTTGGAGAAGTTCAGGTTGAAGCAAGTTTCTCCGGACATCTGAAAGCTATAAAATTAGTAGTCGATAATCTGTGGTTGCTCATTTTTGTATGAACGTCGCGTAAAAAAAATCAAAATTTTGTTATAAGACGTATTTTTGTATCATTACGTTTGCGATACGACACAATCGTCTCATCCATTAGTGGGTAGACTGAAGTAACCCCGACAAATTTAAAGTCAAAAGAAGTCTTCACTCTCGAGGCTGGGGACAGAGATAAAAGACTCCGACCATCTTTAGCCAACGACCAGATCAGTTTTCCCGAAAACGGAGCCGGATAACGACGGAGGGGGCGGGAAGGGGCTTTGGGACAAGGAGGAAGCTACGAGGATTGGTCGGTCTTCCGAAAGGAGTCAGTCCTTCCGAATCAGTTCCTCCTTGATCTGAACATTCTTCTTCGTCCGATTCGAGTCCCTCGACTCCCGCGCACTCTCGAGCCTCGCAAAAACATGCAGCCGAAGGTAAGCCCCCTTCAGCTCTTCAAGCCCCCCGGTGGCCAAAGACATATTTGCATTGGGCCTGATCAAAAAAGTCGCTCCAGTGAAAGGAGACGAAGCCGGCTCCTTTTAAGCGAAGTGTATCCCTTTTAAGACGCCACGATAAACTGCTACCTGGCCCGTGGGACATAAAAAGGCGATCGCGGCCTCCCCCATTCGTCCGAGGATTATGGCCCGGACTTGTTGGGTATCAGTTCGTGAAAGAAACCGCACAGCTGTTTCCATTAAAGCCTTCCCCCAACTGTCTTGGCCCCCGTGCCTTTTTGATGGAACGGGCGAGAAAAGGAAGCTGGAGCAAAACGGCCGAGCCTGCCTTCCTTTAATCGAAGCGCCTGAAAAAGGCCCGATCGCAAGCCTCCGATCGGCTTTAAACTCAAAACTCTTCCCTCCCACCGCTTTTTAGGGCCGCTTTCCCGAAAAAGCCGATCAGGTCAAGAGCAGCTGGCCCGGCTGGCCTCAGGGCTTGCAAAACTCCAAAAGAGGGTATACGGTAGACATTGACACGACGATGATATCGTTTACCCGAAAGAAAACACATACAAAAAACGTAAGCAAAAGTTGAATGATTGCTCATAAGCACAGTCTAATCCTGCACATTCCCTTAATAGGGACTACTGTAACTTCGTTTTTCCTCCAATCATTCTTCCCGGAATCCATGTACAAACAACGCGACCCCCGGAGGGAGACTTGTTGCGCTCTCGTCTGTTTAATGTGTTCATACAGAGCTAAAACAATGTGATAGTCGTCGCTCTTTGTCGCGCACTATCAGTGAGTAAAAAAAGGACAAACAGAGACCTCTCGAGGCCTCCTTTTACAAGGAGGTCCTTGCTTAAGGTAAGGCCCGAAGCGCGTTTCACTAGCCCCCGTCCATGATTAGCCTGGAGGCGGAGGATGTTGTTTGTTCGGGGATCCCGCTTTGGCTGGGATTGCGCGATCAAGTCCCTCCAACGGAACATCCGCACATTTGGGGAGTACAGTAATCTCGTCACCAAGGCTGTTAACAGGGGCTTGTTTGTCCAGAAACAAAAAACGTTGCAACCCAAATGACGAAACTGTCAAATGTTGGACAAATCGAGAGAAAACAGATTGCAAGTAGGCTTGAATAGCCTTTGCAAAACATGGCATCAAATTTAGAGGAACAAAAAGTCATCCGCACTGTAACACCCATGTAAATGTGGGTTATACTGGACATGCTAATAAAAATTAGGAATATTTTTAAAACTATTCTATCGGAAGAATTGAACATCTTGGCTGAAATGCACAGACTAGCCTAATGTTTTTTTTTTTGGAAACCCGTCCGAATAATCTAATGGAAATCATCCGGCAAATATTATCATAGAGGACCTCCGATCTCCTCCGATCATACCCCCATGGCGATCACGCACTCAAACGCATTTTTCTCGGATAATGTAGGTCAAAACTAAATTACAACAGCGATTCATGGCTTATGCATGCCATAAATAGGCTGGCGTCCAAGCTTAGCATCAATTCGAGGTATTTAACTTAGATTTCTGAGGAAATCAGTAAAAAAGCTTAAAATGCGCTCAAATGATATTAAAAACAGACTGATGGGGTAGTTCATAATCCAGAACATACCTGAGGCACTAGTTGCGATATGTAACCCAATTCGGTCCTAACTTGTCCGTCCAAACTGTCGCATTGTTGTGTTTCTTAAAAAAGTTCACGTGGTGGGAAGTAACAAGAAATGAGTACAACACACCAGTACTATTTTTTCATGAATTTTTATCCTCCAAAAGGACCAAAAATTTTTTCTCACATTTTGAATGACCTATTTGAGGAATTTTTGGCACAATTGGCATTCCGTTGCACGAAAATAAAAATATTTTCATCGTCCGAGTCTATTCGAGATGGATAAATTTTTTCATAGTTGTAGGATTTTGATTATCAACGGTGTAGAGCTTTTTAATTCTGCATTCTTTGCAGGTGTCGATGAACCAATTATTCTTACGGGTGCCCAAGCAAAGGACACACTTGTCTTTTGCCCGATTAAATTCTTCTTTGGATCCTGAAATAAAAGGAGATGCAAAAGGAGACAAAGTGGGCACCGAGGTCTTGGATAAGTCCCAGTATCCTCCAACGCAGATGACCAATGCCATGGCCAAAAGGGCTCGGTTTATTGCAATGTCAAAACCAAAAAGTATATTCAAATATCGACCAGTACAACCCATTAACATCAGTTTACCTAATCCGAAAGGCGTTGAGTTCTATGAGGAAGATGTGCGGATTGGAGACCTTCCAAAGGAAGCGAAACAATACTATGATTACAATGTTAAAGCAAGTGTTTCGTTACTTCATTTACGTTTTTAGGCATTAAAACAAGAAATTAGCTATCGTCTGCAAATTGAACATCCCGATCTCGCCAACGATACCTTTGGTACTCTTCACAACCAAGTTAACATTGATTACCATTTCAAGAATGATGATGTAACTGAAATAATCAGTAATGATAATGACATAGCATTTTAGCAGATGTCTCGATGGCAAACTGGATGTGATTCGGATTGGGGAGAAGGCTTTAGTACCGTAAAACTGGAGAGAACTGCGCAAGGAACGGCGATGTTCACCGGGTATCTTGATACCACTGTTCTTAAGAATGGGCGCATTGAACGAGCAGGATGGTGTACCATGAAGAGTGTTGATTCACGAGCACTGAATCGAAAGAGCGTCAAGAAACATTGGGAATATTATAACCAACTGCTCATCAAATGCAGAGGCGATGGCCGATCTTATAAAGTAATCGTGTACACCCCCGGCTATATTGATATGATGTGGGGGAACTGCTACTCCTATCCACTACATACACATGGGGGACCTTATTGGCAATACTATAGGATTCCGTTCTCAAGATTTTTCCAAACTGTTGGAGGCAGAATCATGGATGTTCAGAGACCACTTCCCACCAACATAGCCAGGTAAGAATCTATTTGGTACTGTTACTTCGTTCTTTCTAGTAACATTGGAATTGTTTTAATGGACAGGAGAGATGGGAAATTCAAATTAGAAGTCGATTATATCGGCGTTTGTAAGGACGCAACACACAACGAGGAGTGTGCTTACGAAGGCTATTCGATTCCCGTTTACAACACAAACAGCATTTAAAGTTGATTTAGGAATTGTTTATTAAAGATTTCTGCCTATTATTCTCTTTTTTTGATTTCCACATCCCTTCCATCTATTCGGTGTTTCTTATTCGAGTTGAGAATTTCTTGGGCGACTCCTTTATCAACGAAACTCAAGAATCCGTAACCTCGATTCATTCCAGTAGTCGGGTTCTATACCAAATAAATTATTAATGAAGAAAGAGTCTTACCAATGGGACAACACATCCAGAAACCTCACCAAATTGGGAAAAATGCTTGATTATCTGATCTGAATTCCCGTATAAGTTTATGATTGCGCAAACTCACCTCGACCCGTGATCCAATGAATATTATTCACAAACAAATCGCTCACTTCTTTTCCCTTGATCAAAGTCCTGGCTGCGATTATCGCCGAGGTCCTCATGCTACAGAAAACGGTGATAAGTACTTCACATTTCAAAAAATATTCATGGTCAATACCCAAAACAACACGATTAAACGGTGGATTTTGTATTTATTTTCTATAAAGTTTTGAAGTTCGTGATCGATTCCTTCACTGGTATGTAAGTGTTGACTCCAACCTAAAAGCAGGAGTCAGTTAATGGAACCTATAAATTACACTTACAAGGTCTCCATCAATAACGTGAGGACAACTTGCGATGGCCTTTTTGGCACTTTCCGAATGAGCAAAAGTCACCGAGGCGAACCCACGATGAAGACCAGTTTTTGAATCCTGAAACACTCCCATCTTCAACGACCATACTTACATAGAACAAATTAACATCCTGAACCTTCCCGAATCTACTGAAGTAGCCCTGGATCGTCTTCTTACCCGTCACCCATTTCAGATGTGTGAGGTACACCGTCTGCTCTGGGCCTTGTCGTATCCATTCGAACAATAATTTCACCGTCGGCTTCATACCCAATCTTAAACAAGTTACATAAGTAATGATTAATAATATTAATGATTAATCGATTCGAAAATAAACCAGTAATTTGGAATCAACCGAGAAACAGTCACGGGATTAAGCGATTTAGTGTTTATATATACAAATGAATAAAATTATAGTACCCATATCCAGTAAAGTTACGCTATCACAATGGAGTTTGATATAACATTATAATATTATCAGTGACATAGATACGATTAATTGCTAGAACCGAAACTTCCGCTCGAGCGAAGAAGAACGTAACAGTGTTCACAGACTCGGGTTGGCTTTGAACTTGAAGGCAATTTAATTCGAAAATCACTGCAGCCGTGACAGAAGATCCATCCACATTTGCTGAAACACGACGCAGATAGATGTCAGATACAAAATTTTAAAATAAACTACTTACCGACAATGATGTTTTCGTTGAGTCACGGAGAAGGCCAAATCACAAATTTTACAATTACTAACTTCTCTATCTTTTTTCCATTCAGCTTCGGAAAGGGGTAGCAACTCCTCTTTCAATTCGATGACTTTCAACTTTGATCTGAACAAAAATACGTGGCTTCAAAAAGTCTACTTACTCCGACAAATGCCCTCCCAGCTCTTCCAATGCCCTTTCTGAATCTCGAGCCTTTTCGTCTGCTTCTTCCAATCGACTCTTCAGTTCATTCAGCTCCTAATCATCGTCATTATTATTATATTCAAATTTTTTAAGACTTACTGCTTCCAAAGAAAATGAAGAATCGGCTTGTTCCTGTAGTAAAACACATCTATTCTCCAGTCGACTGGCCTTTTCCATGTACTTGTTTAATTCTTTTTGTTTTTCGCTTAGAACAAAAGATAATTCAGCGATTTCTTCAGCTTTTCTGTCGAGTTCAGCCTTTAGCAAGTTCTCATCAGGATCTCTTGTTTCTGAACTGACTAACTGTTGGAAACTGAGAGTTGCGAGTTTCTAAAAGCAGGGACGATTTCCGTCATATACCCTCATTCTTACGTTAAAACCAATTGCCGGTCTTTTTTCAATATTTTCACCCGCCCGGAACTCTGTATGAAGGCCCTACCACTAAAAATTATAACGCAAAAGTTGTCGCAGCTAAACCTTTTTTCATTGCTTCTATATTAGAATTTTACGCTGTAAGTTTTTTTTCGAGTTAGAAAAAACATTGTTCGCTTTTGGTTAGCACCTACCAACAGTCAATTTCATGCGAAAATCTCAAAAGCAATTTCTGCCTATGTCCTCGGCTAATTCGCCGGTCAGAAATTCAAAAATCGTATCTTAAATTCCTTTTTAAGAATCAGCCCACCTCTTTCTCAACCCAATTTTCGTCGCGTCGGAGTTGAAATTCAGCCAACTTTTCTTGAAGTTCGTTCAGTTTCTTCTCCAATTTTCTGTTATCCGAGAGCCTTTTGGTGGCCAGTAAATTGGCCGCTCTCAGTGCTTCTTCTTTCTTTACCAGCTTCTGATTTAGAGTCTCAACATTACTCTCCAAATCTCGGATTCGACCAGTAAATATGAGCGATTTGTCAACAGAGGGACTCTTCAATAAAAAATAAATAGGAACAACTAACGTTTACTAACCTCTTTGCTGATGTTTGTTATTGCTTCTAACCTTGCACTAAATTAAAATTCTTGATTTATGTTTAGGTACCTTACATTAATTGACGATTATGCTCTTCAAGATAATTTTTTTGGTCCAAAATTGTCTTCAGTTCTTCTTCTTCCTCTGTTATGGATTGATATTCAGGCGATGTCATAATTGTCGGTATCTTTACATAAGGAGCCAAATCAAAAACAATTGTTTGTTCCTAAAACAAAGAAAATTAGACTATGTCAGTAAACACTTACTCGTAAATGGTCATAATCTAAGACCAGATTGCAATCAAAAACTCCCAAACCAAGCAGGGATCCTGCCAACGATTCAATTTCATCTTCCTTCACCAATGCGGATGGTTCATATGCTTTCAGAAAAGATTCAGACGATAGAAATAACTGAATATATTCACCCAGCTTCTTTTGCATCACAGACAAACGCAAAAAAGCTCTAAGCCGTACAATCGGGGTTCTAAAAGTAAAAAACCGTAAGACATATTGAATATTATACCTACATCAAGCTTTCCAATCCAGAAATGCAGGAAACGCATTCTCCCAAATCCCTTCTCACATTTCCTGTAGCTAAAATGGCCTCCCACAAAAGTTGCTCTGGTTTTTTCATAACTGAAAATTATATATAATCCTGCGCAACAAAATACCGCTCTTTTTGAGTCCATGCAATAAAATCTTCTCCAACATGATTAAGAGGTCACTAAGCTCTTGCGAATCCGCTTCAAAGTTTCGTTTCCCCTTAATCGATCGCTCCAGAAAGGTGTTCAACACCAACTTGGTGATGGTCAACAAGTTTTTCTTCTCATTCTCTAAAAAGATAAAAGAATAAAAAACCCAGGTTACCTTTGCTGGCATTAAAATCATGCTTGGAGCGAAATGAACGGTCGAAACTCGTTAGAACATTGGGCAAATAACTCATGATCCGTCGGAGAACCCTGTAAATCAAATCTTCAGAAATTTATGTCCATGTAGCAGAATGCCAAAAACTTTTGGCAAAACAATTACTCGTGACGAGAGGCGATAACGATAAAGTACAATGATGAGAATACGAAGAATTTATTGTACAGAGTGGGCCACTCGAAGGTTACATCCTTTTTCTTTGGATTTCTCCGCGGATATCTTACGATCTAACATACAGATCAACGTCTTCAAAAAAGCGACACTTTTTCCCTAACTTTGACATGAAAAGTTTCATATCTATTTCTATCGTATAGAGCAATGTTTCCACAAAAAATAATTTTTTTCCAAGCAAAACTGGCAAAGATACGGTCAAAAAATGTTTTTATGTCTGACCGCACTCCGTATTTCGGGTATTCTCTCGACGAAAAAGATAGTTCAAATCTCGACTGCGCCTGCAAAGCGCGAGCTAAAAATTTCAAGCATTGATATGTGACCCATACCTGAGGTGTGCGCAAAATTTAAAGAAAATCTGAGCGTCGCACTTCAAACACTTCTCTTGTTAGTATATCTGTTGTTGCTAGCGAAATACACACCGAATTGTAAGCACTAGTTTTTATTTTTTCGTTTTTTCGACACCGATCGGCGGAGGAAAAATTGTTCGAAACGCTGTAGGCGGTATAATTTTGACCCCTTGATCCGCCAAACCATGGATTTCTTGCCACTTGCATAAAAGAGGAAGACGGCCCGGATTTGATGGCGTTCGACGATGGCCGGGAACCTCATCGGACCAGATGCTGTCGTTCTGGTGAGAACCGCGAAGGGAATCCACTCCCTCGCTTACCCACGAGCTCATTTTCGCCTATCGCTGATGCCGGTCTCGCGGGCGATTTTTCCTTTCCATACCGAGAAAATTAACAATTCGAATAGCTCCAAAATCGCAGTTCTACATTTTTACCGGCCATCCTGTAAGATATAGTATCGTAGTATGAATTTGTGGTGACTTTTATTTTTTTTTGTTTTACGTTTTTACACATTACACATGACGCTTTTGTCAATAAAGTTTTTTTATGTTAAGTCGTCTCTTTATGATGTCTTCAAGCTTGTTTCGAGGTTCCAACGTACACATAAAGTTGTGTTTCTCTGTGCAGTTCGCGAATGCCCAGTTCTACAGAAAAAATTAAAAAGATTATAAAAAAAAATTACCGTAGTCCCCTTTCTCAAAATGCAATCTCCATCCTCTTGCGTTACTGAGAGATATTTCAAAATCTCGTTCTCGTACTCCCCAAAGACGCTTTTGTCTGACCATTCCATCTTTCCGTAGTCATTTCGATGTAATCCTAACCATGTAAATGAGTGATCGGTTTTTGTTTTCTTTAATTTTCTGCTGGTCACAAATCGTCTCAATGGTTTTTGATGACAAATTCTGGGAGCTAGAGCCTTTCCGATCGTAACTGGGTCTTGAATATGAACAATGTTATCTACTGAAGATGCGATCATTTCCAATTTTTCAAAGTCGAGATTTTCTCCAACTCCAATCGAAAATAATGGGAAACGCCGGAATCCTTCCTGAAGTTTTGTATTACATTACTACGGCAGCCACACCTTTAAATCAAGAAATAGTCCGAGTCGTGATTGAAAGGCGGTGTCTGTTAAAACAAGGACCCAAGTGACGTCGACGTCGTCTGTCGTTGTCCAGTGTTCGTCCACTCCGTTCAGGAATTCGATTAATCCGGCTTCTAAAATACCTGATACTTTCAAGTTATCATACCGAAGTCAGATGAATCCGCAGAAACTTTCAAAGTCTCTAATTTGAACTTGAAATCATTTTCATTTTCATATTGAAGATCGTCAAATAAATTGCTTGGGCTTGATGAAAGTAATACCGCAGTGACTCTGACAAACTCAGTAATTCTGCTGACACTCGAGAATATCTCAATCATAATCTGCTTGGTGATCGTTTCATTGTATACAGCTGGATCAATTCCAAAAACAAGATGGACCTCGAGATCTTCGCAATTATTCTCTAGACATTTGACTCGTTTCTCGTATAACGACGACATATCTTCTTTTACCACTCTTTCCCTTGTTATCTTTGCTGAGACGTTCGTAATTATACACATTGCGTCTTCTCTAAACGCTGAGGAATAGAGTAATTATCAATGTAATAGGATCTAATCATAACTTAGTTTCTTACTCATAGTAGATGGCCGTTTGGCATTTATTTTCCTCAAAGCAGTCTTCACAGTTCCAGCACTCCCCTAAGCAATCGTTCAGGCTGATTCGGTCATAAACTTTTCCAACGACGCCTTGCAAAGTTGCAAATCTCGTCTTGGCAAAACAATTTCGAACTTGGGAAACAGGCATTGCCAAAGGAATATCAGAAGGTTCCTCTGAAGGCTAATTTCAAAGTTATAAAAAGAATAATCCCAGACCTTATCAAAGCAGGAATCCTCGTAATATTGAAGCTCTTCGGATACGATTACATTCTTGGTGATATTACCAATATTAAGCAGACATTCATTCTCATTTGAAATCCACACAACTGAATTACATTCAAATCCAAGATCAAATCGAAGCCGAACACATTCTTGTTTGCACAATGAACTTGAAGGGATGTTGTTGAGTATGATCTGAAAGTATGTTTTAAAGTGTTTTTAATTGCACTTACTGTCTCAGTGCTTATTTTAAGCGTATTTTCTATGCTTTGGAAACACAAATTGATTCTAATTTCTGCAAGTGTATGATTGTTATATTAAGAAAAAGGTCCAGGTACCATCTTTGTTCAAGAAAGCCGGGTGCTTGTGGCTGGATTCCTTTAAGAAATGCACAAATTGATCTTCTCCTTCAGATTGAATAGTCGCCAAATTCCCTCCATATCGCGTATTACATTCATGTTCAGCATTATCGTAGGTCATTGAATTACTGAATTTTGCTTATTGTTAGAAACAGTCGTTTTGCTTTTAAAAATAACTACCTTATTGTTAGGAAATAACATTTATCTTGATAGTAATGCCAGCCAAATGGACACAACAAAGCATTCATGAATTTAATAAAAAACGCAAACAAGAGTAGACAAGTGCGCATAGTAATGTTTTTTATCCACCGTCATGCCGAACACTTCGGTTTTCTGTTTGTTCGGTAAAGAAAAGTGACGACTTTTTTTTGGAAGATTTCTTCAACGAACAGAATAAAATAAACGAAGTAGCTAAAACAGATATAAATGAGCTAGAACGACGGGGTATAGGACAATTATTTAATTATACATATAATATAATACTTACAGTTACCATTTTTTAAATTTATTTTTTCGTTCTCTTCTGGCAAGATTGGCATAACGCACCGCAAAGAGATTCTTTTGTTTTTTTAACGAGATCAGATTCTCGAGAATATCTGCAATAGATCTCTGCATGCAGATGCGCAGGTCTCGCTAATTGGTTGTTACTCGTCAAAAAGGGAGATCGTGTTGCAATTATGTCCGATGAGGTCGAGGGAATTGTTTTATATGAGGATTTCATTGAAGGCCGGCCGTATCTTGGAATATTCTGCAAAAAATATCCAACCCGGGAAATAAATGTTTTTGTCGACGACGAAACGAGGGAGTTTGCCAAGGTATGCCGACGCTATTACATTTTTTTTTAACACGGGAATTTCGTTTAGCCCGGCCGATATGTATTTTTATCGTTCTCAAGAAGTTTCCACAGACAAAAACCGAATTTGGTGATGGACATGGATATGGTAGGAATTCGACAGTGTGGGCAAACGATCGATCATACTCCGGTGGACAAGAAATTCCGACAAGTTCTGTTTCGGGAACAAGTTTTCTTTGCAAAAGATAACTTGGAGCACAAATTAGTCGGGGACCCCAGAGTAGGATTGTCTCTACATTTTCTATTAATTTTAGGTATTTGGAGCTGCCTATTCCCCCGAGTTTGGATGGGTACTGATGTTGCAAAAACATCTGAAAGAAGCTCGTTGTATCAATCCGGACAAGGCGTATAACGTGGTGATCGCAAATCCTCCAAAAAGGTTGAGCCAATCTTTGATTGAAGAACTGGGCAGCTTTATGTTCTGCGTTGATATTGGCGACGAAATCGCAGACCCAAAGGTCTACAAGTTCCTGAATGAAGTGGCTGTAAGATCAGGTTTTGCAAGCCGTATTGGAAAAGGTGATTTTTTAATCTTGGTTTTTAGCCGATTAAACGTAACTTCGGGGATGTGGCAGCGCCAGAATGTTTCACTGAAGCTTTGCCATTAACGGTCCTCTCTATGGAAGGTGATGCTATTCAACTCGTTTTTGTTTATCAAAAGGTGTCCGAAGGTTTATATAAGGCATTTGATGTTCATCAAAACCAACTTGTCGAATTGAAATCCGAAGTAAGTTGACAATTATTGTGACGCATCTTTTAGAGAAGACTTGAAATCGGAAACCTTTATCTTGTCGAGGTGGACGATACGACCGGGGAAATAAGCTATTACAACGTGGATCATGCCAATTCAATGTTGTCCCCATTAAAGGATTCCTTTGAAGTAGGTATCAGTTTTTTGCGTTAACATTTTAGTTCGAAGCTGAAGCTAATATTAGTAAATTTGATTGTGATGATCTTGACGCCTTTATTTGGAAAGCATATGCCGATACCATATTTGGAACTGTTTTGCTTGTGGATGTTCCTGAAGAACATCAACCCGATGATTTGTATACAATAAGAGCTGTCTTCTCGCCCGATGATGTGGAGGGATATGTTTGGTATGCTCATAGATACAGCCATCCCTCAGAGGATGAGTTTCGAATGGCAAGTTTCCGTCGTATAATTTGTGAATGATTAGTTTAGGTATCTAAATTCACTGCGCGGGTTGCGGAAATACTTAAAGATTATGAGAAACATAGTCTGCTTCCTTCCACTCCAGATAGAGAGTTTGACGAGACGTTAAAGAATGAAGAAGTTGATGAATCGGCTCAAGTGAGCGATGCGGGTAATCGCTCAGATTCAGCTAAATTGGATATACCTGACAGTGCTATTAGTGAAAAAAAAGATAAAATGACAACGGAAATTAAAGACGAAGTGTTTTCTGAGCCTGCTGAAGAAAATAGTAATAACGAAAAGGAAGAGATATTTGCGGAAGAGGATCATGTTTTTGAGGTTGCCCCAAGAGATGACGCCGATGAAACTGCTTTGGAAACTACTGAATACAAAAGCTCCCCTGAAGACGTTGACCGTGATCACACTGACAATTTTTGTGCTAATAATGGAAGCTCAAAGCGAACAGAAAGTCAAGAAGCGGTTAGGGTAAGTTGCTTATGATTATGTCAATTACGGTGTTTCAAGAAATTGCGAATATCTTTGTGCTCTTTGCAGTTATCCAGGAAATTTAAGTTGTGTTTAAAATTGGAATTTGTGCGTTTTTAGAACATGCAAAGTATTTTTCGTTTTTGAAAATTAGATCTTGTTACGAAGTACGGACTTCTTTATTACGAATATGGTTGTCACATGTGGTAAGATGTAATCTGTCAGTCTCTGTAGCTTGGCAGATTTTTTCACGTTGGCGAAGGCCTTTGAGACTGTTTTACCGGCGAATATCGTTTTAGGGGCTTGGATTTTTCTAATCGGATTGAGACATTAAAAAAAATCTGTCATCTTTGGGGACAGATTGGGGTTTGTTAATAGCTGCAAGAGCACACAGATATTCGCAAAACTTTTTTGTAATATTTATTGAAACACCCTGTAGTTTGATGTGAAGAGCGTTTCTTATGTATATTTTTAGTTATGTTTCCTGGTCCTGGAGGCACATGACGGCTATCTTTTGACCTTTTCCCCGGAACATAAATATGGATTGGTGACTGGAAGGTAAGAAAGTTGCTCTTCTATCTTCGTATTTTATTTTTATTTTAGGTTAGCAAGCCCCGAGTTGTTTATTGGAAAGTGGATTGAGGCCGATTGTTTTTTGATTCCTGATCATGCGAAGTATTCTTTTCTCGGCAATAATTTCTGTGGATTTGGCATTCCCAAATATGAGACGCTTGTTGTAAATCGACCCAATGATTTGTTTGTCATAATTAGAACAAGGGTGTCTTCTGGATTGCGAGGAATTGTGGATCTTAGTGACACAAGTATTTTTAGTCAGGATGGACGTACGTTTTTTGCAATAGTTCTGATAAATTTTTGTATAGATCTTGCCTATCTACGTTACATTGGAGGACAAGAATGGGGAATTTTTGACGATTTTGAAGCGGCATGTGATTATGTCAGTTTTGTTTCCTATGTGTCATTTCCAAATGTGTGGTTCTCTGTGGTATCTTTAAAAACCATTGCAGATACCAGATTGTCAGCCCTTTGTATCTCCTGACTTCAAAACCTCAAATTCTTCATTTTGTGTTGATAGTCTGACTGGAAAAAATGCCCCAGAAATAGAAACCATGGGTGATGGCGGTGATTTGACTAAGAAAACGATTACGGATATAGACGAGGTCAATAAGGATGATCTATCCTCAGAAGAAGAATCTCTTGCTGATAGTATTCATTCTGATGACATATGTGAGAGTAATGGAATATTGCTTCAACAAGATTTGGATAATAAATTGGAGTCACGGACCCAAGTGTTGCATAAAGCAGAAGATAAAGTTATCGTTATGAAAAGCAACGATAAACCGGATATTATTCCAATTAATGACAATGCTAAAAATCAAGGAAGCCAGGAAAAACCAACTGAAGATTTCCGGGATAACCTGCAGAAAAGTCCAATCCAGGGCACGATGGATGTTCTGACGAGAGGAAGAGCCCGAATTTGTGAAATTGATACGGACACTGAAGACGATGATGCAGAACTGGACGACGAAATTGAGGGTGAGGATAGCGACAATGGCCAGGGCAACAAGGAGAACGACTTTTTTGTTCCGCCTGAACCAATTAACCCTGCTGTTGAACACAAATTCAACAACTTTGTTCGAGAGAAGGACGACGAAAATGAAGAAGAAGCTCCGATAACCCCAAAGATCAGTCAACCATCAAGTTCGAGCAATGGATGTGATATTTCAGACCGTAAAGAAGAGGAACGCCTAGAAAAAGAAAGGGAAAGTCCAGAGGAAAAACCTCGAACTCCTTGGGATGAGGCTGAGAACATGAATTTTGATTTCGGGTTGATGTCACCTCCAGAAGATGTTGAAGATGAAGAAGTTGTGCCCTGGGGTGATATTGGATGTAATTTTGTGGCTCCGGTGGGTTTATTTTGCCATGTCTAATGTTTTAATACAGGGTGGGGCATCTTTGTGGCCCCATTTAAATTGGCTATAGTTTTTTCAGGTTTTGGCCAAATCTTGAAATTCTTTTTTTCCTTTTTTCTCCTCATATGTCCCCATTTTGTTTAATACGAAACAATTTATACCCATTTATTAGCTTACATCAAAAATTAACTACAAATAAAAAAGTCTGATTTTTGTAATTGACAAGGGAAGTACCGCAAGTGCAACGCTCAGATTTTCTTTAAATTTTGCACACGGGCCGGACATAGGCCGCATATCAATTCCTGAAAGTTTTAGGTCGCGCCTTTTTGGGGCGGCCAAGATACTCAACGATCTTTTGCATCAAAGAGGGTACGAGAGTAGTCACACAGAAAAACTTTTTGGCTATATCCTCGCCAGTTTTATGCGGAAAGAGTTGATTTTTTGTGGAAACGGTATTCTCTACAGGGTGTCCCAAAAAAATTCATGTTTTTTTATGGCTACATTTTACATACCAAACAAAATTTAACAAAGCTAACGACGGATATCAGTAACATAGAGGATTATTGATAACATGTCAAGCCAGTTTCACAGTGGCTGCCTTTGGTGGCGATATAGAGCTCCAAACGTAACTTAAAATTTTGGGCTCGGGGCCGCAGCTCTTTTCGGGGAAATCGGTCCCGTTCTTGGCGCAACGACTACCCTGCGACTCCAAACTTTTGTGACGTGTAGTACAGGCGTTGGCATCTAATTTAAAAAAATTTTTGGTCCATCGGATTCAGATCCGGCGTGCAGACGGCCATTTTGCAGAAGGGATAAAATCGGGAAAATCGGTCCCATTCCGGGTACTGAGTTGATTTTGCCTTGTGAACCGGGGCTGAGTCTAGTTGGAACGCCAAATTTGCATTGCCAAGGTTCTGCTGAGTCAACAGAAGTATCAGAAAATCGAGATTGACGCGGCGCTAGAATTTTGACCCCTTGATACGCAAAAACCATAGAATTCTTGCCGTTGGCACAAATTCCGCCTTAGGCAATGACGGCCTGGACTTTAACGGTTTTCGACGTTAGCCGACATGCCGAGGGCCTCATCTAAGAAGATCCTATTGTTCTGGTGGTTGTGCATCCACCAAATATTGAACCACGAACGAATGCGCTCACGTCTCTGAGCTGCGGCCCAGCCCTTGACTTTCCGACATTTCTGGCGCCGTACGAACTTGCTGACTTCAAAGATATGAACTTTTTACAGCTTATACAGCGTGAGGTACAGCTCATCATCGGCTATTCGGGTGACCGATCGGTCGCTGATGGCTACCTCACGGGCAAGTTTTTCTTGAAAATCGCGGATTTGGCTGTTGGGGGTCTCTCGGTTGACAGAACTGCTGGCGGTGCGTTTTCTTTTACGTCGTGGACGCTTACTATCGTCATCAAGCTCCTTACATCGCGTGATTACTGTTGACACAACGTCCTTTCTCTAGCGACCAAATTAACAACTTGAACGGCTCAAAAACAGTGACAAAATCGCAGTTCCTTTGTTTGACCTTTAAAAAAACCATGTTCGTTAATCGATATGAACACGAAGCTGAAATGTCTAGGACAGAAAATCACGGAGATTTTAGTAGTACAAAAATTTTTCGCCCTGACCTAAACATTTTCGCGTCAGGACCCATGGAAAAAACATGCATTTTTTTTTGGGACACCCTGTACAACAGTCTGTCGATTTGACCAATAACTATGAACTAAGCCCACGTATATATAACAAATTTGGTATTAAACAAAATTGGGACTGGAGAATAAACTCAGTATTCCTTGGGGTACATCTCATATGGTTGGGAAACAATAAAAAGTGTCCGAAATTAATCGCTATTTTATCTGTAGACTACAAGTGGACATGATTTACTCCCGTTGCGCTTTCATTCACGGGCCGAGAAGACCATATACGACACAACTCAAATAAATCAGGTAGATAGCGACAATGAAGAGGTGTATGGAGAAGATGAAGACGACAATGAAGATTACAGTAGTGGTTGTGAAGACTTTTCTTTTAATGTGGGCGAGCCGAAAGATGAGGAAGACATTGAGAATGAAAAGGCTGAAGGTATGCTTTGATGCACGTGACATTGTGTCTGATAAGTGGCATGCTTGTAACAGTGGTTTTAGATTCAGCTGAAGGTGGTCAAACGAACCCGTGTCTATACAGTATGCCCCCAGATGGCGGAGAATGCTTCGAGAACAGTAGTCAGGATCTCTCGGAGGATGATTCCGACTAAACTAGATCTCATATTTCAGTTAAAATGCTAACAGGTATCATCAAACTAATTATCCTTCCATTGTTATGACCTCGATTGTTTTAGATAAATGTGCTGTAAATGCGGTCAGGGGGAGATTGTTTAGAATGTGTTTACAGGCCTGTCACATCCAGACCTTGCGAGCACGGGCTCGAAGCGAAGGGGGAGAGGTCTTTTGTTTCTGGTCGATTGTGGCGCACCGATCCGCCACGAAGAGGAGCCGCCGAATGGCTTCGAGTCCAATGAGTTTCGGGGCGCGGTCATAAGCTAAAAAGTTTTAGTATGTAAGGGGATGTGTGTGCACAAAATGGGTCCACCAAAAACCGGCCTTCTGTTGTCTCAATTCCTTTTTTGTTCGAGATCCTCTCTACCTATTCGGGCCTCTTCTTCACGTGCTGTTAAAGGTGAAAAGTCTTCAAGGAGAGGTCCAAGGCCGCGAAAAATTGTTTATGAGCTGTTACCCGAGTGATCTTCATTCTCGACGAGAGAATAAAGGTGTTTCTTCTTCACCTACACCATTACGTTTTTGCCAATAGTGTTTATTCACACTGGGGTTTCCAGAAAATGGGTGTTATTCGAATTAAATCTTCATTGGGATTACGGTGTGCCGCCGATCCTTAAGCAATCCAGAAGATCGTAATTTCGTTATTAATGCGATATATTTTGAGTTTGTTTAGTATTAGAAATTCTTTTATTCTTTGGAAACCTTGTTCAAACAGGAGAACACGCGTTTACGGGGAGTATCAGGGATTCGCGCTCCTATCCTTTCCATCCTTTTGTTTATGAATTCAGCGGCCAAACGGGCATTCCCGCTTTCCTGTTGCCAACTTGACGCTCTTTTAATTCCCAAGCCGACGTTTAATTTGGGCCAATCCGGAACATTTGACGAATTAAAAGTCCCGGATTCGATGCCAGGAGCTGGGGAACAATAAGACCTTGTAATTGGGTCTCTTAGTCCGTTCAAACAGTACCCCGGGGACCGGCTCTGGAACAAGCGGGTTTCGTACACTCGACCTTGTTTTTAGTCCGCTTTAAAGACTAATTAGTCGTGGCCGGGCCTCTTATCTGTCGTCTTTTCTTGTGCCAAGAAAACTTTTGATTACTCCATTACTTTACCTTCGTTTAGCCATTTCAGCTCAAGACACGCGCTCCCGATGCCTTTATGTGGCCAGTTTGTGCCGTCCTAGTGCTGGCTCTCCATCGTCCAGGTTAGTCGACATTGTAATTACCGTTGTTTAATTACACCTTTAATAAGTCAAGTTTATTTACTAACTATACTCTTTACAGCATCGGCGTTGTATTGTTTCGAGGGAACGAACTGTGAGCTTTCGGCGTGTGGAGAGTGTGAAGGCATAGCCTGTGTCCGTGTCCTCCGACCCACCAAACAATCATCGCCCAACTCTTTTTTTGGGTCAATGAAAATTTTTATGAGCCCCAAATCCAGTGATGACTTCTCGTCCGACAATGTTGCCTTTACTTGCCTTCCAATGGGAACCAGGATGTATGATCTGGAGCCAGAAGGATGCCGTGTCGACAACATGAATCAGCGGATGGCTTGTATTTGTTATAACGCCGATTACTGTAACAATAGTCGAGCTAATTTGGCAGGAATGGGGTTGTGGTTAATATGCATAATTATACACAATGCAATGCCGCTTTGAAACGACGCTGACACAACAATATCTTGACAAACGGGTCTCATGCATTTTTTTCTATTACTTTTTTATTAGCCAACAAGGGAAATAAACAGAAACCGCTCTTCCCATCATTTGGTGCCTTCCCGCTGACTCTGCACCTTGTCCTTGTGTTGTTTCACAAGCGTTTTAACATCCCGTCTGTGAAGAATTGAGTCTTTCGTTAAGGCCTCAATGGCAGCGGTAGCTACAGCTTCTTGCCGACGTTGTTGAAGAGCCTCCCGGTATTGCACTAGAGTAAAAGTAATGTTAAAAAATGTATTACAAACATTTTATTAATAGAGGCTGTATGAAGCGCCAGTTCAAAAAGTTCATGTTACCAAAAACTATCGTACAAAAAAGCCGAAACAATAGTAACTTAATCCAATTAGACTTACTTGAATGGATTATAATGAGGCCACCCCAAGCAATAGACCAGAACCAACCCACAAACAGAAAGGTAATCGTAAAGAATTGACTGACCCCGACCAAGAAATTGATAATCAACGTCATCAACTTGCGTCCCTCCTTGAAGTTGATCCTCGGTTGGCCCATACATAGTGCACTCAGTCCACTAACTATAGTCCCTGTTCCAGGTAAACATATGTTGAGGAAAAGGCAGGCTAAGGCCATTGGAACTGGCAGAAAAGGAATGGCTTCATGCATAATGGTGATGTCATTGGTTGGCAGATTGACCTTGTCCCCGTTCTTGTTGTCCTTGGAATGTTGATGGGCCTCTTCTTGGGCGGCCAATACAATTCCCGTAATATGAAAGGCTGTCTGAAGATGTAACTAATGAATCGGACATGGCTAACCTTATTCTCCCTGACCTGAAGGATGCCCTCTGATCGCCCGTATTCGATTATTCGCGGAACACATTTCTGAATCAAACTCCAGCCTTTACTCCGTTCCATTTATCAACAGGTATACATAATAGAAGACAGTAAAGTAAGAACATAAAAATAATGGCGACGACGGAGCGCCACTTATTCCCGGCTCACATCCGGAAGTTGACTATTTTCATGCGATGTCCTTGGCCGCCTTGAATGCGAACCACTCGGCCCTTCAGGCCGGCCTGAATACCCCCAATATCCATTGCCATATCCTGTTTGTCGTAAGTGTTCAGCTGGGCATTACTGGCTCGGAGCGCTGTATATTTCCACAGTCCCGGGTTTCTGAATAAACAGTTAGAGCAATCAGAACAGAACTTGATAATTCTGATTATAAATGTTGAGTATACCTGCTTTTGCCCTGATATGTCACCAAATATAAATCTTCTTCACGGAACTTTAGAATTTCGTCGTCTATCTGATTCGTTATAATAAAGTAACCAATCTGAAATGTAAATATAAATTTTGAATATAAACGCCTACTATGATGCACCAATGTGCTGAAACCCCATTCTGAGAAACAGGTCCGTGATCTTTACCAGAATCATATGGTACCAAATATAAAGCTTCATCTTTAAGGTTGCGAACAAGACCAATGGAAGTAGGGAAAGATTCAGAAAGGGATGACAATTCGGGGAAGAAATGTGCACACGATTCTCTCATCCAGTCCACTATAAAAAATGCAAAAATTCATGATAAAAATAATAACGTTCACCTAGCCTTAAGCAATCCATCTATCAAAAAGTATTTTTTTAAAATTACCTGAGAAACATTCACCTACTGTAGTATATGATTTTGACCGGTTGTACTCAACGATTTCTTCCACACTAATTTCGCTTGTTGCAAAAAGTTTGGATAAAATTACTTGAGCTACAGGACCGCATGTAGGTCCTTTCTGGAGATCAAACTTTACGGGTTCGGCGCATCTCAGTACGCCATGAGCAACTTCTTCACTATCGGTTTCTCTGATCGATGAGAGTCGATGTGAAAATAGAGTCCCAAAGAGTTCCATTTTAACGACTAGAAAATACCATCGAGAGCGCCTAGAAGTTTTATTGTTACTTTTTTATAATTTTTAATAACAATAAGTAATAACATACTTTCCTATTCTAACTTCCCACTTCAAATTCGTACATTTTGGGAACTGCAAGATTCCCTTCACTCGTAGGGATCTTTAAACACACTTCTTTGAGGTATAATATTAGGATACTTTTCTGATTTCTAAAGTATTGAATAATCTTACTTGCAGATGCTCTCTTATAAGAAGAGAGATCTTACTCCTTTACAAATCAAAACCTCTTTCCGTGTGTCCCTGCACGATAATTTTTTTGGCATAACGTCCTTAAAAAATATATTGCAAAAAGAGTTCGCAATAATTTGAAGAAGTTGGATGATTTACGGATGAAGTACTGCTGACTTTGATCTTGTCTTTATGGGTTTTAATGCTTCAAATACCCTCCGGCTTCGAATCGCAAGGTACTGGTCATTAATTCATCGAAATTACACTGTTCTCGGAATAGAAACGAGGTATGTTTAAAATTATGCGTTGAGCGTTATATATTTAGTTGCGATGATACTTGTGCTGCAATTTTGGACAGTGAGAAGGGGATTCTGGCTTCTCGAAGAGATCAGAACTGGGTGTCTCAACAAAATATCGGCGGAATTAGCCCGTTTTTGGCCGCACAGAACCACCGCCGGTTAATTGATCGGCAAGTCGACGAGGTCCTAAGTGGGGCAAAGCTGAGGTATCAAGATCTTGACGGAGTGGCCGTATCAAGCGAACCTGGGCTTGTAATTTGTTTGAAAGTTGGAGTGGACAAAGCTTTGGCCATTTGTAGGTATAAGAACACTGTATACACTCTATTTCAAAATGATAGGAACCTTTATAAAATCCGTAATTGCAATATCGAGGTTCCCTTGACGGATACGAAACCTTTACAGATTTAAAGTGGAGGTTTGAAAACGTACACTAAAAGATTATTTATTTTTCACTTTAAACGAAAGTTTTTCCAAATTTTGGGCGTTTCAAAATGGTAGGAACCTGTACTGTTTTGCTAAAAAACTTGTGTATATGATCCCCAGAGTGTTTGCAATTATTAATAAGGGGTTGAGCCCGAACTCTCCCCCTTTTCTGAACCTTCCCCCTTACGGACTCTCCCCTTTTTTGAACACTCCCCCTCACTTTGCAAATTGAAAAAATAGGGTGTGAGATGTTTTACGATGAAAATTTTTTGCAAATTGAAAAAAATAAGGTTGGCATGTTATATTTTATTTTAATGTTTTATCAAAAATTATACAGGGTGGGCCACTAAAACCTTCCGTCCTCTTTTTTTAGATTTCTCCGCGGAGACTCCGCCGATTTTCATGAAATTTAGATTTTTCTGGAGCTGAGATGCGCCATTTTCAACCGGTTGAATTTGAAAAAAAATATCCTGAATTGACCTTTCTATGCCTTCCCAAAGTTTTTGAAAATTTGTCAAATTGTTAAAATTTATTCCGAAGCGCGTTTTAAACTTACAAATTACATCCCTATTCATTTGAAACGCACTAGAAGTTATTGGTAACCAATAATTCAACATTATCTCTAAAAAAATTAGCAGCTATTATATTTCATCGTATGACATGTCATACTATACCTTATTTTTTCAATTTTCAAAATGGGGAAATGTTCAACAAAGGGGGGAGTTCGGGGTTTTTTGGGAGAGTTCAGAAAAGGGAGTTCGCCGGCAACGACGTTTGGTTTTTTGACGTTTTCTGGCGCTGGCCGTACGGAACTTACCTGTTAGACATAATGTACTGCACCGCAAGTGCAGATTTTACAGGGGTTCTATAATTTTGAAACAGAGTGTATATCATTCTACCTTTAGGGACAACCAAATTCCTTTTATTCCTGTGCATCACATGAAAGCTCATGCCCTGAGCGCCCGATATGCTCACCGTGAAATAGACTTCCCTTTTGTGACATTGTTGATATCCGGAGGGCATTCGATTATCGCCTTAGCAAAAGATGTGGACAATTTCCAAGTACTGGGTACTTCTAGAGCAAGTAGTCCGGGTGAGACCATAGATAAAGTTGCAAGGACAATGGGGTTGTATGCAAAACCGCATTATGGAGTACAGGTTGAATCCTTGGCGAGCAGGTTTGGCTTGTATCACATAATTTGGGTATCTTTTAGCTCAAACGCCATCATGAAATACGTTACTGTAATGCCTTCTGTTTGTGGAGCTGACATGGATTTTGCGTCGTTAAGAGAGAGGTTTCTGCATGCTCTCAGGACAATTAACGATATAAATATCAACGACTTTTGCTGTAATTTGCAGGTAAGATCATACTAGACATAGAAATAATATGTTATACATATCATTCAGCACCTTGTTACCGCTCATCTGTGCCAACGGTTAGATGTTGCATTGGCTTTTGTAAACCACGAGCACTTATGTGAATCAAGCCAAAAATCATTAGTAATCGCGGGTGGCGTCGCGGCTAATAAATACATCCGACGATGTGTGGATAATGTAGCTAGCCATTGGGGGTTCAAGACCTATGTTCCGATAAACCAAATGGTCACAGATAATGCTGAAATGATTGCATGGACGGGAATTGAGTTGAAAACGAGGTAAGATTTGCGGTTAGCATAAAAGTATACAGGGTGTATCAAGAAATGCAGTTTTTTTTCTTTTGTCCAGTTTTTACGTGCAGCCAAATGATTTTGTACTATTGAATATTTGGCCGTTTCAAAAGTATGGCTACCCTTACTTACAATTTCTTAGCTAGGTAGCAGCGACATGTTTTTGACATTGTGTACCATGTCCAACTACTTTCAAATGTTAAAAATAGGAACATAAATGCTACAGGCAAATTATGATAGGCAGATTCAGAGTCTGCAACTGCAAAACCTATAGATACTCTTCATTAGATGGGTTAACGAGCAATGCACTTTTAACAGTCGGCTTAAAATTTATCGGTGGAAAGAAGCCTATTTTTTCCTATTTTTGGTATGATTTTAAAAGATCGACTGTACAGTGCTGGGTCTTGTTCGTTTATGGCCAAGTAATAGAAATATAGGTTCTAAGGGATCTTCACTATGAATCTGCATATCAGAATTTAGCACAATCCATGCATTTTGAGGTTCAAAATGTTCACAATGCGAAGCCGTTGGTATTCATGGTTTTCACGTCCGTAAAATTCGTTGAAGTTGTTGTACAGGGTGTTTCAAGAAATTTGGAACAAATGATTTGCTTATATCTTTGTGTTCTTTGCACCTATCAACGAATTTCTTTTCGCTTCTAAAAATTGACAGCGTGCGTTTTCAGAATCTCAAAAAAAATTTTTTTTCGTCGGCGGAGGGCCCATTTCTCGGCGGAGAAAATTAGGGCCTTTTTTAAAAATCACAGCGTATTACGTGGCGGAAACGCCGTTGCAACGGCTGAAATCGAGTTTACGTAATACCTCCATCGATTTTACGGTATGCTTTTTTTGCGTTTTCGATTTTACGCACTTCCGCGGATGCGCGGCGGAAACCTCAGATTTCGGCGGACGTTGTTTTTGGCCTTTGGTTTTTGCAATTCATGTTGGAAAAGGAGGTTTGGGTGATTTTTTGTTGTCATCCGATGCACAGATGGCAAAAATTTCGTGCTCTTTATCCCCGGCGGAGGAGTCGGCGGAGGCTTTATCAAAGGGTAAAAACAAAACTCCGCCGATTTGTCCGCCGGACCAAAAAAATCAAAAATCTTTGAAAGACAATGCTGCTCTGATGGATTCTTGTAGCTGAGATTTTTCCCGGACTCGTAAGACTGCTTTGACCCTTTGATAAAGCCTCCGCCGAATCCTCCGCCGGGGAAAAAAGCACGAAATTTTTGCCATCTGTGCATCGGATGACAACAAAAAATCACCCCAACCTCTTTTCCAACATGAATTGCAACAGCCGAAGGCCCAAAACAACGTCCGCCGAAATCTAAAGTCTCCGCCGCGCCTCCGCGGTGCGCGTAAAATCGAAAACAAAAAAATGCATACCGCAAAATCGACGGAGGTGTAACGTAAACTTGATTTCAGCCGTTGCAACGGCGTTTCCGCCACGTAATACGCTGTGATTTTTAAAAAAGGCCCTAATTTTCTCCGCCGAGAAATGGGCCCTCCGCCGACGAAAAAAAATTTTTTTTGAGATTCTAAAAACGCACGCTGTCAATTTTCAGAAGCAAAAAGAAATTCGTTGATAGCTGCAAAGAACAAAAAGATATAAGCAAATTATTTGTTCCAAATTTCTTGAAACACCCTGTAGTTGCAGTTTCTCAAGTTCTATGTTGGTTCCATTTTAGACATCCTCTGTCCAGAAATAGAGCATCTATAGTAATGTATTACTGTTGCTCTTTACTTTTTATTGCACAGTGCAATACTGCAGTGCGAATGTGCACCTTCGTTTTCGCACAGCGCATGTCGCAAAAATCACTCCAACGACTTTGCGAATGGACTAATTCGCAAGCTCTATTTTACCGATGGGGATTGTTATTTTTTAAAATAAAATGTAGCTACATATTGCGCAATAACAATAGGTTGCATTTTTTTTTGAGACGCCCATGTAATGTTTCTTACTATGTTATTTTCAGGTCCTCCAAAATAATTTGTCCAAGCGAACTGCCGTTATCTTTCCATGTTGAGGCCAAGTCACCTTTGGGAGAGGATATCAGCGATAAAGTCAGGGTATTTAAATACAAACAAAGATTGAGAGTAGTCTCAATTCGCCCAGAGTCCAATCCACTTTTATACAGGAAAATAAAGACAGACTAGAATTGGATAAGATCGATTTCATTGGCGGCAGAGGAAGGTGGAGATTCAGAGGAGTCTTCTTCGGCTGGAGATTGTTGTGCCTGTTCTTCATTAGCCTCTCGTTGTGCCAGTTGTTCTATTATATGTTGTCCACCCTCGACCACCGACAAAGTGTAGGCTCTAAGGGGATATTTGGAACCTGGCAGGTTTTTGCAAGCAGTGTAGTAGAAGAGGATTTTATCTTTAGGAATGTTGAGCTGAAAGAAGATAGTTTTTTGTGACTCAAAGTTGTGATGAAAAACTAACGTAATCAGCACGTCTTTCTTGCGGAACCAGAACAAGAGGAAATATAACTTCATAGGCCGAACGATCCAATGATTTCAATAGAATTGAGGCTCTGTGAGATTTTACAAATTTAGCAATACCAGTATAGGTGACACTCAGATTTTCTACACTGACGGCCAAGTACTTTATATTCAGGCCTGCAGATTGGAAGACATCTTTCAGACAGTTCGGAATGAGGCCAAGTCTTCCTTCAAATGTACGGCCTGGGGTCACAATCGCGTGGAATTGGTCTATCTGCATGGGAAATTAGATATGCGTTTTTCCACTCACCTGGACATGGTTTATTTCTGTATCGACATGACTAGCGTTGGAAGTAAGGAGTTTTTCGAGTTGTGGCGCAACAAGAAGATGCGGATGGATGCAAGCTAGCTGCCCACTCTTCGTCATTCCAATCGCAACATGAGAATTCTTTATTCCCGTCGCTACCGCGACCATTGGAGTGAGAGTTGTCTCAACAACATTATCATCTAAAATCTTTAGGTCTGAAAAAGCTTAAAAAACTTACCTGGCTGAATCCGATTGATTCTTACGATATTGGTGTTCAAAGTATCAGGAGTAGCTGTTTTTTGCAGTAATACCTAGAAAAACGTATTTTATAAACAAAAAGCTTACATTCATGCCGACCTGAAAAAAATCATCGACTTGGCCGAGGTCTGACAACTTGATGTCCCCGATATAGCTCCAAGGACCGAAAACGAGCAATACATTATCGCTCAAAATATTGTCTTTGGTCAAAACAAGACCAAAATTGGGGGAAATAAACGAAACAACACCGGCTTCCATTTTTCGTGGCAAAAATGGTGAAAAAAATAAAAACAAAAAAATGAAAGATGAGTTGAAATTGGAATTAGGGTTCGTACGGGGTAGACACATCAAGAAACGGCTAAATTGGTTGACTAGCTAGCCAAGGGGGTTACCAGTGTTCACAACGGAGGATCCGCCGTTATTTTCCCGACAGACTGATAAAATGGCCAAACTAGATGACTAGAATGCGAGAGTCGTTTCGATTATGCTTGATTGTGACCTAGCTCGTGAGCTAGTTTAGGTAATGCCCCTCCAAAACCGTTATCCATGATGAAATGCGTGCCTTTTGGGAAAAACAAGCTAGTTCATGACCTAGGTCGTGAGCTAGGTCACAATTAATTTCCAAAATCCTCTGACAATAATCCTACTAGTTGTTCCTGGCGGTTTTGGCACTTCAGTTAGGTCAGGTTACAACCACACTGATTATGGTCACGGCCCAGATCGTGAGGTGATGACCTGGCCTAAACAAATTCTTGACCATCATAATCAAGCATTAAGACCGTTTTCGGGTAATTTTGGGCATCCACCTTGACCTTGGTCACGGCCTATAGGTCTCGAGCTTGGTCATGGGCGGCCTATCGTGAATGGGGTTACTGTAAGAATGAACACAGAGTAAACCAGTTGGCCAGCTGGTCAACCAATTTTGCAACATTGGAATATTGGCCCGATACCCGATCTGCCCCAAATGAAAGGTTGCGCAGGAAACGCGTTTCCCGAATGGGTTCAAATTTGAGAATCGCCACAAAATTACTGATCGATCTTTCCTTCTCCTACCGAAATTTGAATTAATCCAATAATTTGTCATTTTCTACTTATAAAATTGCCAACCCAGTACCTGCAATTGTGAAAAAGTATTTATGCTGATTTTATTCATACATACATTAATTCTTAATTTTTGAAAAGACACGAAGCTGTCCGACTCTAACAACATTTATGTACAGTCCAATAGATTTGGATAGATTTTTTTGGCCAGTGTTTTTACCTGTATTCGCAGGCTCACTCTGTAAATGTCTAATTTTATATCCGTTTACTATTGCAGTTTGCATAAGTTTATTTGAATGATATCTTGGTTGAATGTAAAAATATAATGAGATCAATAACAAAGCTTTTTTGGCCGGATCTGTTCGGCCTCACCGTTTACTTCTTTCTGGCAATTCGATCGGCGACAATAACAACATCTGTATGATACGAAAGCGGATGGATGAACACATTACAAGCTGCTTACTAGGCGAGGAGTGACGCAGAAGGACATACCACTGAAAAAATAAAAAAAGTCGTGATTTATGAAAGAATTACTGACCTGTTAAAATGTAATCCGTAAGCAAAGTGGGGACCTGAGGTTTGTTTTCATTGATGGCTTCGAGGATTTTGATCAGTGATTCCAAGGTTGACAGTTTGGGGAATCTCTGTGTGTCATCGAAGGGTATGGAAGCAGTTGCAAACTAAAATAATAATTGTAACAAGTAATTTTAATCATTTAAAATCATGGTCGACGGATTGCTTACTTGTGGAAGCGCGGCATTATCCGGAATTTTTTTCTTTTTCCGTTCGCTCATGAATTTTCTTCGTTTATCTTGAATTCCCACTAACAGTGTTATGAACTTGTTTTTAATCTCGTTTTCATATTCCAATTCATCTCGTCTGGCCAATTCAGAGACAAGCTCCGAGTTGTATGTGATTATCAGATTCTCCATCTCCGTACTCAGCGCTAACAATTTGCTCTGAGACATCTGCGTCAGATCTGGAAACACATCAGTTATCGTATCCTCAAAGAACGTTGAAAAATGGTTGGCAGCAGGCCGAAGCGTCAGTTTTGATTGATCCGATACTATCGTAAAATGACAAAACTCACCTTCTTTTGAAAAACTTAGGGCCTCGATATGTTTTTGTTTTAATTCGTTCTCCACTTGCAGCGACGCAAACGGTGATCTCATCGAAGAGTACATACTGTCGACGCTTTCCGTCTTGTCTGTCATCATTGATCTCATCAGGTCGCAGGTCTGAAAGACAAATCGGAACTTGTCGAAATGCAAATTAAAACGCTCAATAAAACTTCGACATACTTGCATTATCTCATCGATCTCCTCGATGACTTGATCGGCAGAAACTGGAATATGCTCGCTGGTAAGACTGTTGTCATCGGGAATGATTTGATGCAAATCCATCGAATGCCTCAAGTCCTCTTCATCCAGGCTTTCCTCTTCGCTACAGTGGGCCCCTTCATCGGACTGAAAAGAATTAACAGTAAAAAAATTAAAATTATAATTTTGACGATTTTCTTACCGCTTTTGGAGTATCCAAAGAAAGAACGTCAATCTCGCGCTTCCTAATCTGACTCTTATTAAAGTCGAGGGGAAGAATGTTCCCATAATTTCCGGTCAAGGTCCACCAGACCTGGCTTTCGGACATGATTTCGTCCTGCGTTCGGACCTGAACGGGAGCCATTTTGTTGGTGTTTTCGTTGAGATCCTTGAGCACGTTGTTTATTTTTTGATCAAAATGTTCAACCAAATCTTCCAACGAAACGGATAAATGCTCTCCAAGGCCGTTGTTTGATCGATTTAGTTGATCTTCCTCTCTGAAAAAAAATTTATATAAATACTTTACAGTCATCATAAAAAAGTAAAATATTCAACTCATGGTCATGGAAGACTGGCGAGATGGAAAACACGGAACAATTATTAATTTATTCCTACAGTTTTTGTTTGTTGTTTTCTCGGTTTCGTTTAAACTTAAAGTAATAGGGTCGAAATGTTTGTTTGGTTGAAAGTAATTTTATTCGAGATTTTGATCTGCTCAAAATGCATGCCGCGGTAAGTCATAAAAACTCAATACGCAAAATCCATAACGGAAGCGGCCGGTTTCTATTGGAATGCAAGTATCTTCCCAAAAGACAAAAAAACGTAGGGTTTGTGGAAACTACTCTCCAAACCCCCGAGCAGCCCGCGCAAATATTACAAATTGATTTTTCTAAAAGACGTGGTTTTATTCCTCGAGCCATTTTTAAACATAGAGATGTTTTAAACTGGGCAGAGATCGAGCATTCACAAGAGATGTCGGCAAAAAAATAAAAAATGAGGAATGGGTGACTTCTGGAATTGTTTGGTTTGGCCCTTTGGCGGGCCATGCTTTGCAAAATGCACTTACTTTATGCTAAAGGATGAATTGGACTCCGAATCGTCCTCGGAACGCGCTAAGGGAACGTCCGGAACAGCCAAATCACTTGAGTCGTCCATAACTCCCATTCCAAAGCAAAGTGCGGATGTTTGGCGCGAATTGAGCCTCTACATAGGCCGGAACTCAGCTCGATTTGCGCCTGGTGTAAAACGTTTGACAGTCAAGTGGAGGCCAAGTGAAAGAACTAAATGGTGGTAAGCGTAGAGAGTTAAAGAATATTTCGAGGCCCTACTGGCCCCGTTTCCACTGGGGTGGCGCTGTACGCGGAGAGTGAAGAAAAAGAGGGAAAAGACGAAGAGAAGAAACCGAGCCGGCACTCACAAAAGAAGCCGTTTGCTCGTCTCCGCACTCCGGATTCGGCCCGGCCCTGGTCCCCGAAAGCTTTTTCCCCGCAACGATTTTTTGGAGTGCGGGAATTGAGGGAACCCGAAGAGAAAGGAATGATGAAACGGACGATCTACTACTTGGCCACAGAAACAAACGTTTCTTTTCCCAATACCCTCCCTATTTAGGGAGTTTCCGGCTGAGACTAATACCCCGTCTCTTTGCGTCGAGATGAATCTTGATAACGGCCAACCATAACAGGCAGCGGAAATATGGAAATGAAATATAAAAGGAACATGCTGGTCACCCAGCTAAGCACTTGCTCATGCGTTTCAACCCAAGCGAATTGGTCACCCACATAAGGAATTCCCTCTCTGCTTTAATCGGGCGTTGATTTAGCTGGCGTCGTTTAATCCCCAGAGCTATTTGGATTAAATTGTAAAAAATAATTCATACGCTGCATCTCGAACAGGAAAAGAAGACTAATACTAATATATTTGTTTGGACGAGAACTTAAGTGACAGCCGCATTTCAACCCACAACCCACATGACTATATTGAAATGCATTGTCAATCGGAGGACGAAACGAGAAGGTTTTTTTACCCGGGAAAATATAATGAAAAAATTAAGTACGTTTAATAAACAGACGAGGTTACAAAAAAATGAGATTAGCGTGTTTTTGGAGAAAAATCTTTTATGACGGCCGTCGGAAAGCTGAACCTTCATGGAGCGTTGAAACTAATCCATTTTCATGAGAATGCCTGGGAGTTGGGCATGAGTCATCATCATAAGAGCGGCATAATCTGGACTGGTAGGACCTCCCCACACAACCTTGAAGAAAATCAAATTGCGCCTTTAAACATACCGCCGGAATAAACACCGTAGTGACACGCTCTTGTTCGCATTTGTTTGCCGCATAAACAATTGCCCCATGGTCCCCAATTACTCCACTTGGCTTCTGAAAAGGAACATATTAGATCATTTAGAAAGACCGCAGATGAATATCGTCCTCACAAAATTCATTTTTACTTGCACATATCCGCTGCATGACTTACGCCGTTGATTTTGATCCAGAATCTCTGGAGAACTGTCTATCATTTCTTGGCTGTTTACAGTCTTTGCCTGGGGTACTAAGTTCAGGCTTAGGGCCTTTTTTGTATCGAACTTTGGTTTTTCGGATTCGATTTCATCGTTCTCCAGTTCTTTCAGTTCCGACTCAACTTGATCCATGGTCGACTTTAGTCTGACAAGTTCTTCTTGAAGTATTTTTTCATTTCCAAGAAGATCACTTTCATCATTGTCTACTAATGGTGCTGGAATTTTGTGAATTCGGGATGCGAATGATTTTTGTGCAGAGGGTTGTAATTCCCCCAATGTTTTAATTACTTCACCTGAATGCAAAACGGATGAATCAAGATTCATTTGATGAATCCTTTTGGTATCTGCCTGCTTTGCAGCATTAGTCATGTTATTTAACATCCATTGAAGGGCCTTCACTGTGTCGACGTTTACGACCTAGATGAACAAAACATTGTTATAAGGTAAGGTAAGGATATCTGCATACCTCTGGCTTCTTCGGTGCTTCCACTTCCCCTGAATTGATTTTCTTTGTTGTTGGAGCCTGTATTGGAGATAGGGTTGTCTTCTGTTCACGGAAGATAATTGTTGGAGGTGGCTGAATTGGAACAGAGATTCTGGTACGTCCGGAGGGTGTCATTGTTGGAGTTTGTGCTCTGTAAAGTATAAATAAACAGGACATTCTTTTAATTACCTTGATCTCCCGGTCGCTTCTTCTTCAATAACACTGGCAATGGATTCCTCGTTTACCGAAGCTATTCCCAATGCTGGAGTCAGCGGAGTGTTGTTTACACCTTGTTCAAGCTGTTGTTCCTTGAAATGTTGACTTATCGAAGAAACAATTTCAACCTTATCATTGGATTCAACATTCTGGTTGGTCGTTGGCTCTACGGTTGAAGTAACAATGATGTCATTATCTATTGTAGTTTCTTCATTTCTTACAACAGGCTGATTTGAGGTAGTTTCTGTGACTGGTCGAGTCTCGGCGATTGTTTGGGCTATGGTTGTAGACGTTGAGAGCTCGCCTTCTGTTGTAGAGCTGCCTCTGGCTCCAGTTAAAGGAAGTTCAACAACTGGCGATCCAGTTTCAGTTTTGCTTCCATACAATTTTTCTGGCGTCATGCCTAAACATCATGTATATTTAAATAAAGTATTTTGTTATTACTTGGGGCTTGTGCAGGTCCAGATAGCAATGGAACTCCGTTCTGTAATGGTCGTTCTGGACCTCTGAGGCCAAATTTCTTGGCCGTCTTTTCTCCGCGCAGTTTAAGATCTTGTTGTGGCTTCTGATTCTTTAATTCCGGAACTTCATAGTCTGTATATTGCCCAAGTTGTCTTAAAGCCTCCTTCCTATCATCGTCCCAAGGATCAACCACGTCGTAATCGGGCCGTCCCTGGTTTTGTGTTCTCCTTGGGGCTTGATTTCCGGGCTGAGGCAAAGGCAAAGGTCTTGTGGGGTTTTCGCAATCTTTCGTTTCCTGAATAGATAGATAACAAAGTGAAAAAATCTTGTTGATGATGATTTTTTGTAAAAAGGTTGGGGACCCACCCGATTTGCTCCAAGGCAACTGAATCCTCGTACCGTGTTACACGCTCTGACTCTGACCTGAACCCCGTTGGCACAAAATGACCACGCTGACCAACTTGCCCAAACCGATGCATACACTTAATTATTATATTTTTTTAAATCAAAAACCTACTGAAATTAGCATTTGGAGGGAAAGGTCTCGGTGTACGAAAGCCCTGAAATTGGCTGAGGATACCGGTCGGCGTGTGCTGAGGCTCGTGCGTCACTTCCGCGCATACTGCAATGTTGGTTATGCGTGCTGTTAATTAACTGACCGTGAGTGATGATTGGAAACAAGAAAACAAACGTTAATTGCCATGACATGGCAGACAGGTGGCGAAATCAACGAAACCTTTCTGCCACTCTTCTGGATTTTTTATGAAGGATCCTCTATCTCTGGTGGTTCCGACTTAGGAATTCCAGAAAGCGTCATTGATTGCGATGGTAGTTGTCGCCCTCTTAATGTGGGTCATTCTCGAACGAGACTACGTTTCGGCATTCCGCCTTTTCTTTCCCCCCTAACTTCCACTCTGATTCCAAAAACTTTTCTTTTTATTGCATTTTGATTTCACTTCTTTTTGCAAGTGTCATGGTAAATAAAGATATTCCAATTAGCCTTGATCTAATTACATTTATGTGTTCAATAAACCCCGTCATGATCTATTATATCCTGGCAGTGGGGATCTCCTTTGAACTCTTGTTTGTATTGTTCAGAAGAGGGGTTTGCTGTTCGTAAGTGAATCCAGAATTCTTTCCACTCATCATAACTCTACGCGGAGGATGCACGGGTTGTTGTTGCTTGACCTGTGAACACAAAGACCGGTTATGATTTCTGTAAACTCACGACTTGATCTGCGCTCAAAACAACTCTTCGTTTTTTGGGCATCTTGGAGCGGGCTTGTGTGTGAGAATAGAACATGGCAAAGTTGGAGACGATGACTGGTACTGGCAAAGCGATTGTCAATACACCAGCCAGAGCACACAGTGATCCGACCAGCCGACCAAGGAACGTATGTGGAGTCATGTCTCCATAGCCAATCTAAACCCATTTCTGCAATCAGATATTACCTTACCGTAGTCATCGTGACAATTGCATACCATGTTGCCAGTGGGATACTTTGGAATTGATTGTCCGGATTAACTTCCACTCTCTCCGCATAGTAAACCAAGGCCGCAAAGACCACGACCCCGAGAACCAAGAAGAATACCAATAGCATCAATTCTTTTGCGCTAGCTCTGCAATTTGACGATTAAAGATTGCGTAAGCGATTACCTGAAAGTATGCAAAAGGATCTTGAGTCCTTGAGAATGTTGAGTCAGCTTGAACAATCGCATGATTCGAATAATTGAAAAGAATTCTAAGTCGGCTGTAGCACCGAATGAGGTCGTTAAGAAGAGGTCGATATAAAAGGTTAAAGTTGCAATGATATCTATGATATTCACCGGAGCTTTGAAATATTTAATTTTTGAAGGACAACAAATAAACCTGAAAGCAATAAAACCATTATTTTCATAGCGTACCGTATAATAATTTCAATTGTAAACCATATATTACAAACTGTCTCGATAACTGTGAAGCTGGGATGAGTCTTAGAATTTGTTTTATCAACGCCTATAGTCTGTGTTTGGTACTTGTAAAAGGTATGCTGATGATGTGGATTGGTGTGACGAGAATCTGTTTCGTGGGCTACAGGAATCGTGGCATTAACAGTGCCGACGTTCTCTAGTTCGTAGACACGTAATCCTGGATGAGTCTTCAGACAGAATACCAATATGGCAATAATAAGGAAGAACACAGAGATTACTGCCACTATCTGAAATGGAGTATGATATATAAATCGCACTCACTTTTGCACCTTGAGATGAACTGGGTTCGTCGAAGAGTCTCCATAACTTTGGTTTCAACTTCTGCCATGGGCTCAGACTCTGGTTGTGATAGTCATCTTCCCATCCAAACCTTCGATATAATTCCTCCTGAATAAAAAATTTAACTAATGATATGTATTATAAAACCATATTTCAACATTTAATCTTCTTCCATACCTTGTTATTAAGAGCTTCATCATCGATGTCCAATTTGTCTAATGTTTGCAAAACTTCTTGTGTGTCTCTGTGCTGTGTGTATGTCATCCAGCAACAGGGCTCCACTTCGTTGGCGTCCAATCCCCAATACTTCAATTCTTCTTCAAATAAAGGCCCACAAACATCTGAATTTCTTATAAAGATACAATTTTAAGGCATACCCAGGGGATAGTGTAGTTTTCCAGTACGATAATAATTGAGAATTTGTGCGAAAACACCCGGATGTCTGAAAATAACATCGAGAAAGGCGTATGCTTACCGGTCGAAGAAATATTCGTTGAGCACAGGATCATAATTGGCCAAGTTGGGAGTTAATCTGAGAAATAAAATAGTGATTGTTGCAATAAAAACTGTTAGATTCCGATAGATTTGGTACTCACCTCGACAAGCGAGTAGCCGGTATCTTCTTGAGTGTGTGCTTGTATGTCTCATGCCGGACTCCGCCGACATTTAATATAATCCGGTACTCACTGTCCATCAGAGAGCTCCTATAATTAGCAGACGTTGGTTATTGCCGATTCATTATTTTGCTGGTGGGAGAATTTTTAATTGGCAAGCTGCATAAACAGAATTATGCCAAAGTCAAAAGAACTCTTGGGAAAGTACGCGTTAAGCCTCAAAATGTCAAATGTATGGCGACATCGCTCACTTTGCGTCTGAAAGAGATTACAGGATGACAAGGGGAAAATAATGCGTTATAATAAAGTATATAAATACGGTATGCCTTACTGCTCAGAAAGTTAATTTTTTTTCAACTAAACAGAGTGGAACTTCACTTTATCATAATTACTCACGTCTCCTTCTGGAGGGTCAAGTGTCATAAAAACTATGAGAGACAAGACTTTTCGGCCGCAAATAGGAACTCCCATTTCAAGAAGCGGGTTTTCCTTCAAAACCAGTGCCGTCTTCATGACCGGTGTGCGGGGAACAGTGGTAAAAAATAATATTGAGCAAATTTCAGTAGACCCCAGTATTATTAGCAATTGCCCTATATGATAACTGCGGGAAAGTGAGCTGATGACAAAAAATTAAAGGTTGGTTCCCAGCTGGTCTTTATCTTGACTATAAGAGAAAGGTCAACTGACAAAGTTTTCGGCAAACTCTGTCCTCAATCCAGGGGTAACGAGGTGGAAACCGCCCCAAAAAACCGCCAAGCTGTCGGGTTATTCTATGTCACGGAGACCAATGGAATAGGTAAATATTTATAAAGTGATAAATTCAGAAGCCTCCTTGAAACAGCCCAAGGCCAAACTGCTATACTTGTCAAATACTAAGAAAAGTAGTTGGTTGACCTGCATCAAAAATGGCCTTTGGTTAAAATCCCGGGGGTTATGCAAACCGTGGCACCCGTGTGGTCACGGTTGAGGAAAAAGGGCAGTTTTTGGAATTTGGAGCTTGGGCCTAATCTCTTGCAGCAAAGGCCGGGTCGCGCACCGGAAAATCCCAATCATACCCCTGCCGGAGCCTGTGTGTTTTTGGCACATATCAAGTCTCGGGGAGGGGCCTGTTGCTTTTGTTCGGAACCCTTTTATGCGTAGCGCCGGGTGCTGTCGTTCTCTCAACAGCAAAATTTAATTAACACGCGCGCGGCTTTTAAAGTCAAGTTTGGGGTCATGAAATATGTTGACAGCGTATGACGTTCCGTCCTTGAATTGGATATAGTACAAGGATAATGACACTTTTTAATAGGTCTTTTGTAATGTCAGCAAACTATCGCCTCAAGAAGAGAGAAAGAAACACTCCAAAATGGCCTACTCCTCAAACAAAGAACGGCCGACAAGCGGCCTGTCGTCAAGAGAGCCAGGTAAAGAGTAAAGTGCCGGTTGCGAGGCGCGGGGATGTCGCAGATTAAGTTTGGATGTCACCAAAACCCGGGTCCAGGAGCCGAGCCGCGGTGGAATGCGTGCGAAAACCGGCATCTGGAAAAAAGAAAAGCCGGAAAATGCCCTTCTCATTAACTATTTATTCTCAACTAAGTTGGCCATATAGTCGTTTCTGAAGGACCATTAAATGACGGGGATAATTTGGGTTCCGGCTCCCCCGGTTGTACGATTTGAATCCTTTGCCCCAACCCCCATTTTCCGGCTGATGGCAATGGGAAGCAAGCAATGACATATCATATTTTGTAAACTGACGCTGAATAAAACAAACTCGTTTATTTTGGCGTCAAATGAAAGGCCATGAGGTGTTTTCAAACACAAAGTAAGTATGACGTGCGTTAGAATATCAAAACTGAAATTAAGAAGAGCGCCTACCTTTCCTCGAAATCGCTCGAAGAACGCATTGAGCGGACCCTTTCCAGAGGGCTGGGCCCTGGGGTTGGCGCCGCGTCCAGGTCCACAGTCTCGATGAGTGATTTGATTTTCAACTCTTTGACAGACATACTTTTTGGCTTCCGAATAGTGTTGTTATTACTCGTGGAGAACTCTTTCATAGATGACGCCATCATCAGCGATGAATCCTAGAGCAATTTTTTGGTAATTCAAGTCGCCAAAGCAATGTTTATGTAAGGTGGAGTAGGATGACCAGAACAGAGCGTAATCGAAATTATGTTAGAACCAGGGAAAAGGCAAAGACTATTTGGGCAGGTAATTCGGTACTCCGGCTTGAAGATGGCCGCAAGTGCGCTGAGGCATAAAGCCGGCGACCCCTCCTTTTTCGTCAACCTTTCAGCTTGTCGCAAAAAAAATCTCAGGGAAATAGGTCTCTATTCTATTAAGGACAGAAGACAAAATCTCGGACACTGCTAAACTTCAGACAACGTCGTTTTTATTGAAGGGAGACGAATCCTATTTACATGCCGAAAATTGAACATTCGCCCGCTTTTCCTTCAAGCCAACTGCATTGTAACCCCACTATGAGAAGACCCTGAATCTCGGAAAAATATTGGACCCCGAGAATAGGAAACAATAGCAAGGAAGTCGCTTTTTTTCATTCACACGGTATTGATACGATTTGGTTACAGGTTTAATTTACATATTATTTACTGTAATTATATAAAAATCGCTTAATTAGTTCATCCCTGGATTTCCTTCTCTATCACCATAGGATCATTCGCGACTGGTGTGGCTTGCTGGGTGGAAAAACAGGTCTGACTTTGCTTGTTGAGACCCTGAAGAACTATTGTAAAAAAAGGATTTGTTAATTACCTCGCACGTTTTTCCCGTGCATTGTCTGACTCTGATCCGCTGTCCCTTCGAGCAGGGAGTCCAACGACTCCATTCCTTCCAAACTCCAACTTCTGGAAGAGATTCCGTAACCGCAGCTGGTGCTTCTACTGGCGTCAAATCTTGTGTTTCAGTTGGGAATTCGACCATTACTTCGATTTTTTGTGCTTTTGGTTGAAATTGTTTTGAAGCACGAATTTTGGCGCCTGGAAATTGTAATTGTTTCAAAAGTGTAAAACATTGATATATTTTACTTGAGTTAAACTACTTTTATTTGAACTTTTTGAGAGTTACGAACTCACGATCAACTCGGTTGAAGGCTTGTGTCAGTGGGCGGTAGTCCTCGAGAAGAGTAAACTGGGCACGATCTCCAGGGCCTACCATAAAATTACCATCTCCATTTTGATTAATCTGGACGTCAAGAGGGCGCGCCGTAATTAAATCTAAATCCAAATAAAGGCCGTGTTTATTCAGCACTTACAAAGACTGGAAACAATACAGACAAGAGCATACATTTTCTCAAACCGAATGAATGTTCCGTCAAAACCTGTGCCTTTTAGGGTGATTAAGGCGCCCAGAACCATCGCAACCGGACTCCCGCCTTGATCGCCATCAATCTCTGCCGATCCGAAAGCGATAAGACCATTCATAATATTAATTTAGATTAACTAAAGCCACTCATTATAATCACCCGGTTGTAATGGAACCACATTATTTATCATAGAATAGCCAAAAATCAGGAACGTGGAGATAATCGATCAAAAACGCCTGTTCGCCGTTTCAAAATTGTGTCGGATTCGATTAATTGATCCATGTTTGTTTCACAAAATACACATTGGTTTAGTGGTTAATACTTCTTATTCCTGTAAAAGAATTAAATTTGTAATTGGAAAGCAGATTCCTAGAGGCCGGAGGAACAACAAAACACGATAAGAAAAAATCAGCTGGCCATAAAATTCTTATAATACAAGTTCAGGCGCTAAATCCAACCCGGGTTTAAAAAGTTTAAAGCCGGTTTGGAATTGGACACGGCCCTTTACACGTCTAAATTAATGTTTCTAAAAATACTGATAAAACAACCAGTAAAAGTGATGAAGAAATATCAGCAGACGAATGTTTGAAAGTAGGCGAGAGATGCATGAGTGACATCGGCACTCTCTGCCTTCCTCCCCGATCACCCACAGTGGCCACGAAAACTCCTGAGGGCCGCCGGTTTGTGCCTACGAAGAGGAAACACCGATCGCGCCTGGAAAAGCGGATCGCTCCTCTTACTCAATCCCGGCCTTAAAGCCGTGTCCTTTGGCATCGTGGGGGAAAACATAAAACGTTTTTTTTGATTCGAATTCCCTTTTTTGTTAATTGATTCTCTCATTTCAGGAAATATAAGTGCTTATTGCGCGAGGGTAGGCCAGAATGGCTGATCCCTCCAAAGACCCAGATGATCAGAGTCAATCGTTGACGGAAGATTCGAGTTTGAGTCGGATCGTTGAAGTTCGATTGCCTGAGGATTCTGTCGACGAATCAGATGACCGTATTCGGCGGCCGTTTAGTGCCAGCCCTATAGGATCTAGCCGTCGCTCTCCGTATTTTATGTTGCATTCGCCTGTGTCTGCCTACGAAACAAGTAAGACCGGTTTTTTTGCAGTCTACAGCTTTTTACTTTGGCAATAATTTTTTCTCCAAAATCTAATTTTTTATGCTTTTTTTTTATTAGTCGGCGTCATTTAGACGCCCACTCTAGCGATTAAGATCAGATGTTTTTTATCCAAAATACTAAAAGTTGACATTTTGGCTTTGCCATTGAACAAGACACGAGGTCGAGCAAAGAATTAGGTCGTTTATTGGAATGGACGCAGCCCAAAAATAACATTCGAATTCAGATCAAGAGAGGACATTACGCCGGGATGACAGCGCCAGCACTATTTCGGAGACACATTTGTTACACAAGGAAGGAGTTCAAGACAATTTCTTCACAGAAGAGCATTGGAGTTCAGAAATAAAGTCATTTGTGACATCATCACCGCCAAAATTTTTACAAGTTATAAAAGCCTACAGTGTCTTGGCTACGGATCGATTGACTCTTGTGGTGGAAGTCAGCAGTGATCCTCCGGCCATATTCGACTGGTTTTGCAACGATCGACCAGTCTCATTAGATCGGCGAAGGTTCACTGTCAGACATGCCGTGAATGCAACAACACTCACAGTGGATGGCCCCGACCATGGAGTGTACAGTTGTTCAGCACGGAATCCTGCCGGTGTATCGAAAACCTATGGATTTGTAACAGTTCATGGTAACCATCTTTCTTATTAGGATTATAACATTATTCAGACCCCGCAGAGCACCGAGAATCATTATTAGATAGTGCGTCTTCTGAAGAAGCGGCCAGATTATTCACAGAGCAGCAGAATATTCAGGTAGAGAAGCAACAGACTTCAAGAAGACCGCCAAAGTTTACGAACCAGATCCCGAATCTGACCTTGAAACCGGGAAATGAAGCTATAATTGATGTTGAAGTCGACAGTAACACTTGGACAAAGTATGTTCGTCATAAACAATATTTAAAATTTCGTTTAAGATTCATGTGGTATGTTAATGGAAAACTTGTTCAACATGACGATTCAAATGTCGACTTTTTCTCTCCGAAGCCGAATCGTTGCGTTGCATTGTTCAAGATTCCAGCTTCTGGAGAATACTCGGTGGTGGCACAGAATGAAGCCGGTATAGCCAAGAGCAGTGGTTATGTTGAAGTTTCGCAAGGTGAGTTCTTTCAGTTTCCTTTATTCAAATCTAGATGCCTCCGCCGTCCCTCATCCACATCTTCTGAGATCGTTGGGCGGGAAAGCCCCCTTACCGGCCGCTCAATCTCCTCGCAGAGCAGCTTCTATCACCAAGACCACTGTACACAGTGTCACTTACGTTTCTCGCAGCAATAGTTTGCCCAGGAATGAACCCATCGATGAAAGTCCCGAGGCAAGACTAGTTAGACAATCAATGACGCCCGAGCGATTCGGAGCAGCAACAGCGGCCACCGTCTACGCCCCCAAATTTGTACAAGAACTGCCGTCTCAAATTTTCCATAAAACAGGTGATAGATTGGTAATCAAGGCTCAGGTTATGGCCCAACCAGCAGCCGAGTTCCAGTGGAATTTCAATGGAAAGTTATTGTCTAACAGAGATGGTGTCAGCATTGTAAACACAGAAAACGAATCTTTGCTTTCAATTGAGCCACCTCTTCCTTGTGGCAGTTATGATGTTATTGCGACCAATTTTACGGGCTCTGCAATGCAACAGATTATAGTTTACAATGAAGATTCAGAGGAAGCCAAAATACTTAAACAGTACGAGAAACCAAGAGTGGTCGAGAACATCACAACCTTGGTTAGAACTGACGTCCAGAGAGAATCTTTAATCAATCATTCGGATGAGGATTCAGATGACACTTTTGTGATTTATTCTGCAAATGAAGATGACATTCAAGCGGGCGTAATAAAAGAATCGGAGACGATAAAGAAGTCCCAGGACGTCGTCATCCCTCCAAGCGTTCCACATCCCCAGAAGCCTATATTTATTGAAATGCCGGCTAGCCAGCTGATTTCCTTGGAAGATGATGAACCCTTCAAAGCTACAGTAAGATTGGAAGCTTTCCCGTATGCCCAGGTCAGGTGGTATTTCAAAAACTTTGAACTGAAGCCTGATGACGCTGTAGTACTTATTGATGATGAGCCAAATGTCTCAACTCTGATACACAAAAAACCCCAGAGTGGTCTGTACAGGGCGGTAGCCATGAATGAGCATGGAATGACGGCATTAGAACTACGGGTCTTCGCGAACGACATACAGGTAGACTTGCCGCTTGTTCAGAAACCCAGTAGTTCCGAGAAAGTTGAATATCCAGTTAATATTGAGAAAAAGACTGAAGAGATTGCGTCAGATTTTGACAGGCCTCCTTCCGTGATTAAACCATTACAACCCATTCACCGCGCTCCAGCCGGGCAAACTATTGTGTTAGAAACAGAAGTTGATGCCGCTCCTCCTGCCAGTTTTCAATGGAAATTTAACAACGTTGAGATTAAGAAAATCCCGAACAAAATCCGAATTGATGAACGCGAAAACAAGTCAAAAATTACACTCAACGATCCCCAAGAAGGAAGATACGAAGTTGTTGCGTTGAATGATTTGGGAAAATGCGCATCATCAACAAAATTCATCTTAAACGTTGAAGATGAACTGAAATTTGTGGAAAGTCTGCCTGAAATTAGTACGGGTACAAAGGAGGGACTCAGAATTCAGGTCACGGTGAATTCAGCGACGGGTATCTTTAAATGGTTTGCAAACGGGTCAGAAGTGACAAATTCGGAGGAGTACCAGATTGAGTACTCATCGGATTCCTCGACCTTGGTTGTCCTGAAAACGAAACGAGAACCAGTTACATTAAAAGTAGTTTACGAATTAAATGGCCAGCAAATTGCTTCAGAAACTGTGATAGGTAAGATTTTTAAAAATTACAATATAAGAACACTTTTTTTAGCAGGAGAACAAATTTCTGAGGAGAATTCAGACGATGATTTCCTTATGGCCGATATGAATTTGCAGGAGCTCGGAGAATATCACCATGAGCCCTACAACGGAACAACCCAAATCAGCAAAGAAGAAGGTTCGTATTCTAAATTAAGATGTTTTTAATTTTGTTCTTAGAAAAGTTTAACCTGCTGGTGAAAGTGGCAGAATCACTGGCTGAGAGTCTGGTTGCCAACATTATCCTTCAAGCAGTCCGTGAGACTTCTCTCCGTCTTGCATTGAACAGTAGATCTAACAAATTGGATGACGGATATTTCCACGTAACCTCGGTTGATGCACTGGCACCCCGATTCCAAATGTCTAGGGAATATATTTCAGTTAAAGAAGGTGGCACCCTGACTATTCATCAGACTTTAACCGGAGCCCCATGCTGGTCCGTAATCTGGTTAAAAAATGGCGTTGAAATCTATCCGGATGAGCAAGTTTACAAGGCTACGAACTTTATTAAAATTAAATTGTAGGAGAACTGAGCTGATATCTACTGAAGGTCATGTTCAACTTGTGGTCCGCGACTTGACCTCTGAGGACCTGGGAGAATACTCATGCCGTGTTGAAAACGGCTACGGTTGCGCCGAATTCATTGGAAGAGTGACACATGAGGACAATAAAGGCAAGGCTTCCGTTTATAGCAATAATAATTTATATCACAGGATATCATGAGTGGCCTGAGAATATTGCCCACTCATCATTGAACATCGACATAAAAGACGGAACCTTACAACAGATAATCGAATGTATTATAGCGGACATTCCGTTACTGCAATCGGGATTCACAATCGGTCGATCCGTGGAAACGACCGCTGTTGTAAATCTAAAAATCAGCGACGCTGGAAAGACGCCAACGGATCCATCAACGTCCTTTGAAATGGTTAATATGCCTCCAACCAGTAGTATGAGTCCTATACCCAGCATTATCGTCGAAGAACACGTTGATAAAGAAGGAGACGACGCAGTTGAAACTATTGATAAACGCGAAGTAACCGCGATTCAAGTCGAAACCGAAAATCTAGAAGATGAATTCGAGATAGTGGTACGTTCATTCGTATTTTTTAACAAGACACTAGCTAAAGC